TGATCATGTACTGTTCCGCAACGCCCTGTCGTATGCTGCTACAAGGTTAGCGATAGATATCGCGCCTCTCTGATGTTCTTTACCTGTAGATAGTGTACCAATCGACAGATTCGAACTCTAAATCAAACGGTTGGACTGCCTGAATCGCCTCATGCTTCGCTTGCTCCTCTGTGATTTTGTCCCCGTACTTCTTGTGCAGCTCTTCGTTCAGAGCAAAGCCGATCCGTGTCCTGCCGTGGTCGAGAGGTACCCAGAGAACGTTCCCATGTGAGACTGATTCAATGCCAGTCACCCCGATTCTCGAGTCCGGCATATTCGTTTTGACAACCCCATCGATTCGCACCCATTGATAGGTGGTTTTGTCTTGGTGAAAGGGTATGCCGCTCAGGCTCCGAACTAGAGAGTTCCCTCCATCTGCACCTATGAGATACTTGCTGCAATGGTATTAGTCTCTCAGGTCTGACACTGCAAGTCCCGCTTCGGTTAGAGGTACAAGTACTTGCCATCTCAATTCCGTAGTCGCTGAAGAGTCCACCGGAGCCACTTGCACAGTTATCCTGCAGCCGTCGTCTTTGTTCGTAGATAACTTCAGGTCTCTGAGGTCCCAACCAATTAACAAGTGGCCGCCCCCTTGTTTGTATGCCGCTTGGATCAGACTTTCCGAATACTTCAAGCGAATGCTGAGGAAATAGTCAAAGAAGGTGCCGCGGTATTGTGAGAAGATCCGTTGCCACCCTCTTCCGCTCACTCGTTTCCCGGTGCTGTCAAAGTTTGTCCCGTTGTGCGCCACGAGGCCAATTTGAAGGAACCGATCAAGAAGCTCAACCTGGTCGAGCATTTCCAGGGTTCGAGGATAAAGTGTACACGCCCGTCCGTACATGGGCATCTTCTCCTTGTCAAGTCTTTCTGGGAAGCCTACTGTTAGCTCTGTGGCTTCTAGCGAAAGATCTTGGGCTAGTACTGACCAACCACGCACGTCGAGACACCCATACGTTGGAGGCAATAGGCTGTGAGCAGCCCAACCGGCCCTCCTCCGATGATGGCAACATCAAAGCGCGTAGACTCGCACGTCATTTTGCTGTTCAGGTCAGCCAACACTACCAGGAGATCATTAGCGGTACTTTCTCATGCATTATAGGAGTTTGAATCAGTTTTATATTAATTACCTTCGCAGCCATTACCACAATATCCCGTACTTCTCACGGCGGAGCTCGACTTCCATTTGGACTCAGCTGACAGCTCCGGGTATTGGACACGAGTTAGTCGTATCCAAGAGCAATCTCTTTTGATCTGACCCAGACCAGGAGACACCCACACACGAGCCATAATATGTTAGTACGATTAAAGGTTATGTACTCGTACATCATGGCCCGTGGCCCCACATGCGGCTACCGTAGCTTCCAAGGGAGGAAGGGAAACGGAGGCTACGGGTTCAGCCAGCACCGATTATTTTTTGTCGTCCACAATCAGCGATCAGCTGACTGGTGCATTCAATCAATCACCACCCTATTTGGTAGTCCAATAAAAGACTGTTTCCGGAAAGCTACAAGTATATCATACGAACTCTTGATGGATCGTGGCACAGTCGGCAGGACCCAAGAAAAACATTTTTATATTGGACGTTACGTTAAAGTACATCATATATATTATGAACTCAGTAGGCCGCCACTTAGAGCGAGTACTTGTTCATGCTACTTTCAAAGTCTTGTTCTCGCTGCAAAAATTTGAGCAACTTCGGAAAGGCATTTTGATCATGGCGATCAAAGGGAGAAGGAGCAAAGATCCAACTGAGGTCGATGTTGGTGCATGAAAGCGGATTCCAGGCACACTGTTCCTTTGGACCAACATATTCTTTCCTGAGAAGGAGAATGTGGGCAAGGAGCCAGTATTCCGCAGCGTGCCTCCAGAATCCTAAACATTGTCCCCCTGACCGAACACTGGATCTGATGGTGCCCGCCACATTATCTGCAAGAGGCACGTCGAAGGCATCGTCGCCACCATTGTTCAGACGGTAATTCCACACAATCTTCCAGTTTTCGATGCCATTCCGAATGGGATGCATAAGGGCTTCTGGGCCAATGGTAGTATCCAAGGTAAATACCATCACATAGAAAGCTAGAGGACTGTGTCAGGCGCTGTATCATCTTTCCGTGGGAGTCGAGGGTGGTCATACCTTTGACAATCGCCCATAGACTGAGTAAGCTGTAATAAGGGAGACGAAGCTTAGCATCATCTGAGAGCTTGGGACTGCAGAAAGTGCGGATGACTGAGTACATTGTTTCACCTGGTCGATAGGGAAAACAGGAGTGCCAGGCATTAAGTTTCTCAACACAATCAGCCGCAGACTCGGCCTGAAAGCACAACTCGGGACAGGCAGGTGCCATTTCCAGCTCGCTGAGGACTAGCCTTGGAGGAGCGTTGTGCCAGGTCGTGAGTCCAGTGTCGAGAACAAAGACAAAGGTCATGAGTCTAACCAGCCATATTAGCTGTGATCAATCAGCGCCATCTGGGAAACACTCAACCGTATCAACGACTCAGTCCTGACAAATTCTCTCCAGTCGAAGCGTTCACGACTGAACGGGGGCACTTGTACATGCCGGGCTTTGCTGGCGCCAATGTCTCTCATGATCTGTCAGATGGTCATTCGCGATCAGCTGGGAATCTACGACGAATTCCGACTTTAAGACATTGCCATGGTACTTACCCCGACCAGTACATTAAATCGAACTCGACGCATTCTTGTTTTCGCAGATTCTCGACCCTGCCAATATTGACAGATGCAGACGGCATATGTAGATTGAAGCGCTTGAATCTTGGAGATCTCATCCTTCTCAGAGAGGTACTGGTCATCCCGGCCGGTCGCCACGGCCAACACATACGGGTCATTGAATACCCACTCTTCAATCACATCGAACCATATACAAGCATTATCATGATCGTGGATTTGTGGTGATAGGCTTGCTCCTATTAGAACAAGAGGGGCCAGAAGTGTGCTTGGAGTTGTATGATAGCGAAAAGTAGGCCGATGTATGCAAGGCCAGTGGGGATGCCACAATGTCCAATATTGCTCCATGAAAGTTCTCAGGTTGTCGGGGCAGAAGAACTGCTGGGCCATGGCCTCCGTCAATGGAGACCATTCTATTGATGACGTCGAGTTCACTGATTTGCTTGCCAGCGTCGTTTTGAGCCCGTTACATATTTCCATAGTCTTCATCAAGAGTGGATCATTACACAAGCTTCTCAGATTTAGATCCCCACTGGGAAAATGCATTATGCGCGTCCGATCTTGTGTCAGCTTGCTCGATTCTCCTGAATTGACCTCTGACGTGGTTTTACCTGCAGCAAACCCAGTGGCATAGTCCTGTGCGTCTTCGTACTGAAGACCAGAAGACCTTTGTTGGCCTGCTGGAGTAAATTTGCCAATCTCGAATGTGTCTGCAAGACTTCGATTTCTAGCATAACCAATGAGGAATTGAAACTGAAGAGCCGGATCGCGATGAGTTGTCGAGCGCGAGGTACCGTCGAGGTTGTTTGCCCATATATTCTGCCACATCGAATCCAGCGCAGGCGGTGTCGAGTCAGCAGCAAATCCTTCAATTTCCACGTCTTCCTCGCCTATATCATATTGTAGGAGCTCAGTTGAGTGGTCATTGGAGAATTCAAGTTGACGGTGGCCGACATCGTCCAGCGGGGGCAGCGAACCACTCGAACCGAGTAGCGGGTATTGGGAATCGATGAAATCGGGAAAATCAACCTCGGCGTCGGAAATCGCCAAACTGGCCTGGCGGCGGCGACGGCTCACTTCTGGAGGATAAGTGCAGGGTAGCCTTTGGGCCAGGCAGTTGCCGCAGGGTTGCGAGTTGTTGCAGGCCTTCTTCTGTTTTACGCATCGATCGCATGACCTTCTGTTGGACTTTCTCGCGTGAGGTATGTTTCGTTTTTGAGAGAGTCCCGAAGACGCGGTACAATTCTGGTAGTGACGCGTGAGAACGTCTCTGCGTCGGTAAGCCTTTCCGCACTGGTGGCATTTGAAGGGTCGGATAGAACTGTGCGTGTCCAAGTGTCTTTGTAGATGATCGACTCTTCCGTATCCCTTATCGCATATCGGACAAGAAAAGGCATTGCTCGCAGCCTCGGAATCGCTGCCAGCCATGGCAAATTATCATCGGCTTGATAACTAAGTCCTCCGTGCAGGGGGCAGACGAGAAGTTTGACAGGTCGACGATTTGGAGTGACCCTGGGGGCAAAGAGACAAGTATACACGTCTGAAAACATGTCGAACATCAGCAAACCCGCAGGAAGGCTTCCACATCAATTGTTTGGCTGTCTGGCCAAGGCTCACCCCGCATATTTAGTTCGCTGCCTCGTCAATACTCCCCATGAGACCTAAAACGGCACTCTCAGTAGTGTCCATGGTCAATGCAGATGGACATGCTTACTCCAATACTGGAGACGATTCGTCGCTGGAGCCAATTAGCAGAGAAAGCCCATTCCCGTAGCATTTGCCGTGGGTTTAGGTATTTCGTAAGACTAAAGCGCCCTCGGTAATTGGCTGGTGCTTACGGTGGAGGATGTGGATTCGGGCTTCGGCCACGATTATCGTTCTGGAAAACCGCAGTGTCCAAAATGAGGCATGATCACATTGCCCGAATATGGCACTTGTCCTAGGCCATGTATTTGGAATATTAATAACATAGATCAACTAGCAGGTTATTCCAGGCCACAGCCCTATTAGTGCCCGTTCCGCCGACCCGTGTTTCAACATGGGCAAGTTAAGCTAAAAGAAAAGTACTCTCACACAGCTGGCTCAACTTCCTGCAGTGATGTACAAGTTTCTCTCATATGTCTTCAGACCAATTTGAGCCTCTTTCAGCCTGGAGCATCGTCAGAAATCAATGACAGGCCATCTGTTCACCCTACAAGTTGTAGCAAGCAGCCCTGCTCGGAAGTACGGGGCCCAGCAACATTCCACGCCTGTTTTTCTCTCCGGTTGCCAGAGATCAAATGGTTGTGTCAGGCTTGAGTTGGCCGTACCCTAGCCAGGACAAGCCTGTCCAACGTTCGACGTTGCCAGTGTCCACACCAAACATATCTAGCAATTCCCTGACGCTCTGATTAACAGTGTCATCGATGCTGGCGGGGCAATTGTAGAATGCAGGAACAGGCAGGAAAACAATCGCACCGCTCTCGGTAGCGGTGAGCATGTTTCGCAGGTGGGTGATGCTCAGGGGGCGTTTCGTGAGCGACTAGAGCCACCTTTCGTCTTTTTTAGAGAGAAACATCTGCAACTCCGGATATCAGATCGTCGTAGTAGCCGGTGTTAATCGCCGCAAGAGTTTCCATGCCGCAGGGTACGATGACCATACCATTGGTATGAAATGAACCGCTTGCCAAAGGAGAAGCCCGATCGTGAATGCTATGCACATGGTCTGCAGTGCCCTAAAGTCTGCTGCATGGTAGTCAGTCTCTTGTTGGATGGTCTTTTGTGCCCATTGACTGATGATGAGATGAGTTTCAACTCTGAGTCGGAGGGCAATTAATGTCTTGATTCCTTCCTGTCATTGCTTCAACAATTCTCTTGTGTTATGGTATGCCTCTGGTGCAGCGATTGAGGTCTGTCTGCACGGTGAAAGCTACTCTGATCGCGATATTGGTCTGATGTCGACTGGAATTTGGGAGAGGTCAATATTTGGAGACTGTGATCGATAAAGCCAAGAAAGTTTACTAGACAGCAAAAGCCAACTACGCAATCCATTGCAGCGGACTCTTCGGAGTGGGGCTAGAGCGTCGATGTGTACCGGTGTGGTCGACTTGCTCTTCAAACATCAGGGGCCAGGAGCTTGTCAGAGGTCGAGTTACCCTATGGCTTCAAAGATGCCTACAGAAAGGCTCAACGAGATAGCTACCTACATCGCCGTTCAAGGCTGCTGGGAGCATAAGTCTTTCGGCCGGGATAGTCTACAACTTGACAGAGCTAGTACATAGGCTACAAGCTAATTCATCCCTATGAAGCAACTTCGCATAATTGAGAGCTTCGCCCCCTTGCGAGGAGCTGAATTCCACGCGTCAGTGACTAGCAGTGGACATACAACGTTCTCAACCAGACCACACGGCCGGATTTCACCACTGTGCATGTCTTCTACAGGTGACATTATTATCGATACTTCGAGCACCTCAACGAGGCTTGGATTTGAAGCCCATCTGTGCCCATCTGTGCCCATCTGTTCTCAACCCTCGACTTGACTTCCTCTGGATACGAGTTCTGAAAGTCGCATGTTACCCAGTCCGAAATTGTAGACGTCCTTTGCGGATGACATCGTGTGGAGTAAGCCCAAAGAATATCTTGGACTTCATGAATATTGACGTCCGGCTCAATGAGGACAATCTTGTCCGGGTAGTGTCCCGGGCGCGCGTTGAACATAAACGAGCCAATATTGGTGCAAATGGCTTCGCACTTAGTTCCGGACTCGGGAAAAGGTGAGGTGTTTATATGGACACAATCCACCCGGTTTGTGTCTCAATGAGATACCAGACGTCCAATACAGGGAAGTCGTGCTGTCTAAGGACGCATAGCATCTCCGTCCAGTACGTCTTAAGACAACGTCAGTGATGAAGCATGTCAAACTGGAGAGCTGAGGAGTAGTAACGAACTCAAGGCCCTCTTCATACCCTATTGTTGAGATTGTGACAATTGTTTTGGAACTCCGTGCAAAGCTTGCGATGCAATCAGAGCATATCTCCCATACATCCAGACCGTGAATGACAGGCGTCTAGGGAGTAGTTCCACCACCGTGCTCAGCAACCTTCTAGGTGATGTGGGATTATCAACGCACTTCAAGAAGTCGAACTTCATTTCCAGTACATCGTTCCTCCAGCTAAAAGGCAGTGCTCTATCGAACTGAATGTAGTATATCGTTTCTACTCACGAGAAGAATCTGCCTGCCGGTCACGTGAGTGGTAAAACCAGAAAAGAGAATCCCCCCAAATCTGGTCGACTGTCTCCGCATCCTGCACCACGAAATTTATGTGACAAGTCATATGCACAATGTTCTCTGCAGAAATGGCCCTCCTTTGATACCCAAGTCCCTCGGCCCTGCGAAAGACCGCGAAGATGGCCTCTGCTAGATCCGTGTCGCTGTCAGCTGCGCTGCAGACGTCAATCGTCCTTTGCCAGCGATTCGCGGCGTCGCTGGCCCCAAATTCCTCGTTTGAAGTGCCTCCAAGCGATTCAACTGCGCCATCACCGTTGGTCCTTCTACATGCCGCCGCAACTACCCTCAGGGCGCAAGTGACCAAACTGTCACTGCTGGCAATCACGGCCCCCTTCACCCCGACCGCGGTTACCACATGTCTGCTCCCATTGAACGAATCCATCCTTACGTCGTTGGTCACGGCCGCGCTGCTCACTACACCGGACAAGACTATACCGTCTTTCTCTGCCGAGTGCCGCAATTTAGCTGCGACCGCACTACGTGATATGCAAACTCTCCTTCGGCTTCTAGAGGCGCGAAGTCAGACCGAGAAACCCGCAGCAGAACTTGGGGAAAGGGAAAAGAGCGGGTTTACGGAGGCTACTGGCAAGGTGTGGGACGACTGTGATAAACTCATTCCTTTGGCTGCTGAGGGCGTACCTGGATACGTCGTCCGGAAGTCGAATCAGTGGCTAGATCTCATGAAAGATGCGGTGAAGGAATTGGAAGATTGGGATCCCGAGGACGACATCGATGAGCATGATCCGTTTGGTATCAACCACAGCGATCACGATGACTCTGACAATACTAATGACAATGACAATGAACGCAACACTGATCGAGCTGCGATATCTGCCGGGGTCAAGGAACAAGCACTCAAGGTCTTAAACCGCATCCCACAAAGCATTCACGTTGTCATTAAGCAAAGGCTCGAGAAAATACCAACGGATACAGTCAAGACGGCTAGCCAAATGTCTCAAATGGATACGGCCCTCAAACGGATCCGCCACGTTTCCGAACTCATTGACGAATCCGCCGAAGGAATGTATCTTGGGGATCTTGAATTATGTCTCAAGAAGGCAGGCGAAGCTCGAGCGCTTACCATTGAGGTGGTGGAGTCCGTGCTCCAACCGATCTCAGAGTTGAGCGCAACGACGACAGCAGCGGTCGAGACTAAGGAGGACAGATATATCCACCGAGCACTTCAATGGATTCGACAGGTCGATCCCGGAGGGTATTCGCGAAAACCAACATGATGCGTGAGGTGCGACCACTCGTTGCCATGCAATCCTATCTAGGGGTCAAATTTCAGTCGATGCTTGATGCCGCCCTCCGGGCCGTTTATGACCTGTCTGACGACCAGGTTTTACGCTCAATTCGCAATGCACTTCTCGCCCATACGACCGTAACCCCGGTCCAAAGAACCGCCCACACTGTGGGTGCCCCCCAGCCAACGCCATAAGCAACGTCATCAGTAGTAAGGTATATCGCCACAATGAGCGCTGCACCAACAAACATTGCGGGGATGGACCAGAACCATAGCAGGTGCATCAGCAGTGCTCGAAAGCGCGGGGATGCATGGTATCTGACCAGGGCGGCCGTGCGAAGTTCCTTTCCCCCTTTCCCATCCACGGCGCAGATATCCTCAAACAGGCAGAACGTGAGCGGCGGACAGATAGAGTTCTTCGCATGTGAACTGAGCCTGAAATGCCGTAGCGTCCAGCGATGATGCGCAGCCCAGCCGTTGGCAACTAACATGGCCCCCATTACTATCATTCCCACCGGCATCGGGAGTGCTAATGCGCGGATCGAAGGATACCGAGGGATGCTGAAGATGATCAGAATGATCATCATGACTGTGAAGGGTGGCATCAGAAAATATTGAGTGCTGTCAAATCCCCAGAACCGGGGGCTGCCGAACAACGGGCGATATTGATCACTTGGCTGCACCAACCGCCAGCTTCGAATGCCAAATTCATAGCCAGTCACAAAGCCAAACAGACTTGTGATGATGGCAAAGTAGATTCCTGTTCATGCAGGTCAGTTGCGTTGTCGCCTGGACCGTCGCCTACCCAGGCGCAGCTTACCAGATCTCATGCTCGTCCCTTTACTCAGCCCGTAATACAGCGCGATCGGCAGGAAACAACATTCTGTCAGGACCAGAATCGTGAAGATTGACAAGGACGACTTGTGATGTCGTACATCGAATGGCAGAGGCGGTGGCTGCTCGAGACTCTGCAACCCATCACCACGGATTAGAGAATTGAACTGCTCCAACGCAACATCGTCCGAAGACGAGGTGGCTGGCGTGGTCGAAGCCTCAGAGGTTCGCTGTTCAGTAGGCTTCACATCGCCGCCAGCCTTGAAAGCCTGCTCAACTGGAAGGTCTTCCTTCGCCGTTCTAGTCGTCGTTGTCGTCCCCGTTCTGCACCAGGGAAGCATCTCTTGCACGTGCATTTTGATATTGTATTAAAACCCGGGCGGTCGACTCGGCCGACGGACAGTCCACGTTGTGTGCTTTGAACTTTGCAGAGACATCTGGCCATCTTAACCGACATCTTAACCGACGGCATACTTCGGCATCGTATTTATTGGTGCCAGGCGCCGCAGATTGAGCGTGGCGTGGTTGTCCGCGACTCGTCATGGACTTCTCCCAGATCATGCAATGCAGTGGGCGACGAGCCAATCGCATCGACGCTGTTGGCGATGCCCAGCAGCAGGACCACGTCAACATCCCGCCCAGTCGCGCAACATCCCCGTTATCATTCGCTGCAGGGGAATTGGACCATCTCGGCCCTTGCGCTTCAAATCTGCAGGCAGCTTTGCGCACAACCTTTCGACCCGGATTCCAGAATTCTTCGTCTCGATGCGCGCAACCATAACAGGGACTTAACATGGACATAGCTTGCGAATACGAGAGTCGGTTCGTACAGGAGCCCTTTGCCGAGATGCCCCTCTGGCGAGGCTGCGGACCCACAGCTACGAGGCTCTTGCTGGAATGCTGACTGGTCGTCTCAGTAGGCCACAGCGGACTGAAAGTTGGCCCGAGTGGTTGGTTCGATGGCTACATGATCTGTTTACTCTCAAAAGCTTACGGCCGTCCTCGCGAAGATTTCCACTTTCGCAAACTATTCACCATAAAGCCAAGAAAGGAGCGTGAGACTTCACAAACCACACAGCCTCTCGAGATCTCTCGGTTCTGCGGCGACGGTGTCCACGACGAGCAATCTCAATTTGTAAATCGCCCAGTTCGACCAAATAGTCGTCACATCCACGACACTTTGCGGCTTTGCTAGTCCCTCATGGCCGGACGTTAGACAACCCGGACGGTCCTGCCAGTCTCGACGTGATAAACCCAACCACTAATGGCAACGTCGTCTGGCACCAGCTTGCTGTCTTTGAGATACTGCACATCCTTCTTCACCGCCTCCTCCAGGTCTGAGAACGGGAGGAAGTCCAGTTGACGGGCTTTCAGCTCCGCCAAGGCATCAGACCTGCATCCTGTGAGTGAAAGGGTTTTCCTGCTCGGCCTGTGTGGTCTCTCTACCCTAGGTTCTTCCCGACCAGCCCGTAAGCATCGTCGTTCGTGAACGTCAGCATCCCGCAGCCGGTGTGCTTGACGAGGACGATCTCCTGCGTGCCCAGAAGCTGCTCCGATATGACGATGCTCCGCAAGGCGTCGTGCGCGGACGCCCCTGCCTTTCAGGAGGGTTAGTTTGGCATGTCCCGTCGCCGCCGCCGCGGCGCGACCCTGCACAGTAGCTCTCGCCAACCCAACTCCATGTATTGAGGAAAATGGGGGGAGTGAGCGTCTCACATTGCGAATGACATGGGCGTCTCCGAGACCAATACCGAACGCCCGCGCCGGATCGATGCGAGCGTCCATGCAAGTCAACACGAGATACTTCTTGGCCGGCGGGAGTGCGAGATGCCCCTGCGTGAACGACGAGGCGTATGCCTCCGCGGTGGATTCGACATTCTTCTGGATCGCAGACATCGCCGGCGTGGGTCCTCCTCTTTTTGATCCTCTCTCGTGAAACCAATTTATTTGCTTGTAGTCGGAACAACTGCCAGCCAGCCCGCGTGCGTGTGCCGCAAAACTTCGGGGGACCTGTGTTTGAACGATCCGGCACAATGGTGAAATATCACCCAAGAGAATATGAAAGATGTGAAGGATAGGGCCGAAGCATGGGTGCGCGGAGAGGGGTAAAACGCGCTGCTTCCTGTCGTCCTTGATCCCATCATCCCAGTATGGCGATGGCGTGCTCGCTGAACAGCGAGGGCTGGAACCAATGATGAGGGGAGGAGTGCCCGTCGCGCATTCGTGTAGGACGAATCGGAGACCGGCCGCCTGCGTTCTTCATAGCTTTCCTCTATCTCGTTTCAGACCCTAGACCGAAGCTGCATCGCAGTCAGGTTGCGTAAAGTAGCTACAGCAGTGACTTGGAGTCGGCATCAGTATTGGATAAATTATACACAGAAACTGGAAACTAGAAACCAGGGTGTCACATCAGAAGGGCAAAGGAATTGGATTCACGACAATCTAGAAACGTCAGTGTCGATTTATCAGGGGTATTTGACCAGACTCTATAGGGTTCAATCTATTTGAAATGCTGAGGCTGGATCTATAAACTGAATGAGAGCACCCGCTGGCGCTCCCAGAAATCGTGTGGCTATCATCATACATTCCTCGTTGCCGCATCACCGGGACGGTACCTTTGATCCCGAGCATGGTTTCTATGACCACCCCCAGTCCCAGTATCATTCAGCAAGGGCGGAATCTCCTTGTTCAGCAGCGTCGTTGCGCTATCGGCTGACTCGTCCATTCTGGCCTTGAACCCACCTTCCGATTTATCCTCTCCCCTCTCGGGCCATAGGATCTGTTTGTTCACGATTGCCCGTATCATGAACCCAACGACAACAAACCACACAATGATCAGCAAGACTGTCATGATGCAGCCAATGATTCGAATGGCACCGACGTCGAATGCCTCGGCTACAGCAAATGTTGCCGTCGTAAGAGCCGTCTGTGGGAAGATGAAACTAAACCATGTCATGGCAAAGGGCATTCGGTGCTTTTCGTGCAGACAAGCGATGTTAGAGAGCAGGCTGACAAAGAAGAACCACCATGCCAGACCCCAAAGCCAGAGACACATCCAGTTGCCGACCAACTTCAAGATCTGGGCGGCAAGCACACCTGGCACGTCCATAAAGGTGGATGTGGGAGAGGAGGCAATGACACGATGCAGGTCATCGGCCATGCCGATGGTCCCACTGACTGTGAAGGCCGAAGGGCCGACGGAGACGAACATGCCCGGCCGGAGTGGTTCGGCGGGGAGTTTTTGCGTCATGAGCCGATATACAAAGGCCGAGTAGATGGTGAGTGAGACGAGAAAGCCAATGCCTTGAATCGTGAAGCCGCCGACCAGTATCCGAATCGCCTCCTTGGAGCTTAGTGCCTTTTCGGCTATATTTGCAGCATGGGGGCCGATGATCAACAAAGGATATGCTGGGAAAATCCATATTGGAGTCATTCGGGCAATGGTGAAGGTTTGTGTGGACCAGAGAACGAGGTAGATGGCAATGCTCAAGGCGATGGCCAGGCCGCAATCAAACCAGTAGAGGATCAAGACGGTCCGGTTGAGCCAGAATCCGACATAACCCGAGCCGTATTGGACAATATTGATCAAGATGGTGCCAAAAGAGACGGCAAAGGCGGGCACGAAGAGTGATTCGGTCGGGTGAGTAAAGCTCGCCCGGAAGGTCCACGGGTATAGCGTGAATCGAGTTATTATCATGGCCCAAATGAGTATGTACAGGACAATGTTGAACAGGAAGACGACAACACCGATGGTATAGAGCCCATGGAAGCGGTATGGCACTGTTGCATAGAGTCCGCAGTCAGAGACAGCTATTTTCAAGGTGGGGGTCGGAAAGAGGCACAAAAACAAGGAAAGCGAGAGACTGTACCGTTGTGTAAAACATTGGCGATGCCCCCAGTCGCCATTGTGAGCGTGAACCACGCCCAGGTAACATGTTTCATCCGCTGCGACCAGGAGAGGACCTTTGGGTGGTCATCTGGGGCAGGCTCGGCCTTGTTTGCCTCTCGTTCCTCTCGGTCTGGTATTGCAGTCTGCGAAGCCTTGCGTGGATCAACCGTGCTGTCGCGTGGCGACGCATCATTGAAGTATCTCGATCGATTAGAGCGGTGTTCGGGGTCTTCCACGATAGGCGTCCGCCAGCCGTCCTGAAGGTAAGGTGACCTTGTCTCGGCGCCCTGGTGTGGATCATAGTCGCCGTGATACCGCTGATTGACAGGGCGAGCTCGCGGCGTCATGGACCCAAGGCGCTGGGGTGGTATACCAATCGAGGAGGGGCGTGAAGAGTGAGCCACCGACGACATGTCCACTTTTTATTCTGTTTCAGCTAGATCGTATGTTCCTGATCGACCCCACGAACCGGGCGCAGACGTAGACGAGCATCAGAGTTCGGGATAGTCCATAAGAGTTTCCGGGAGGCTGTCGTCACCGGTGGCGACTGTCGACAGCCATGATCCAGAGGGAGGAGACCACAGCACTGAGGCCGCAGCTTCACTCAGAGAGATTGAAGATTGGGATAGTGAGTCGGACGGAAGGACATTGCCGCTCGCCATGGGGGAAGGACAGGCTTTATTGAACCTTCTCAGGTGAAGACCAAGAATGGAATCTTCTTGCCGTGTTTCCGTGGTTAGTGAGCGTGTTGTTGGGCAATGCGGAGGCAGGTGTGTCGTGTAAGCCTGATACTGCACTGTAGATCGGCCGCAGTGTGCCAAATCTCGGACAGAGCGGGTCGGAAGGTGGCCGATTACGCTATCACGAGGCGGAATAGATGCCACGATGCCACCAGAATATTAGGAATTATGTACTGTAGGCACGAAAATCTGGTAGGAAAATAGCGGCGAGTAATCCGGTGCAAAAACCCAACGGAACCGCCTGCTAGAGGGATAAACGGGGCATATGGTCTAGGGGTATGATTTTCGCTTCGCATCAACGCCCGCAAGGGCTGGCCATGTGTGTGTGAAAGGTCCGGGGTTCAAATCCCCGTGTGTCCACGATTCTTTTTGCCGCGGGGTTGGCATTGGTGGGAGGATGGTCGTCTACGACGTAGGAGGGGGTTCTTTTTTTTTGCCTCTGAAAGTGCGGAGCACTGGACAGACAGAAACGCAAGGACAGGAAGCTGATTGGCTGACGGGAAGAGCGGATTGAGCCGCGGGTTCAACTCGCATGCGCAGCAGTGGGAAACAGGAAAGCTCAATCAAAATACCAGCCTCGAGCAGACAGCGAGCAGGTTGCATCAACAACAAGAGAATGGACCCAGATTAGCTCATCTCATAAGTGAACAGTACCATCTATTTCACCGGGTGTGTATGTCCCAGGAGGCCACCAGAAGAGGCAGATGGTAGAACAGAAACCCAGCTAGGACGAAACGGATGATAATACTTGTACAGGTAGGTCGACTGTTGCACAATGGATATATCGTTGTATGGCGCACCCAAGGAGTTACAACCGTGTGCCTCCCCCTACGTGCGAGACCCTGAGTGATTATCAACCATTTCAACCGCGAAGCCAGCCATTGGGGGCTCAGATACCGAGGGTAAACTCCACGCCCACGTCAATGTCCCGTGCCATTTTGACAATTTTGGAGAGGTCCACCACCTTCTCCGCTGCGGCTTGCAGGTCGATGATGGAGAAGATCTTGAGACCCGAGTTGTTGACCTGTGTCATGGCGGGTTAGCGGTGATGCCAACAAATACGACCGTCCCCAAGAAAACTCACCAACTCAGCCGCCTCTTTCATGTTGGTGCCCTGCAACCGACAAACAATTGGTAATCTCAAGTTCATTTGTTGTACAACATGGATCAAGCCCGACGCGATAGCGTCACACCGGACAATACCGCCAAAAATGTTGACAAAGATGGCTGTCACCTTCGGGTCGTTGGTGATCAGCTCGAAAGCGGATCTGATGGCTTCCGGCGTAGCACCACCACCGACATCCAGGAAGTTTGCAGGGGAGCCGCCGTTGATCTTGATGATATCCATGGTAGCCATTGCCAGCCCAGCGCCATTGACCAGACAGCCAATATCACCGTCCAACTTGATGAAGTTCAGACCGTGCCTGTGATTTTGTCAGTAGATGCTGTACACTCAGCTAGGGTGACATACTCTGCAGCTTTCACCTCATCGGGATCCTCTTGTGATGTATCTCTCCAGCTGAAGACCTCCTTTTGCCGGAACTCGGCGTTATCATCAAAGCCCAGCTTCGCGTCCATGGCTAACACTTGGTGGTCACTGGTCTCGCTGAGAGGGTTGATTTCAATCTGGGTGGCATCCTTCTCCATAAACACCTTGTACAGTCTTTGGATTGTGTTCTTTGCATCTTCAATGCACTGTTCACTGAATCCGAGCTCGGTCGCAATATTCCGCGCAATCTCGTCGGTGACGCCCTTGTCAATATCTATAGGCGTGGTGATGATGGCGTCGGGAGTCTCTTTGGCCACGGTCTCAATATCCATGCCGCCTTGGGACGAGGCCACGATGACCGGCGACTGGGTGGAACGGTCCATGAGGATGGCAAGGTAGAATTCTCGGCGCGCAAACTTGCGTTCACAAATGTAGACAGAGTTGCAGATGCGGCCTCGGGCGCCCGTCTGCTTGGTGATAAGCTTGTGCCCGATCATTTGACTTGCGAACATCTTTGCTTCCGTGGGTCTGGTTCTCAGTCAGTCAGCCAGCTCCGGCCATGCTTCAGCGGCGGTTGGAGCGAGCATACGAATAAATCACCCTCACACCACCTTTCAAGCCATTGTCGAAAGTGCCTTTGCCTCGGCCACCTGCGAGGACTTGGGCTTTTATCACCATATCATCTCCATCTGTGGTGGCTACGTCAGTGTTGTCCATGCAACCGAGTCCTCCATTGCCTGCGCATACCGATCTGTTTGGCAATAGTCTCAGCCTCTTCCGGTGTTCGAGCAACCTCTCCTTTGGGAACTCCGATGCCATAGGATCTGAGTAGGCTGGCAGCTCGATATTCGTGGATGCTGAGATGTCTCAATTGTTGTTGTTGGACTGAGCTCCGCACCGGGGTATCCTGCCACTCCGCGTTAGAATAGCTTTGGAAAAGCCAATTGAAACATTGCAACACCTACTCTGACCGCCTTCAAGGCCAGGCCCAAGTTACGGCGACCCAATCTGTACATGTTGCCCACAAGACGAGAAAAGAGTGACTTGGGGATGGGAGACGCAGAGAGAGATGGGACCAGATACTGCGTTACAGATCTCGGCAGCTTCGCAATCAGGGTTTCGGAGCTGATTGGTGGCTTGGAAGCTGGTTCTGCCGAGCACGGCCACAGAATGCGCCACAGAGCAATTCCACCCGACGAGCTCTTGGCGGCTCAAGAGGCGAGGAGGAGGTGAATCGATGCCGAGCTGACCTCGCGCCTCACCCGGCCGGCGCCGCTTTTAGACACCGCTCACCCCTTCTCACCGACCCTCACCTTTCACTTACCTTTTACTCACCACACTTACCCACGACCCCCTCGCTCTGCCCCCTCGACGGCTATTTCTGTCTTCGCGCTGAATATAGATCCGTAGTCTATAGCTGTCCATAGTCACGAGTCTCGGAGTCTAGTACGCGGGTCGCTGGGTACCCTCGTACCCGGCCTACTATCGACCTAGAAATGGTCCCCTTCCTCGTCCTGTGAAAGGGACGTTTCCCTCATAGCACTCTTGGTCCGGGAAGGCCTTTACGGATGTTCGTCCTCCTCGCACCCTCCCTAAACTTTTTGCATTACGGTCCTATATCTACAAGGCCTTAACCCGCGTGAGGGGAGGTGCCCGGTAGTATCATACTAAATGTTGATAGATAAGTAAGTTAAACCTCCCCAACGAGTCCTATATTTCACTAATAAGCGAAAAACTAGGCGACCCAAAAATCGACGCATCTCTCACATCCAGACGTACACTCGCAACGATATGGCGCAGAGACTTGACTACCTTCTGTCTCACATCCACTATTGTCACCTTGGCTTTACCTAAGTAGTCGGGGAGGATAAATAGGAGTCACATTATGCCTCGCACCTCGTGTCGCTAGCTACTAAAGGATGTGGAACGCTGTCATATAGCCACACCCTCGTCTGTCTTACGTACTCTCCCTTTCGTCTCGGGGAAACGAAACTCCTTGCCGCTCAACGATTGTAGTCGTGGGCCCGAGACTTTGACCCCTGGAAAGAAGTGGATGAGCAGCTCGAAGGTCATGGTTGGCCGATGCCGTGTCCCCATCCCTTGTGCGACATCAGACTCGAGAACGAGGACGATCTCCGGTTCCATTTCATCGATGATCATAGCTTGAGCCGGACACGGCCCCGCCGTGCAGCGAGCACGAGTTGCTCTGGCCCTCGAGGATGCGACCCCCTTGCTCTCCGATCACAAGACCGCCAGCCTGACGATACTCGATCGTCAGGAAAGCCGTCGACCTCGTCCGAGTGCGCCGATGTCTTCGATCGCGAATTCTCGCCGCTCGAGAATTCTTGCTCTTCGTTCATCTCGTTCAAGAGCGGGTCCGGTGCTTATTGTGGCAAATAGTAGGCCCTGGGTCAAGCCTGGGAGCCGACGGGCTCCTCGGACGTTCCAGATAACGATTTAAATTTTGACACTCCGCTTGATCAGTATATGTGGTCGCTTTCGCCTTCGCCCTCCCCTGCGCAAGGAGAGAACTAAGACTGGGAAGGGAAAGAAGGGAAAGAAGGGAAAGAAGGGAAAGAAGGGAAAGAAGGGAAAGATATAAGGGGGTTCGATCGATACGCAGGATGGACTACACAGTCCCCTCACCACAGCTGGTCCCTCCTTTGGTTATCGGCACCGATACCCATCATCTGCAGAATCCCAAGCGGGCTGGTCCACTCCATTCCAGAGAATTATGTATCCTAGAGAGGTGCTGTTTGCAAATTTGAGGCGGATAGTAGAGATCCCCGTCTGGAAAGTCTTGTATAAGGACGTCTCCGAAGCAGTTCAGAATATTGTGCAGAGTAAAAATCATTCCACGGTTAGACGCCCTCGATCTCGTATGTGCCAATCGGAAGAGGGTTCGAACCGTGTTGAAGAGCGGTCCGATCCACCTCTGGATTCGGCGTATTTAGAAGGTCGAGCAAAGTAGGCATATTACATACGAGTATAAATCTAAAGCCTTGATAGACGAGAAAGGCTGTCTTTTTCCGCTGAGGCGTTTCCCTCTAGGTTGACCTTGGGACTTATCACGATCCGTATTGCACTGCTAGATGGGGACGGTGATTGGTAGCGACGAAGCGGCTCGCCACGCCGAGTGTGCTCTACCAATAAGCTGCTGGAGCTGTCGAAGAGTGAGTAGAACCAATGCTGGCTGAGAAATGGAAACTGGTGCTTCTCAATGCAATTTATTCTCTCTCATATCGAACAATCCCGGTCACTATCATGCATCTTGTTATGCAGGCCTCTTTTCGTGACCAGCAGACCTAGACCGGGAACAATCAGAGCGAGTATAGACGCACTCAACCCATTGTCAACGTTTCCGTTGTCTCCGACTTTCCTGTAGACACATAGCTCAATCCAAGATTCAAGAAAACAACTCTTAGCTCACAGAATGCTTGGAAAAATCTTCGAGGTGCAGCGCCATAGTCGACATCTTATCGTGGTTCGGGGTATTTGCATTGCATATCTTGTAGATACGAGCCTAACTATCCAAACCTCTTACTCCCAACGCCTTAACGGCTTCAACATTGTCATCAGCCACTGCCAGTATTAATGCTGTCCGGCCATTATCGTCTTCGATGTTGATATCAGCATCCGAGGGAATATAGCCCAGCATTGAAGAATCGGACCCCCTTTTCCCTTTGTCGCAGCATGGAGCGGTGCAGTTCCTTCGTCGTCAGGCACTAAGGGGTTGGCTCCGTTCTGCAACAGTTCCTCTGCCACGATCTCGTATCCAGTACGTGTAGCCAGTAGAAGTGCCGTCTCTTCACAATTATTTCTCAAGTCGCTGTCCTTTCCACATCGACTCCTTCATGCTGAAGGATTAATCTGGTGATAGATAGGTTATCGTAGGTTGCGTGCAGCAAGTGCGAGCCTTGGGATGTGACTACTGTAGTATTCAACTTGATCGTCTCACTGTGTCAGGTTAGCTTAAACATTTCATCATTAAAGTTTGTTCCACTTACAACGCTATATTTTAACTAATATAGCTCAACTCCTCAAAAATTTCACTGGATAGTCCCTTTTGGGAGAAATCGGGGTTTCGCGGGACAGAACGCGATGATGAATCAACTTCTTGAGATAGTCCCTCCTAACGTGGATAAGGACAACTGCCAACGGACCGCCATCGAGGGTCTCGGAGGCGTGGGCAAAACTTAGATGGCGCTGGAGGCCGCTTTCCGTATCAGCAACCATTACCCAAATTGTGCCGTTTTCTGGGTTCTGGCAGTGGATATGACTAATTTTGAGAATACCTACCAAGAGATTAGCCAGAAGGATAAACCGAGGCTGCGACAGACACGCTGTGTGGGAGCTGGGATCTTTACGCTTTTAAATGTCGGTACTCAGCCAAGCCGCTGCTCCGTGAACAGCCTCTGCGAAGTAAGTCAAAAACTAATTGGCCCTGCGGCTTGCAGACCTTAGCGAGGGCAGGCGAAGTTGGTTGGCCCGAGGGGATCAGGCAGAGCAGAGCTTTTGGCGACCCCGCTTCGAATCTTCACCTTCATCCCACCTTTTCAGCCTCACTGGCACATTATGAGCTTTCATATCTACATCTCCCCCAAAACACCTAGGTAGTCTACATGGCCGGCCCTGAAGAGAACAGCTTAGGCTTTCGCGGATGGCTTCGAGCTGCGGTTTCGCGAAGCAGGTCGCCGTCACCGTCGCCACCCCAACCATCAGCCCGCCGACCACCGCGGGATTCCCCAGCGCCAAGTTCAAGACCGCCCGGAAGCTTGCCAGCACCTAAACGTGACCTTTGGAAGGAAGCTTTCGAGGGGGCCAACGGCAAAGCTAAAGAATGGGTGGTTAAACATGGTTACGGCACCTCGAATACAAAACCGGCATCGGAACATATTCAAGACGTAGTGGCCATGGTCAAACAGCTGGAGTCAAGCTGCGATGACAAGAGCTGGAAGATCAAAGTTGGCAGCCAGCAGATCGTGTTCCGAGAATATGTGGCCGACGTTGTCAATTTTCTGACATCGGCTGGGGACGTGGCCATGGCCTTCGCTCCACCACAGGCTAGCGCTCCATGGGGAGTCGTAAAGGGTGTCTTGCAAGTAAGTAACCGCTGGAGGCTGATCAGTGGTCATCCAGGCTTTAAACTGAAAATGAGAGTATAGACGTCTGTGAAAGGAGCAGAGCAAGTCTGCGCCATCCTCGGGACCGTCGAGAGGGTTGTGCGCATTATACGTCGAGGAAACGTGTACGAGGTCTTGTATAGCGCAGAAAATGCACAAAAAGAAGCAGTGACAAACATGCAGGATGCCTTGCTTGACTTGTATGCTGCTTCAATTGAATTGTTAGCCGAGGCAGACTACTTGTTCAGCGAGGGAACCGCAAGGCAAACGCTGCATGCAATACTCAACCCAAACAAAGCGCAAGGCCTGGTCGAAAACTTGGTGAAGATGGAAGACCGGCTTGCTCTGGAGGTCCAGGCCTGCGAAGCTACGCGAAGTGCCAAGGCCAGTACCGGATTGTCAGAAGCAGTCGAGAAGATGCAGGATTTCCTCCGCAAGATGAATTCACCGCTCACACGCGTGGATAACACGGTGGCGGTGCTACTGAAGAAAATTGAGAAGGCCGAACGGGAGCAGCTTTTTGACGACATCAGTCAGGAACCCTTCGGTAAGGTGCATGAAAAAGTGAGTGAAACAAGACTCGCCAATACGGGGGATTGGCTGTTGAAGCATGACCGTTTTCGCGAATGGGAACGGTTGCCCTATGCTTCCACAGTAATGCGGCTCCAAGGGAAAGGTATGCCCATCCAATTTGACCTCGCCCCTTGACACGACTCTAGTAAACAGCGTGCTTACGCCTACTAGTGGGGTCGGGAAAGACGTACCTTACAGACTATGTCGAAAACGACATTGCGAGCTCTGAAAGGTTTGCATACTTCTACTGCAAGCGAACAGGCGCGGTCAACATGGACCCCATGATTATCCTTAGAAGCATTGTTCGCCAGTTGTACTGGGAAGACAGTACCTCTGAAGGAGTTTCAGCGAAGCTTGTCCAGCAGTGTGACAAGGCTAAGAAGAAAGGAACCAAAGACTTAAGCTATGCAGCATGCACGGAACTGATTTTGGATTCGATGGACCAGCATACGAGGACGATCATTATTCTGGACGCATTGGACGAATGCGACAGCTCCGAACACAATCTAGCAGAAGTTTTCATTGATCTCATGAACCGGTCAACAAAGCCTGTCAAGATTTTTGTATCCAGTCGACCACGAGATACCGCGAACTCGTCTGAGGGCGGTTCGATGATTACCATTGAGGCCGAGGAAAACAAAGTCGATATCGAAAAATATCTGGAGGAAAACCTATATTCCGGCGACTGGTACAAGGATCGTTCACGAGATCTGCAATTGGAAATTTACGAGGTGTTCAAGCTTCGCAGCCAGGGAATGTAAGATTGAAAATTCAATCCAAGCTTTGGGGTTGCTAATAATGAAAGGTTTCGATGGGTCGACTTGCAAGTCAAAGCCCTAAAAAGGTGTATCACAGACGAAGCAACTCGGAAGAAGCTCACTGAAATGCCGAAAGATCTGACTGAAGCGTACGACCAACTCTACAACAGCGTGAAAGAACGCGACAGCAACGATGTCGCGCTTGCCGATCGTGCCCTTAAATGGGTGATGTGCTCCTACCAGCCACTGCCGGTCGACACGCTCCTGGAGGCCATTCGACTCACGCCGCAGGGAGGAGGCTTCTCCCAAGCTAGGAAACAGACCAAAGAGAATCTCTTGGCTCTTTGCCAGGATTTTCTAGTTATTGACACCCGGCGCGGTGTATGGGAGTTCCCGCATCTATCGGTCGCCGAATATCTCGAAGACAAAGTCTGGCCGATGAGAGCCGCAGACTTGCTCGTCGCGCAGGCTTCACTCCATATTGTCTTTGTGACCTTCTCCGGCGTCGATCCTGTCGTTACAATGGATCGATCAGAGTATGATCCAGACATATTGGGCGAGGAGTACGCGCCCCAGCCCATCGATATTCAGAATGCGGCCACTCTAAAAGATCCGCTCCAGATATACGCTTTTCATCACTGGCCCCTACACGTCAGGCGGTATGAAGAAGCATCAAACTCGGCCGATGCAATCAGTCCGGAGCTGTGTCAACTTCTCAAAGCTTTGCTCGGATCTCCAGCAAAGACCAGCTTACCATACCAACGGTGGATCAAGTACTGTAGCCGAATGCGTTTTGCTTGGGAGTGGCCGAAATGGCCACCCACCTCTGTCTTCAACGTTATGGACATCGACCATCTGTTCCCATCAGAGAACGCCCTCCTCATCATGTGTGCCTTCAAATTCTATGCAACTTTACAGGATTGGTGGCAGGGAGAGGACATCAGCACGGCAGCACCCATCTGGTCCGACTCCGGACTGAATCCTTTGGCTCTGGCGGCCATGGCAGGCTCCGTCCCAATCTGCGAGCACTTATCCGGAAAGGTTGACGTCAACTTTCCGCTTGCGACTTTTCGCCACGGAAGTGTGCTTGTGACAGCCATATCCTGGGGTCAATTCGAAGTTGCGAGGCATCTCATTACCAAGGCAGGAGCGGCAGTGAACGACATAGTTACGGGAGACTATGGAACCGCCCTCGCAGCCGCCGTTAACGCCGGTTCCCTCGAGTTTGTGAAGTGGCTTGTGGAAGAAGCATGTGCGAAAGTTGATGTCCAAAATGTTGGGTCCGCCGGGAGCGCCCTCGCCGAGGCTGCGCTTCAAGACAAGAAGAGTGTCGCCGAGTACCTAGTGGAAAAGGGCGCAGATGTGAACGCTAGATTGGACAGCCAGTTCGGCAGTCCTCTCGCCGCCGCTTCTTGGGGCAGCTTTCGAGGACTCGAGGTGACACAATTCCTTATCGATAAAGGAGCGGACGTCGACTTGCAGTTGACATCTGGCAAGTATGGTAGTGCGCTTGCGGTCGCAGCATACTGGGGAAAGTATGATGCCATGGAGATGCTCCTAGAAAGAGGCGCGAATGTCGACCTCCTTCTACAAGGTGGCATCTACGGCAGCGCATTGGCCGCTGCCGCGGGCGGCGTCAAAGATGTTGAGTCCACGAGGCGTCTGCTCGGCTACGGTGCAGATTTGAATTTGGAGTTGAAGTCCGGGATATTCGGCAGCGCCCTCATCTCCGCCTTGTGCGTCCCCAACCTCATGCCCGTGGTGGATGTTCTGCTCAACGCAGGAGCATCCATGACCCAGATCTACCAGGCCGGTGAGTACGGTAGCGGCCTGGCTGCCGCTGCGTTCTGGGGCCAAACTGAGCTTGTGCAACGCACGGTCAAGAAGATCGGGCGGGATCACGCTGTCGAAACACTTCGTCGAAGCCGGCATCCACAATTTACGCCGTTCGGGGGGCCTTCTTCGCACGACCGCCTAGGAACCGTCGCCTATCTGATGGCAGACTTGCGACTGGACCTTGACATAATCGATCAAATCGGTCTTGAGAGGCCCTTTATAGAATGACAAGCCTCGCCTACGCACGGTAGAGGTGGCATTTCAGCAAGAGCCGTTCAGATTTTTTTTCCCTCCATATCAATGACAAAAATGAAATCGTCCTCCGTTCACACCACCCAGGTGGACGTAATGGTTTGTTATCCAATCGTAAGATTCAGCAGTCTTCGAGTAGCCGTCAAAATTAAACCAGTCCTGAGTGATGGTTTTATGTTCATCATGCCAATGTTCGTGGGCGCGAATAGCTACTCGCTTTGGCATATTATTAGGAACTGATGTTGCAGCCATGTTCGAGGAGATAGAAGAAGAGCAATGGTGAGGAAAACAAAACAATGCGCATTTATGCCAAGCTAATGTCACGTGCGGCAACAGCCGCCATCAGGAAATCTTAAATGGAACTTAAAATGACACGAGCTGGAGGGATTGAGGCGAGCGAGGGCAGCGACGAGGGGTTCCTTCTCAATATATTTCTTTTGGCCCTGGAAGCAAGAAGTCAAGGGTGGTGCCGTCTTCTTAGGCAAGTCAAGACTCGAAATATTACGGAAACCGAGTATGCCGCTTTTGAACACATCTGAGCGAGCCCATGACATGACTGGACCAGTCCACGGCTACGGTGGCAGACTCGACGATGCACCCGACGTACCAATCAGAGACGACCAAGTCGATTTCCACCTGGCGAGCTGGGTCGCCCTCACCACGCCCCGGGGCCCAGCGTTCCAGCGCTCCGAGGGGTGAGCACAGGGCGTCATCACCCTACTTGTACAGGTAGTTCTGGAAGAAGGGAGCGCTGGCCGTCAATTTACCTCGGCTTAGCATGCCGTCTGCTCCAAAGCACGAGAAGTTCATTCTCTCAGATAGTGATCACTACCCATCTACCTTGGTGAAAGCTCCCGGCGCATACATTCTCCCCGTGGAACACAGTCTGATGGTGAGGCACTGACTGCAAGGCAGGCACATCGACAACTTCCATGCCCAACAGTCGCACCAGACTCCGCAAACTAGCGGTCCGCTTTTGTGACGGGCCGTCTCTACCATGTCCTCCGATGAACTGACCGACAAGGAAGCTACAATTCTCGCGACGAGAGGTCTTGCACGCAAGAAATGTACTCGACTACCGTACATGCGAAGTCCTGGGACCCACCGTAGCTACCGCGGGGAGCCCTCACACAGAGGACAAAGAGAACACCATCGCCTCGCTGACGCGGGGAGGATAAGGCGTTTGTGAAGGCCCATCCAACACTACACCTGGTATACTGCCCTGGTTAATCCGGACCTTCACAGCATCGCCGACTAGCTTGAGGGTCATCAATCGGAAGATTCCGAGCTACTCCAAAGCTTTGCGACGGCCACACTAGCGATGTTTTCTCAGAAAGGGAGTTCTTCGCAACCCATCTGCTCATCCGCGGTCTTGAGACGGGGCAATGGTCAGTGTGACTCAATAACTTCCGAGAGTAATGGAGCGGCGGCGACTTCATCACCCTGCCACAACTCTAGCTCTAGACGATGTTTCTCAGGGTTCTCTCGATAACATCTACGAACTTAGTAATCTGGAAGGTCAACACCTACTGTAACTTACCCGTGTCTCTGAACTTCATTTGCCGATTTACCCTCTACACGAAGTTTGCGGGCAGAGAGGATGCAGCGCGGTATCGAAAGAGCAGGGAAGCACGAATGATTGAGCTGTTGTACGGCATACGGCGCACCGCGTATACTCTGGGAAGCCCTACATATAGCCTCTACATATTTCCTGCTAACTTGCGTCCCTCCCTTTGTATTGCATCGCATCCTTCGCCTTCTCTAAAGCCGCAAAGGTGCCGTGGATCTCAGGCCCCTTTGCTGGCCAGCTCTTGCTCCACCGCATCGGCCATCTCACCCAGCGTGACGAACTTCCAGTCATAAATCTGTTCATCTCGGTTGCCCATGGTCCCCCTCCGCTCGATCCACACCGACTTGATGCCCATCTCTCGCGCGGGATGGTGGTCGTGGAACTGGCTCTGGGCAGTCTGGAGGACCTCATTCTTCTCCACGCCGAACTCGGTCTTGACTGTCTTGAGCATGTACTCGAAGTTGCGGAGGTCGGGCTTGTAGGAACCGACGTCCTGGGCCGTGATGATCCTGTCGAAGCGCACCCCTCCAAGCGGGCCGGCGTTGGTGGCCTTGAAGCTCTCCCGGTCCACGTTCGAGAGCACCACCAGTTTGTAGTACTTAGACAGCCGCTTGAGGGCATCAACCGTGTCGGGAAACGCGGGCCACCTGCCCACGGATTGCCCGAACGCCTCGGACTCTTGGGCGGACGGCGCTCCGACGCCGACTCGTGCAGCGAACTGCGGGTAGATGGAGGCCAGCAGTTGCGAATACGGCATGTCGGGAGTCTTGGTTTGCTGCTCTTTCTCCAGCTCGTGGTACAGCTCGAGCGTCTGGTCACGCGTAAGCTGTTTCGCTTCACTCAGCGAATTCAAGCCCGCGAGGATGCCTGTCTCCCAGTCGATCAAGGTTCCGTACACATCGAAGCACAGCAGGCGGAAATCCGTGAGCTTGGCCATGGATGGCAATCAATTCTGCTGCGAACCTGTATCTGCGTATTCGCTTTGCTCGGGTGCTGTGCACGATTGAGAAAAGACTGTTGCCGATGCAGACTCGCTCTTAAGTATTCCACAAATGCAATCTATTGGTAAAATCTCAATGGGAAAAATCGAAGCTTCTGCGCCCTTTGATGATCTGCGAGCGACCGGAAGGTGGAACCGGATCCAAGAACCAGAATCTCTGTCTTCTCCGCCGCCCCTGAAGCCTCGAGCCTCGAGCTTCGATGGCCATAGCAGCCAACGCCCTTGACCGACATGCGGATTGTGCGGTTAGACGCGGCTGGGGAAGGGTGCCTAGGTACGTCGCCCTCTGTACCCGAGATAACACACGACAGTCTGTCGCTCAAAGCAAGGAATCACCAATCTAACTCGTCAAAGCTACGGCAGCGAACTGCCAGAGATCTAACAGGTTGCTGAGCTATTACAAATGCCTACGCCCTTTGCTTGTATAGTGATCTATATTCTTCCATCTTGATCTTTTGCCGCCCCAAGTCCGAACATTGTGACGCTGTTTCTCCACGCAGCATCAACAACCTCTGTCAACGAAACGCCTTTAACGCCAGCGACAACTCGTGCAACTCTCTCAATGACGCAACTCTCGTTCCGCCCTTTCACCATATCCCCCTTGACGAACTTGCTTGGCTTCCGACTGGGTGGCAGAGGCGGAGCATCCTTCAGATAGTCTGCTGCAGGGCCAGCGGCTGGGATCTCGCACCAGGGAGCGTCCGTCTCGAGTTGTAGTCGGTCCAGAGGAATCGCCCGCACCATCTCGAGCTGAGCTTCAGCTCTGAAACTCACTCCATTGACACTGACGTCAAACCCCAGCTCCACGAGGCCGAGCATCTCTTCGTTTGTGCCGGCGAACGAATGCACCACGCCTCTCCTGGGCAGCCTCGGGAGAAAAGGTCTGACGATGTCGACAAAGTCGTCGTAAGAGTCCCGGACGTGGAGGAACAGGGGCAGGTCGAACGCGGTGGCGAGTTCCAACTGCTCGACAAAGGCCCTTCGCTGGACTCCCTTGGCCGCCCGATCCAGGTAGAAGTAATCCAGCCCGATCTCGCCAAAGGCGACAAGAGGCCCCTCGCCGACGCTCTGGCCCAAGAGCGATCTGCCCAGGCTGCTGAGTTCCTCGAGGCTGCTTGTTCCGTCATACAGCTCCGAGGCGTGGTACGGATGCACCCCCAGAGTCATGTAGCACGTGCCGGGGAATCTGTGGCAGACCGCGAGGTTCTGGTGCGCGCCCTTCAAGCTCATCGTGGTCAACACGACCTTTGCACACCCGGCTGCCTCTGCCCGCTCCAAGACCTGCTCGAAGTCCTCGTCATGCTGCTTCTTGCCTCGGTAGATGCCCTGGAATTCGTTCGCCGTGTATGTCACTGCGATCTCATTTCGAGGTCGTTAGTTGCGTCCTTGAGCTGGGGTGGCTATCCTTACATCTGCAAAGCGGTACCCTGGAGTCTGTCGAGAGACGGTCCGAGTTCGCTCCTGATCCATATTGACAGGTCGAAAGAATGTAAGAGAAAGGTCGTCCGGGGAACTACGCGGGTGAGAACCTCGCGGGTGAGAACCTCGGACTGGCAAATGGCAATGCAAGACCTTGAGATCGCTTTATGTGTCTAAAATCCATACAGAACTTTGCTATGACACGCCGCCTTTGGTACCCGGATGTAATGAGTCTCGGGGCATTGTGTCTGAAGTTATCGCTGAGCTGTTGCACTGTCCACTGTCGGTGTATCCAGATGGGAAAATTTGGCGGCAATAGCTCCAAGGGCGTGAATCTCCGGCCATTGCTCCGCACCAGGCTGATCAACAACTTTATCAATTAGCTAGGCAGCCCGCTAAAGGATCCTGACCTCTCTACTTGCAGGCGCGAGGAGGTGCTGCATGTGAGCCAGGGAACGCAGCTCAGTACAGAACACCCCTGAGGTCAGGAGTAGACCGGGGTCATTGAGGCATTACTAGCTGAATGATTATATTGATATACTCGTCCGGGAAGTGTCCAGAGTGTGGTCGAAACAGTCCGTCCTTCGCAATTTTGCTTGGCCGTGGCCGCTCACTGTTCTACCTGCTGAAGCATTCGTTTGTCACTCTGCTTGTTCCTCCCAAAGTAACGACTGTCGATATTTCATTGTGTCAGGGTCGCTTCATTGCTGCCCCCTCCCAACCAGCCATCGTACAAGAATTCGTCAAAGATCGGCCACTGAAAGTCTTGGAATACCGTGTCTGGTGACCATCCGATCCCCATCATCATGTTGACCGAGTCTGTGGCGGGGGAGCTCCAGACAACAGGTTTAGCGGTGGAGGTTGCTTTTTCATCTTTCACACTGGTCAGTGTTATGGCCTTCAAGAGCAGTGATGGGTATGCAATATACCTTCGACTCCCTCGTACGGGTTTGGCTGTCCTCCAAACTCTTGTCGCCACAGCCAGAAACAATCAAAGGTCACGCTGACCCCGAGCCTGTTTCGACAGCGGAGCCAGAGACTGTCGGGAGTGCCATCGGGTTGTTTGATCACCACTTTACTAGTCCACAGCTGTGACAAGATCATCGTCGCCCGTGCCGATATGTCGTCCGACCTCACGCTCTGTCTCTTGTTCAGATTTATGGCCGAGAAATAACACTTTTGTCCACGTTTCAAGTCCAGCGCTTCGCGCACATGTGACTTTCCAACGCGCAGGATAATGAAAGCGGCGAGGTTCCAATTCATGTTGACGTTCGTTGAGCCATACTCTGCCATTCCTTGCTCCCGGTCCAGTTCTGAAGCGAGCTCAATCACGGCACACGCATCGGTGTACATTTTAACGAGGTGGCTTTGTCCAATGGTCGATGATGGCGCTATCAAGTGGCAGGCCGAGACTTGCAACTCGGCGATCCGCAGCATGAGTTGATCTAAACAATTTTAGCAGAGTCCTGCGGTGAAGAAGCTACAGACCTTGTTTGGTAGGACATTCTGTGCTTAAAGCAGCTAGCTTTGATAGACAACCATCGATGGTAGGCCCGAGCATCATGTTGCGCTCATCTGGCCTTTTTGACAAGGCATCCCGGTCGATTTGCAAAATGCCTTCGCTTAGCATATGATTTAACTTCCTTTGAAACCGTACTGTGGGAGATAGTGTGGCAAGCGGATTTTCTTTGTAGCCCTCGTGGCTATAAGTGTCTGTTAATACCAGGGGCGGAAGGCCTCGCGAATTGTTGACTCTTGGGAGAAGTCGTTAGCCCTGGCCCAGAATACTGTCTATTGGCTCCTTCTCACCTTTGGCAGGTATATAGACACATCGACCATAACCTGGTTCTGAAGCTCCTCTGTTGACTATCATATTTGAGTGGCACTCGTGTAAAATCCTGAACTGAACCATATACATGAAGCCCGACGTTTGTTGCGAGCTGTATCATTGCCCCCGCTAGCTGTGGGGTTACGTCTTTCTGTAACGTGTCGATAGGCATCTGCCAGGTACAGAGAAGTACAAGAGCTTGAATCGTTGGTAAAACTCTTTCAAGGGAGAAGATTGCGGCCTTTGCCAGTTCCAAAACCTTCGGAGCAAGAAGAAGGATTAAGGTAGGATCCTTCGAGTACCTTCGTGAGCCGATGGCGAGTATAGTCCAGAAGAGAAACGGGGAAGCCCCATAACAGTCATTCGGTTGCAGTTTCTGGTCGAAAATTGGGAGGTAGGGTAAATTCTTCTCGAAAAACCTAGGTGTCCTGTAAGTGTGCAGGAAGCCTTACGGTAAATTGAGCCGGCTACTCACAATCCGAAGCATTCGTCGATGTCTTGCGCGTCGACAAGAACATCTTGGACAGTCTGTGGCCGGGTGGTCGAGCATTGGGTATTGGCTTGTAGGACGTTTCCATGGCTTGGATCTGGCGCTGGGGGTGCGGAAACATTTGTTGAAGTGCCCAGCGACCGAGGGCTGAAACTCACAACTTGGGGCGTCGCATATGCTCCTGTCGGCGTTGGTGCGGCTGGCAGGCCTAGGAAATTCCCGAAAGTAGATAGATTGTTCACGGATTGAGACTGACTCTTCTGTTCAGGCGTACCGGTCCCGACTTGTTTCTTCAGCTGATCTAGCTCGGCTTGCAGTTCGGTCTTGCTGTTCGACAAAATCAGCACCAGCTGCATCTCCCCGAGCGCTGCACGCACGTGCGCCGTTTCACTCGTTTAAAGTTCTTGGAGACGACACAATCCAATTTAAACCGTTGGCACCGCGAGCATGGCTGAGAGTAGTCTTTGGACGCATCGCATCGAAGCTAGCTGCAGGTTACTCTCAGACGGTACGTGGGGCAGAGATTGATTAGGCCGCGAACCTTCTGTTGGCGGCATTCCGTGCAGGCTGTTATTCTTGTGCCTTTGACCTCTTGCGAAGCATTGCTCATGGTGTAAAGATGAGCGTCATAAATGGGATGGCGCTTGAAATGGGCTGACAGAAAGCTAAAGCCTCTGCTACCGTGCCTACCGAGAAGGCAAGCAGAGCCTAAGTCGCAATCATGAATCAGTGGGTCCGGTAATCATTGTAAGGGGCTTCAATAAGGACATGTATCATCAAAGAATCTCACGACAATTGAACCAAATACGCAGATGGTGGTGCATTGAAGTTCTCGGATATATGGTCGTTGGCGGCATTGCAAAGGCGGGATCGGAGATTCTTTGCTCCGAGCCAAGGCATGCCCGTGATTGGCTGTCCATTGAACGAGCTACCACCCGCATTCTTCATCTGCGCCTCGCGTGCGCGATCTTGGAAATAACGACTACCTCGTCCATGGTGGCCGCACCCAAGCAGACCGGCATCCTCTTCCTCAATCCGACCTCTGATGCGTATTGGTCGGGGCCACCGTGACTATAGGGACATCACCCTCAAAGTGCAGGTCCGGGGTATCTTGCGGCGCACTCAGAACTCCAATCATTACGGGAACCCATATATTTCGCTTCACGATCAAATACGGCTGCAAGATGCCGTCTTCAAGCAGGCGTCCCGGTTGGATAGCTTGCACAAGAGCACAAGAGCCTGGCGGAATTATTGTGAGTCAGATCCATACCACACACAACTAGGAAACTAATGCGTGGAAAGACAGGTTGAAATCTGCAAATCACGGTTTCACGGTAGCTATCAAAGATAATATCGTCACCGCAAGTTTGCCGACGACATGTGCCTCCAGAATTCTCAAAGGATTCTGTTCCTCGGAAGATGCCACCGTCACGAAACTGCTTGAAAAGGCGGGAATGATTCTGGTTGCAAAAACTAACATGGATGAGTTTGGGATGGGTTCGCACTCTATCCATTCCGCATACGGCCCCGTGGTCAATGGCGGCTCAGTAAAAAGCGACCATTTGTCGGTTGGTGGGAGCTCTGGCGGGAGTGCACTTGCTGTAGCTAAGGATCTGGCTCATATCGCAATCGGGACCGACACCGGAGGCTCCGTCAGACTGCCCGCAGCTTATATGAGTCTTGTCGGCTTTAAACCGTCCTACGGAATGATATCTCGCACAGGGGTAATACCTTATGCAAACTCATTGGATACTGTCGGCATTCTCGCCAAATCCGTTGTTGACATTAGGCTCACATTCGGTGAGTAGGTTATGGCAAGTTGGTTTTCTTATACTTACGGACGCAGATATCCTGCAGCGACCAGACGTCTCGGATCCCACATGTTTGGAGACATCATCTCGAGAGCGAGTCAGAGCTGCAAAGCATAGGAGAAGACGTGCGGTTCTCACTTCCAAGCTGTTCATTACCAGAGTTTTTTCTTCAAAACCATTGCTGGACGCACATGGTCTAGCGTCTCTGGCTTCCCGAAGAAGAAATCTTGCTGTCACAGCGTCGCAAAAGCACCACACCCGACGAATAGGGGTGCCTCTGGAGTACAACATCGAGGAGATGCATCCCCTTGTTCGCTGGGCATGGACGGCAACCTTGAGTCATCTGCAAAACGTGTACAAGTTTGAAATTGTGCCCATTTCCCTTCCGTCTACAAAGCATGCACTTTCAGCTTACTACGTTCTGGCCCCCGCGGAGGCTTCTTCAAATCTTGCGAAATATGACGGTGTCCGATATGGCCGAAGGCGAACTGCACTCGCAGACGGAGATGGCAATCCGCTCTATTCAACTTACAGATATGAAAATTTTGGGCCTGAAGTTCGGAGGCGAATCCTACTAGGAACTTATTCCTTGAGCGCCGGAGCAATGGACAACTATTTCATTCAGGCCCAGAAGATTCGTCGCCTAGTGCAGCAGGACTTCGACGCGGTTTTCAGGATGCCAAATCCTCTCCGTGATGGTACCGAAGCAAACCCCAACGGCGTCGACATGATCATTGTCCCTACCGCCCCAAGTCCGCCGCCATATATTGAAAGCTTGAAATCTTCAAGACCCGTGGAACGATATATGAACGACGTTTTCACCGTGCCAGCAAGTCTGGCGGGGCTTCCTGCGATATCGGTCCCTGCGCCAGCACACCCGGATCATCCTTGGGATCCTGAAGTGGCCGTTGGAATGCAGGTCATTGGGCAATACGGGGATGACTTTTCCGTCATCTACTTTGCACAGAACTTTCTGTCAAATTTCCACCGAAAAGACTTGAGGCGGACAGTTGAAACCAAGATATTGAGCTAGGAAATGATGTATGGCTATCACGATGCTCGGTCTAGTATATAGTGCATTAGCCGACTCGGAACCAGTCGTTCATCATCTCGGTGTGCTTGCTGTTTAGGCTTGCGAGTCCAGCTTTGCCGTGACCGTGTTGATCATACTCGGTCATCAGTTTGAGTGGGAGTCCCATGTTGGCGCAGACGGGCACGCACTCTGCCAACATGTGTGCAGTGTTCCGCTGGCGGAATTTCAGGCACACGAAACGTCGGTGCAGGCGTAAGATAGAGTATCGCCCTGCGGACAAGATGCCTTGAGATGGAGCATTCGAAGAGGAAGGCCCAATCCACGCATAGCATGGTGCAGTCGGAGCCCATTCGAGATACCAATGTACATATCTACCTGCTCTGTCGTGCATGAGTGCAATGCATGTAGTCATCTGCCGTCTTTAACTGCGTCTCAAAACCTCCCAGAGCCCAATGGGATCCACCGTGATCGTCCACCCGTCGGGATTCCCATCCACATGCTGATCCCCCTGCTGCACACCGGTGCCGGTGGCGGCGCCGGCGACCACGCCGGACCACTTGGCCTGATCGCCGCGTCTGCACGCGGGATGCACGCTCCTCTCCCGCAGCCCCTGGTGCGTGCACATCTTGCCCAGGCCCACCAGGGCCAACTGGTTCCCGGACCCCGTGCGCCGCGCGATCAGCGTGAGCTCCAGCCCCGCGAACTGGCACAGCAGGTCGCCCGGCCGGGCGTCCGTGCAGGCGAAGCCGATGCGCGCGGGCTCAATCCCTCCCGCCGGGTTCGACTCGATGATGATGCACGGTTTGCTCAGCGACGGGTTGTTGTGCAGGCGCTTGTCGTGCGGGTGTTGAAGGACATGTGGGATGGGGATTTGAATTGGGGTGGGCGGTGAGATGGAGTTTGCCGTCGCTCTGTCGCCAGAGACGGCGGTAGGAGCAGCGGTGTTTGACGATGTTGATGTAGAGGAAGACGATGTTGCGGACGAGGCTGCGGCGGCGGTGGTGGTGCCGGAGGGCAAAGAAGGTGGTGAGGAGTAGTTGTACAAATGCGATATCTCTTCGCTGTGGGATGCGGCCTGGATGACGTTCTCGATCAGGTCCGACGGCAGAGGGGCGCGAATGTACGCTGTCCCCGTCCCCGTCCCCGTTCCTGTTGCGGCGCCTGAACCGGCCGTCAACGACGAGGTTGTGGTCGCTATCGACGTTGCTGAACTCGAGCTTTTCTGCGTCCCGCCGGCCGACGGCCTCGACGACTTCCTCCGCACTTCGTGTCCGACGTACTTGGCCCAGTCCACCTGCTCCAGCCGCTGCCGCAGGTCGCGGATGCTGGTCCATCCAGGAAGGACTTCGTCGATGAAGTTGACGTAGTCTGGAACCATCGGGTAGGTGAAGTCGCGGAGTCGCCGGGTCAGCAGGCTGACGCCCTGGCCATTGCCGGGCTTCTGTATAGCCTGCAGCGCCATGTAGCTCTCCACGTCGGCCTGGGTGATGCCCAAGGCGCGCTGGGCCAGAAAGATGGCTTGCATTGGCGACCGTGGCCGCGACGACGGCGGCGGTGACGGCCGCATCAGATAGCTGAAGACCTCGAAGTAGACCTCGAGGATATGCTTCGAGTAGTCCGGTTGAGGGCCGCGGTAGGAGCCGGGGGCCTCGGGGTCTTGGCCGCAGTCGCCTGCGATGCCCAGGACGCCGTAGACCTTGTCGCGGCGCTCCGCACATTTAGAGTCGTAGAACTCCAAGAGCAAGTCCTCGAGCGTGGAGGCCGTGTGTGAGATGCGTCGCGATGTGAGACGGAACGGGATGGTTTGTGTAAACTGTTGCACGAATGCCGGCGTAGGCGACGCCGCCATCGTCGGGGATTGCGAGATGATAGAGCGCACGGCGCGGACGATGTCCTCGAAGTCGATCCATTCGAGACTGGCTGTGCCGCAGAGGACCTGGACTCGGCTCGCCTTGACAAACTCCTGGATGATCCAGGTGCGCGTCCAGTAGGTGCCCCTGCAGAGTTCGAGCAGATTCGCCCAGCGCTGCGCACAGGCCTCGACCAAGTACTTTGCCCGGAACGCCGACGCCGAATCATGCTGATGTTGATGATGGTGATGATGGTGGTGGTGGTGATGTTTTCTGCAAAACACGGCCATCTCGCTGATGAACTCGAGGGCCCTGGCCTGCCTCCTGTCCTCCGAGGGCAAACCCAGCCACACAAAGGTCAGGATGGCCTTTTCGTAGATCTCGGACATGCGCTGGACGTGGAAATTCCTCTCCTCCAAGTTCTCCTGGTCAATGCATAGAGCGTCCACCCAGAGGAACCTCGACTCCCCGCGCTGGCGCAGATGGTATAGCAGGTTCCACAGGTTCACACGTACACGGAATGGGCGCCCATTCACGCGGATCTGCCGCGTGTATGTTTCCACCGTCGCCGCGGCATTGGCGCTGCCGCGATGGTGGTGGTGTCTCAGATTGCTGGCGTTCGGGTTGGGGCCCCAGGTATATGAGATGGCGGCATAAGGAGGACGGCGATGAATGGCGTATTGGGTGATGCGAAGACTGATCACGTCTTTCTTCGTGCCTCCCTGGATCTGGAGGAGGCGCATGAAATTGCCGTAGAGCTTGAGGCGCTCATGGCGGAATTCGTCGGTAAGATTCATCTGACCGGGCCTTCCCTTCTTTTTCTGCCCTTTGCTCTCTTTGTTCTTTGTCCGCTGCCTCCTTTAATCGCTGATGTATCTAACGCTATATTAAAACATGTTAGAGACCGAAAATCAATCCGCTTTATAACCAACAATTTGCGCAAAGAAGCAGGTTAAACAGAATGGATAGTCGTCGGCTGCACTGAAGCCCGCATGGCTTAGACTACTCATTTCATGATGGGCGGGGATGTTTGTAGATGAAGATGCAATGAATGGGGCGAGTAAAGAGGCTGATGGCACAGCGAGCGACGGTGTGTAATCAACAGGTGCCAATGATCGACTCGTAGGCCGAGATATTCCAGGGGCTTGCATAGCTGCTCTACAGGATTTTACACGGGCGTTTCAAGTTGGACAAGACATAAGATCGATCCGCTTCACGTGATCGAGCATTGGACCTGGTTGGAGGTGGGTGGCACAAGAGTATATCAGAACTCGCTCTCGAGGGTTGATTGGTTTCATTCGTCTATGCTCATATCTCATGCAAGGGCCTCTCTGTTGTTCATCATGCTTCCGACCCTCAGAACCATCACCTCGTCATGTCCATGGTATCATCGCCATCATCCCTCCGCTCTAGCGCATCAATCTGCATCTCGCCACCACCCTGTCCGTCTGCAGCGGCCCGGTTTCTACCGGCCAGCAACTCGCGCCTGACCTCCGGTCCAATATCTTTATGGCCTCGGACCAGCAGCAGGTCCAGTAGCGCTTCTCGCTGGTCCTCCGTGATTTCGTTGCGGTACGTCTGCGCAAATATGAGAAGGCTTTGATGCCACAAGACCGGCAGCTTGGCTTCCTTGGACCCCAACGCCTCTTGATCCTGTTCCTTGGAGGCTCTAAACCGAAGAAAATGAAACACGAGGCCGTCCACAACTTTGTATGGCAGCGCATATTTCTTCGCGAGTAAGACGCGGATGAAGATGTTCGCGGCACCAGCGGCTTCGCTATTCACGTTTGCTGTCTGTTCCGCCGAGATCTCGCATAACCGTAACAGAGCAGCGGCAGAATGCAGCACGGGAATCTTGATCTTGGCCAATACGGAGGAGATGATGTGCGCCTCGCGTAGCGTACAACTCGATTGCACGAGCGGAAACAAAAAGCCCTTGAAAAATGCAGAAGGTCGGTAAAAGGCGGCTTTCAGAGCGTTGTAGAGATGGACATTGAGTTTCTTGGTCTCTTGGATGTCCTCTCTCACACGGTCGAGAAGGACGGTTTCGCAAAAGTGCTGGCCGGTGGCCGCTGGGCCAGAGATGAAAATCTTTGTCGCGCGGTAGACGGCGTGTGGAGTCCAGTTCTCGGGCCTCGTGATCGAGAGAAGATCTGGCCATTGTGGCAGAGTTGGAAGCACTTTGAAAGGCTTGGGAAGAGGGCCGGACTTGTAGCGTGACAGGAGCTGGCCAACCTTTGTAAATGCCTCAACGACTTTCATGGGGATCTCCACGGCATCCTCCATAGGGCCGCCACCTATGAATGGTTGTGTTTGTTCAGCAGAGCGAGATGCTTCGAATGCCTCCTTTTCAGCGATCCGTTGCAGGATCAAGTCTGCAAGATTCGTTGTTTGGCCTTCGCCTTCCTCTTGGTCTCCTTCTTCCGCTGCCTCATTGGATTTTGGTTGCTGGTGTCTATGCCTATCATTCGTTGATAGCAAGTCGCTGGTGGTCAGATTTGCAATTGATGGTGCAAAGTCGGCCAGTTCTTCGCCGTCTCGAAGAAACTTTCTGTAAACTGCCATCTCCTCTGGATCCAAGTCGTCTTCAGGACCTGCTGCATCGTCATCTTCCGGTATCCATTCCTCCTCGTCATAAAATCGATTTACCCCTTTGGCATCTCCATTCTCATCCTCGTCGTCCCCCGCAAACCTCGAATCGAAGCCGAAGGCCGCATTTGTGGGTGACGTGAGAGTTGCGCTAGCCGCCCTGCGTTCTGCTGCGTCTTCATCCACAAGATCTTGTGCTATTGCTAAGATCTTTCGCGAGGACCGGGAGTCAATGTAGCCGTCTCCTTGGGTGTCCTCGTCAGATCTTGACTTTCTCTTCCCGGTGATTGATTTGGTTCGGAGTGTGCCACCTGAGGCAGTGATATCGTCTTCGAGAGGGACATGTCGGCGAGCCGTCGCTGATTTGGACATTGCGAAGTATTTGACCGCCGAAGTCTCAAAGGACGAGGTCGGGTCAGGGGATAGCGGGGTGCGACAGGAAGTGCAGACAGCGTGGTCGGGCACAAATGTGAGAAAACAAAAATTATTTGTATGTCACCAAATCAGGGTGCGTTAAGGCAATTTTACGCGAGTCTGCTTAGTCATTTTCGCCAAAATTTGCTCTGTCTGCAGCCTCTCGAACCCCCCCCAAATACCTCGTACTTTGTATCCAGACTTCTTGCCCGATAATGCGACAAATGATGCACCGCTGGGTCTAGAAGAGTTCGCCTTATCGTGGAATTGGCTCTACAGTAACCTTTATGCAGCGCTCAGTCGAATGGAAGCTACTGCTGTTACTGAAAGCGCTGTCGTAAGTTGTCTCCAATAGACCTGTCGAGGATTTCATCGACGCGATACTGCGTCATAATATTCACTCTGTGCTGTGCTATAAATCGACTGGATGACTCTATCGCATTATCCAAAGATCAGACCATTACAGATATGGAGTGTATGCCACCATCAGACGTAGCTGAACTTGCGACATCAGAGGCAAGGATGTGACGCCGCGCGTTTTCGAAAGGATGAACCGAACTATCATAACCTGCGAATCGAGATGAGCCAGAGCGACGAATCTTCATCTCGCTTTACCTCCGGAGATCTCGGTATTTATGACCACCCGGCTGACAGGGCAGACTTCAAGAATGGCTTTCTTTTGTCACTATCACTCCGGAACAGAAACAATACTTGGACGCCTGAGTTGAGAATACTCAGAGGGAGTAAAGCAGAATCTCGGCCAAGCCGTCGTGGCCGCCTTGACCATCCAAGCGACTTCGTGCTCGATGAGGCGGTGAGGATTCTTGTACGGAGCATGCAGAGCGGCATATCAAGAACCATCCTCTTGGGGAAGTTATGCCCGAACTTCCAATAACAACAAAGTTCCACCGAAATGTGTAAATGAGTATTGGTGTATACGAAATGTCAGTCGCCAAAAGAGCAAGGGCGTTTGGGACACAATTTCCAGAGGGCCACGACCGCGAGAACGGGGATCGAAAGAGGCCTTGGGAGCAGAAGATGCCCGCTCACCGCCAGGCCGCTCTCGACCGTCGAGGCATACCTTAAGCGAGAGATTCAGGAGTCATGGTAGTACAAGATTCGAGGAGACATGGTCAGATTGGCAATAAAACCAAGCAGAGGATATAGCCACGGACCAAGAGGGATATGCACAAGTCAGAAGACGGCTAGGAAAGGGTGCTCTCGATGACGATGGTGGAGGGAGAAGTGGGTTCGCGCAACAGTTCGTACCGGTTCGTGGTTGACGTGCAGGTCGACGGAGATCAGAGGGGAGCGAGGTGTTGGCGCCCAGAGGAAATGCCAAAGGCTTGAAGGTGAATGGAGAACGAAAGGCCAAAGTGATGCCGGCGTCCGCTGTCACGAGTTCGGCGACTGTCAATCAAACAATGCCATAGGCCTGGATCAACCAGGCTCGTGGATCTCTTTGTGTGGCCTTCTCTTTATGTTATTCTTCTTCATATACAGCATGATGCAAGCTGCCGTGCCTCGCTCGGTTTCAGGCCCATGTGCGTTCTGAAGGATCGAGAGATGATTGGCGATATGCAAGAACTGGGGGAGAAGGCGAAGTGGTGATGAAAGGTTAGATGTTGCCCCGTGGCCCTTTTATCTCGGGGCTGCAAGCACCCACGAGCAGCAACTGGGGGGGGGGCGGGCAGCTTAACCAACCTTAACTAACCTTCAGCGGGGCTAGCCTGCTTTGGCTGCAAGCCAGGGTCGCAGGGGTCGTTAAGGGTGCCACTCTCCTCGTGCCTTAACTAATCCGGCAAACTCCGGGTCGTGATGGCCACCGAACGGGCTGCAATACAGGATCCTCCAGGTGGTGTCCAGCTCCCGACTATGGGCCTTAATAATTTGTTAGTTATCAAGTCGTGCATGTCCTCCCCTCCAACCAGCTGCCGCCATTTGCGGTTTTCCTGCGCCTTTTCCCCTGCTCGACCCTTGCGATCCTTTTTCCCTTTGCATTGCATCTTCGCGCCTGCGCTTGTAACCCTGTTTGATGTTTTGATGATTGATTGAAATTGCCAGCCTGGAGCTTTTCCACTGAGCTTGCCCCTTCTTTCCAGAGCACTCTGCCGCTCCTTCGGTCCTCCAGATCCTCCGCACAGACCTCCGTATAGAACTCGTATTCGTTGGACGTCGGGCGATGTGGCTGAGGAAGAGGAGGAGCAAGGATCACAATCTACATCATCATCTGATGGCTGCATTTGAACTATCCCATGGGGTTACTCTATCTCGGTGTCTACGCCTCGACTGATATTTTGCCTTCTCCCTCTCCTTTTCCTTTGCCCTCTTTAGGCGCCATTGCTCGCATCCTTTGGTCGCCTATCACCAAACTGCGGCCTCCATCTCGTCCCGTCTTTTTGGTCGCCGCCACCGTCGTAGTCCTTCTCTCATCCGCCTCCATCTCACCCCCTTGTCACCTGCAATCCTTTGGTTGACACAAATCCGGCCCCTCCGTATCCATCAGGGAAACGGAAACCCTCATCAAATCCACATTATTCATCCCTCGTCAGACACTGTCCAGTGCTCTGCAATCGATCCTTCTCCTCCGCCGTCACCCATTGCCATCTCTCGCCAATCCAAACCCCGATCTCTTAGTAAAGGCTCTTTGAGCCTGTGGGCGCTGTCAGTTTACCGGCACTCCCGCGTCGCCGTGATCGTCCGGTGCCCTGGAAGCGAATTCGCAATCATCCCAAAAGCATATCTCACTAATTTCCAAACTCGCTTCTTTCCCAGCAACTCCTCTTCTCACATTACCACTCTCCCTCTTGCTCAAACCTGCGAAAGTGTCTCAGCATTTCGAAATCGACTGTACAATACCCCCCCTGGCTCTATATCACACCTAAACACGCCTCGACCCAGTCTCCCGTCTCACAGCTAAATGCGCATTAGCGACGCTTAACTCACCAAACCCTTGCGCACCACCCCCGCGATCGCATTTTCTTCTGCCGGCAGTCCGCGATACCCCCTAAACTGCGTTTTTTAACCTCCTCCCTTTTTCAGCACGTCCCTTCTAGAAACCGCATCCTTCAGTTCCCGAGAGCCGCAATCATCTTCCCATCCATCTCCAACTCTCAAAACTTCCCACCTCCAACTCGTTTGTCCACCCTCCACCCTCGACCCCCTTTGACAGCCAGACATTCCGATCCGACATCCCACCAGGTCACGTCAACAACTGTTTATCGACTCGGCAACTCTTCGTGAGACATCCCTCCTCTCCCGAAATCCACCTGCGCCCAACTGTAGACTGCCAGCTTCGAGGGCATCAACCACTACCATAGCCAGTGCCCTCCCACCTCCCTCTGCCATTTCTACCTCCTCCAATGTGTGGACCGCTCCACCCTCGGTGCAAGATATTGATGCCTTGCATGACTTGAAAATAGGACCTCCGTCACAGTCTACGCGCACCGCCTTTTACCCTTCGGCCTCTCGACGCCACGGAACACCGGTGCTTAAAGAAGCATCATGAGTACCCTTTTTCAACCCGCTCTCAGAAATCCTTTCGGCTCTCCAATCGAACCCTCACCGAGACCTAGATCAATGGCTATCCTGCCTCAGAGCGCCACTAATAGCCATCCATCGCCGAAGTCGACCCAGGAGGACTCGATCATGACCTCTCCCGCGCCCCCGAACATGGGACCTCCAGGGCCAGGAGCAGGAGGGAGTCCCGAGGTGGAACAAGGGCTGGGCAGCAATATTTCGAATGGGACTCGGGAGCAGGTTTCCCTGGGTACAAACAGCAGCACCGCAGTAGGGGCCGTGGGAGCTTCTCAGGGGCCCAAGGTGGTGCAAACAGCTTTCATTCACAAGCTATACAGTATGCTGGAGGACAAGAGCATTCAGCATCTCATCTCCTGGTCTAACACCAACGAGAGTTTTGTCATGTCCCCTTCGAACGAATTTTCAAAAGTCCTGGCCCAATACTTTAAACACACAAACATCTCCTCCTTTGTTCGACAGTTGAACATGTACGGATTCCACAAGGTCAGCGATGTTTTCCATACCGGATCTCCAGAATCTGCTCTGTGGGAGTTCAAGCATGGAAACGGCAATTTCAAGAAGGGTGATCTGATGGGTTTGCGGGAAATCAAAAGGCGCGCATCCCGACACACTCTGATTCATCGAGACTCATTCTCGAATGCCAAACCGGGCGTCTCTCAGCCAGGCACGCCCGCCGAGGTCATGCCGGACACGGACCAGCGTCTTGCAGGCCTCGAACAAGCTTTCTACGATGTCCATACAAGATTACAAAGGACGGAAGACAGCTACGCTCTGGTGAGCTCGAGGTGTCAAGCACTGACTGAGGGATTAGTCCGATGCCATTCATGGCTTAATAATCTCACAAGTGCCGTCCAGAACATGTCCTCCCCTGATTCAGCACTGTACGCGGATATCGCGAGCATGCAAAAGGAGATTGCGCGACAGCTGGAATATGTGCGGGCTTTAGAGGCTCCCCAAGAGTCCCTGCAAAATGGCAGACAGTCATTCTACCCCGGCAGTTCCACACTGGAACCGCCGCTTTCTCCACGGGGATTCAATTATCCAGACAGCCGAAGATCCTCCGTCCAGATCGAGTCGCAGCATGTAGGATTACGTCCTCCTGTCCCGCCGATACCACCTCAGTTTTCTTCTTCCTCGCCGCGTCGCTTTGGGTCGATTAGCATCCCGCATGTCTCTCCCGGATTCAGTCGTCCGGCCCTCCCGCCACAGCCGCCCGCCAGCGTGCATCCGTTGGCCTCGGTGGTGACACCACCACCATTGAACTTGGCGAGAAGGCACACGTCAGCTGATATTCGAGAACACGGCTGGCCGCCCGCTAATGGGAACGGTTCTCCCTATGCTTCTGGACAATCGTCCGTGCAATGGCAGCCATCTTCACCACAGCAGCCACCTCAGGCTGCGGGAGATCAACAAATTCGTGATCAGCTGGCTCAATATGAGATTAATGGTCCGAAGAGGACAGCTGCGCCTGGCCAGGCTAGCCAACCCACACCACCCCTGACCTCTAGCTCCGAGGCACCGCCTGCGGGCCTCGGGGTCGAGAACGTGCCATGGCCACTGGGAGGCAGCAAATTCCCGCGGCCAAATTTCGAGTTGCATTCCGCTCCAGCGACGCGGAGAGGAAGCATGGCGACTTTACATTCATTGCTGAACCCCGCTGAGACAGCGGAGCAGGAAAACGAGGATGAAGGACCTGGCCAAGGCCGAGATGACGACCGGAAACGGAAACGACTGACATGATTGAGAATTTTGCCATTTTTTTACTGGACCGGGCCAACCTCTATCGGAGCCTGAGCAAAAATTCGTTTGGACAACTGGGTGAAAGGCGATGTGTTCACATAACGGTTATCATGTTGTATATACCGACAGGGAAAATGGATGATAATTTCCGGAGTCCATATTCGACCGTGAGTTCGGCAAGGCATTTGGCTCTAGCGAGACGTTTGTGGTGTATATTTTCTGGCGGCCTTTTCATCAGCACTGCACTCTCCGAAAGGTAGAGATATGGAGTTTGAAATGATATTTGGAGCACAGACGACTGGGAAGGTGACAACCAGGGTTGGATTATTGAGCCAAAATTACCAGATGGCTGATTTGGTCTGGTGCTGTGGATCAGATCGCGTGCAAACTTTGGACTGAGCTTTAGAGACTCTCCAGCGCCGGCTTTGCACCGTGGATGTACCCCGAATGTCTGCTCGCATTTGCAGGGGAGGATTGGTCGTCGGAGCAGACATGATATATAGAAGCTCGCATCTGGGGCTTCACAATCCTTATATGATCTTTTGAAGTCTCAAGTCGTATTGGCTGTCGTTCCATTGCACCTATCCCGGCGCCGACTCGACGAGGCTCTTGCTCTTCTTGTTTTTCTTCTTCTGTTTCTTTACTGCTCGAGAGGCGAGGAGCTCGTCTAGATAACTAGCCGCTCCGCGTTTCTTGCTCGTTTTCGGCGGGGCTACATGGAGGATGTCGGGTTCGGGCGCCTGGACAACGCTGTCGGATTCTCCGCGCGACTGGTCAAGGGCCGAATTGGCGCCCGACTTCTCAAACGCATCTCCCGTCTCCTCCTCTTCTATCTGTGGTGCCGGTTTTGCGGTTTCGCTCCCGGCCGCTACCCGTATGTTTTTGGCTTGTCGTTTACTCTTTCCCACCCCCGAGCGGGACTCTTCCTCGTCCGAATCTCCCCCGCTCTTCTCACGTCTTGATGCCTGCGGCTGTGTTCTCGGTCGAGTGGTCGTGGCATTGTGAGCATGTACGTTGCCATTTGTGGTGCGGCCGCGCAGCAATTGCTTTCTCAAGAACATCGTCGTGGCATCATTGACGCCAGGCGCCGAAGTCGACGAAGCGGATCCCGTGGTGGGAGGGTGATATCCAACGCCCCCAGTCTCGGAGTACAAGTCTCTGTTCCGCAGGAATTCCTTTTCGAGAGCTGCTTCGGCTTTGTCCTGCTCGTCCTCGTTCTCGTCTCGTCCGTCACCACCTGTCGTTGCGCCCCGCAGCCATGATTTCGCCAGCCGCGCGGCCTCAGCGTGGAAGAGGAGGGCTTTGTTTGTGGCGATGTCGGCTTCTGAGGCGCCTGCGGTTGTTCTCGCTGGCGACGGTGCACCGGCGCCTTTCGAAGGTGCCATTTGGGGGAAAGTACGTAGGTTGTGGACGTTTCGCTCAGGTGAATTTGTTACTTTTCGAATTGCGGTGTTGGAGAAGCCGAGAACACGGCAGGTATGCCGATGCGTTTTGCGGGGAAACTAGCGCATATTCAGTTAGTTACGGTTGGCTCTTCATTGCCCGCCCCCACCATCTCGGTTTGTCTCCAAGTGCGTCCAACGCCCACCTATGGCATAGCACATAGCATTGACGCGCGCTCCTCACTCCAACAATCATCACTTGGCAATCTTGGTACCCCAGATGACCAATGCAACAACCTTCTGCAATTTCGAGAGACGGATTGATCCTGGTGAGTCAAGTGGAACATACGAGTCGTTCAAGACCACAATGAAATCATTCAAGTGTACCTAGTACCCAGCCGAAGGAACAAATGACACGGGTTTGACAAGATTGCAAGCCCAATGCTCTCCTGAAGACGGCCGTTGGAATGTCCTCCAGCCTTTCTTGGAGGTGGTTCCCTGAGGCTTCTCGAAGCTGGGCTTCTGCTCAAACGAGGCGAATGCTTCTGTCCATTTCTCTCTAGTATGACCACCCTCCTTTGAGGGTCAAAGCGCAAGACTATGATACATGCGAATCGTGGGGTCGAGCAGGCAGTAATCCACTTCCATTGGAGGAGGACCAATAGATCGTCTCTTCCAAAGGCTCTTTTTTTTTTTACATAGAATCAAGGTATCCCGTCAGATTGTATTGCTCCAGCCACGATTCCACCCATACGAGCTCGTGTAAGGAAGGTGATGCGTTCAACAGCATCGCGACTAATGCTCGGAGGTTCTGCCACTATATACAGAGATTGGGTTAAAGCATGGATTGTGGTTTATTTGGGCCGTGGTGAGGGTGATGGCCGTCTGTGAGGCCGCAATATTTTGGGCATCGGCGTTTGAGCTCCAATATGGAGGGGGTGCCGGACGATGAGGGTGATGTGCGGCGCCGCGTCGGTGTAGTGGTTGGTACACTCGGATCTGCTCTGGTTTGAGAGGCTGTGCGAGCAGGGGGTCTGTCAGAAAGAGATTCCTGTAGTAGACTGTACTGGCGGTTGAGCCTCAGAGGGACGGATCTTAGTTGTCGGTGTTGGCGGAGTGGACGCAGAAGATCGACGAAGCTTTGACGTGACGATGGGAGGATGTCAGGTAGTGGCGCGATGCGATCATCGCGTACTAAGGGCGGCAAAGAGAAGCGGAAGGAGGCGAGGAGTTCGACTTCGGGTCCATCTTTTGGTAGCAATAGGAGGGAGGGGGAGAAGTGACAGCAACCCGTTTCTCTACGCAAGCGATGGAACTTGCTTGTTTCCCTGTACTATTTCTCAAGTTTATAAGTGCCCCTAAACCAACTTTAAAATCATACACGGTGCCAATCGTGGCCTGGTTCTTGAACACACCGTATAGCTTGTACGGCACCTTCACGTTCTGGCAAGAGGCCACTTAGGTCCCCCGCGTCCACGACCTCTGGAACAATCCTTTCAATCACATGGCCCATGGAGTAGGACCTCTCGATTCGGAATGGTCCGCTTGTCTCGCCTGCGCCGCCGTCGGTCGCCGCAGATAGCTTTGAGCCAGGTGGTTCGGTACTTGTAAGAGAAATGTCGATGTATACTAGTACCTTACAAAACCAACATAGATGATCGATACCAACACCATCTGCCAAGCCCGTGTTCACTTCTTCGTTACGCGTTCTCGCGGACAGGGCCCGGTCTTAGTTGTCTGCTAGCTCGAGCTCGCCTTCGATTCCTCACTACCTCCCTCGCCTCCCATACCCCTATCATCACACGTCGACACTGGTTCTGTATAGAATAATTGGCAAAAATTATTCCAGGTCATAGGCCACGTCGTGGTCCCAGACCTCGTACGGATGAAGTCCCACATCCACGAGACGAGCCGATACTTGCCTTGCGTAGCCTCTTGAGGCTGAAAGCGATGCTTACGGGCCCTGGGCAGCCCGTTCCAATTGGCCGGCTGGACTCATGCATGTAACAAGGTCCGGTCTTTTGCTGCCATCGAGCTCGTAGTCCAGCCAGGCTTCGAACTTCACGGGCGTAAGAAAGTCAATATCTGATGGCGACGTTTCGAGTAATGGGAGGTCATATTTGATTCCGGTAACCTTTGACCTTTCCAGGATTGTGATCCTATTTTGCAAATGACCGAGAGCCATCTGCAGAGAAGTTTCCTTTGGTGCAGACCTTTTCAACCCAGCGAGGCACCTGAAAGCTGGTTCAAGCGAGGCTAGCTCCGCCGTTCTGGTTCGTCTCCATTCCTCAAGCTCGAGATACAGGCTGATCGCGTTGTATATCATGCCCATACCCAGGGTAGGCGGAAGTCGTCTTTCGGATTGATACAGCTCGTCGGCTTGCTCAAGGAGCCTGCGAGTGTTTGTTTCCACTTTCAGCCGAATGCGAGAATCCCCTTCTCCTGTATGGGGTGGCTGTAAAAATCCCTGGAGCAGTATATTCGATGTACTGAAGTAGGAGATCATCAGAAGGCCACGGTGATAATCGAACACCTGACACTCTCCCGGATCATACGGAAGGCCCACGTCAAAGCCGGAAACCCAAGCCGATAGGTTCTGCTCCAGAAACCTGAATATGCGGTGATATCGTGCCCGATCGCCCTGGGATCTCACCATATAGATCTCGCGCAGGTGGCATACCAGTTCGGCCTTTTGAATCGCCAACCATGCTAATCGGAGATATAGATGTGTCTCTTTCAAAATCTTGGCTCGTGGGAGCATTTGTTGAGCAAACAACGGAAACGCCGAGGTATCGAAGCAGTCAAGTGTCAAGTCCGGGACTTGATAAGATGTCTCCTGGAAATGTTGAGCAGCTCCAATCTCCATCTTGAGCGTATAGTCTCGCACAAACAAGGACCACCATAGCCTCTTATATAGCCTCGATAGGGCGGACTTTACTACCAAATAAGTTCTCTTGTCTTCCAGTCCGAGCTTCTGGACAAAGAGGTGAGCTTGGGCATGCCAGATTGTACTCGCCTTCGAGCATTGGTGGCTGACTGACATCAGAAGATGAGCCTGGGCGAGAACTAAAACATCTCTCTCCGCTTCAAAGTGACAGAGAAGCTAGGATCTGTTAGCTTATAGCTACCACGGCGAATATAGAAGCGTAAGATTGGTACCTTTGCCCGCTGATATAGTGTTTCTTGTAGACAGTCCCGGGAGGCAAACCCGTATGAGTTGATTGCTTCCTCTGCGACGTGGGCTGCGCCCGTAAACAGGACGGTCTGGAGTAAAAGAATGCTCGCCTTAGAGCCGTTGCCGCTCAGGGATCTTAGGAATGAGTGTAAATCGATAATGGGCAGCTGAGGGTGTATCCAGTCGCAATATGCGGTCAGTAGGTCGACCATCAGGGCTGTCTCCGGGACGATTAGAGCTCCCTTCTTTTGCAAATATTCAAGATCGTCTGCTGGCAGCGGTGGCCGCTCAAACAACGTCCAGTCGGGATGAACGTCTGGCGAAATGGGATTCAGTATCCCAGGGGTCACCGAGGGAGACTCCATTTTCTCCTGGTTGTGCTGCGCTGGGTCCTCAAACGTAACCAGGAGGCCATTCTCCGTGGGCTCTCTTTTTCTGAACCGTGTTAGTACTATACAGAACTCCACTAGGCTAGGATTCTTCACAAACCTGCGTCTAGGGTTGTCTGCAAATCGGCACAAAGAACCTGAATCGACTTGTCGACAATTAGAACATGGCAAACCCGATAGCTCTCCATCACATCGGACTTTTCTTGCCCGACAAGTCACACAAGCATTCAACGACCTCTTTCCCTTCTGGAGCCGCATCTGATGTCAAGTGTTCATTCCAGGCAGGCGCTTCATTGAATTTTCAGTTTGTTGGGCCTCCAAGTGCTTCATTGTCATCTTGATGCTCCAGAAGCTTAGATCATCATCAAATTCAGGAACTGGCAGGACCAACGACCATCTTTGGAAAAGCGCCATTTCTCTCACGCTCGTTCTTTTTCATTCCAAGATAATGGCCACTCAATCTTAATGGTCTTTCGGATCGGGTCTCGATATCCGTGCCCTTTGGACTTCAGCGCCTTCCGGCAACCAGCTTCTAACTAATTCCTCGGCCACTAGTACAAGCCAGCCCGCTGCTGGCCTTTTGCCCCGCAAGCTCTGCTGTGCTCTTACAGTACGTCTAGTGGTCATCTTGTATTCCTCAATCCGCCATCCAATTTCTGAGGTTACTCAGACAACTTCTCTACGCCAGGCAGCAGTTCGAATGCTAATGATCTCGGCTTGCTTCCTATCCTAGTGCGCCGGAACACAAAAGGGTTTTGCCGAGAACACGGGTTCGCCATCTTGTGACAGTTACTTAAAGCTCAAGTCTACCAACGTTTGACCACTCGCACATGCTGTTCTGACTATATTATCCCCAAGGAAAGATGGCAACGATGAAGGCTGGACAATGGGATCCAAAACAGGGACATGTGGTGGTGAATGAAATACCGATCCCGGAACCTGGACCAGGACAGCTTCTGATCAAGATGATTTCGGCCTCCTTGTGTCATTCAGATTTTTTGGCCATGGGCGATCCCAATCGAACCGAGCCCATTACTCTCGGCCACGAGGGTTGCGGTTGTATCTTTTCCTTACACCGTGATGCCGAAGATAAAGGTTTTCAGAAGGGTGACGTTGTGGGGTTTTTATCCGTCAATGGAGCTTGCTTTGAATGTGAAGGGTGTCAAGTACATAACACCCTCTGTGAAAGAGGAAATCCGCAGATCGTGGGATTCAGTGCTCCGGGGTTCTTCGCCGAGTACGCCGTGGTCGATTGGCAGAATGCTATTCATCTGCCCGCGCAATGGGATCCGAAGTCAAGCTCGCCATTTTTTTGTGCGGGCCTTACTTGTGAGTACGCTGTTGCATGTGGACAATTCAATCCTCAAAAAATGGCGAAGAGGCTCTGTCTAAGTGCGAATGAATCTAGCTTTCAATTCGGTTGACTCCTGCGGCCTGCAGCCAGGCCAGTGGCTGGCTGTTGTCGGGGCGGGTGGGCTGGGACAATTGGCGACTCAATATGCCAAGGCAATGTCGCTGCGTGTAATTGCCATTGATGTCAGCGATTCCACACTTCAGGTGTGCAAAGAGCAGGGCGCTGATTATGTCTACAATTCCAAAGGAGACCCGGCATTCGCACAGAAGATAAGGGAGCTGACCGGTGGTGGCGTTCATGCCGCGGCTGTGTATAGCGCGGCGAAAGCTGCCTATACCACCGCGACGATGATCTTGAGAACTATGGGACTTCTCATGATCGTTGGAGTCACGCATGAACCCATCCCCGTCTCGACGCAGGGGATTGCTATTGGGTTGTACAGGATCAAAGGAGAAAATTACGGCGTCCCTCAACGAATGAAGCGCGCCATTGACTTTTCCGTGCTTCACGGCATCAAACCAGAAGTCGACTTTCGAAAATTGGATGACTTGGGCCAGATGGTGCAAGAGATGAAATCAGGCACGGCCACAAAAAGGAGGACAGTTATATTTTAGACTTTGCGGCACACAATGATGGCCCAGGGGTTCATTTTTCAATGCTACAGTATTGGACTGACAATGTCCGATTGAAGAATTCAAATGAAGTGGATGCAAAAAAAGCAGAGGAAATGCTATCAACCCGTCATTTCGACTGTACTGACTGCAATCGCGGTCCGTCTCACCCTGTGCGAATAGAGGCGAAATCCATCAAGTTTGCCCCATTTTCTCCAGGCCACCTCTGTTGCCCATGAGCTGTTCCCAACTGCAGCTCACGACTTCGATTGTATTACCCCAAGGATCTTGGAAGTAGACAACTTCATCGTCTTCGGCCGGAGCGAATGGCTGGACAGTGTCACCTATCTTCGAGCCTCCAGCTTCTAACACTTTTGCGCACAGCGCTTCGGGGTCGGCATCTGTGATAGCGATATGAAAGAAACCGCCTCGCGTGTACTCGAATTGGGAGACATACTCCATCTTCGGGTCAATGAATTCAAAGATTTCGAGCCCGACCCCGTTGCCGGTGGTCAGACAAGCCAATTTCAATTTCTTGCACTTGTCTCCATAGATGCGAAAAATCGCTGCCTCGGGGTTCACCGCTTTGTCGATGATGCTAATGTTTTCTTGAAGCTTGCGAAACCCCAGCACCTTGGTGTACCACTCGACTGCGGCCTCGCAGTCCGGCACCGCCAGTCCCAGGTGATTGACGACGCGGTTCGGCGGAGCGCGTTGGATCTAGCAGCAACACACAGCCTGAGTGACTGCGACCTTTCAATATTAGAGGTACATTACACTTACTTGAGGCATCTTGCCGAAAGTTTCTTGGGCTTGGAGTTTCCTTTCGACTGCTTCGTTGTCGCAAGGGTGCACATAAGTGCTGGCCTCCATTGATATAAACCCCAAGGGTGCTGCTTTCGACGATGCATGTGCGACCTGCGGGTATCGTTACCCGCCTGACAAGACCGCCTGATCGGTTTATCATGGAGTTCAAACGGTTCTCCTTGACGTATTCTGCTGCAAATTCTTTGCCTCCAGATACCCTCGGTAAGAACCCCAGGTTTTTCGTACCCAAGGAATCTCAAACTCCAGCAATCGGCAGAACCAGTCTGTAAGACATAATCCTGGCTCTGATGGGTATTTTTCTATGGTTTCCCTGTTTAGTCTTCAGGGGCTCACAATATCAGATACAGAATGATCGACACCAAGACTGCCATGACTACTGCTAATAGGTCATGTTGACCATGATAGTCTTAGTCTCAGTAAACGCCCTCAACGCTGCTTGACCACATTCCCGACCAAGACCGCTCTGCTTGCTCCCACCGAACGGGGTGGTCAAAAAGCTCAGGCTGACACAGTTGATGCCAACCATCCCGGAATCAAACTCGTTGGCCACTCGGAGTGCTTTGTTGATATCCTGAGTGAAGACGCCTGCCATCAAGCCATATTCGGTGTCGTTGGCCTTCTGGATCGCTTCTTCCTCCGTCCAAAATTTGTTCACAATGGAGACTGGGCCGAAAATCTCCTGCTGGAAAATCTCCTTGTCGGAAGATACCTCCTCAAACACTGTCGGTTGGATATAGAACCCGGTCTCACCTACACGTTCTCCTCCGGTCAGTAGTTTCCCTTCAGAGCGCCCGCGCTCAATGAATCCGGTTACCCGCTTAAACTGTGCCTCGTCGACTAAGGGCCCCATGAGAGTTCCTTCAACGTTCGGATCACCGATGGTTTTGGCTCTCTCCTCAAGAGCTGCTCTGTACTTCTCAATAAACCTATCGTAAATTCCTTGTTGGACGTAGACGCGAGTGGCGGCAAAGCAGACTTGGCCCGTGTTCGCGGTGAGGGCGTTAACGCTCCAGTTCACCGCGTTGTCCAGATTACAATCGTCAAAGATAACGGCAGGAGACTTGCCTCCCAGCTCCAGCGTGACTCGTTTCAAGTTCGACTCGGCAGCCATGGCCTGGATTTTCTTGCCCGTGGGAATAGATCCAGTGAAACTGACTTTGCGAACGCGCATGTGCTGTGCGAGTAAGGCACCCGTGGTACCATCTCCGGATAAGACTTGAAAAACTCCGGCAGGAAAGCCAGCTTCATGGATTAGGGGTCCTAGCGCAAGGGAAGCGAACGGGGTCTTCTCTGAGGGCTTCAATATAAAGCAGTTGCCTGTGGCGAGGGCGGGGGCGGCTTTGAGCGCCATTGTACCTAAGGGGCCGTTCCATGGTACAATGCCCGCGGTGACGCCTAGAGGTTCGTTTCGGGTGATTTGCATGAACCCTGTCTCGTGAGGGACGGCCTCGCCCTGGAATTTGTCGATCCAACCTGCATTGTACTTGAAAGACTAGTATTGCCCAAGCCATCAGCGTTTTCACTTTCAAGCAAGGGACTTGGGGGGCAAGCCCGATTCACACGAGCTCACCTCCACAGCCAGACCGGCTTCGAATTTCCCAAAAGCATCGTAGGGGGCGCCTAGAGTGATCCTCGACAGCTCTGACAAAGGCTCCAAGTATTGCTCCAGAAGCGCGGCAAACTTGAGTAGAATGTCCCTTCGAGCATTCGACGGGAGCTTCTTCCAGGCCGGAAACGCCATTTCTGCCGCATACACAGCCTGATCCACGTCTGCCTGCACGGCTATCGGGACGCCATTTGCCACCAGGGATCCGTCTTTGGGGTTGTGAACCGTGAGAGTCTTGGTGCCCTGCGAGTCGACGTAGCGGCCATCGATAAAGAGCTTCTTCGGCAGGTTTTTGGCCGAGAAGCCAAAAGCTGTTCCGCTGGTCGATGTCGAACCCATTGTGATCTCCGCTATAAAGTCTCGTAGCTATGTAAGAGAATGGTGTTATATCGACCCATATAGTAGTAGTGAAGAGAATCAATTGGGTTTCCAGATTACGTTCACAGGCCGAGTCAACGCTTCTGGATCCGCTGCCGTTCAGATATCAATTTTTGGCACCGAGGTGTTCGCCCCCCACCACCCCCGGGGGGGGGGGGAGAGGGATGCGGATATTGATCGCCGGAAAATGATCTCGGGGGGTCAACTGGGCGTCAGGGCTTGAGGTGAGCCACACACGAGTTCTCCTTGGGATCATCCGCTTTTGTGAGTTCGGGTCCAAAAGCTGTATAAAGGTTATAGCATCACGATCGAGGCGAGTGGTACTGCACTGGCATGATACTCCAGCAGAAGCTAGTCTTGGTATTAGATATTTTGATCACTCCACCAGTGCTTGACCTCTGACGGAGATGACGAGGCTTCAAGAGTACCAGGACGTGTACGAAAACTTCCGCTTTGAAAGGACCGAGGACGGCATTCTTACCATCACGCTTCACACGAATGGAAGTGACCTGGTGTGGGGCATGAAGCCTGACGCAGCGCTCGGGAAAGTCTACACTGACGTTGCCAACGATCCGGACAATAAGGTGATAATCCTGACCGGTGCAGGCGACACTTTTATTCACTACGAGAACCTTGGTTCCGATGATGTCGACAGAATTGCGCCCGACGTATGGGGTAGCCACGTTTTACCATTCGCTGTTAACTTGATCCATAACCACTTGGACATCGACATCCCCATGATCGCCGCCGTGAACGGGCCAGCCACGGTTCATGCTGAACAGGCGTTGCTCTGCGACATCGTCCTAGCCTCAGAAACGGCAGCGTTTGGAGACCAGCCACACTTCCCCAATGGCCTCGTTCCCGGTGACGGGGTGCAAGTCATCTGGCCCTTGCTGATCGGCATGAATCGAGCGAGATACTTAATGTACACAGGCCAAGTCTTGAGTGCACAGGAAGCTAAAGACTTGGGGCTTGTCAGTGAGGTGCTTCCAAAGGATGGCTTACTTGGACGAGCGCACGAGCTTGCACGTCAACTGCTTCAGGCTCCGGAGCTGACACGGCGCTTGACTCGCCGGGCATTTGGTGCCGTTATCAAACAGCAATTGAATGCAACGCTTCCTTATGGACTGGCGCTGGAAGGACTGGGAGCAGCACACTACTGGCCTCGCTCTTTCAAGAAAGCGAATTTGCCGCCAAATGCGCAGCTACCGTAACCCAGACGACGTGGTCGGTGTGCGAACGGAGGAAGACGCTCCGGGCTTAAAAATCTCCATTTCGAGAGTTTGGACAATAGTAAATGATCTCTGAGACCCAGAACCAATGCAATCTACCAAGGCGGTAGGAAACACCTTTCACGGATGCTCATGGATGACGTAGAACTTCTATCCAGAATGAATGCCCACGATGAGACTCTGGCATTGTTCGGGTGTAACTCGAGGTTGTAAATCGAGGTCAAAGTTCCAAGTGCAATACCCCCTCTATTCCATTTTTCATGGGCTCTCACGGACATCCAGTTTGAAGGATACGTACCGGTCTGGGAAAAGAGGCACCAGAAAATAGTGCACCACGCAATCTCATGGTTTGATTACCACCCGGCGAAGATGCCTGTGGCAACAGTCGAAAGGCAACTTCGGAATTTGCCCAACTTGGTGCCTCGGAACTTGAGTCGCGCTTTACGAGCCGAACCTCAATACTTGACCGTTAACCTTCCCGAGGCCGCTCCTCGAGTTGAATAACGGAGAAGGTTCTGCGGAAGCCATACTGCCTGGACGTACAGGATATCCGATAGGGTCTTATAGTTGGTTGAGCACCTTGGGATACTGTTTGTGTGCTATAAACGACGCGAAACCGGAATGGTCAAACTATGGCAACGGTTCGCACGGTCCCATCGTCTCAATTGTATGAATTGTACTTCCACAACTCCTATCCCAAAAGCACGAGTACTCTTGACGAGGAAGTCGGTGCCCCTTTTGTGCGTCGAAACTTGAACAGACCTCGACCTTTGATTCTCAAGATCCCGCTTGCCCTAATCTTCTGTTGCAATGGGGTTTTCCGAAATTGTCTACTCATACCTGGAGCCTGACAAGGTATCCATAGCCACAATATTCGTGGCGTTCAGTTTCCTGGTCAGTGCTGATACCGCAGACTCGAGATCCAATCCTGCGAGACACTTACTTTCTGTAGTTCAGCCTTTACTGGGTTTTAGTGATCGTTTACCGGCTCACACTGCATCCCCTTGCTAAATATCCAGGGCCGGTCCTGTGGGCAATATCACCGGTACGGTCAGGTTCCGAGTTGTTGTACGCGCCCACGTACTGAACGCCCAACAGCTCCCCAGTATATACTATCTGCTTCAAGGCAGGATATCATTCCAGTACAAGGTGTTGCACGACAAATATGGTGAGCCCTGGACATCGACCAAAGCACACAGGCGGTCTTCTCAAACCAAAGTACATACTAATCTGGTGCAGGGCCCGTTGTTCGTGTCATGCCCAACGAGCTCGCTTTCAATACAGCTCAAGCCTTTGAAGACATTTACGGCCATCGTCAAGGTAGACCGAATATGACGAGAGATCCTATACATGTTGGGGCGGTGGAGGCGATCCCCGGAGCAAGTAATCTGACGATGGCCGATGAAGCCAACCATCCTCGCCAGCGCCGGGCTCTCGCTCATGCATTCTCCAAGAAGGCGCTGATGGAGCAGGAAGACATCTTGCAAGGCTATGTCAAGAAATTCATCCTCCGTTTGCAAGAATATGCCGAGCAGAAAAAGCCAGCCAACATGGTCAGCTGGTTCAACTACTGCACTTTTGACATCATCGGCGATCTCTCCTTCGGCGAACCATTCGGCTGTCTAGAAGAAGGTGCGCGTTTCATGAGAAATTGTAAGAGCAACATTTGCCATTGCTGACACTATTCCAATAATAGGAGAAGGTGGCGAGTCTGCAGCATGGGTGGTGCTCATTTACGAAAGTATCAAGTCTGGCGCCATTGAACAGGCCACACGACGGTTCGCTACGGCTGGTAGCCTCATGCAACGCTTCCTCCTCTGGTCCTGTCCCTCCATCATCCGAGAAAGACGGTTGAGACATCTCCGGAACAGTACAGAGAAAACAGTGCGTAGGATGAACACCAAGACCGAACACAAAGACTTTCTCTGGTACATTCTCAGGCAACGAGAGAAGAAAAACGAAGTCAGTGACGATGAAGTCATCATGAACGCGGCTCTTTTCATGTGCGTTGAGTCCCCTTCCCCCAGCTGACTTTATGGCCACGTTTCTTTGCTTCTAAGACTCAAGCCATTCTACAGTGTTGCTGGAAGCGAAACGACTGCCACTCTCCTTTGTGGTGTCACGAATCTGCTTCTCCGGAATAGGGACATCTACGAGAAACTCAAAGCCGAGATTCGCGAGAATATCAAGTCCGAAGAGGATCTGGTGATGGGCAAGCTCGGTGAACTCAAGTACCTGGATGCTTGCTTGGAAGAGGCTTTGAGAATCTTCCCACCCGTACCGATCGGGCTGCTCAGAATAGTACCCGAACCAGGGTCGGACATAGATGGCCAATTCATACCGGCCGGGGTAAGTGTGATACACTTCAAATTCAAGTCTTTTCTGTTTGTATGGAATTACTGACTTGACTTGACGGGGCAGACTTCAGTCTGTGTCAGTTCTTACGCGGCATCCCATAGTCCCGCCAACTTTTCCGAGCCCGAACAATATATACCTGAACGGTGGTTAAGCTCTGCGTACGACGGCGATATCAAAAAGGCCTCCCAACCATTCTCGTTGGGGCCTAGAGGCTGTATCGGAAGGAACCTCACATATGTCGAGCTGCGCCTGATCCTGGGACAATTTCTTTGGCATTTTGACGTCGAATTCTACGACGGCGCCCCTCTTTGGGACCCTGCCAATGAATTTGCGGGCCTGCGGGCTTACAACACATGGGAAAAGAGCCCCTTGATGGTAACTTTGATAGACATCAGAAAGGAAAGCTCGACATAACAAAAAAAAAAGAATTTACTACTTGATTAACCCGGGTGAGCAGCCTCAGGCAATATGTGCCATGGTCCTAAAGGGGACGATTCTTGGCTAGATCGATTATGCTGGGTTCTGGTTGCTGAACAGCAGCTGATGTTCACATCTTTGGAAATCGAGCTTCGGGTCTCACGGTCAGACGCAGAAGGAGAGGTTGAAAGTGTCACGCCTTGTCTCGATCTTGCTGGTAGTTTTATTTATTGGTTAACCGTGAGGGCGCAATTGGGCGAGTCTGACACGTCGAATACATAGTAGTGCGACACATGGCCATGGCATTGTTGGCTGTCTGCAAACTCCCAACACTCATACGTAATCAGATGCATGACCAGGTTGATTAAACAAAGCTGCTCTTTGTGAAAATCGTACACAAGTGGCCGCTGTGGCTCAACAAGGAAGGTGTGCCCGGATACCCTTTCCCCATTATACCAACAGTGTTATCCTGAAATTGGCCTTTGAGAGGCCATCTGCAACGATTGAACAGGACGCTGAAGAGGTCCGAGCTGTGAAGTTTCTCTTTCGCTTTCAAGTCACGGGAGCAGGCAAGAACAGAATCCGCTCCCAATTTCGCCGGCAAGCAGTTGTCATTGTCATTTCGTTCCACAATATCCATCTATAGCTTGGCCGTTCCCTTCGTCACGAATGCTCCACGGGTATCAAGATCGTACTCACGCCCTTTACTCCACCCCATCCATCTTTTCAAGGCAGCTTCGCCGCCCTCGCCTGGCCGTAGAGCCTTTCCGTCCCATAGTGAGTCGATTTCTCTGGCCCGAGACTCAGTCAATCCAGTCCTCCCGGGACCGCTCCATCGGGCCTAATTCCAAGACCTTGAAGAAGCTCGGCATAGAACTGCGGTTCCATCGACCCGACAGCCATATACTTACCCTTGTCCTTACACTCGTAGCACATATAATATGGACAACCTCCATCGAACGTATTCGTACCTCGCTCTCCAATCCCGATATGGTGCTTCGTCAAGAGACGAGGGAACGTGGCTAGATAGCTAACGCCGTCGACCATGTTTGACTCGACAATTTGACCTTGGCCACTAGCTTGTCGATGGATTAGAGCTAACAGGACGCCTGAAAATGCGGCGAGGCCTCCTCCCGCAAAGTCGGCGAGGAGATTTTGCGGCGGTGACGGCGCAGCCTTCCGAGGGCCAAGTAATGACAGGACACCGGAAACCGCCAAGTAGTTGATATCGTGTCCAGCCAGGGTGGAATACTTGCCATCGCGGCGAAATCCGGTCAACCGTACCACGATGAGCTCTGGGTTCGCCTTGAGGAGGACCGTCTGCGGATCAAGGTCAAGCTTTTCAAGGACGCCCGGTCTGAAAGGATCGATGAGGATATCGGCTTTGGGGATTAGTGAGAGGAGTATTGTCCGTGATTTGGTGCTCTTGAGGTCGAGCGCAATCGAGGCTTTGTGTGAGGTGAGAAGGTCACCTGTCGGGCTTGGACCGGGACGGTCGATGCGCAAAACGGTGGCGCCCCAGTTGGCCAGGAGGAGGCCGCAGAAGGGGCCTATGCACCAAATGGGTAAGCCGCCTGGCATTCATGGGCTGCAAAGCAGCAGGGACATAGTATCTAACCCGGTGCTAGACCGCCAAGTTCGAGGACGCGGAGTCCCGATAACGGGTATCTGGGAGTCATGGCTGAAGGTCTCGCCAGCAAGACTTGCTGTCAACATGTTTCGACGATAACGACAGCTACTTTCCAGCGTCTGCCTGACGGAGGTCTTCAGTAAATAACCGTAAAACTGAGAGGAGGCTACGGAGCACTTTCCGCTGCTTGATAAACTAGGCGTCTTCGGTGGAAAGATGGAGGGACAGCACAGGAAAGACAACTGGCCGAGGTCCTGCTCGCCGGTTGTCGGTGTCCGCGGTCCGATAGGTATGGCAATCATTACTCGGGCGGTCGTGGTCAGCTATGCCTTTACCTTTGGATCTTCCTTGCCATCGCCAAGGATAGAGAAAGGAGAATGGGGGCGCTGCAAGCGCTGCTAGTACGTGAGCCCCCGAGACCTACTCGAAAAGCGCTGAGGGACCATTGTGCAAAGACGATATCATCATGAGTTGCTGCTTATTCCGGCATCGCTGAGCTTTCCAGGTCTTTTCGGATCGCGATTAAATGCACTGGCAACCCCCTAGGGTAGTAGTCTACTAGACTGGACATGGTATTGTAAGTGCCGGAAGGCGGGATCAGAGTCTCGTTCAATAAGGTCTTGAATTTATGGTGTGTTTTTCAATCTAATAGAGGGAGTGAGTACGGACCCGGTATATCTTTGTCTTCTGCTATGATATCCTCGAGGCTGGATTTAGGGATGTGGTCATAAGATGTGAGGTTCTGGACCACCCACTTCCCTTGTATTGTCAGCATGATGATGAGGTCTCTAAGGTAGTGGAAATATCTACTTGGGCCGTATCTAGCCCGCATGTCGGCCACTCTGGTCTCTAGATCCTGAAAGTCTCCCTGTCGAACAAGCTCGACTTTAATGCCTGTGGCCCTCTCGTAGGCTTCGGCAAATTCCGAGACCGTGTGAGAGCCTGACTGAATGCAGAAGATTCCCCCTTTGCCGGCGAGCACGCCGGGATCGCTGGTCAGAATCTCGATGCTGGTTTCCGCGCAGTCTTTCATCGATGTCCAGGTGTATCTGGCCTGACCGTCTCCCCAGTATTTCATTGTGGCCCGGCCATTCTCCAAGGTGAAAGACCCTGGGCCTGTGGGCAAGTATAATCTGTGGGCAAAGAAGCCGCTGAAGACGTAGACCGGCCGGATTTTGCTCGTGAGTTCGACCTGGCGATAGAAGCTGATGTTGGCGTCATAATATTCCATGTCCCCGAAAGTCAAACCATGCCAGTTGAAGTTCCAGGATTGTGCATGAAAGATCTTCACCCCGGCCTTTTCGGCTTCCCGGAGAAGGACTAATTGGGCTTCCAGATAGAGCTCAGGGGTCGCCCCATACGCGCACACGACGGCGTCGACGCCGGTGACTGCTCTCTGAATCACATCTGTGTCGTAATAGTTTTTGATACGAACAAAAGATTCAAGTGCCGTGGCAACCTGAGAGTCGACTTTGTCCGGTGTGCGGCCCATGCCCCTGACAAGCAGGCCTCTTCGGAGGGCAGCAGAAGCCAGCTGGTGGCCCAAATTGCCAGAGATACCTGCAATGAGGAGAAACATAGGCATCTTGAGTGTCAGGGACAGCTTTTTTGAATTCAAGTATGGGTGCTCGCGGCTACACGATGGTACCAATCCATCTCATTTTGACTTGTGTAGCTGACTTAGCATCCTTCTTATCGAGTCAGAGGGAGAAGTTTCCGAGCTACGGCCCTGATTCAGCCGTAAAGACGTGGCCTCAGCTAGGAGACCATTCTCCGGTGCGGATGGCCCGCTTTGGTGGTGACCGCAGCCTAGGTCCGACGCCTCCTTTAGCCTGCCATGGTCTTCATCTTGAATGAGACAGAAAGCGCTTCATCTGGGCAACTAGGCATTACTATCAGGTCTTCAGTCTCCATTCGACCACCTACGACTCTCAGCCATCGATCATGGGCGCCACGTTTGACCTGAAAGATCGAGTGATAGCTGTGACTGGCGGTGGCTCCGGCATAGGTCTTGCCACTGCCGAGCTCCTGGCCTCCTACGGTGCCAAAGTTTCTGTGGCCGACATCAACCTTGAAGCCTTGGAAGCAGTCAAGAAACGCATAGAAGCAGCGGGGGGACAGTGTATCATCTCGGCCGTGGACGTCAGCAGCAGCACTCAGGTGAACAAATGGATCCAGAAGACGGTGGAAGCTTTCGGTCTATTGGACGGAGCGGCCAATATGGCTGGCATAATACCAGGCAACATTAACGTTGACCGTGTCGAGGATCTTGACGACGAGAGTTGGGCCAAGGTCCTCAACGTCAATCTCACGGGGATGATGTACTGCCTGCGAGCACAGCTTAAGCACATGAATCGACGTGGGTCGATAGTGAACGCTGCCAGCGTAGCCGGCCTTCGAGGGTTTGCGAAGAATGCAGCATACGTAGCGTCGAAACACGGTGTCATCGGACTGACGAGGGCAGCCGCTCAGGAAGTTGGTGACAGGGAAATCCGTGTCAACTGTCTCGCACCGTAGGTCGCGCAAGACGGAGTTTTGAACCCGTGGTGAAAGTGCTGACATCTACCATCAGGGGCCTGATTGACACACCGATGCAGCGCGAGTCGACCAAGATACGCGGCATGGATCTTCCACTCACCCGACAGCCCATCCATAGGAAAGGAGATGCACGCGAGGTGGCCCAGCTCATTGCCTGGCTAACCTCCACGGAATCGACCTTCATCAGCGGGACTGTGCAGGTGATAGACGGAGGCTGGTTTGCGTGAACGTGAGCAGCGTAATACTACCAAAGTACCACAGTACGAACAACGAACACCTTACCTCATTGTCTGTCTTTTTTCGTTTTGCTCCTTTAGTCACCATGCAGAAAGCTCCCCAGCGGGCCGTGGATGCTGCATTTTGCAGACTAAGTCCGATTTCCCTACTGAAGCAAGAAGAAATCTCGTTCAGATTCAAAGGACCAATTTCCTCCCGATAAAGTCGACTATGAAAGACATGAGCTCGGAAGGCTGTTTGTACTCCCCTCCTCAACCCCCAGCCTGGTTAAAGACTCGCCATCAAGGAATTCCCGTTGATGAGAGCCACTTCCCCTCTCCCTAAACGCCCCCCGGGAGGACCTGTTTCTTTTGCTAATCATCCCCTGAGCACTCACAATTTAGGCACCCGATGAGCCTCGCCTATCTGTCTCACACTGCGCTTCGCCCACTCCTTGATCTGTTTCCTGATGATCTTGCCACTCGGAAGCTTAGGTATTTCGTCGACGAACATGATACCACCTGTCAGCCTCTTGTGTTTGGCCACTTTATTCTTCATGAAATTCTGGATATCCGACTCTGTGGTCTTGCCGCGAGCATACTGTTGTAGCACGACGAATGCCCTAGGTCGTTCGTCGCCCTCAATAGTAATGCTCGTCACGGCAGCATCGGCAATGTCGTCACATTCTAGCAAAATAGCTTCGAGCTCCGCCGGGGCGACCTGCAATCCGTTCACCTTGATCAGCTCCTTTTTTCGGTCCACAAGCCAAATCTTGCCGTCCTTGACCACCGCCACATCGCCAGTCTTGAACCAGCCATCTGGCGTGATACTGTCCTTGGTTGCCTCAGCGTTCCTCCAGTATCTCAGCATGATCTGTGGTCCTCTGATGTAAAACTCTCCAGGTTCGCCCTCGGCGAGGACTTCGTTCCCATTGTCGTCGACTAGCATTCCCTCCGTATTCGGGAGTAGATACCCGATGCTTCCAGTCTTGTCATGCATCATACCCGGGACCATGACCCCTGCGCATGTAGTTTCCGTCATCCCCCAACCCTGCGCAACCACAACGTTGAATCTAGTACTGACCACATTTTGTAACTCGCGTGACAACGGTGCGGCGCCGCATAATATGTGACGAACACTACTTAGATCGTACTTTTGGGTTTCTGGTCGCTTGCTGAGCATAATCAGGATTGGCGGGACTGTCTGAAGTGTCGTAATCTTATATCTCTCGACAAATATCAGGAAATCCTCAAAGACGAACTTTGACATGACGTATACAGGTATATGCAGTCGACCCGCGAGGCTGATGGTCCAGAGCTGCGAATAGGCATGATAGAGAGGAAGGAACGCAAGCCATCTTTCGTCACCGGGATTCAACTCGGAGTAGCCTGTATCGTAAAATTTGTTGAATATGGACTGCGCCGCGTTCGAAACAAGATTATAATGTGTGACACAAACACCTTTCGGTAGGCCTGTGGTACCACTCGAAAAGTTGACGGCCGCGATTGTGTTGAGTGCTGATTCACCAGTGAGAGGGTCCATTTGCCACGATTCGGCCTCCTCAGGTTCAGCCACCATAACACGCCAGTCTTGAATGCCTAGCTGTGGGACACACTCATGGTCGGCAAACTGGAAGATGCAGTCAGTGGCAATCTGCGCCTGCTTTGCCGCCTGGAGACCCGTTTCGAGGAGAGATGGATGGATAAGGACGATCGCCGCTTCAATCGTCGTCATCTGATATGCCACTTCGCCGATAGTATACGACGGGTTGGCTCCCGTAAAGATCCTCTTCGATCCGGCTACGGCCAGGTACGCCATAGGTACATAGATGTGGTTTGGTGTGAAGACCATCACCGTGCGTCCTTCTCCAACCTGAAGCTTGTCAAGGCCAATCGCAAACCTCTTGACCCATGATAGCATCTGAGCTGGAGATAGGCTGTTGGAAGGATTGGCGGCTTCCATCCATATCGGTTTTTCGGAAAGAGGTTTGTCAGGCGGGAAAACATAGCTCAGGATGTTGCACTTTGGGAAGGTCAGTGGTTGGTATCTGGCCTGGAAAGGCATTTTATTGTTTTTTTGGAAGTGTCAACAGAGAGACGCACAGAGAAAAGTGTCGACGTTGCGAACCGAGCAACACCACTGGTAGTGAAAAGGCTGTTGAACGAGTAAGATGCGTCCCTATTGGGGAGCTCGAGCTTATAGAGATCGAATAAAAACGCACTGCGATAGTTGTGGCCCGGGACTGAAGTCTGAAGAATGACAAACGGCGAGCTCCTTTGATCGGATACAACTCGGCACGGAGAAAGAACGTTGAGTAGGTCCGAGCTTACCAGGTCTGGTGTTGGTTGGCCACAATCAATGGAACAGGGGCAGCTTTGCGGTATCGATGTGCATCAATCGGGCCAAGCACCATGTCCCTGATATCTGGCTGACATTTTCCGAAACTCCTGCTTAGTGAGAGTCCTCGGGGCACATGTTGACCATTTCCAAAAGCTACGACCAACACCAGGGAGCACAGGTGGATCCCCCCCCTCCCCCCCCCCCCGGACCAAGCAGGAGTTGAATTGCTTGCTCGACATTCAAGTCTACTCGAAGTATCCGTGATTGCCTCGCAGACTGAAATCGACACCGTCATGCATAACCGCTCGATAGCACTATAAAGAGTAACCACATACTGACTTGAAGTCCAAGTCTGACTGCCTATCAAGATTCTTTTACTGCCCAAGCCTCCGGTTTGTCGGTGCGATTAGTGACCGACACAATGGATATCTCGGGGTTTGCGCTCGTCACGGGTGCTGCTAGTGGTATTGGGAGAAGTTGTGCAGAGTCTTTTGCAGAGGACGGGGCGGCGGGCGTCGCTCTACTCGACGTTAATGGAACGGCATTGGAAGAAGTCAAGGCGGAGCTCATCAAGCTCACTTCCAACGCACAATTTAAGTGTCTTACGTTTGAGGTGGACGTGAGAAATGAGCACGACGTTGATCATGCGGTTGCCGAGTCTGCTTGTATCTTTGGAAGACTGGATTACGTGCTCAACGCTGCCGGAGTCGCCTACAAACACCAAGGGGGAGCCGCCTACGCCGAGACGATCGATTGGCAGCGAGTCTTGGACATCAATTTGAATGGCACGTTTTATACTGTGAGGGCTGCTGCAAAGGTGATGCTTAAGCAGGATTTTCTCCCATCCGTCATGTGCGCGAATCGACCACAGACCTTCTATGAGCATCGATCGGCTGACCCAAACTTTGACTATAGTGACGGCCGACCACTCCAGCGAGGATCGATCGTAAACGTCGCATCGATCGTGGGTATTGTCGGCATTCCCTTGTCAACCGCATACGTCTCGTCCAAACATGCTGTCATAGGGTTGACGAGAACGACGGCATTGGATTATGCCAAACAAGGCCTGAGAGTCAATGTGGTATGCCCAGGGTTTATCAAAACCCCTATAATCGAACCAGGGTCCGAGATAGAACGAACCACCACGGAAAAGGTCCAAAAATCAACCCCGATCGCTCGTTGGGGTACTGCGCACGAAATCGCCAACGTGGTCATGTTCCTTTGTGGAGGGCGAAGCTCTTTGATGACTGGGGCCGTAATTCCCGTCGACGGCGGTTTCACTGCACAGTGATTATGCTGTCGGATATGAGTGGGGGAAGGTATCATGCCAATGTCTATAACCTGAAGCTCATGCTGCCATTACTTGAGATTCAGGTTATGATCAAGGAATCGCTCCATCTTCGAAACTCTACCACGCACCCATATACAACAAGAGTGGCGTGGGAAAACTGTCGAGCCACCAACCAAACCGAACAAGTGACCACGGCCCGCCACTGCATCATGTCTAAATCCTTTGCCGTCTTCACAATTACTGTCATGATATGTCTCGTCCATTTCGCCGAATGCGGCGCTTCCCAACTCCTGGGTCTGCTCCCACAGCGGCACATCACTGACGCTTATCCAAGAGACCCAGCAGTTGCCTCTCGTTGGGTAGGAATATGGGGTCGTATCCAGGATCCCTTCGGTTGAAAATGGCCGCCGCAGGAACTTCCTCCAAGGATTCAAGAACTGCGTTATCATGAGCCTCTCCCAAACCACGGTCCACCCGATTTGATGCGGCGGCCGCGTGTGCACGGTCCTCTGGAGGTCTCCTTGGGTATTTGCCAGATCGCGAAATATCCTTGCCGGCGGATTCCACAATTACGGGGGAGGATGCCGTCGGTATCAATGCGTCATTGATGGCGCTCTGTTCGTGCTGCTGGTTCACTGGCCATGCTGCAGCAACGGCTTCGCTCTGGATGGACATCGGATTCGTCACGCTCGAGTCGAGGAGAGATGAAATATTGCCTGGTGTCTCATAGCCGGGATCCATAGTCGCGACGAAATCCCGTAATGATCGCAAATTTTGGAGGGCCTCAGCTCGGTCGCCCCTTCTTTCCGGTCGATCAAGAATGTCGGCTATACACGTCATGGCGTTTCGAGCCGGTATTCGCGCTCCGGTGGGAAGTCGTAATCTAGGTGCTCCTTCTTGCCAACGACTCAATGTATGTGCAATCATCATGGCGTGGTGTAAACAAGAGGTGTGAGCCGCATGAGAGACATTTCGATAGAGACCTAGGCCTTCTTGGTTGGTATCCTCGCAGGCATGATGCGGTAAAATTAGTCGTTGGTGAATGCAGAGGGCGGCATTATGGTAGAATAGGCTAAATCTTGATCAGTAACCCTAGTCGCAGGTCCACTAAAGTGATGACTGGACTGGCTTACTGGAAGAACGAAATATTGTGAGCCTGGAAAGATTGGCTAGTTGGAGAGCCAGGCCTGAGAGCTTCAGGCAATGAATGACAGCGTTCGGTGAGTTTCTGATAAAGTGCTGTCATCTCAAAAAAGGTACCGGCATCATCGATGCTGCCGCTCGGTTTCGGAGGCAACTTCTCAAGTAGTTCATGCACAAGCTCCGTGAGGCCTAGAAGAGTAAAGTAGATACTTTGGTCCTGCTCTCTCAATCCATCCTGGTACTCGGTGTCCCATCTGGCTTGCAACGCTCTTGTCCCGCATTGCTTTAATAATGTCGAGCGGTGTAGTAGTTGTGAGCGGTGACTAGTTGGGCTCTGGTCAGGCCAAGAACTTCCCGGAGGAGCAAGTCGTCAGCTACTTACATATCGTAAATGAGGCAAGCCCAAAGGACTCCCCTCGACCATCGCTGAGCAGCGCCTTGTTGTAGATTGATCTCGATGGAAAGTCGCCAGGCGACACCTGGTAAGGGTTAATAGAATGCCGAGCACGATCGACGCTCTCTGGCCTTACCTATAAGGTTGCTCGCGAAGGCCAGATTGTCATGGTCGATCTCAAGCTCAACCAGGAGAAGGAGTCCCTGAGCCAGTGCAACGGTTGACTTGCCCTCCATTTCGGACTCCATTAGCAGCCGGCACTCTCGATGCAAGGATGAGATCCGTCCACCTCGCGAGCTTATCCCTGTGTCAAAATCCTGCACCTCCGGTCTCTCCGGGTCTGAATACAAGAAACCGACACCGAGGATTGCCAAATGCAGAAACACGGAATAGTATTGGCTCTCACCCGTCTCCATACCTTGGAGGAAGATATCTTTGCCCACGATACAGAAGAGCGAGTTGTAATGATTCCAGAAGCATTCCATGAGGTACTGCTTACACCTCAGGGACAACTGATCGATGAAGTGGCAGGCCCAGGCGGTGGCAATTTGGGCCTCCGTGAAATGGCCGGGATTCTGGTCACTCAGGGACAATGACGTTTCCAGCAACCGCGAAGGTCTTGAATTCCACTCTCCGTCCCACTCTTTACCAATACTGACAATCTCTGCGCAGGTCCGGGCTTGAGATTGATCGATCTCGGGCATCGCATCGAATTGAGATCCCGGCACTGACTGAACTTGGAATGGCGACTGGACTTGTTCATTGCGGATCTCGCTCCCAGGTTCATCGTGGGTACTCGATCCGCTGGAGAGTGAGACCGAGTCCATTGCTGCCTTTTGGCCTGTCTGGAAACCTTCCTGAGGCCCGTCCGCGGATGCATAGCCAGGTACCAGCCCAGTGAAACCGGAACTGGAGTCGGACTGGTGAGATGGACGTGGCAACGCTGAGAACTTGGTAAGACAGGCTTCTAGCGATGCTATCCGACTCTGCAACGACTCAATGTATGCGGCGGAAGTTTTTCTGTGCAGGTCAACATCTGGCAAGGCGCTTAGAAAGGTTCACGCCGTACCGTTTCCTGAGGTCGTCGACGTGGATCACGCAGTTCGATCCGCGATTCTCACACTGTAAGCATGTGCTATGCCCGGGCTCTCTTACGCACTGCATGTTCAGTCAAAACAGGGGGTTTTATTTTCAGGCCAGCACAAGTCTACTCACCCTTGTACGTCGTCGCCGACACGAGGTGCAAGCGGCTGATGCCCGCTGACGGCCAGCTGGCGCCGGTGGATTAGCATCGACAGAACAGTCTGCCATTGTTGTCGATGCGAGAATCCTTGTCAGAGAAGTAGAGACCGACTGACAACCTCAAGACTGGGGATCGAAGAGGTCTCGCCGATGGGGAACCGGGTTTTGCGGGAGCCAATGTCATTTCAAATTCTGACCGTTGGCGTCCCTGATCCCGAAGAGGACTAGTCTGTTGTGCAGGAGAGCGGGGTCTGCACTCTACCCACGGCTGAGGAACCAACCTCTTCTTCTACACAGTCCTTCGAACAATAATTTAATTATTCTAACTCCCTAATTGTTCTAGGTGGCGGAAGGCGACGATGCTGACTGCATTCAGTGCTGACGATCTTTCTTGAAGATTTTTGTCACAGCATCTTCCGCCTGAGCCGTAGTACATGCCACGACTCGCAAAGAACCGCCGCCCGAGCCCAGCCTGACACTCGTCTGAGCGATGTCGCAGCAGCGGAGAGAGCGAATGAGCTCGGCTTCGTGGGAGCCGACCAGCAATAACCACCGAATCTTCCGGACGGTGTCACCCCGGTTCCATGATGGTCTTTTGCAGCTCTACTGGGCTCATTACGGCACCGTGGTTCCAATGGTGGATCGAGACTTGTTTGAGCGCTCGAAAAAGACTGCTGACGGTGTGTTCTACTCGCATTTTCTGCATGTCTCAATGTTGGCCATGGGTCACCGCTTTGCCGACCAGTCCGAACAAGAGGTGCAGAGCACCACCACCAGCCCGGGCCAGAGCACATTCCACCGTGAATGTAGGCATTTGCTGTGGCAAGCCCTTGATGCCCCGAACATGTGTGACATTAGCGCCGTCTTGATTCTGAGCGATCTTGAATTTGGACTGGGCAATAGTAGCTTAGGGAGGAGGTTTGTCGGTATAAAACTTCGGCCTGAGCAGGAAAAGAATCTACTTTTGACAATCTTGTGACTAGGAATGGCTTCCCAGCTAGTATCAGACATGGTCATGGCTGAAAATTGTATCTCCAGCGGCCAATTCCACAGTGAAGAAGCGCGGGTTCAGCGTCAAATCGTCGTCGCTTGCTCCCTCTACGATAAGTGTGTTAACCGGCAAAGGCAGGCCGGTTCTACACAATACTAATGTCGCATAGAAACTGGGCACAACTGGTCCATCAGTCTGCCTTTGTCAAGGACCCAGATCCTCGTTCACCTCCTCATGAGAGGAGGATCCGATCGACTGAGGGTCATGAGCCACCCCTGTGCAACACCCTCGACGCTTTCGATGAGCGCGTTTCCATTGCCACAGGAGAGCTCCAGAGGCTCGTTGGAAGTATCATTGAACTTTGGCTCTTGGCCGGGGATACGCACCACTTGTCCGCCCAATTATCCACCATCTATCCCACGGTGGCAACGCTGAATCGGGAGATGACAACATGGTATCAGAACCTGCCGCCAGATCTGCAATGGACGTCCAGCAATCAACATCTCATGCCGGGCAGTTTTTTCCTGCTACATCAGCAATACAACGCTGCGATCATCAGGCTGCATCAGCCATTGAGTTGGGGATGGGCGCAGTCGGATCGGTTGGAGGCGGATGGCGAGATGGAACAAGCCCATCTGAAGCATCTGGCTGCCATATCCCAGCTAGCTTGCTTGAACCACGCGATACAGATCGCACGCATCTTAGCAGCCAAGCAATCCCGCTTTGGTCAAATCCTCGCCCTCCTGCCCGAACTACAAACCGTACTGACGGCGACGAGTGCTCTGATGGACGGCGTCGTCCAAGCAGCCGAGAATGCGCAACGAGATCTGGCTCTCCAAAACCTAAAAGTCATCCTCCACAGCCTCGATGCTATGTCGAATGCACCCCGGCCTGCTCAGGTAATGATGACGATGATCCGGAGCTTTCTTAATCGACACGAGATGTCGCATCACAGCAACACCAGCGAGTAGTCCATGCTCTAGTCATGGGCTCTGAACCCAGGCACACGCCCAATGAATCTTGCTAAATGCAGTCTGGAACCTATTGATAGACTGACAGTGCCACTGATCCAGCAGAAATGATCAATCTCTGATGGACCAACAAATCACATATGCAATCCCCTTCTGAAATCTTTGGCATGCATTGGAGGTTTCGGCAATCGTTTTCCTACAGAATCCCTCGGCCGGATGTTTGGTGCCAGCCACTTACTTTAGTGTGGATCTGCCAAAAGGAGTTAGGCCAGGACAGGTAGAGTCTCATGAGTCCACCTGACCACCGATGGAAGAGATCAGGCGAATGGCAACAAGGATTGAACGCCCTCGGGTCTTGCAGCGGTGCAACTCAACAGCCACGTGGGCAGCACTCCGGTAAAGTACAACGCCGCTGCTTACTGCCGCTCTCCGGACGGGGGATCCCTAGAACACGAAGACTACTTTACACCTCGGGGATAGGATGTTTCATGTGTTTTTGCATAACCATGCACCCACGAAAGGAGGTAAGGACTGAACGATGCAAGGGGATTTTTTTTAGCCTTTTTTTTTAGGAGGGCTGGGGACCTTCATCTTTGCGGACGAGTCGCTCTACTCTTTTGGCGGCTGTGCAAGCTGGCGACTATTCCATCACTATTATTACCATCATTTTTCCAGTGATCATGGCAACACTCTTACCGGCGAACACGCCATCCAAGGTGAGTAGCTCTCCGTGTCTCGGTCTATCCGTATATGTGTTCTCCGGTTCTGCCCCTGCTCTGACGCTGGAATCTGCAGCGCAGGCAAAGCCACCCAAACCACGTCGTCAACCACATTGCCATTTCGGTCTCGAACGTCGAAGCCGCGGTGAAATGGTACACCGAGATTCTGGGGTTCCGTAAGCTACGACAAAGTGTCCGTACGACCGATCGAAAGATCACCCCTAACGCGGCTCTGTTCGAGATCTATGGAGACAGGCTGCAGGTGGTGAAGATTGCATTCCTGGCCAGCGCCAACGGGGTCGGCATCGAACTTTTCGAGTTCATTGATCCGCCCATGACGCAGCCGGCCGACTTCGACTACACACGTGGGGGCGTATTCCACATCTGCCTGACCGTGTCGGACCCTGAGAGCCTCTGTGCGAAAGCGGTCGCTGCGGGCGCGAAGCAGATTGGAAACACAATCATGCCGTGGCGGCATCTCGACGAGGATGACGTTGCGTTGTATATACAAGATCCCTGGGGCGTTGTCATCGAATTCCTCAGTTGCAGCTTTGAGCATCTCATGGCAAACCGCGTCGAGGCAACCGTGCCGGAGCCGACCGATTGAAAAGCCAGAAGCCAGACCTATGTGGCTCAAATCAATGGTGTACGAGCAGAACAAAGTATTGTCTGCCAATGCATTCTGGTCCGAGAGTGTCGTCTCCCAGCTTTTGCCATCTTTGTTTTTCTCATCCTCGATAACTTCTATTACTTCTCGTAATCACTCTATGCTCAGCCGATCATATATCGGGGAGCCTACAACAACTTTTTCCACCAAAGTCTCCTCATCCAGCTCAGCTCAGCTCAACCAAACAGCCAGCGACCGAATCCGGACACCACCACCACCACCAACAGCGTCGTCAGGAGCCTTTTGCAGCTGAAAATAACTAGCCATGTTCTTCTTCGTGCAAGCACCGGTTTTGCTCCAATATTCCACCGAGCCGATTACCACCACTTCGGTAGAACTACCAGTCGTAGTGTCGCTCGGGGTGGGATTGCCGCCGTGAAACACCTTGAGCGGCCGATGATAGCGGCTCTCGACATCATGCCACATGTTTTGATGCAGCGCTCTGAGATCTACAGACAGTATCAGTTACATACATACGATATGCATTAGCACACATGGTTGTAAGTAGTAGTAGACCTGTAACTGAGAGAGGGAGGCCAAGAAGAAACGCACCATCATGACCCCGGACGGAGGATCCATTTGGAAGGGTCAAAACTGCGTCTCGGGCGAAGGAGAGTGCATATTCCTCGTGCGCTCCGAGCGTGTCTACTGCCGTGTAATAACGAACCATGTGGCGTTGGATGTCCTCATCCACCTGACTGCCGGTCGGGTAGTATTCGGAAGAATAGTCTCGTCGCAGCAGCTGTGCATCCCCCATCGCCCGTGTCGCAAAGCACAGACGTTGCCAGGCCACAAAACCGCGTCTCTCAGACAGGAATATAATCAGAACGACTGGTGAATCGATCTTGGAGGGGGGTGGCCCTCTTGTCCGTTATACCTGACAAATAGAAAGGGGGTTTTTTGGCCCGCACGAATTTTGTCAGCGTGTTACGGTTTCGGGCTTCTAATATAGCATTTGCCTTGAACCTCGGAACGGCGACCGGAAACTTGGATGCCTCAGCAGTCCCGCCAGAAGCTGGGATGGCCCCCCGTTAGTAATGGGGTACTAACTATCCTGCGATTCCCTTCTGAGGGGAAGATCGTCGCCGTCTATATGACATTGGCACTTGGTTGACTTGTCTCCCCCAGCCCACCCCGCCTTCATTCTCAGCCATTTAACCCGCATAAAAAGTCCAACATTTGTTCGCAGGACTCTGAACCATCATGACGGCGACGAGCCAGAGCCGGCGACATGCGCTCATCCTGGGGGCTTCTGGAATCACGGGCTGGGCCATTGTCAACTCCCTGTGTGAGGGATATCCCGAGCTGGATGCGTTTGACAAGATCACGGCGGTCACCAACCGCCCGTTGACGCAGCAAGACAGCGGCTGGCCATCGCACCCCCGTCTTGAGATTGTTTCCGGCATCGACCTGGTGAAAAATGACCAAGAAAGCTTGAATGACCTTATGAGAAAGAGAATCCCCGCCGTGGACACGGTGTCGCACCTGTACTTCTACGGTATGTCCGTGTCGGAGGGGGGAGGTGCTCACTCCCTTTGTTCCTCCAATTGGACTGTAGAAGGTGAAAAAGGCTAACGTTTTCATATCCATCAGCCTACAAGCAGGATGACGACGAGGAACAAGAATGCAAAATTAACGAAATGATGCTCAGCCGCGCAGTGACAGCGGTAGAAACTTTGTCCTCGGAATTGACGTACGTGGTACTTCCAAGCGGCACAAAGGTACTGGAAAACAAGTCTCAGAGTCTCCCTTTTCTTGTGTTTTTCCACGACCGATCAGACATTGACGCCCACTCACGCAGATCTATGGAGTCCACATGCTGGATAAATTCCCCTTCTCCGACATTTTGCCCATCTCTGAGTCTGCGCCGCCGCTCCCGGAGCCGTGGTTGAGCCGGCTCTTCTACTACAACCAAATCGATTGTTTGAAAAGAATGTCACTTGGAAAGCAGTGGACGTGGTGTGAGGTGCGTCCGGATAATATTGTAAGTACCAAAGTGTCTCGCCAAAGTCCCTTTGGAGAACAGTGCGGATCCTACTGGTACAGTTCCCTTGGTTGACCTGCTCCGCACCCAAAAGATTGGTTTCGTACCAAACAACAATGCATACTGCCTGGCGCAGACACTCGCCATCTATCTTAGCCTCTTCCGCTTTGTCGAAGGTCGGGGCGCCACCTGTCCGTTTCCCGGCACCGACAAATCTTGGAAAGCACTCTACAACGAGTCGCCGCAGGACATGGTGGCCCGGTTCTCGATCTACACAAGTCTGCATCCCTCCCAGACGGGCGGCAAGTCGTTCAACGTCGCAGGAGAAGAAGCTTCATGGAGTTCGAAATGGCCGGTCGTATGTAGCTATTTTGACCTCGAAGGGACTCCACCGGTCCCCGATGCTCCTCAACCAGGGGCATACATTGAGAAACACAGGCCACAGTGGGATGACCTGGTCCAAAAGGAAAGCCTCAAGGATCAATTTTTCGGCAACGATCTCTCCCATCAAGGCTTTCAATACTTCATCATGACCATGTTGGATTTCGATCGCCACATGGACATGGGCGCCATGCGGTCCGTGGGTTATACGGAGATCATCAATACCCAAGAATGCTGGAGGCTTGCTTTCGACCGTATGAGAAAGGCCAAGATAATCCCCTGAGGTATCGACAAGCTTTTATTGGAGAAGGGGAGGAATGCGCGAGTAGAAAATCTCGAATAGTACAACTAAGATTTGCACCGTGCGCTCAGGCTTTCCCTTACTCCCGTCCATGCCCTGGTGATATGTCTAGGCTTGCTTTCTACGGCATATTTGCATTGTATGGCTCTCTTAATCGCTGACTCGGTCAGCAGTCCCTCGATAACATATAGAGTTCCACGTCTTCAAAACACATGCCCTCATTATAGTCCATTGCGGCCGCGTCGTGCGGCCAACCACTTTCGTTCGGCACACGACTCTTGAATCCATTGTTCGGGAGGTCGGGCAGAAACGGGTCGAGAGCAATCGGGTCTGGATGATCGGTCTGCCGAAAATTACTCGACTCTGTGAGGCATGTATTGAGAATCTCGCCGTAACCCGTGGGAAGATCTCTCCCCGCTGTGTCAAAGGCAAGAGACCAGCTTGGGTCGGCTGGATTCTGTAGGAAAGAGTAGTCGACTTCGAAAGAATTGTCGTCAAAGGGGCTGGGCAGACCGATACCAAATCCCAGGTCGTCTTCCTGAGGAGGTGCCGGCGATGACACGGGAGGATAAGTGACCTCCGCTTCTGGTGATGGAGTAAGTGTTGATATCGGGCCTAGGTCGCCAGGCACCACTGGGTTCGTTATGTTTGGCCGTAGAGCAGGTTGCCGGGATTCAAGGGCGTTTCCAACAGAAGCAACGTCGGGTTGATCGGCGTTACCTTTGGTCATGGACATTGGAATCTTCGCCGTTTGGCATGCGGACTGGATGAAGGCAAAAGACCATTCCATGTAGGATACATTGCTTCCGACTTCTCTTAATATGCGAGTGAACAAGGCCAGAGACTTCACATTGAAAGGATCCGGACGGTCTCCAGCAAACTTTATTTCCAGAAGATGGACAATAGTGGTGACCAATATGCAGGGCATAAAGGGCATGGGCAACTCATTCATCAAGCCCTGAGCCTTGAGCATCTCACAGGTGCCAGTAATTTCGCGTGCAGACGTGCGGACCTTAGCCCGAGCAGCAGCTGCGGCAGCAAGGTCGGCCTCAGATACGGAACCGTCAGGAGGTACCAGATGCTTGCGGTGGACGGTAATGACAGCGGTATGGTAGAGCATGTGGAGGAGGCAGTGGTGTTGCACCAAAACATCGTCTTCCAGGCCGAAGCCTCCAGGGGATGGTAGTTTCGGGGCAGCTTCGTCGGGCAGCTCTGCGAACCATGTTGCCAATTCTGCGTCGGCTTTCTGAACGATTCGATCTTCTGTGCTCCCTTCGGTATGATCGCTGCGTAAATTGGCGATATCATGATGTCTGCCTCCACCGTCATCCAATCCTTGGGTGTCCTGGAGCTCCAGGTGATCATGCCCAATCTTGCAGAGCTTGACCAATTGAAGAAATATGACGGCCAAGTGGCGCCCCTTTTGCTCATAATTGTTCAACTCCGCCGATGCCACAACCAAGGGTGGCCGAGAGATTAAGGGATGAGAGACAAAGTCGTCCATTGTGAGCATTGAGACGGTGCATTTGTCGAGGTGAATGTGAACTGGCCGACTCATGCCATAGCCGATCATGTAGTCCCGTAACACGCAACACCACCACAATCTTCTCAATAAAGGCCTTTGGTTAGGGGCTGCAGCCGCAATGGTAGACTCCCGGTGAAGACCTGTTTTCCTCGCAAGAGACACCGCGAGCCCGACATAGTGCCAGGGGTCTTTGTGGTCGTCAGGGCTACGATACCACAAAGTCATGAGCAGAAGAGACTGGATCAGGCAGATACGATCTTGTTCATAATCCAGGTCGTATAGGAGCTGGAAACACCATTAGCATCCCGCCTCGTCAAAGTATGATTTGATCACGGAATGCGGTACCTTGACAATTTCGAACGTGTTGTGCAGGCATGCCTTTTTCGAGGTATAGCCTGCACTCCGCAGGTACTCCATATCCACTGAATGCGTGCCCGCCAGCATGATGGCATGGAACAAGAGGAGGCTGTACTGCCCTTTGGACCGATCGCCATGCTGCATGATCGTGGCAGCCGTTTCCACATCCAGCAGTGGGAGGAACGGATGAACCGACCGAAGATATGCTTGCCACAAAGCATTCCGCAAGCAAGCCGACGGCAGTGACAAAGCGCCCTTTTCTTGAATCAGATCGGCTGCAGCCGGCGACATGGACCAGGGCAGAGGTCTGATGTAGGGAGGAAGACGGTCATTGTAGGGCTGTCCTGCTGTGGAATGACGATTGGGAGGAACAGGTTTGCCATTTACAACGCTTCGACGGGCCCGGGTTTGGGACCGGTGATCTGTCGAGATTCAAGGATCAGAACCACGCCGGCCAGAAAACACCATGAGGGTTTGAGCGCACCTGGCGGCGAGAAAGATCCTGAGCTAGAATGTGACGATATGGTCAGCCTCTGAGAATCCTCATCTGCTTCGGGACGTGGATAGACTGGGGATGGGGGACTAGGACCTGTACCGTCGACACCTTTTTCTCGTTGTTGTGGTCTCAACCTGACATTCGACTTCATCAAGTCTACAGTTGGTACATGGAATGCTGCTGTCCGTCGAATCGCACCGCACCTTACGGTTTCTACAGCGACGACACGCGTGGCGGGTTCTTTTGCGGGTGTTGGTGGAGCTCTCTGTGGGCAGAGGTTCTTTCTCTGGTGCTACCTGTCGTGAAGGAACCGATTGCGACGCGGACTGGTTGTTCATGCTGAGTGGAAGAAGGAGCAGTGTGTTTCTAGTTCTACAGAGAATCACGCGTGAGCGATCATAAATGGATGGATGGGCAAAGGTGGTGGAAGAGCACCGTGCTTCAAAGCCACCAAGAGGACCAAAAGTTGGGGGGAGAAGACGCTGCCGACTAAAGCTTTAGGCAAGAGGGTTCAAACTCTAGGGGTAGATGCGGGGCTTAGCATGCCTAGCGCGCGAAGCTAATTTCCTAGAGGGTCCGGAGGCGGGCAAGGGCGGGGCAGGCACGCGGGGGTGGCTAAAGGGAGGCACGAACTAACTAGGTAGGTCATGCCTTAGAGCCTATCGCTCCTCTCCTTAAGTAATAGTCGCGGGGCGGAATTCTGGTGGACTGGCATCGCCATTATGGCCCTCCGCTCCGACATTCTACTGAAGCACGGCTGGATAGTTACGGCCTGTTGGTAACACAGTGCAAAGAATACGCAAGAGGTTTTCTGCTGGAAACCTCCCCAGAAATCTGGGGGTGCTGGGGGTGATGCGGGTGTCAGTAGCTTCAACGGCCCATCAAGTCCAGATGAAGCGAATTCTGCGAACTATTTCTCCGGGGATGATCGAATGAACCATGCGGCGAGGCGGGAGGATCTCGACCCTAGTCCAGAAGATGTCATTACCAGGTTCCATGCGAGCCTCGGAATTTCTCATTGCCTCGGATTTTCCCAGGTTCGGAAAACGATAACCTTTTTATGTGGCGTTCAAACGCAGTCATGATACTCGGTACATGTCTTTACAAGTGCTCAATGCGCACAAAGCTCCTCCAGCCTATTGCGCCTCCTGCTTCCGGATTGTCTACTCTCACTTTTTCACGTGACCTATTTGATCCATATGGATCCAAGCGTTGTGCCGTCCATGTAGTGGCTCAGATGTTGGATTGCCACGGCTACCACAGAGTCAACGACAAGTGTGCCCTGCGGCCTTTTTCATTTCCAAAATGTTCCTGTTCCGCCTTTGGCGTAGACTGTTAGATAAGATAGTAACTAGCCCGGTATACATAACAAGTCTGGTGTTGTTTTGTCTCCTGGTAACACTTCTCATCTGTTTGAAGCTTCAAGATGACTGGATTGAAGCTGATCCACATAGTGTTGCTGGACATACGCTGTCCATCAAATTTGAAACCAATATGCGCCGACCTCTTCTGGCTGGTTTCACCGCGTCACCTCCAACTGCCGTTTTGTACTGACCATGACTATTATCTCTTCACCGGTATCGCTTTCACATTGAGCTCTGGAACATCCCACACCATCCATGCCTTCATATGTTTCATCTGTCCCTCTGGATCCCATTTGGACGCGCCGTCGGAGCTCACGATGTCGAAGTGCCAGAGTAGGCGGACGAGCATAAGCCGCATTTCCATCCAGGCAAGACTGCGAGACATTGTCAGTCAGGGACCCGTAAGAGTTGGCAGTGGCCGACTCACTTCTTGCCCAGGCAGACACGAGGTCCAAGCGAGAATGGCTGCGTGGCCTTCTTCTTATCGGCAGAGTAAGCGACATCTAGCCATCGCTCAGGAATGAATTCGTCGGGCTGCTGGAAGTTCTCAGGGTTGTGCGAGGCAGCCCACGAGCTGACAGAGACGGTCGTCCCGCCAGGTACGCTATAGCCGTCGATGATATCGCCACCATCAGGAACGGTCCGGACTAGTCCCGGAGTGATAGGCGGGTGCACACGCAGACCCTCATTGATGCAGGCATTCAAGTAAGGCATTCGCATGGTTCGATCGTGCTTAATATCCTCCTCGGTCGGGAACTCGTTGCGAATTTCTTCAACCAGCTTCTCATAAGTCCGGGGGGAACGTAACAATCGAGCGGTAAGCCCTGACAAAGCATTCGCAGTTGTCTCGCTCCCGGCGAGGCTGTAATGGTCAGTATCAGACGGGAGGTCATACAGGCTCAACCTTGTACTAACATGAATAGGGCGGAGTTCGTGATAATCTCCTCCTCGCGTAGTTCGAACTTTTCCTTTTGTTTAAGGATGTACCAGATAAAGTCACGATGGTCATCATCTGTGCTTGCAAGACGTCTGTTTCTTGAAGTTGGCATCCACATGTTTTGTTGGAGACAGACTGACTCGAACTTACTTTTGGACTTGAGCCCGGGTCAGCTCCATGTGCCTCCGGTTCGGCGCTGAGATATCACCAAAGCAGCGCAACAACAACTTTTGCAAGGGCGTCCCTGCCGAGGCGAACCGTCTAGTCGACTGCACGAGCGCCCCCGCCTTGACTGCTTTGAAGACTAATGTCACCCAGTTATGGTAACTGCCTTCATCGAGACAGCCATAGTATTCCTTGAAGGCCAGGTCTCCAATGGTGTCGAAGGTCAGGAAGTTATACCAGTCGGAGAGGTTGAAGGCCTGGCCCTGCTGGCTGAAAGCTGCAACCTTGCTGATCAACTTATGTTCATGACTGGCAATGATGGCCTCTTGCTCATTCAGGGCCTTCTGAGAGAAAGAATAGGCCAAGCCTCGCTTTTGACGTGCGTGTGTGGATTCGTCCGGCTCGTATTGCATGCTGACCACGCCTTTGATAGGCTGGACGGGGCCCGCATGAATGGCATCTTTAGCCATATTGAGCCGGCCATGTCTGTATCCATAAATGTCTTCCCAGGCCTGGGACCCATTGAAGGACAGCTCGTTGGGGCTGATACGCACCACTGGTCCTAGAGAAGGGTCAGCTTGACCGCGTGCTTCGGGGCCAAGACGTACCGTATTTATCATGTAGAGTCTTAATGTCCATGCCCATTCGACCCCGAAGTAGCGACAGGATTGCTGGGACTGGGCTGAACTTGTTCACGAAAGGCGCCGGGAAGCGGGACAGTGGATGGAAATAGACCCGATAGATAACCTTCGCCGCAAAATACAAAACCGTCTGTAAGGGCAACGAGTTAGTGCTGCAAGGTAACGTCGACATGAGCCCTTACGCATATGGCGATGAGGTACAGCATGTCCAATGCGTCCAACATGGTGATTTCAGAATGGCTGAGAGCTATCATATTTGCGGTATTTGGGCAGACCTCTTCGCAAAACCTGGTCGGAAATTGGGGCCTACCATCCAGATGTGGCTGAAAGCGTTAGCATGAATGGGAATCGACTTTATGACAACCCTCGTCGTGGCTTTACGTAGGCCTCCCGCAGAGAAAGATGTAGAACGCAGACCACATACCTAGGGGACGGCGATTGCTGTGACTTCCGAGGTTCTGAGTGGACTAGGATTCCCCCTTCCGTAGTCGCTCGGCTCCGGGTTGTACAGCCTGTAATCTAAACCCAGAACCTCATTTGACCTTTCTCACAAGGGTAGCGAATAAAGGGTATGTGCTTCCTGTCTTTCACCTCGGACAGGGCCAACAGCGGCTGTGAGATTGAGATGCAGGGCATGATGCCGAACACTACGTGCAAGGTCTATGGTGGTTTATATCATTTAATCATCCCACATCACCAAGACATCCGTACTGGTAACCTATCGTTTCAATGGCTAAAAATTCTAACTTAAGAACCCAAGAGAAGATGTCCGGATATAACCTTGAGGTCAAACAGCCGGTGGCAGACGTCAACGAGCCCCAAGTCGTAGCTGAGCACCACGGTTTCGCGACCGACATCGACCATGTGCCCAAGGGATACTTCACCACACGATACTTCCTCGGCACCTATGTTGCCCATATTTTCACCTTTTTAGGCGGCCTGGCGGGGTTCAACCTGATCGCCCCTATTCTAGGAGACATCAACAATGACATCGGCCCCAGCGAAAGCATCCTATGGCTTGCACTTGTCTACCCGCTCGGGCTCGCTGTTGGGCTGGGCCTCATGGGCCGTGTGACGGACATCTTTGGCCGACGTTGGTTCATGATCATTGGCAACCTCCTGGGCACCATTGGCGCTGTTGTTTGCAGCCGAGCACACACAATAAACACACTAATTGGGGGAGAGACGCTCATCGGTTTCGGTAGCACGGCCGCGTACTCTTTTAATTTTGTCATCAGCGAGATCGTCCCGATGAAGTATCGCTTCTGGGCACTGGGAGGTCTTTTCTTCTTCTGTCTGCCGATGAACGGCTTTAATACCATCGTCGCGACGAGCTTTGTGGTCCATACCGAGCAGGGTTGGAGGTGGTGCTACTACCTTATCCTCATCCTGAACGCCATTGCTACAGTCCTCTACTTCCTCTTTTATCATCCCCCAACCTTCGAGATGAAACACAAGGGTGTGTCCAAGAGACAGATATTGAAGGAGTTTGACTATGTGGGAGCATTTGGCTTGATGACCGGAGTCACCTTGTTTCTCATTGGTCTGAATTGGGGAGGCGGTCTGTATTCCTGGAACGATGCACACGTTATTGCGACCATGGCCGTTGGCGGCGTCATCATCTTCGCACTTCCAGTCTGGGAGGCTTTCTCGAAAGTTAAAGACCCCTTCATTCCGCTGCGTCTGTTTCGGTCCCGCGGCTGGACGGTCTCCATGCTGTCGTCGTCAATCGGAGCAACCGTCTACTACAGCTTCTCCATCATTTGGCCGTCGATGGTGTCCGTTGTCTACGCCCGAGGAGATCAGATTTGGGCGGGGTGGGCTTCCTGTTTGGTGGCTATGGGAATTGCTGTCGGCCAGGTCATCGGAAATGCACTCACTCTCGCAGTCACAAGGCAGAAGATCCAATGCATCGTGGCCATGACGGTGGGAACAATATTCCTGGGAGGTATGTCATACTATGCTTTCATGCAACTGACTAGCACGGAGCGCTGACATCGATATAGCGGCTGCGACATGCAATGCGGACGACAAGGGCAAGGCCATGGCATTTGTCTTTCTTTCTTGTCTTTTCATCGGCTGGAACGAAGCTGTCGTGGCGACATTGGTCGGTGTGTGCATCCAGGACCAGCGTGACATCGGAGTAGCCGCGGGCCTGTCAGGCTGTATCCGCTCACTTCTTGGGTCTGTGTCATCAGCAATTTATTCCGCGGTCCTGAGAAGTCGACTAAACCACACGGTCCCCGCGCACGTTACTCCCGCAGTCGTGGCAGCTGGTCTTCCCAAAAGCTCGGTCGAGGCCTTCGTTCAGGCCCTGTCCATCGGTACATCTGCAGCCTTCGACAAAGTCGAAGGAGTCACTCCTGGAATCATTGCCGCCGGCACCCAAGCCTACCGAGTGGCAAACGTTGACGCCTATCGAACGGTCTTTCTCTCCAGCCTCGCGTTCGGCGGACTGTGTATCATCTTGAATCTTATGATCCCGAACGTCGACAAGCTCATGAATAGAGATATTGCAGTGAGGCTACATGCAACGAACGAGAAGAACGCCTCCGACACGGTGGGAGACAAGCCACTCCATGAAATCAAACATGTGGAAAAAATTGTGTGATGGGCCATGTCTGTAGCTACTATATATTTCTCTGTCTCCCAGGGAAGTTTGGTCTGCAACTAGTATCTAAGTGGTACGCTCTTAGAGTGCTCTCATAAGCTCTCAAAGGAGGACTGTAGAACTCCAGGTTTGATTAATTGGCACCTTTTCTTATCACCACCCAACACCCATCTCTAATACCGTGGATTATACAAATTCACGGATGACGTATCCTCGTCCTTCTCTGGGTAAAGTCAAAAAACTAGATATTGCCATAAGCACAGTACGGGTTGATCTGAAACCTTTGCTCTGACTGTTGAGGAGCTAAGTGTCCAACACCGCTATCTCCTGTTATGCTTTGAACGTAGTATAAGGGACCGTGATTTTATCATCCCTGGCATGAAAAAACTTCATCCGATATTTAGGAGCATAAAACTAGTGAAAGATCATCACAAATCGCACTTGAAGTCTCCATGACGTAGCCGTCTCTTCCTAGAGCGAAAACGACATACCATGCCCCAGGAACAAGTACTAGTGATTCCCGTAGAAATGACTTCAAAGCTTCCCAGTAATACAGGGAGGCTTCGTTTTCTTTTTCCTTTTCCTGCGGATCATATTCTCCCCTTGTCCAGGAATCGCTGGGGGATATCCACCCACTTGGCTCGCAAATACTCGCAGACGTTTTTACCCAGCGAGTCGTAGCTGGCCGTGGAATTAGCACCGCGATCCAAATGGTCTTTCAGCAGGAAGTGAACAGCTCGGACGTTCGCCATCTCAAAACGGTCCACATTCCCTCCTATGTACTCCTCTCCTAAGAGCTCCTTCACTTTTTGGACGGTCAGAAAAGACCTGAGCCAGTCCCACTCCTCGCCGTCTCGAGCAAAATATCCCACGTTACAGTCAGAGCTCTTGTCCCCAGATCGACCATGCACTACATATCCCAGAGGTGCCCGAGTGGTTGGACCCCAGGATGAGAGAGGAAGGGGGCAATCTGTTTCGTAAGACGGCTGCTGACGAGGGAATGATTTTGTCACCGTGGGAGGGCTGATAGGGATTGTGCGGCCGTCAAATGTATGAACTTCGTGCTGAATATCTGTTTGTGACAGCAACGAGACCCAGTACCTATGACAGATTAGGAGCTGAACCGACATGCAGCTATCAAGCACCAGACAGGGACATACTCGAAATACGGTTTGCCGACCGCCTGACGCATATCGAGAGCAGGTGTCGAGCCGGGATAGCCCATGAGGCAGTTCTCAACACACCATCGCGCGAAACAGGGCGTATCAGGCGTAACTTTGATATTGGACCCTGCAGAGACGATGTCTGGGTTGCGGGTTTGGGCGAAGATGCGCAGGTCGACCGTAGCTTCGTCTTGGTTACGAGGGTCCTTCGCCGACGACCCGGTCACCGTGAAAGTCAAGACGTGGAATTCTTTTCGATACTCGCCCATCGAGGCGATGGTTTGACGTTCGACCATCTGGCGCTTTTCTTCGATGTCGAGGCCGGTCAAGAAGAAGTGAAACTCGGCTTGCCAGCCTCCTTTCGCCGTGATACCCACCTTTGTCGTCGGTGGCGGAGGATGACCAACGACACCAGAGACACGAACCCTCTCAGGTCCTTCTTGGGCCATGCGAACTCCAGTCAACTCTGCCGTCACATCCGAGTTGTAGTAGTAAGGACCCTGGATCTCGTACAGGAGCTGTGATAACACCGATCCGACGGTCACTATGCCCCCTGTATTTGCTTCCTTGGTGATGACAAACTCACCGCTGGCCTCGATTTCCGCGATCGGAAAGCCAAAGTCGAAGCAATTGTCCTTGGCCAGCAGCTCTGTCTTGAAACCGGTGTAATAGCCACCCGTCACGTAGGTGCTACATTCGATCAGATGTCCTGCTATCAATGCTTGCGCCAGTCTAGAGAAATCTCCACGACCCCAGCCGTGCCACCACATCGCCGCGCCGAGCACAGGGGACGCATCAGAAACACGGCCACAGATCACAATGTCGGCCCCCGTGGCAAGAGCTTCAGCGATTCCAGCGCCCCCCAGGTAACACTGGGCACAGACGGGCTCCCATCCCCAGTCCTGTATCGGCAGGTCAGAAGGCAAGGACAGGAACTGATCTCCTCTGGCTAGAAGGGCCTGGACTGTTTCAGTGACATCGTCGCCGGTGATCCACGACACTTTCAGATCAACACCTTTCCCCTTACACAACTCCTGAACCTTCCGTGCCATTTCTTCAATGGCACTGGCGCCCGCGTTGACAGCGACCTTTTTCCCCGTTCTGGCTATGTCGAGGATTGCAGGCTCAAGCGCTTCGATAAAGGTCCCTTCGTATGGGGCGTCGCTTTCTCCTTGGACGGCTGTTTTGCTATCCAACTTCTGCGTTGCCCGTGCCGTCATGTTCATCTCTGACATCCAGTCTCCGATGATGACATCGACATTTGGATTTTTGGCCAAGTCAGAAATGGCTCTAATGCGATCGAACACACCCCCTGAAGCACCAGCGACGCGTACTGGGCGGCGAACATTACCATGAGTTGCGGCCCCGCCCTCCTCGAGAGCTCCGTTTACTAGAACCATTTTTGAATGAATCTTAGGCGGTCAATACTGAGGCTCGAAGAGATCACCGAGTATTTCAACACCGCAAATATAGAGCCTTTCCCTGTGGTGGCCACTTTTACTCGAGATTTGAATGTTACCATGGGTGCTACCTAGATGGACCAAATTATACTAGGCCACGTCTACCCGCACCTTGGATCAATGTCACAATGCTTGTTCAGTCGGCTCTCACCCTTCCCTCGTCCGAGTAGCTGATCTTCCTTAGCTACCCCGTTGGCTACAGACAATGTGTGCTGCGGTGAAAGAGTCCAACAAACTAGTTGACCTCGGCTCGGCAATCCACTCCGTCGACTTAAACGGATCGACCCATTGAGGAAAATAGGATATCTATATCCGGGAGCAGAAGCTCGCTCACAGCCGACAGCTCGCCGCAAACCCTAGCTGCCCTGTTCTTACAGCAGTCAAGGGAGCGCTTTATCCAGATGAAGGTCGGGTCCTTGCAGAGATCGAAAACGACACCAATGGACATCCTCTAACTAGACCGCGTCCTGCTGCCTCGCGTGGTACCATCATTGTTGTGCCTTACCCCTGGTCAACCAAACGACTGTATGTTGGCTCGCTCTTGGCGTGTGTAATAGAGAGAGAGATGCAACGATCAATCGATTCTATTAACAACGTACAGTCTAGATCGATACCCTGTCGCTGAAAGAAAACATGGCTGGCGCAGTTCGCCAGTCTCTGCCTGTGAATGCCTTAGAGGCCTACCTCGCAAAACATGCTGCAGAGATTCAGACCCCCATTTCCATAAAGCAGGTGAGTACCGGTGTCTGTCCTACCAAATGTAGGGCCTTCTGCTCTCCGTGCGTTTAATTCCAAGCTCATCATGAGGATATGACAGTTTGGCTTCGGAGAATCCAATCCGACATATCTACTCACAGACTCCAACGGTCACAAATTTGTGATGCGCAAGAAGCCACCAGGGCCCCTGCTTTCTCCAACTGCACACAAGGTGGAACGCGAATACCGCATCCTTCAAGCTCTGGGTCAGACGGACGTGCCGGTGCCCAAGGTCTATCACTTTTGTGTCGATGCCTCCATCATTGGAACGGTCTTCTATATAATGGAGTTCTTGGACGGACGAATATTCGCCAGCCCTTCTCTACCTGAGGTGGAGCCTGAAGAAAGAACCATGATGTGAAACAGTCTCCCGTCCAGATTTGAGTCGCATCTCGGCTGATTGACAATTCAGGTGGTGTTCTGCCGTAGAAGCACTCGCAAAGCTTCACCGTGTCGACTTCAGGAGTATAGGTCTCCAAAATTTTGGCAAGTCCGGTGGATTCTACAATCGCCAGATTGTGACGTTTCAGAATCTTGCAGAATCCCAAGCCAAAGCACCAGATAGACACACCGGTCAACACATTGGCGAAGTCCCACATCTTCAGGAGATGGTGTCATTCTTTGCAAATCCCCGCCATCAACCCAAAGACAGGTCAACCCTGGTCCACGGGGATTATAAAATTGACAACCTGGTCTTTCACAAAAGCGAGCCTCGCGTCATTGGGATATTAGATTGGGAATTGGCGACTCTTGGTCATCCCCTCTCCGACTTTACCAATTTGACACAGCCTTTCCTCACGGCCCAATCTCATACCTATGTCGGATTCAACCAAGACTGTATCAAGTTTAAACCAGGTGCGACACCGGGACTTCCCACACGGAAACAGTGTGTCGATTGGTACTCCGACATGACCGGATTGGATCTCACCAGTGAGCTGGCCTGGGGAGACACATTCGGGGCTTTCAGACTTGCGGTGGTCATGCAGGGAATCGCCGCAAGGTACGCCCTAGGTCAGTCGGGTAGTGCCATGGCGAAGGAATACGGCTCTCAGAGAAATCAGAACGCCATATGGGCATATTCTCTCGTTGAGCAATTGAAAAGGGACACAGGGACGGATGGTGATCCAACGAATTCATCGCGAACGCCCATGCAGCTACCATCACAACGCATTTCAAGAACGAGCATGCTTTAGACGGACTCAGAGTTGGTGCAACGGTGAAGCTGTGTCTATATTGCCAAATAACCGGGTATTTGAGCCTTTACTTCACGCAGGTGATAGAGTGCTAGTTATGTCTGAGACCCTTTGCTCTAACTGTTCCTGCATGCCTCTGCAGACCTTCTTGCCATCTACTCTGTGCCAGACGCCAAACGTAGGCCTCCTGAGCCTAATTTGTGTGGTGTTAGTGATGGTATAGGCAGCGCCATAACCCGAAAACCCTTCTCAGCTTCGGGAGCCTTCGGGACAGACCCCTGTGCGTTGTAGCGCATACATGCTAAGCATTTCACTACCCGTACAATATGCACACTCAAGTGGCTGAAGATGCTCAGCATTTGACAGTCCACAGCTGCGTGCCCGATATCGTCTCCTATCTTATGTCATGATGGCTCGACACTGTCCGAGACTGCGGAGACTTGAATGCAGAGTACGACAGACAACCAATGCTCAAACAAAAGATCACTTCCGACAACATGTTCAGCCAAACAACAGATATCAGTTGCTTCTTGCACACCCGGTTTCGATGACTAGTGCGAGCGTGAAACTTCTAGTTCCCAGGCCTTCTCCGTCACGGGCTTCTCTGTCTTGGTGAATTCAGTCTTCTGGACGGTTTTGTTGACAAAGTTTGTCAAGTACTGATTCATATTGCCAACAAACAGAGACGAGATTATGGCACAGCCACCGAATGCGAGAGTGCTCAAGTAAGTGACGCGGAGTGCCGACGAGTTGGCAGCTTTGATTGCATTGTCGAGAACACCAAGAATTTGTGCATTGATGCCGGGGACCTTCTCCAGTGCCGCAGGGGTCCCCTTGGAAATGGCTTGAAAGAGGCCGGGTAGACTGCTTTGTGGGAGGCCTGCTGACACTACGGCTGGGACAATTTTGGCTGGAAGGGCCGCTTCCAAGCGACTCGAGTAGACCGTAACATAGATACTAGCTGTAGACATGGAAGTCAACATCGAAAGCCCCCCTCCTGCGAGAAATCATTGCCTCTGACTTACTTGCGAGGCTTCCGGTCACTGACCGGGTGGCTCCAAAGAATCCTTGTCCGGCTCCGATGTCGTTGGGAGGAACGACGAGGCCAGCCACGACTAGACCGATCAGTTCGAGCCATCCGATGGCAAAGCCTGCAATTACGGTTGCCTATCACCGCCGTCACTCGTTGAGTCGCTCAAATTAGATTCATGTCAAACTTACAGCAATGCCCAGACCCTGTCTATCCTTGGTAGCCGCACTCATACTCGCAGTCAGCGCGGCCAACAGCGAAGTCGCCGCAACAAGTTGCCATCGCTGATGGCCAATCTTTTTGAACAACAGCCCAGTTACAGTAATACCGACGAGAACTGCCAGGCCTGTGGTACACTGGAAAAGCTACTTAGCTTGGTCCACACGCCACACTTGTACTAGTGAGAAAAGAAAGAGCTCAGAGCGTGGAGGTGCACTCACAGACATGATTCCGACTTTGATATTACTAGTGGTGTAGAGAGCCTGAATCTGAATGGGCCAAAGAATGGCCAGGGCGTAGTATATCATTTGGCCCACCGAACCAACCGTGATGATGGCAGAATAGTTCCGGATCTTCAACAGCTTCATCGGCATGAGAGGCTGGCGAGGAGACCCGTAAAGTTCTTTCCGTGAAATAATCAGCCGGCGTTTTATGGTGTGGAGCTGGGAATCTCAGCTTACCGTAGAGGATGAATGCTGTCACCGTACATCCTCCCACAGCGAGTGCGGCAATGACGTGGGCGCTTTTCCACGGATAGGATCCTTGAGGCCAGGCTGTCTTCTGCGTCAGCTGGGCAGGACTTGGCCGGGGTTGGCAACGGGGGATTCTCAACTGAATCCGAGGAGCAGCATAACTAAACCACCTGTGTACAAGACAAAGCCGACATAGTCCAGCCGCTTAAACTCTCCGAGTCTCGTCAACCGTGAGTTGATCATGTAGAAGTTTGGTGGAAAGTAGCAGAACAGGAAGAGCAGGAACGAGATTCCGGCAACGATCGCATTCAAATAGTAACACCATCTGTTCCCAAGCCAAGTTAACGTTGTTCGAGTCGGCTTCAAGGGGATTGCATTACCTCCACCCAAGTGCTGTGTGCTGGACAAATGCACGGGCAATCACAGGAGCGAATCCCATCGATGGGAGCATGCCAACGGTGAGAACAGATTGCGTGAGAGCCCGGTATTTGTTCGGGACCAATTCGTGGAGGAACAGGGCATACAATTGCTGAGTCCCAGCAGCAATTCCAGTCACAACGGTGCCACCGATGACCATGTTGATAGATGTAGCGTTTGCGCAAATCACGGGGCCTATGACCCCAAGAACCTGCGACCCGAGAATGAAGTAGCGCCGGCCGATGATGTCGCTGAGACGGCCTACGATTAACATGAGCACTCCGTTGCAGAGCCCGAAGATGAGTCCGATCAAGGTGTAGTTCGATGACGGCCCTGAATGTCTAAGTCAGCATGTTGGCCCAACTCCCGATGAATGGGAGCCTTGGACCTAGTTCTGCGTTGATCACTGTGAGCACGTTTGCCTAGGACGCCAATCAGTGACGCTTCAGAAACCCCCATGGATAATACTTACAGGCATTGAAAACCCGAAGAACAAATTTTGGGCCATAAGATTAATGGCAATGAACGAGCCGATGAATCGGTAGGAAGTAAAATAACCCTTCAAATCTGACGAATCACGGCTGTTGTCTTTGCGATCCTCGTCGTCTACCCGGACGACGTTGACGGCATGGTTGGCGATTTCAATCTGATCTGATGCCAGGGAAGTCTTCATATGATCTTGATGGACTTCCTCCGCCATTGTGAAGCTCTTTCCAAGTTGGGCGAGTGCGTGGGTTCGGGTTATGGGCTTTCCACGTGAAATCCTGCAATGGCAACGACAAATTAGTTAATATTTCTGGGGTACCCTGCATAGACTTATCTACCCCGGACGGAGAAAAGATGGGGAATAGTCTAGACATGTAAAGGCATCAGCTTCGCCCCAGACGACGGTTGCAACAATCGGCTGCTCCGGGACGACCAAAGTCGACAGATGCTTTTGCTTATCGAATTCCGCAGCTCAAAGAAGCATTACCTCGGAGGTGAAGTCACTGCCAAATGCAAAGCATTATCAATCTCGTCTATACTAGTACATACCAGCCGAGGATGGCTCCCGTGAACGCCGGCTAGAAGCAATCGAAGTGTCTACACCGGGGGCTCTCACCCGCACTGGTTCCGAAAACCTGGGCTCCCGTCCTGCAGCTATTTTGGCACTATCTGGACTCTGGCCATCGATTTAAATCCATCGAGGAGTCTTGCTAAACCGCAAAGGTCTGTGAACCGAAACTTGACCCCGTTCAGTCCTGTGCGTGCCCAGATTAGCGATAAGGTACGATTTCGGGTCCGTTACCTGCTGTCCAAGACATCAGCCATTGTTCAAATGGTGTGCGCCATTCTTCGAGGTATACGGCATTGGACCAACCCAAAAGCGCCCAAGTTCGTGAAAGCCAGCGGGATATACTGGTACTTCTCGCGTTCTATATTGGCAACTCCGGGGCTTCGAAGCACAGGAGTGACATTGGAGCAACTGAGGCCGGTCTTCAGACTCGACAATTTCATCAATTATGGTCGCAGTGCAATCCAGGCACTCATCAGTGTCTCGTCGACGCTATTGTGTCATTAATGCTCTGTCCCTGGCAAGAGTATAGAGGCTACTCTACCAACCAATAGCGGATAATGTTTGCCTTTGGCGGCTGACTGTTTCTGCTCCACCGTACGAGTCTTCGTCAAAGACGGCAGGTGAATATTGAGGAGCGAACAAATCTAACCGTGGGTTGCTTTGCTAACCAGTCTTTGGTGAGGTGCAGATGCCCTCGGATTAGTTAGCAAGAATTAACCTGGTGTCGAACCAGAGGAGGTTGACCGCGAGCATCATGGCTGTGGCAATCGATCTCCGATAGTACAGAGCGCCAGTGGCGCCAGCGGTACCTATTGGTTGGTGAACGGACATTTCATGTCCTCGGCTGCTTCGTGGACAGCGGGACTACTATGATGAATATGTGATCTCCAGTGTCCTCGGCTTCTCCACCATCTTGAACACGGGCGATATCCACGACAGGCGACCCGGACTTTGCTGGTGACCGAACATATAGCTGTTGGGTATCCGTCCGCCTAAGCGACAGGTCTACCCTCGCCAACAATTTGGGCTCTTGTTATCTAGTTTACTTCGATTAATTGGTCCAGCTACCTCTAGAGTTAATCGTGAGTAGGCTAACCACATTGAGTAATGACAGCAGGAGAGTGCCACCATGGAAGAATAGGCATATAGTACCACCAAGCCCGTCAAGTTTTGGTATAGGAATTATACTTAAACTCCTGTCTACGGCACTCAACAGGCTCATGCACAGGCGTATTCTATCTACTTCCAAAGCTCCGGAGTATTTCTACGAGGATCTTGGATGCAGTAACAGGCCTCTTATCACAATAGAAGGAAAGCTCGGCCAAACATTAGAATAAGTCTACAGCAAGGATCCCTGGGGAGGCGAAGACTATGAAACAAGAAGAAATCGGTTCTATTTCGACGCTAGGAAATTTCCGTGTTGTGTGGTAACCGGTTTTCTGTTGCCCAGACATCTGTATACCGGCCTTGAAAAGGGGTCCCTGGGGGATGATAATTCCGTGCCTCGGCAAAACTTGGGCAGCCATATTTGAGTCCCTTAGCTCATCAAAAAGGCACAGATTCAGTCTCAATGATTCTTTCTCAGGGCTCTGGTTTCACCGCTCCTCAATTCCCCTGCGCCTCGTCAGTATCATGTCGCCCCTCCGTTCAGATTTATTCGGCGAGAAAATTCCATGGTCGGAGCCCGCTTGGTACAATGCACTTGAGAGCCCCTACTACAACAAAAGCCATAGGGCCCTGCGACAGTACATTAGAGACTATATCGAGACTCACGTTCTGCCTTTTGCTGAAGAATGGGAAGATCAGGGGCAGGTGCCTTTGGAAGTAGGATCACTCGGGAAAACCGCGAGCTTGGCAGGCGGATACCGTACTGACGTTGGCTGAATGTCCCAGGAGACGGTGAAATTCGCAAAGGCAGGCTTAGCATTTCCTGAGATCCCAAAAGACTATAGGTCAGGAAGTTCGCTGCCTGGTGGAGTTCGAGACGATGGTGAGCCACGTATCGCCCTTGGGTTTTGAACAATCTGGTGGCTGATCTGAATTCTTGAATGGGATGTTTTCCATCTGATGATTCTCCACGATGAGACATCACGAGTGGGAGTGGGGGCAATGTCAGGCCTTTCTGGGAGCTCGACTATCGGCGCACCACCAATTATCAAGTTCGGGAGTCCGGAGCAGAAGCAGAAGTGGCTTCCAGGCATCTTCACTGGGAATGTGAGGCTTTGCCTTGGAGCTACCGAGCCATCAGGTAGAATTCGAGACCACTTTATGGTGGGCTCATTCGCTGACGATTTGGTGATACGAAGGTGGATCTGATCTCGCCAATCTTCGAACGACGGCGACCAAGTCACAAGACGGGAAACACTACATCGTGAATGGCCATAAGGTAGGTCCATTCTCCCCACTGTGATCGAAACCGCTTGACTTACCCGGAAAGAAATGGATCACTGGAGCTCTTACCGCTACCCATATGACCACTGCCGTGAGGACCGGCGGCCCTGGAGCTGGTGGCATTTCGGTTCTGGTCATTCCCACCTCCTCTATGGGCTTTTCCGCCAGAAAAATCCACAATAGTGGTACTAACGCCGGAGGTAGGTGACGTGAGAAACCCATGTTCAATCGTGGCTAAGATTCCGTAAGGAAGCGCCTGGGTGGATCTGGAGAATGTACTCGTGCCCGTCGATAATCTCATCGGGCCGGAGAACCAAGGATTCCCTATCCTCATGTCCAGTATGTCGAAGCTTCCCCCCGGGGCCAAATATATGTCGAGCCTGGGAACTGAGACGAAGCAGATTTCAACACGGAGCGCTTTATAATGGCGGTCAAAATGAACCGCCTCGCCCGCCAGTGCCTTTCTACCGCTCTAGAATATTCATACAATCGTGAGACATTCGGCAAGCCCCTCGTGTCACACCAGATCATTCGGCATAAATTCACACATTTAGCACGCTACATCGAGTCACATTGGGCATGGATCGAGCAGATAGCCTACCATATCAAAGTGAGCGGCTGGAACAGCGACGTTGCCAGCCGCATTGCCTTAGCCAAGGTCCACGGTGGGACGTTGCTCGAGATAGCCTGCCGTGAGGCCCAACAAGTCCTTGGCGGTGCCGGCTACCAACGCGGCGGTGTGGGCGGCACTGTGGAACAAATAAGTCGAGATTTGCGCATGCTGGTTGTTGGGGGTGGGAGCGAAGAAATCCTGTCAGATCTAGCATTCCGCCAGGAGGTCTCGGCTGCTAAGAAGCGGGGCTCAATGCTATGACCGTTTCTGTGGGAGGTTTTCTATTGTGAGGGCGAAGATCCCATTTCTTTTGGGGGTGCGAGAGAGCTTCCCAGGAAAAGACTGCCCACAGCTGAAATATTTATGCTCAGTCTTGTTACACCGAATGTTTGTCGACGATGAACCACTTCAGCCGAGTTCAGGCGATCTCTATGAAACGGACAACTTTCGATTTCTTTGACTGAATACATGACAATCTACAGTTTGGGTCCGATCTTCTCCATCTCCGCCTTGATTCTTGCAGGCAGCTGACGCCTCAGCACCTTGCCCGTAGGACCTTTAGGAATTACGTCGATGTAGTGAATGCCACCTCTCAATCTTTTATAGGGAGCGACCCTTGTATCGACGTATTGTCTGATTTCCTGCAGACTGTTGGCGAGTTCTGCCTCGGTTTTCGGCTTGTCGATCACCACATAACCAATTGGGATCTCCGTCTGCTCGGACTCGTCGTACACGCCACAGACTGCTGCATCTCGAACTTTGGAATGAGAGAGCAGGACGTCCTCAATTTCCGCTGGTGGAACTTGGTTTCTGTTGTCCAAGAGAGCCAACCACGTCAGCAACGATATCATTATTTAGAAGAGCGAATGCTGTTGTCTGGCTTACCCTTTGTACTTGATCAACTCCTTCTTCCTGTCCGTCAGCCAAAAAAAGCCATCCTCGTCGACGCGAGCAATGTCACCAGTGCAGAACCAGCCGTCCCGGAAACATGATTTTGTCTCTTCGGGGTTATTCTTGTACCCCCTGCACTGGTGAGCGGCCGAAACTGACGCTCTTGCCTCAGGACTTACATGAAAAGCGTGGGGGATCTGAGGAGGCATTCCCCGGGCATATTTGGCTGTACGTCCTTGTAATTGTCATCAACGACGCGGATGGACCTGCTGAACTTTGAACGATGTGCGCAACTCGTGGGAGGGAAAGAAACCTTACGCTCCTGCAAAAGGCTTGCCACAACTTCCAGCTTTTTTCGATCCCCAATGGCCTCGTAGTGTCGTTAATGAACCCTCGCTCATCCTAGATGATGTCCTAAGCACCTGTTCACAAGTCGCGAGGTTATTTCCTACCCGTATCCTTGGATTATATGCGTCTCGGCCATGATCGCATAGAGTTGTGCGACTACTTGAGACTGTAATGCTGCACCAGAGCATAGAATATATTGCACGCTCTTGAGATCCAGATTTTGAAGTTGGGGATCTTTCACTATACTTACCGCCGTTGAAGGAACAAGCCTCATTATCGTGGCGCGAATCTCTGCGCACCTTTGGGCATAGCGTTTCAAGTCGAACTGCTTCATCGGCTCGACGTACGAGCCAACAAATGGGACCAACATGATGACCGCAATGATGCCATATATGTGAGCGACTAGATAATTCATCAGAAAAGGTTCGCTGATTCAACACAATCTAGCTTAGTGTTCGCTTACACTGGGGGAAAAAAACCTCTCTGTGGAAACCATTATAGAGGAACGGGTCGGTTGTCCGCATCGCCAGCAGATGAGCAATGATCCCATAGTGACTCAAAAGGACACCCTTCGGCTTTCCGCTGGTGCCAGAGCTAAAACACATTGCTGCTGGAATTTGGCGAGCATCGGTCTGGGATAAATCGTACGGCGGTAGCGGAGCCCTTCGATCATCAATCATATCCTGGGGAAACTGAATCTTGTCAATTATACCTTGTTCGAGGAAGCACTCGGTCTGGATCGTACCACTTTCAAGGGCGAAGTCGTGCGCGATGTAGCGCCATCTCCAACAATGATGATTTTCGGCCGTGGACTGTTGGCTGGAGACATCATCAACGCTTTGTTGACCTTGTCAAGATGCGCGGGGCTGGTTGCGATGATAGTGGGCTCCGAAATACTGAAGTAGTGGACCAGCTCGTGCGATGTCGCCAGAACATTGATCGCGCTGGATATGGCTGTCAAACTTGTTCGTGCTTGCCAGCAGTTTCTTGCCAGGGTCGTACCTGAAGCATCCACCTCCCCAAATGATCGAATGGGCTAGAACAGCCCAATTGGCCGAGTTCCCTGCAAGGATACAGACGATGTCGCCTTCCTTCATGCCCAAGACGGACTTCAAGCCGGCTGCACCTTGGGACGCAAGTCGGCGTATACCGCCGTACGTCACATATTGCGTTGGATCATCAAAGTCGCGAAGAATTGGTTTGCCAGAGTCGGTGTCATCGGGGTTGACTTTCAAAAGAAATTGAGACACGGACACATTTGTGGGTACACTGATGGGAGGAAATGAGGACGTATAGATCATTGTATGCACTATCTCTAGAGCACGAGGACAAAATAGATCGAGCGTCTTCAATATTTTCGTGGTAATCTGACGCAAGATTGGGTATCACCTAGACAGTCCACCTAACAAAGGCACAAGATGCCATTTTAAATTGAGTCGCGTAGTAGATCTTCGCATGCCTACCCGGGACTTGTGGCATCGGTCTCTAAAGGACTAGGGGTTAGACTTTGTCAAGGAACAAATGTCGAGTCCTCGGTCAGCAGCACCAAGGCAGATACCCACACAGTCAGAGACTTACCGGAGTTCTAAACCCGTCCAGGTTCCCCGTCTGGATATCGATACCCGCAGAGTTCCTCTGTGCTCTGCCGCTTTCCAATAAGTATACGGAGCCTAGTGCTCCGGCAATCGAATACTGGGCTGCAAATTTAGGTCTTTATCTTGAACTCCGAGCACTGCAGAGGCTAATCGCTGAGGGTACAATCGAGGACGGAGCCTCAGATACCCGGTCAAGCCGCGAAAAGTTGGATGCACCTATTCAACCTCCGCTGCGTGCGAGTAGTTTTGAAGCATTCCAAACACTACCCTGAAGTCTGTTAAATATGGCCGACTTCATAATTAATCGCCCTATAAAATCGGACACCCAGTCGAGACTCAAGGCGCCCATTCACTCAGAGCGACATGTCAAGATCATTTGCATCGGCGCCGGAGCTTCAGGTCTGCTTCTGGCATATAAACTGCAGAAACATTTTCGCAACTTTGAGCTCACAGTTTATGAAAAGAACCAAGAAGTAGCTGGGACTTGGTGGGAAAATAAATAGTGGGTGCAGTCCCCGGACTTTGCGAAATTGGTAGCTGCTTACACCACCAACAGCCCAGGGTATGGAGGCTGTAAGCGCAGAGGAGAAATTCTCAGACGCTGACATCATGACAGATGTGCATGCGATGTACCTTCGCACAACTACACTTGGTCGTTCGAGCCAAAAGTCGACTGGTCGGCCGTGTATGCGGGGTCCGGTGAAATATTCAAGTACTTCGACGACTTTTCGCGAAAATACGGCCTCAGGAAATATTGCAAGTTTCGCCATCGAGTTACCAAAGCCGTTTGGCACGAACAGCGAGGCGGCTACCGGGTAAGCGTCCTTGATGTCGTGAACAACAGGCACATCGAAGACCATGCCGACATTCTGGTGAACGCCGGCGGCATCTTGAACGCCTGGCGCTGGCCTGCCATTCCCGGCTTGGATAGATACAAAGGAACACTACTGCATACCGCCGACTGGGATACCTCAGTCGACCTCACAGGTAAGCATGTCGGGCTAATTGGCAATGGGTAAGACTAGCGCATTCCACTTCCCTACATCGCAATAGCTTAGAATACTATTCTAAACTTTCGTCAGATCGTCCGGAATCCAGGTCCTCCCAGCAATCCAACCCTATGTCAAGAAGGTCACAACTTTCATTCGAGAACCGACCTATGTGTCGCCGACCAACGGCCTTGAGCAGCACGTATTCTCTCCTCAAGAGCTGCATGACTTTGCCAATAAGCCAGGCGCCCTTCTTGAGTATCGCAAGAATATTGAAACGGGACTAAGCGGACAATTCTCGTTATTCTTGAAAGACACACAGACGCAAAAAGAAACACGAGCGTACATGGTACAACAGATGAAGGAAAAACTACACAATAAGGACCTCGAGGATAAGTTGATTCCAGATTGGTCACTAGGCTGTAAGGTAATTCTCTCCAACTGATGACGCCTGTAGACTAACGAAGATAAAGGCAGAAGATTAACCCCTGGCGTCGGCTACCTCGAAAGCCTATCGAAGCCGAATGTCTCTGTTATATATGGAGAGATCCAGGAAATCACTGAGAAAGGCTGTCTCTGTAGCGACGGCAATGAGTACCCAGTCGATGTCTTAACTTGCGCCACTGGGTTTGACACCACGTTCAAGCCTCGTTTCCCCCTTATAGGTCCTTCCGGCGAGAACCTTCAGGACGTCTGGAGTCAAGAACCAAAGTCGTACCTCGGCGTTGCTGCACCAGACTTTCCAAATTACCTCATTTTCCTCGGACCTAACTGTCCCATCGGTAACGGCCCTGTCCTTTCCGCGATCGAGTGTCAGGCAGACTGGATGCTACGTATTATTGATCGATATCAAACTCATAATATACACAGCTTCGCTCCGACAAAAGAGGCCGTCGATGACTTCATCAGCTTCAAAGACGAATTCATGAAGCAAACTGTTTGGAACGACCCTTGTCGAAGTTGGTACAAGTCGAATCAAGCAGATGCACCGGTAACAGCTCTCTGGCCCGGCTCAACACTCCACTACATCGAAGCGATGAGCGAAGTCAGATGGGAAGACTTCAGAGTCCGATACAATGGCAATAGATTCGCTTGGCTAGGAAATGGTTACAGTCAATGCGAAGTGGACGGGACCGCGGATTGGGCTTATTACATTCGAGAGGAGGACGACAGCGAATGTCTGAGTCGGGCCAAAAGGAGAGAAATTACCACCAAGTCTGGATCACGACAAGCTCCTCTTGCTGGTGTCAATTTTGCCGGTACACGGCTATGAGATTGAAGTTCGAGAGAGGTTTCGAAGCTCTGCATTGATTCATGTCACTGAGGTGAGAGGCGGGTACCAAGAAACATTCAGAGCCAAAATTCCATTTAAGTGCCGACGCATCGGTGGTCTAATTCTTGTTCGTGAACTCGAGGAACTTTGCAGATTCTTTCATCTCTCTCTCGCTTTCTATGCTCCATCGATCTTTCTTTACTCCTTCTTAGATACAACAGCAGCTGATCTCGGTAAGCCCAGAGCACGATACGGCTATCTGACACTTGTGCCTCGCTTGCTTGCACTTGAGTAGACTCGGGATTAGTAGCCTCAGGTCTTCCTCGGCTTTGCGATCCGACTTTAATGTACCCTCGAGAGAGCAGAGTGCCTCAACGCATTGATAGAGATTCCTGACGCCCGTGCTTAGCCAATGGTATGGCGGTAAGTTCGTGCACAGCTCGGCGTCGAGGATGATCGGATTTACGCTCATTCCAGAAAGCAGTTAGGCGACCTTGTGCTTGGTCACATCGACCGTACCGCCACTGAGGGAGAAATACTAGGGCAATCGAATCAGCAAATATCCAGGCCGCAGGGAAGAAAATATACCTCGCCGCCTGACAGGCTTGTTGGAATTGTTATCAGGGTTACCGTCGGCTCATGGACCGTCTTTGGCATGTCGCTACTCTGTCCAGACTATCTGACGAGCTCATCCCGTGTTTTGATTATCGTTTGCAAGTGCCTACCCGCGGTAACCACAGGCCAGACAGCCCTTGTAGCGGCGGGCAGAATGTGAGCATACCAAGGTAACCATCTTGGCTCCATCAGTGATGCTGCCTGGCCCCAGGGTCACAGTACAGTCCGCATTGACTTCTTGCCTGGTGCGTGATTTGCAGGATCTCAGAGTAGTGTATGTGGCGTGAGCTCTTTCGGCCCCCCCCCCTCCCACTCCACATCCTACAGGTACCACCGAGCCACCAACAGCCTTGACTTCAACTAATAACCTCGGAAGTCCCAGTGATAAGTACTCCTCGCTATTGATGTGTCCCGTTCCGGTTGCCATTTTGAATCGACTGAAATGGTATTCAGATTGCTTACATGAGAAGTGGACGCGATGGTGTAGCTACGCAAACAAATGACGCGGTCAATGCTGCTGGTCACAGGCTTATGTGTATGAAAGAAGAAAATCCGGTTTGCTATCAGATCGACACCATTCACAACGGATATCACGTTAGGCTTAGAAACGGTGGTCCTCTATCCCTTGTCTATCATACCAGTCATGTCTGACACGGCGCCCACCCCCTTGTTATCGAGCCACCTTCTCACCCAGTTAATATATTCCCTGAGATTGCATTTCACAACCTCACACAGCACGAAACTCCGGCTCCCCAACAGTCGTGGTACCGTTCTGGATATTGTGATGTCTCAAGCAAATTGACATAAGTTCCGACTGGATCGTCGGTCAAGCCTGATGGAACTTGATAGCTGTCGAAATCGACGGAATATTCAATGGATTCGGCCTTTGCTCTCGGAAATTCACTCTGCTGTGTATTTTGGGCAAAGTATAGATCCTGAGTCTCGTCGCTCGTATTCTCTAAAGTCGGGTTAGAAGGGAACATTCAAGGGGTTCATCTAGTAGACCTACCCGCCGATGTCGATGTCGATGTCGCGCTGAATACTGTCAACTCGCCACCGGTAAAAGGCCTGAGTAATAACGCGATCACCTCGGATCCACCACGATTGATCTGTTCAACCTCGTATTACTACCTGCATCTAGCCTTGGATAGGTTTGGTGTCCGGCCACGGTCCATCTTGTCAAAGTCCCCTCTATTAGCTCGGGTAGTAATGACGCCCGCCACACTCCTAACCCGATAGTGACGCATGCTTGCGGGATTTACAATTCGTGAGGCACAGTACGGTGCAATGCAATAGAAGGAGATCCCTGATCAGGACAGATTCAAATAGGCTAGGCATCGAAACGGAAAATTTGTTTGAATGACATGTCTCGGGTTTGCCGAACAAAATGGGATATTACCTCGTCAATCGGCTGATGATTAAGGACCCAGCGAGAGGAAACTTTCACCCTCGTACCATATCATCGTCGGTTCCTCCGTGGATCAACAGGGCAAGTATACTGCTAAACTTGCGCGAGATCTCCCAATATCCAATCTGCTTGAGTGTGTCGGCCAGCGTACACAAGGTCGACGCTTTGATAGCAGAGAGGTTACCTTTCCGAAAACCCATTACGTCTTGCCACTGGTGAGCAAAATTAATGCCCAGTAGCTTGAGCTCTGGGAAATCTAGGGCACCGTCGGGGGCTGGGTCGGGCGGAAAAACTGACAACGAGTTGAGAAATGTCGCCCATACGATGGCCGCCGAGAACAACGCTCTCGGGACGTGAATGGCAACCACCCGCCTCGAGGAGAGCTCTTCCAAGTTCTTTTGTAGAAGGAAGGCATGCATCAGACATCTCCTGGCTTCGACTGACCTTGTCCACCCGTGTACGTAAGAGGTGTGCGATGCAGCTTCCATGGGACCTTGCTTTCCGACCGCTAGCTCCAGGCGATGGAGATCGACAAAATTTGACATGCATGTCCAGTACCACAGCGCCATGAGGAGCAGCGTATCATTCTCGGCTTTGATTGCCACCCCGTAGATCTGATACCACACAATCAGGTCGGCTTGGTGCTCTGCTCTCGAGATCTCGTCATGTTGGTTGCCGATCCTGTCTTCGCTAATGGAAGCACCAATCCCCTGAAGGACGGCGTAGGCGGTAAAGACGCTGTGGCAACAACTTGCGGCAGCGATGTGATTTCTTAGGAGCGGAGGGCGCGCGGCGCCAGCGTGGTCGCAGATGAAGCTGTTTGAAGTCGTGGAAGGATCATTACGAATCAAGCGTGCCCAGTTGTGTACATTGGTTGCGAGGAAAGCGTCCGAGTGGCAAGCTAGAGGGATACAATTTCCTCGATGCCGGAGAAAAGGCTCATGATGGAATAGAGCCGTGATTTCCGCGTCGTGGATAAAAATGGCCAAAGCAGTACTGTGGAGCGAAGAGTTAGCATGGTTGAGAGAGAAAAGATACCTCAGCAATGCACAAAAGGTCGGTACCGCTTCATTTCTTCTTTACGTGCCCATTTCCTCCATGCTTCCATCAATTGAGAGCCCGAGAGACCTCGGATATCAGGCTTATCGTTCTCAATTTTGAACATGTCTGCCCTTCTGGCCCACTAAGATCGTTGTCAGTGTCCGATGCACTTTCAAGGCATTTACTGCCAACTTCAGAACATACCGAGATGACTGTCCCGTGAAAGGCCGAAACTATGGCAAGGTGGCGAGGCTTCTGCACGTTGTTGATAAGTGCCTGATTCGATTGACCAGTAAGCCATCAAGTCATGACATACTCCGGATAATATGCCAAAGGTCTGTCCAAGAAGTGCCAACTGGACCATGGGCACGGTCTCTTCTTTATGGCGTGTCTGAATCGAGTCCCACTATCAATTCGGATCAGCGAGTGTCCGGGCCTGTAATTTCCACGGGCTTCTGTTCTTACCGACGCCATCATGGCGCGTAGAAGCCTCTCAAAGAGCAGCGACCCGTAATGAGCCGATTCCGACGTGCCCAGGAAAAGACAACCGATAGAGCAGATTGAGAGCAATAGGCCGCCATTTTCGGTCGTTGGACGGAATGTAGGAGCGTGGAGGATGGGTAGTGCCGGATTCGCTCGGGTGAAATACATCTGGATGCACATTTTCTGAGCGGATAGCACGTCAGCGAGCCGCTGGAGACTGGGGACCTTGTGCACCAGCTCACCAGGAACTCAATCGATGGCAGCGGTTCTTCTGGCCATCTCGGACGAAGTCTGCTTGATAGGCCCTGGCGATACTCTTCACTCATTTCAGTACGTGGAGCTCCTTCGTTCCCAGGGCTGGCAGGGCCTGAGGGGTTGCTGTTCTCGGATGAATTCGCCCGCGTGGCATTGCTTGTCTCGAGTTTTGTATACCATGAGCGTTCGACCACCGTGGCCGTTGAATGTGTCCGAGTGACTGCTCCTACCGGCGGCACTCTCGCTGCTTCGGGGTTGTCTGGGAGAGCAGGGTGATACTCTGCGCTATCAATTGGGAAAGATCCAAGGAGATTCCAGTCGAGGTCGCCGACATCGAAGTTTCCCCAAGCAATACCATCCTCCTCAAAATCGTGAGGAGACGGATTCAGGGCAAACTCGGATGTGTCAGCCAAGCCGTGTCGCAGGTGGGGGTCAAAGTCATTCTGAATCGTTTGAAATTGATCACTTGAGCTAACGGCGTTGAGTGGCCAGGAGGGAGCGACTTCCATCTCAGGGCCACGGGAGTCTGTGGTAGATGGCATCAGGTAAGCCCCTTCGTTGAGCAAGGGACGTTCTGCCTCGTGGACATGCTCGACGCCTGAGAATTGCATGCGCGTTGATTCTTCTGAAAGGCTAGGGTCTGATGCTTCCAGCCCTGCTTGCTGAACGCTTGGGCTCGTCACAGGACGAGGCGCTGAGAATCACCATCCTTATTAGCAGATCTATCCAGGCTATAATTCCAAGCTTCACTCACCAAGCGATTCCTGTAGAACATCTGACTGTGTCTGTCTCCAGGCCCCCGGCGTGCGGCTCGTCTTATTCGTGCTACGGGGCTGGGGAGTTGGACGCTGATGGACCGAGTAATGTCGCAGAACAGTGTCTCTAAGGGTAATGTTAGTTCGTGGAACTGGGTGGACCGGGGTCCTTGTCGGTGACTTGCGATCGACTGAATCTCTTCCCGCATATCTCACAAGCGAATGGCTTCTCTTTGGTATGTGACCTGAGATGGCGTCGCAAGTGGTCAAGCTTGTAGAACTCCTTGTCACAATGTGAACAAAGCCTAGTGGTGGTCCGTGCAGTAGCATCTCGGCCCTGAGATCGGGGCGGAGTGACGCTGGCCATGGAGGTTGCGGAGTTTTGCTGAACGAGCAGCGTTGAAGTGGTTGTCGGCAATCTGTGAATCGTGCCAGCTTGAGATGCCCAGTTCTGGCCACCATGCTGAGGCTGGTGGGCCAAATACGAGCAGCTGGGGCTCGGCAATCTCTCGGTTGCCCCGCAAAGATGGCACGTCCCCGCCCCCCGCCTCCAGATGCGCTCCGTCGTGGGGTCGAGTGCTCCGTACTGGTTGTTGATTCTTTATATCGTCTTCAGCGGGCCATATAGCCAGACTCCTGCTCTAGTCGGCAGCAAGTTTGCAACAGACCGCGACCAGAAGCAAGCCGCGACCAGAAGCAAGCCGCGTCAAAATGGAGGCCCAAGATGCCAACTACTTGCTATACTACAATCCGTACTCAATATGTTCCCTGATGGTGTTATACACTTTAAGACAAAGAGGGTCTCCCTATCGTCCCGAGGAGAGAATCCACGTGGACACGAAGCTGGTCGACATATTCAACGAAGAACAGTTGGAGGAGGACTTCCTCGTTAACATTAACGACCACGGCCAGGTGCGTAGGGAAAACATTCGCAACGTCGGTATCGAAGCATTACTCACACTCGGACCAGGTACCCGTGCTAGCTCATGCGACTCTTCTGGAAGCCCCGATTGCGGACAGTCTCGAGATTACCTTCTGGTTAGCCTCGCGATATCCCGATCTGATGCCCAGTGAGCACGAGGCTGCGATCCGTCAGTATCTGATTGATTTGCACGCTCTGAACTATTTTTCCTTGTCTTTCCCTGGTCGACCTCAAATCGCCCGAGGATTTGAGGCCGCTGTGGAGCGCCGACTAGATAGCCCGGTCATTTCAGATCGGTATCGGAAGGCGTTAGAATTCAAACTTGGCGTGTAAGTGTCTCATTCCGTCTCGCTGAAACAAGGGCTGTGCATTGATTTATAGTCAGGATCAAGCGTGATAAATCAGGTGGCATGGTGCCCGCTGTGACGGCAGAGAATGAGGAAAAAGCCAAGACGTTGCTTGCGTCGCTGGAAGGGCACATGGCCGAGGCGGAGAGTTGGATATTTGGCTCTCAACCTACGGCTTTGGATGCGCATCTGGTTGTTTTCATCGCGCGCATGACGGACGTCGGTCGGGACGGGCTAATTCCTGACAAGTTGAAATCGTACGGTACCTGGGCAATGCAGAAGCCGGAGTGGATTGAGATGATGGAGGGAAGGAGAACTATGGTTCCCCGGTAGGCGGCGGTGATATTGGACGGTATTACACCACGCCTTATCAACGAATATATCAAAACGTGGCGAAACAGCTGCGATCCTTCTCAGCGTCCGCTAACAGTCGCTCAGAGTATCGAAAAGGTAGAGTGCACAGGCTGCAAAGTTTAAAGAAAGTGTTCTACCACAAATAGTATTGCTCGAACAGAGAGTGTTACGGCGACGATAGCCAGCGGCCCTGCTCTTCCTTAAGCTGAACAATGCTATCGGGCCGATCCACGCCAGGCAGTTCCTGCGAGATGGGAATATTCCGATGCTCGAGAGTCCACGAGAGGAACTTATAGCTCTCCCGATACCCTGTGACCTCAGGAGAGAAGCTCGACGCCGAAGGGGTAACCGGCACCACCATGTCCCTCACGTAAATTACAGTGAGCTCATTGATTTTCCACCCTTCCTTCTCAACTTGAGAAAGTCGATACGTCAGGCGACAGTACGAGAATAACTCATATTCATGGCCGTCGACCTTGAAGCGAATCATAATGCTGGCCGAGGCCTCCGCCAGAGCTTTTCCCTGCCGAACGGAGATTTCGGCTGGAGTCATGGAATGGATGGCGGTCGTGCCTTTGTTCGCCATTTCTCTAGAGCCCTGGACAAAACCGTCGGCCGTGTCATCTATCCTATAGCGGGGTACTTCTGTAAGTCGCGGGATAACAAGAGGTGAAGGAAAACAATCTGTACCAGGAGATGGTGATACGAGTCTTCGTGTCGTTGGGATGATAGCATAAACGCAATTGCTCCCATTGATTCGTATCGCGATACCACCGCTCTCGTACCAGCAGCCTGGCAATGAGCAATTCATCTTGTAGTGCCGTAAGTTCGGAAGGCATGGTGAAAAATGATTATAAGGGGGCGGGGTTTTTTCTTCGCTGTTGGACCCTTGCAACAGGTCTTCGGACAACCCTGAGGCAGCTCTAGATCCGTCTATTTATTCTAAGCCCGGAACAAATGTCTAGTATATGCCGTCAGCCTAGAAGTTGCTCGTAAACGCAGCGAGGTTGCTGAGCAGAGGCAGTGTTTAGCGCCCTGCATTTTCGATGCTTCCACTCCAGCCAGGTTCAAGGCTGAGAGTAGACACTGTGAGGTTTGTGGGGGGAGACAAACACTACAATGGTGCCCCGCAAATATGTACCCCAGTTCTTGACCTCAAGGGAGTGGAGCTTAGTCGGCTAAAGAGGTCGTCTTTGATACAAGTGCGTGTACCCCCTTTTGTTTACCTGATGGCCATGTACTACACCCGATACGAGCTACATACGCGCATGAGCTTGTGGTAATCTGCAGGCACGATCTCCAGCGCATTTGGAAGAGTAACTTCCCTTATCACACATTCAAAGAACCAGACACTGACGTAGTGCATAGCTCCTTGCTTATGTCATCGCCCACATGGATGGTGTGGCTGGCTACAGAGAGCCTGGAGATGGATCTTTATCATCGAAACCATCGCCACCTGTTTCATAGGGGTCCTGGCCCTGTTTATCTTGCCCGACTGGCCCGAGCAGGCCAAGTTCTTAAGCGAAAATGAACGAACGGTCCTCCTTACTAAACTTGCAAGAGACATGGGCGAATACGTGGAGACGAAATCGACTCTGCAAATTCTGAAAGATACAATCACCAACCCGAAGGTTCTTTTCTGGTGCGTCCTGTCCATTTATGCCGATGTCTCTCTGTCTCCCTGTACAAAATGTCGGTGAATGAATTGGAAGCTGACTGTTTCTTGCGGAAAGTAGCCTGATGTATTTCGGCACCGCCGTCACCGGCAGTTCGTCTTCGTTCTTCCTACCTAGTATCCTAGAGCAGCTGGGCTGGACTTCCCTCAAGGCTCAGTATATGAGCATTCTAATCTGGCTAGTTGGATGGGCGTTTTCCATCGTGAACGGATTCGTGTCGGACAAGGTGCAGCGACGCTGGCTTTTTTTCTGCGTACCTCTGTGCTTTTCCGTCATCGGCTATGCGCTGCTCATCGCACAAAGTCATATCGCAGTGAGCATACGCTACATGGCATTGTTCTTCGCCGTGGGCGACTGCTTCGCGGCCATCGCCCTATCCTTGACCTGGATGAACAACAACATACTAGGGAGCAAAAAGCGCGGTATCGTCTCTGCGGCCATTCTCGCCCTGGGAAACTGTGGAAGCGTGCTGGGCAGCAACATCTACCTATCCTTCGAAGCACCAGGCTATCTGACTGGGTTCTCCGTCTCTCTTAGCGCGATCATCCCCGCGCAAGTCTCGGCTATTGTCTAGCTCATCTACCTCATTTACGAGAACAATGCTAGAGCCTCTGGCAAGAGGGACCATCTCCGAAATCTCTCGCAAAAAGAGCAGGATAATCTCAGCGATAGACATCCGTCTTACAGATACGCTTACAGAAGTCGAATTTCGAAGTTGATGGCGGGAGGATTGGGCGAAGTGAATATAGTTGCTCAGCTTATTGACAAAGTAACTCCAGTGTATCTACATTTGTCAGAAGATAGCAGAACCACACAACCCAGGAACATGGAGATACCACCCATTTACAACATAATTCCCCGCCTCTCAATGTATACGATGAAATTCTTCTCACATGCTTACTTCTCAAAACGTCCCGCTTTTTTTGAGATTCAGATGTGAGAAGGAAATCTAATGAGGAATAAGATCAAACTGTTGATGGATATTTGTTTACTGCATCTTCATTCACCGCAATGCGCACCTGGTCTTTACATATCTCCGGTGCTCGGTTTTTTAGTCGTAGCGAGACAGAAACTCGTCTGCTTGCTGGAATTCCTTGCGGAGAATCTCAGCTCTCTCCTGCGACCGTGGTCTCAAAGCGACTGGAAATTTCTTGGGTGCCGTCAAGAAGCCTTTGGTAAAAGCCGTTTCGACATTGGTATCGACAGGGCCCCCAGTGGCAGACATGTCGAAGAACCACAGCAATTTACTCATACTGATAAGCTGGAAACAAACCGGCCAACAGGGGTCCGTAGTTAGCACCACAAACAACCAAAAAAAGAAGCAGAGGGATGGCAGGGGACGTACCATTGAATTCTCTGCCATGGTCTGACCAGAGCAAACTCTCCGTCCCGCGCCGAACCCGTACATTTCTCGTCTCCCTTCTTCCCTGATCTCCTCCCCGATTATGCCATATCGATTGCCGAGCCACCGGTCCGGCACGAACTCGTCGGGCGACATATACTCGGCCGGATCCCGATGAATGGTCCAGGCATTGGCAAACAGCATGGTCCCTTTGGGGAGAAAGTAGCCCTCGTACGAATCATCCTGGATCAGCGTATGTGGGATACCGCCTGGAGCGACAGGCCGCCATCGTAACGTCTGTAGTCGTCCCCAAAAATATAGATTAGCATAGGAGCTCTATCTCGATCAAAAGCCAGAAAATGAAACCTCTACGTGAGACACGGGAACTGGATATTGTACCTCTTGCATGAGAGCGTTTAGATACGCGTTGTCTTTGACGGCCTCGTAGGTGGGAGGATCCCGAGGTGAAATGGCGTCGATCTCCTTCTGAGCCTTCTTGAGGATATCCGGGTGAGAGATCATGGCCAGGATGAAATCCAAGATGCTTGAAGAGGTCGTGTCCGATCCGGCTTCCATCTGTAATTTTATGACCCAGTTAGAAACCGAGCTCGCTTCAAAAGCTTTTGGTACAACGAGCTTGAGTTGAAACGAAGAGCGACAAAATGACATTCAGTCTGGGTTCGAGTCTTACAAATAGACCGGCAATGTATCCAAGCCACTCATCACTGATGCCATGCTTCCTCTGGTCCTCAAACATGTGGATCAAGAAACAATCTGGACTTTTACCCTGGTTCAACTTAATCCTCGTTTCATCGACCAGCGCGGCGTACAGCTTCTTCTCGTCCCGGCGGATGGCCTTTGCTTCTCGCTTCCACCAGCTGAGCCAGTCCGGCAGGTACTGCAGCAAGGGGACGGCGTCGACCGGAGGCGTCGCGCCAGGCTCCATGAGGGCCAGGAACCGCTCCATGATGCAGTAGATCTCCTGGATCTTGGCCGATTGCGGGTCTGGGACGCGCTGTCCGTACACCGACGCGAGGACGACCGCGGCAGAATAGCGCCGGATGTACTGGTAGTACCCCGCCGGGTCGTTCATGATCTGGTACAAGGTCTGCGTCGCCTCGGCTTCCTGGATCGGCACAATCTTCTGGATCGAGTTGGCGTTGAGAAACGACTGTGCGACCTTCCTCATCAACCGCCATTCAGGGCCGTATTCGTTCAGCAGAATGTGGATTTTGTTGGGGAATAACAGCTCGTGCGCGATGTAACTCTTCGGTCGACTCGAATAGATCGATCCTCTCTTGTCAAATAGTCTAGACCGGCCCATGAATAAGGGGAATATAACATATACAACTCAAGGCTGAGAGACATACTCCTTGACAGGCTGATAGTGGTTCAGCACAACCACGTTCTGCGGGCCGAATTTGAGCCCGACGATCGGCCCATACTCCTTGCTGAGCTCGTGGAATCTGAGGGCTCGTGTTAGCTTTGAGAGAACAGAAGCACAAAAGCGTGCAGGGACTCGATCATTACTTGAGAAAGGACTTTGCTGGCGGAATCTGGTGCAAGTTCCCTGGCCAGTCAACCGTCAGTCAACAGATTGCTCTTGCGAGGCGCGATCCGGCACGACGACCAGGCTGACCTCACCGATGATTGGAAGTCCTGCCGGCCCTGGTGGGAAGTTCTTGGGTCGTCTACTGGCGATGCCCAGTCGCACGAGGAAAACAACAGTAATCACGGTGACGAGCAATGCCGTCAGCAGCAGCGTTCTGGCGGCCGGAGCCCGTAATAACTCCCAGCGAATGTCCACCATTTCCCCGAATCTCTGACAGGAGCTCTCTGGCTTCGTACAGTTCCTGGAGATGCACCTCTGGCCCAGATAGTTCATCTACCCTGCCCCATATTTCAGAGGAACATGGAGGTGTGTACTCGTTACCCCGGTTTGCGGGGCGACAAGACGGGGCAACGCTCGATTAAGGGGCTGATGTCATTCCAGTCTGCCCCGTCGACGAGCAGTCTGCGGCGCTTCACGCTGTTTGGATAGAGGATGGGACACGCTGAGTAGAAGAATAGCGTTGGTAAATAGTCTGTGGCGATTGAATGCCTGTTGCCAATACCGACTCTTCGCCGACTTCGATCGGAAACTGCCTCTCCGGCGACACGCGACGCTCTGAATTACAGCTGACGACAGGTAACATTTGAGATCTACAGCGTTGGACGTGTCAAAGAGATTTGATTCGCTTCAAAGGTTTCTCAGGAATAACGTGTTGGCGCGGGGGAAGTAGGTCAAGATCAAATAATCCAAATGATTCCCTATGTAAAGACCAGGCAATCGACAGACAGATATCCCCCACTATGAATACCTTCGTGTGAACTAGAACAGCCACTATTACCCGTCTAAGCGGGGATGGCGAGTAGTTCCTTGATGGCTTCTGTCGTTTCGTCGGGACTCTCCATCGTCCAAAAGTGGCCTCCCGGCATGTATTTGACGCGCACTTCTTTGGCATTCGGAATGTAGTCCCTCGCGCCCTCGTAGAACTCACGCGGCTGGGTTCGACTCTCATAGCCCTGCATGATCATGACCGGGCACTTCCACATTGCCAAGAGCCGGTTGCGGCGATCGAGCCATTCGGCGCGGAAAGTCGACGAGTTGAAATACCGTGGAACCGCGCGCGGGATCTGCGGATAACAATATTCCTGGATAATGCGGGAGAACTGGTCGTCTGGGATTGGCAACTTCGCGATCCAGGTATAGACCCAGACGACGAACCGTTTGGGATCCTCCATAATACCAGTCCAGGGGGCGTTCATGAAGATATCACCTTGCGGAGCAAGGACAGGATTGAAATGATGGAGGTGTTGCTCCCCTCGTCCATAGCGCAAGACGGCTTCAGGATGCTTAGCCACGATATAGTCGGCTTGTACCGTGCCTCGATCGTGAGTGATCATGTTGAACTTGGTAGCGGTAATTCCAATAGTCTGAAACATGGCGAACAGGTTGTCTGCTGCGCCTTCGTGGCGGTAGTCTCCCGCTTTCTTCTCAGACTGTCCGTACCCTTTTAGATCCGGGGCGATGCAACGATAAGTCGTGGCCAACGCTGCCATTTGATGGTGCCATTGGTACCAGGAATCGGGGATGCCATGGAGGAACACCACCACCTCGCCAGATGCAGGCCCGGCCTCGACATAGTGGAATCGCACAAATTCATGGTCCCCAGGAGCGTCGACAAAGTGATGCGTAAATTCCACGCCGTCCAGAGTCTCCTTGTCCCCTTCTTTGTCAGCAGCTCGAGGCTGGACGGAAGCAAAGTGCCGGGTTCGTTCTTCAACAAGGGCGTCTGGTGGGATGAAGTCGTCGACTGCCTTTTGAGCTCTAGCACTGAGCTCCGTATATTGATGTGATGACATCGTCTCATGGCCAGTTGCCCTTGGCTCCGGCTCCGTCGCCGCTGAAGGAGACATATTTGGTCGCAGCTTCTTCGTGTCGACTTTGGGTGATGGTCCACGATGGCACAATATTGCTGCTCACTGTCTGTCGTGATGCTACCCGCCCCAAAAGGGAGAGTTTTTAAGTTGATAATAGAGAGTTAGATCTGCCGTAAGGTCAGGAGGCTGAACGATTTGCAATACCGAGCCGCCCGGGTGGAAAACAGCACAACTGCGCGGGGCACGGGCGCCCCGCGGCGTGTCAAATGGGTGTCACCAGTAGGTGGACTGTATGTCAGTGTGGCAGCTCGGATAGCCATGATGATACAGTCAGTCGGATAGAACATGATTCCATGGCGGGGCATTGCAGAACCCAACCCAGCCTCCTCCTCCGTGGGGCGTTCACAAAGTTGTCTTGTAGTTCTCGTTAGAGGCCGCATTCTCTGGCTTACCCACCTAGTTTACTCATGAACAAGAACCACGTCCAACAGATACGGCTTGATCCTACATGGCGAATGGAAGCCGCTTTACCCTGGGCATGAACTGACCCTTTTGGTTCAGCTTCTCTAACAAGGGTGTGAGGACAAAACAGGAAAGTTTGAACGAAGCCTTGAATGCTGCCTGTGCGAGAAGTGTGTCAGAATAAGAACATTCCATTCTTTTTCTTCTCATCGTATAAGGAAGGATGGTCCACCCTCGTCCACCCTTCGATTCCACCATGCAGCCCGGAGTATATCAGCAGAAGACAGGGAAGAAGGCCGGGAGGGCGTCGACGGTGTCTCCAATCTCGACAAACCTGCCACAACAAGAGAGACGAGGCGGATGAAAATGCTCCCAACGCCCAATTCGGTTTGGAAAGACATACTCCAAGCACGCCCGTTGAAGATGCAATGTGATTGGCAAAGAAGGGAGCTCTCCATCCAGATCCTGAAGCGACCAAACGTGGGAAGCATAGCAACGCTGAGGTAGCATTGGCTAATGCACAAGATGACCTGTTGATCACGGACCCTATGAGAGGCCTGGGAATCCTTCCTAGAGCCCCGGTACCACTGCGAGAAGAGCCATCATCAGACAATATAAAGGGACCAAGGGTAAGCTCGTCTCAGAGGTATCAGGGACATGCCAACTGCACTCCTGGAACTACTTTCGTCTCCCCCAACAGTCTCCTCTACATAAGTCCCACCATGGTGCGTCTCGCAACGTCCTTGCTGCTCGGCAGTGCTTTCTCTACCGTCTCTGCCTATATCCAATACTCGACTGTGACCGGCTACTTCCTGCAAGACGACAATGCGACCAATGCTACCACATTTGACTATGTAAGTGAAGAGCAAATACTAAGCAATTGCGAAGAAGGAGAAGAAAGATGAGGGAAATCCCTTTCTAATGATGCTTCCTCTCCAGACCGCCACCAACTTCGGTCTCATCAACCAGAGCTACCCAACCGACCCGTCCAACGCGGCATCATTGACCCAGTGGCAGAGATTCGCCCTAGTCATTGCCAATCTCACCAAGTCCGCCCCCTCGAATGTGCAGTATAAACTGCTGTTCATGGGCCGCCATGGCGAAGGCTGGCACAACGCTGCCGAATCTTACTATGGCACTCCCGCCTGGAACTGCTACTGGTCCCTTCTCGATGGCAATGCCACGGCGACATGGTCCGATGCCCACTTGACCAACAATGGAATCGCCCAAGCGCTTGTCGCCAACAAGTTCTGGCTGTCCCGTATTCAAGAACAGAAGATCCCCACGCCGCAAAAGTACTACGTGTCGCCCTTATACCGGTGCCTGTCGACCGCAAACCTGACATTCTCGGGCCTCCCGTTGCCGCCAAACGAGCCGTTCATCCCGACGGTCAAGGCCCTGCTCAGGGAGTCGATCTCGGAGCATACGTGCGACCGCCGCTCCAACAAGACGTTTATCCACGCCCAGTTCCCCACGTACAAGTTCGAGCCCGGCTTCCCAGAGACCGATCAGCTTTGGACCGGTGTCACGGCGGAGACCGACTTGGCTCAGGACGCAAGATCAACGACGTTGCTCGACAACATCTTCTCGACGGACAAGTCTACTTACTTGTCCTTCACCTCCCACTCTGGAGAGCTCGGCTCGATCCTGAGAGTCCTCGGGCACCGATCCTTTTCGCTCAACACAGGTGCGGTGATTCCAGTGCTGGTGAAGGCCGAGACGATTGCCGGGGTGAGCACGATCTCGACGCAGGCTTGGACACCCAGCCCACACTGCACCGCGCCTCCCCTTACCAGCGTCAGCACTGGCGCGAATGGAGGGTGTGTGTGTCCCAACAGTGCCGCGCCGGTGACGACGACGTTGCCCCCTTTTGCGGCGAGCACTTGATTCGACAGTCCAGAAAGGTATTGCATTAGATGGGATGGTGTTCAGTCAGATTCAGCGAGCTGGTATCAACGGTAGTTTAGAAGATATACGAGGGAGCAGCGTGGGAAGGAGAAACATCGAACTGGACGCAAAAAGTAGAAATTGTATAGTCGATAATTAGGCGATGAGAAGTCCTCTGATATCTGCGCTCGGCTTCTCCCCTGAAATCATTTCGCCCATGACAAACCCCGTCCCCAGACTCAGACTGATTCCCCACGGACCGTGCCCAGATGCTATCCACACGCCGCCCTCCCCGGGTCGCAGACCGAGGAAGTGTTCAGGTATCTTTCCGATCACCGGGGTCCCTCTCTGACTGACGGGCCGGAAACAGAGTCCCTCCCTGACGGTCTCGAGATCGTCTTGGTTGACTTCATCGCCTTCCTTCGCGAGACCCGTCAACTGCACGGTCGTCTTGCGGAGCGACTTGATGCTCTCCGGGTCGATCATGGCTTTGACGTCGCTCGCCAGCTCGGGCAGCGGGAGGGAACTGTCGTTGAGGCCGCCAAGCCAGATCTCCGCCTCGCCGTTGCGGGCGAGCCGCGCGAATGCTTCCATGGCATACGACCAGTGGCGCCCGGGGGCACAGTATATCGAGTAGCAGAGCCAGTTGTCGCTGCCGCCGCCGATGTTTCGCTTCGCGGCATCCACAAAGGGCGTATTGTACCGCGGCGACTTGACCACGATGCTGTGCCCGGCTAGCGGCTCGATGGGGATCTGCAGCTTGCTTTCGGGGAACAGAGTCTTGAAGACCCTCGGGGTCCATGCGCCTGCGGAGATGAGGATGTCTTTGCACTCGAGCTCCCTGGTATCGACGTCGTCGGCATTGCTTGTGGACTGCAATTTGATCCCCTTCAGGGATCCGTCATCGTCGGTAAGGATACCCGTCGCCTTGGTCGAGAGATGGACCTGGACGCCTCTCTTCTTGCACTCGTCGAGCAGGAACTCGCACAGCTCACGGGGCTCGATCTGCGCACAACTCTCTGGCCCTGAGATCGTCTCGAGTGTCCCACCGGGCTGAGGAGTCCACACGGCAGGCGATCCGTCCGGGTTGAGCATCTCGCCCCCAGCGCCACCGCCACCGGTACTGTCCCTTCCGCCGGCATCAGGATTCGACGATCCCGCCGCCTCAGCCCGACTGGTCCCTTCGCGCAACCAATCGCCCTTCCTGTCCGTGGCTGTCGACTTCTTCGCAGCCACGCGCTCGTCGACGCTCAGGTTGTACGTGTGGCTGCCGGCGTACCCCCACCTGCGCGGACCGTTGTGCTTCTCGGCCAGCTCGCGGTGCAGGCGGAACGAGAGCGCGCCCAGCGACGCCACGGGCGGGCTGAACCAGTCGGCGGCGAGGAATCCGCCCGCAAAGCCGCTGGCCGAGGCGAGCAGTGCGGGCGAGGAGTCGATGATATGAATTGTTTTGGCAGGCGACGACGAGGCCCGCGCCAGCGAGAGGTAATACGCCGTCGAGAGGCCGATGATACCTCCGCCGAGGATCACCGTGGACATCTTTGCCTTGGTAGCCTTGAATCTATTAGTTGCTCTCTTTGTCTCAAGCCAAGGAGGTGGTTAGGAGAAGGGGAAAGCACGGCTTCTCTACATAGCGATGATAATACGATCCTTTCCACGTGCTGCTGCATATCATATGCTGCAAGAAGTCGACGCCCTTCGATCGAACGCTCTTCATCGCATTGTCGCAGTTCTCCGCCCCCAGGCGTTGTCGATAATGAATGACGCACTCAACGCGTTTTCCGCGTGCTGGAATCGCGTCTTCCGGCGTCCCCACAAAAATTTCTTTGAAAACTGCGTCAAGATGCGGCCGTCGTTCTCAGCGTTCCTTCAACCAGCAGCGGCGTGCTTCTAGCTTTCGATGAGAGGCATTGGAGGGCGACTGTTCGGCGCACATGGACACTGCTTGAGCGCAAAAATCACGCCGCAGATTCCATGTCTCAGATCGCCGATATGTCTGGTGAAGCACCGAGCCGTGTCGACGAGACATGGCGAAAAACCCCTTGAACGGATCATCCCCAACCCAGCGGCTTCGCACTACGAGGACAAACCCGTCTATCCAGAGATTCCCGTTCAAACCTGTGTCCCGTCGACACCGATATCGAGTTGCAATCTTGCGAGCACGAGACCTGCGAAGCTCGCGACGCCGGAGCCTCTCAATCAACAAGACTACAACGGGCCCATACCCATTGGTGACTGGGTGAGATGGTACTTCCGTCTGGGAAAATCCTATCTCGCCTTCTACAAGACGGGATTCCGGCACACCTGGCAGAACTATAAAGAGTTGAAGAAGATCCGAGGGAGGTTCGGAAACCGCAGGCTCGAGGACGTGGTGAAATATGGCGGCGGCGGCGGGGGCGCAGACCAGGCTGACGGTGCGCCAGCACCCAGTATAACCCGAGAGGAATACCAACTGGCTCTCCGCGCGCGACACGACCTGGGAAAACTCGTGCCCTTCGCCATCGTGTTCGCCATCTGCGGCGAATTCACCCCGCTTGTCATCCTCGCGATCGGCTCCGCCGCGGTGCCGTACACGTGCCGCATCCCCAAGCAGGAACAGAACGACTTCCTCCGACCGGCCCGCATACGACCCAAGTACACAGCACAGGTGGATCAACTACGGGGCGAAGGCGCCAGGACCGGCGCCGACCACGTACGCTGGAAGCTGGAGTTTATCGAAGCGTACCGCTTGAACGTGAACCCCTTCCTCCGCCCCGTTCCCGTGCTAGGGTCCCTGTGGCACACATTCTACTCCGGCCCGCGGCTGCGCAGGCACTGCGAAGAAGTGCTCTGCGACACCATCCTCATACGGCGCGAAGGCGGGTTCGACAGACTCCCGCCGCGCGAGGTGTTCCAGTGGAGTCTCAAGCACGGGTCGCGGAGCCTGACGGAGTACATGGATAACCAGCGACGCCGGGGCTTGCTCGTGGACCCAGAGTCGCCAGAGTTGAAGGAGATGCTGCTGCCCGTGGTCGAGGCAGAGGCGGATTACATACTCGGGGTAGACTGGAGACGGCTCAGCCCAGAGAATCACTGGCTCTCGGTTTTCAGGCCGACGTCTGTGGCGCCCGATGATCGGCACTCTACAGAGCGGTAAGGCTGCCCCTGCGCTCATGGTATATACAGGAGAGAGGGATATCGAGGCAATCTCTCAGCTCATTTTGTCACCCTAGACGGTGGATTCTTGCCCTTCAATAAATCTCGGATTTTCTCTTTGTCGCCCCGTATCCCTTTCCTTTCAGGCTCGCAATGTGCACTTTCGCAGTCCGCCTCTGGATCTGCTATCTTTTCGGTCGAACTCCAAAAGAAGCTCGACTTCCAGATGAAAAGGGGCAAACTTCGAATTCGGCTGCTTGAATGCGTGATCTTTGAATGCCCCAGCACCGCCCTTGCCCTCCGTAACCTTGATCAGTCCCTAATCGAACCAGTGGCTGATAAGGGTTGCGCAAGATGCCATAGTGCTTAGAAGGCAGTTTGCGACCATCGAGCAGCGTTGCGCTTCTTAAGGGATGCCCTAACGCGCAGCTTCGACTGTTCAAAGAGCATCCAGACCCAGACTGGTCTACCAGTAGTTATGTCCTACAATTAGTTCTGGCACAGATGACATGTGGTCGACAAGGCTTACCGAAACATCAAAGACAGCTTATGGTAGACCAATTTCCTCGTAACGACGATTTCTCTGTTGGAATCGTCCCATTCCATTCCCGTTTTGTCTTTATTGCAGGAATGATCTCGTCGTGGATCGATACCGAGGAATGGGATATCCCCCTCACGTTCATTGGTTTCATGTAATGATTGTTCGGTGATGAGCCCAGTCCACGCTCGAGAAGCTGAAGTGGCCCGGCAGCCGATGAGCATCGCAAGATTGTGGTCCTCGCAATATATTTCGTCGTAACTTCATCATGTCCACGTGGTCACCGCGTGACGAGGCGCCGAATCAGCACCACCGTATATGCGGAGCAGATATTGTTCACTTATTTCAGTTCAGCCACAGTGACATTGTACGTGCACAGTTCGACCTGGTCTGAAGCGTCGTCTGCCGTCACGCGCCGGGTCGACGACCGGAACGACTTCAAGTTTGCTTTCCCGAGGCTTGATTGTGTCACAGGGCCAGGCGCAGCAGCCATATTGGGTCCCGACAGGGCGTACTCGCGGTCCCGGTCCGTGGTCGCGAGGCCGAAGTTGGGGAAGTATCGGCGGAGCACGACGCGGAGGGAGGGCATGCAGATGCAGGCGATGCCGACGTTGAACTCGAGGTCGGACCAGTATCCGAAAGGTACAAAGTCCCCTGTGTGCGAGGGTGTCAACTGGGTCAACTCTCCGCGGGACGGACCACTCTTACATGTTGGATTCCAGGTGTCGCCGATGGAGATCATGCTCCACAGGCGCAGGATGCTGACTAGAGTGATACTGTTGTGTGGGTAAGCAACATGGCATTTCGTGAGAATAGGAACCCTTACAAGAACCCGACGCAGAACATGGACATGACCTGGAACTTCTTTTTCTTGGAAAGGCTCAGGCTCCAAAGCTGCCATATCGGCAGCGCGAAGATCAAGAGGTCCAGCAGTATGTTGGTGATGGCGTGCATCACGGCGCCGAGGTCGAAGTTGAGACACTTTCCATGTCCTGTCCCGTCCCACTGCGTCCAGGCGTAGGATATCGGGCTGCATTGGAAGATGAACAGGAACGTGAACGTGGTCCCTTGGATCAGCGTCGCCACCAACAAGGGAATCGCCACCCAACGGAGAGTCTTGGAGGGAAAGAGCTTGAGGTAGAACAGGAGAAAGGCCACTTTGGTGGACGCCACGCCAACGGCGTAGAGGATGCCACCGATGTAGAATATCTGGGGTGGTCATCAGCAAATGCCCACGTCTACGTGACTATCACGCAGCCACATACCATTTCCACAGTCTTTGTGTTGTCAAAGGGTAGACGCCAGGTGTCTCGTCCGTATCCATAATGCCTTGCTAACCAGAAAGTCAGAAGGAAGGTCGATTGTTCCGTGGTGAAGACGTACAAATAGGGTTGCAGATGGCATTGCCAATCATCAAGACCTAGTCAAGGTCAACCACCAGGCTTGAGCAATATTGACAACGTGGTCCGCCTCACCGTCCCGAGCCCCACGAGCACATCATCCCACCCCCATCGCACGGCGAAGTCTGGACACAGGGCTATTATCCGCGTCGCAACCAGGCAGAGAGCCACCGCCATCGAGGTGAACGTGACGGCGCTGCTCGCTGGACCCCTATTGCGATCTGGGAAGTTGCAGCTGGTTGAGGTGACATTTTGCGCGGCCGTTGTGTATCAGCGATAACTTCCTTCGAGATACCAGTTCATTCGAAGACATACTCAATGCTTCTCGGACCGTGCAGTTGGATTGCCAACAGTCCTGCCCTAGCTCGTAGAGGCGCGAGTCTGTACAGAAGCACTGGATGCCAAACTTGCACGCGGAGAATCTGCTTGTGATGTCGGAGGTGCAATTGGCCTGGTCAGGAAGTGTTAGACTGGCGGAAAAGGATGGTGGGGTGGCTGGGGGCGAGACTTACAGTGCACTCTGAGAGTGTCAACGTCTGGCTGCACGCAGAGTGCAACAGAGAGATAACGGCCAGAACGACAACAAAACTTCTATATGCCATATCAAAGACTTCTCGTTTGCCAGCCAGGTAGGAGAGACAACGGAAGCGAGAGTCGTCAAGGGCAGAGGCATAGATAAGCCCGTACTGTTATTCCATTCGGAGGATTGTCAACCTTGCAATACTGACTATTGCCCATCTCCGTCAGAGTAGAGACGATGCCGGGGAAGAGAATAAAGACTGTTCCAGAAGTGTTTCACCTAGACAGGCGAGTCAGCGAAGCCGATAAACAACCTTCGATCCTGCGAGGGGGAACCTGGAAGCCATGCGTGCCATGTCCATATAAGCTTCTTACGTCAGGCCAGGGGACGGTACAAGTGAGGGTCTTAACCTTTGGCCCCATCCTAGTACCAAAACCATGGCTTTATTCGAATACTTGGGAGTTATTAGTGCCATCCATGCGTGGCTGAGCGTCGGGCTATTCGTCGAAGAGAGTCAACTGTTTGATTTCGATCGAAGAGATGCTCTTGTGGGGACGGGACAGTCGGAGAGGCTCCCTCTTCAGGGGAGTTTATATTTCCGAGCACATGCAACGTCGATCTCCCACGCAATATATCATCAAAATCTCCAACCTTCTCTCCATCACGAGTCCATTGCAGCAGAAGAGCGTGAGATGATCGATCATTTAGTTCAAGAAAGGGGCAAGAGTTAGAATGATGTTGTCGCAAGGCTGGGCCATAGGGGGCGACGATGCGGTCAAGAATTAGTCGACTTGTGACCTTAGTCGAGAGGGACAATAGACTCATTCTCCGTAAGCCTCTGAAGGAAAGCAGGAGACAGATAAAGAGAGCGGAAAGAACTCGAACCGATCCCCAGTCAAAGCCTGAAGAAAGGTGTCGTCAGTGGCGCAGTCTCCAGCTGAGACGAAGACTGCCCGGGACCAAGATATCGTTCAACCTGGCCTGTTGGATTGCGCTCGATGAATTCAACAAGGATACGCCTGTATAAGGTTCGAGGAGACTTTGTTGTTCTTGGAGTAGAGAGTGGAGAAGAAGCCATTTGAGCAAGGCGGGTGGCACCTTGCTGATGAAGACTTGGAAGTTTGTGTGTCGGGAAATACTCTTAGCCTCGAGGCGTCCTGCATTGAGATGAGAGTTCCATTTCTTCCATTGCAGGCGCGGTTACGGTCATGAGGCTGCACAAGAAGGACGAACAACCAATATCTTGTTGACAGATACGTTAACGTCGTCAGATATAGCATGATCTCAAAGCTCCTGTCAAGACCTCCACGCCCACCCTCCCACTTCATCCCCATCCACTCCCTATCCCCTCATTCTATCCCGTGACAGCAATGCCGTACGTCGCCCTCAGCCTTCCGAGCAGATGTTCGCCCGCAGTGGTCTGGCCCAACGTCTCGGCCGTGGCCGAGCCACCGCCGCTCCCGATCTGCACCTTTTGAAACGCCGCGGCGCGCTCCGAGACCGCCCGCGATGGCACGGGCACCAGAACGGTCTCGTCGGCCGGCTGGACGAACACGGCGATGGAGTATCTGTCCGTGCCGAGCGCGGCCGCCGTCGACGCGCTGGGCCGTTGCTCTAATGGCTGCTCTTCCTCAACGAGCACGACGCGGTGCACGGTCGACTTCAACAGCCCGTTGGTCCAGAACTGCAGCAGGTCGCCAATGTTGACGACGATCGGCGGGAAATCCGGGTCGTGGTAGCCCGGGGGCGAGATGGGGACGCGGGCCCAGTTGCCGTCGTCCTGGAGGATTTCCAGCCCCGGTTGGCCCGGTCGCGTGAACAGGAGCGTGATGCTCCCGTAGTCGCTGTGCGCGCCGGCACGGATGTCTGCGTCGGCGCGGTAGTCTGTGCCGGCGGGGAGCTGGGGGTAGTAGAGCATGCGCACCGTGTAGGGTGACTTCTCATGCGACTTCACGAACCAGTCGGCGTCCTCTATCCCCAGGCCCAACGCGATCAGGCGCAGGACCCTCGTCGCCACGGCTCTGCAGCGGGCGTGAAAGTCCCGGAGCGCGGCGTCGGCCGCGGACTCTGAGAACTGCGGCGGCAGCGGTTGACGCCACGCGCACGTGTCGGGATCCGGCTCGGCGAGGTTGAAGCACTGCTTGAAATCGCCCCGCGCGTGGCTCTGCGGGTCCAGGTTCTCGACCTTCATGTCCACGAAGCCGCGGTTCTTGGTGATCTTGCAGGCCGCCTTTTCTGCGCCGCTGGCGCCCTTGAAGAAGCGGCTGCCGATGTCGAACACGTTCTGCACGGTCGCGGCGTCGAGATCGTAACTGCCCTGATCGCCATCATTCGCCGACGAGGAGGACGGTGAGCCAGAGATCCAGAGGAAGCCATGTTTCGCGGCCGCCTGGACAATCTCCCTCCCCAGCTCCGAGGACTCGTGGGAGATGTCGAACAGGGGCAAATCGATCGATGACTCTGCAGCGGGAGCTGCGCCGTTTGCGACCGACACTGCAGGCATGGTCACTGTCGAGAAAGTGGCTACCGTAGCTCTCGGAGTAGTCGAGCCTGGGGTTTGTTTCATTAGGCGGCACGTTGGGTATATAAGAAGCTGTCACACCAGATCAGCGACGGAAACGATTTTCGTAACCCACTTTCGACGCTCGGGACCGACCGATGGAGTAGCTTTTGTCGCTTGGAATGGGCAATTCTCCCATTGGCCGCCCGCAGACGATAACAGACCCGGCGAGCCGGCAATCTGCGTCGCTAAGGCTGATAAGGGCTGCAATAGCCTGGATCTTGCACGTACGCGATTGCCTGTTCACGCTGTATGAAATGCTGGCACATCGTCTTGTTGCAAGAGACCCGTACGAAAAGGAACCAATATCGTCTAGCGCCGTGAGAGAAGCACATATTCCATCAATCAATCAACACTTCCAATCCTGCAGCTCTGATTCGAAGACGGGGGAGGCTGTCGGGATCGAAAAGCCTGAATCGACCACATGCTATGCGCGAGATTGCCTAGGTGTACTGACTTCAGCGTCGAAAGAGCATCATGTGTGAGCTCAAAGGTCTGTAAGATTCATGCAGACGAGAAAGCAAGAAGCAGGCTGCGCGCGCAGAACCGTGCCTTTGCACAGCTGGCTAGTATGTAGGTTACCTACCATCGTTTCCATTGCTCTGTACAGTTTCAGGGGCATCTCCCAAATTTGCTTTCAGCCTCTTCCTGCCTGCCTCCAGGACTGTGCAATCTTGCAGACAAACTGTTGCCCGCTCGTTCGGACTGGAAATATTCCTCCACGCGGTATGCTTCCCAAAGCTGCTCTGCCCTTTCTCGACGTGTTGCCAATTTGTCACATTAAACGCTCAGAACACCAAAAAATCGAGCTTTCCAACTCGAAATATCTCTTCAAAGCCAAAGCACTTCACCTCGCTGGTCCCAGCAAAGTTGGCATCTGCAGATTGCATATCCACACCTTTCCAGTCCTTACTCCCATGCCGATCATACTTCCTGAGATGACTGAACGAAGTGGCCGATACTCATGCGGTAGCCAAAGAATGTTTTCTGAGTTATATGTGATCCACTCTCTATTTGAGCTCAGGCCCAAGCCTCGATATTGCGGATTTTGAGGCTCCGTTTTGACGAGTGCTGTGGTTGAAGCCGAGCATGTATTGAGAGCAATAGCGCCAATGTCAGTGTAAAGGTACAAGGCCGTACTGTCGAACGAAATTTTGTTGAGCCATCTGCCGATGTTGAACGTTTGCAGGCACTCACCGCTGACGGCGTTCCAGATTCGCACTGTGCGGTCGTACGTGGCCGCCGCAAGGCGAGTTGAGTCGGGCGAAAAGGCCAGCGACGAAGAGCCAACGTCGCAGTCCTCGAGCATCTCCTGGCACTCGCCACTGCCAACATCCAAGATCCGGACCATGAGCTGGGTCCCCGCCGCGCGCTGGATCCCCAACGCGAGCCGGCTCCAATCGTGTGAGAACGCTGCCGACGAGAGGTAGTTTGGACCGTGTGACAAGGCGGTCGTACGGTTGTACTCAAATGTCACCAAGCACTCACCGCTACGGACGTCCCAGATTCGCACTACACCGTCGAATGACGCTGAAGCGAGCCGTGTCGAATCGTGAGAGAACTCAACCCAACCAACATCGCTACTATGGCCCTTGAGTGTTACCACACACTCGCCACTATATATATCCCAGATCTTAACCATATCGTCACGCGACCCTGACGCTAGTCGAGCTCCGTCGGGTGAGAAGGTAATAGTGTTGACGGTCCTGCTATGGCCCTGAAGCGTCTGTATACAATCGCCGCTAGATGAGTCCCAGATTCTGACTGCACAGTCCCATGACGCCGACGCCAGCCTTACCAAGTCTGGGGAGAATGCCAATGAAGTGAGAAAGACGCTGTGGTGCTTGACCGTCTGATTACCATAAGCGCTCTTGGTGTCCCAAATTCTGACCGTGCCATCCAGTGATGCTGACGCCAGGCGAGTTCCATCGGGTGAGAATGTAACCGAGCTGACTGAGCTGTTGTGGCCTTCGAACGTCTGTAGACACTCGTAACGCTTCGTATCCCAAATTTTGATCGTTCCATCAACCGTTCCTAAGACCATCTGGGTCCCTTCTGGCGAGAAGGCTATAGACAATGCTGGGAGTTTGTCCTTCAGTTGTCGGACGTGCTCACCACTGTCAACATTCCAGATGTTGATTATGCCATCGCGCGACGCAGACACCAGCAATTTTCCGTCATGCGAAAAAGCCAGTGCGGAGACCACACCAATATGATGGCCCCTAAGTGTCTGCAAGCACTGGCCGCCGGTTGAATCCCAGATTTTGATCGTCCCATCGGATGCCGAAGCAAGTTTGGCTCCGTCAAATGAGAGAGCAGCAGAATAGAGCTGGGAATGATGCTCAAGAATCAGAACGCACATGCCGTTGCTCGTATTCCAGATCCTAACCGCATCGCCGTTTTGAAACGCCACGAAATGGCACCCATCAGGTGAGAATGCCACTCGATGGGCACGGGGTGTGTAAATCTTGTGAATCTTGAGAGTTTGTATGCACTTGCCGTTGTCAGCATCCCATCTCTTAATAGTGCCGTCATCTGATGCTGACGCTAGTAGTGCCGACTTTTTAGAGAAAGCCACGGCAGCAACGCCGCCACTATGTTCCGTTAATGTTTGAACACACTGTACGCGACCAAGGTCCCAAATCTTAATCGTGCCCTCGTCTGATGCTGATGCTAACTTTTCTCCGCCAGCTGAGAACGCCACTGCGTTCACACGTTCTGTGTGGCCCTCGAGCGTATGCAGGCACGCACTCCATTTGTCTCCTACTGGCGGCTTGATCTCAACATCTCGTGGCTCTTCAGTCCTGAAATGACGCCTAATCAGGCTTCCGCTTGGACTAAATGTGAGTGCAGAGTAATATGCCTGGAGAGGGCTGGTCTCTATTGCCTGCTTATTATACAGGATAAATCGTCGGGCGTCTGTACATAGCTCGGCAAGTTCGGAAGCACCGGGTCTCCCCTAATGAAGTTAGTGAGAACCATTAGGTATCTACATGATACTGGTATCTAGATCTTACCTGCGTGAGTGCCTCAAGTTTCTCCACTGAAAGAACTCCCTTTGACATGCTCTTGCAAAGACTCAGTGCCTCGAGCCAGTAGAGATATTTCTCCTTCACGAACAAATCTACCGAGCCTCCATCCTGCAGGTCGACGTTGCAATCTGTACACTCGGGAGACTCCCACTCCCAGAGATGATCAACCCAGTACAGACAGGAATAGCGACATGCTGCCAGTGGGTCAGGATTTCGTCGTTGAACATGCTCAATCGGGTACCCTGGTCGGCCCAGGTCATAGACATCCCTTCGCAACATTCTGGACATGACTCGAAGCGATCTTGAGAAAATATGTTGGTGCATCTCTTTCATTCCATGGGAAAAGATCTCAGCGGAAGCCTTTTCGAGTAGATAATCTTTCGCTGACTGGTGCACAAAGTAGATGGTGTCGTTACGAATCGCAAGGAAAGAACCACATAGGCCAATCATCTCCTCCAAGGACTGCCGATCGTCGGACACACTCTCGAGTAGCTCTATAAGGGACGATAATTCGAACAGGGTGATCGGTTCGTATGTGGCTGAGACCAAGGCAAGGATTCGCTTACAGAGTTCGGAGCCTTCTGATTCGGATATTTGTCTCATCATTCGTCCATAAAAGGAATCAAGTCCGGGTGGAAACATTTTCAAGCTCGTACGAACCAACGCCCGGGGGGTGTTCTGGAGCCTTTGACAAACCAAAGCGACCCAAAGGAAAGTGTCGTTTGCATTCAAGGATAGATACCCGAGTACTACGTCTCGAGTGTTGGCATCATACTTGAGCTGGCCCACTTTGTATTGAATATAGCCTCCGACGGCATCCGAAATAGATCGAGAATTCAGCTCCAGACGAACCCGCACTTTAGATTCAATCTCATCCAGACCCCGCTCGATTGAGGGCCAACGACGACTGGAGACAAGCCATTTGACATGAGGGGATATAGATGACATCTTGACGATGAATCCTAACAGTTTTGGCAAGTCCGCGGCCGAGCATTCGTCCAGGGCGTCGACAATCAAGAAAGTTTTATTCAAATTGTGGTCCTGCAAGATGTCTCTGAATATATCGCACAAAGCAAACCACGCGTTCGAGTCCTCAAAGAGTGCTTTGCCTGAGTGCTCGTACTTGTTCCGAATATGCGATATTAGCGATGGCTGCTGACAGACAAGCATATATATCAGGCCTCTTGGGACGGCCGTGGCGTTGCTGACCTGAGAGTTAGCAGCCTCAAGAAAATAGAACGACAGAAGATCGGTTTTGTTCATCGACTCCTTCAGCTCGTCGATGATGCCGCAAAGTAGCATAGTCTTCCCTTTGCCAGGATCGCCCTCGATCCATAGCAGGCGCCTCTGTTCGCCACTGCGCCAATTTTGGAAGTCGGAATGTTCGATGATCCAGCGGTACGAGCCTTTTAATAAGCCGCCCCTTTTGTCCTCGATATCCTGCTTATGATCAATGGGATCTATAAGACGAATGTCCTTGATGCAATCTTTCAACTTGTCAATTTCTTTCCGGAGCCGTTCGAACGCCGCCACTCTCCCTTCGCCATACTCGAGAGGCATTTCCACATCAAAAATGCCAAGCAATGAGTAGGCTAGGTCCTCTTCCTTCGTGGTATCACGGGACTCCTTCCACCGCATTCGATCGTTGACGCTGAACTGATATAATGGCTTCCCTCTTAACGCCGTCACTGGGATTGCCGTAATTTCGTGAATCTGCCGCTCCAGGGAACGCATATCACCTAGGCGATGGGCATCTCTCGAAAAGAATTCAATTGATGTGGGCGCGAGGAGCTCCGGAAGTGTCCAGCCGCGGGTGAACCATCTGCTTTCTTGGAATGCTTGTTCCCAGGGAGCTTGTGTGTCGTGAAACGAGACATCGGAAAGGTAGACGTAGCACTTCGTGGAGCGCTGATACCAACGGAACATAGACGAGATGGCTTTCTGAAGTTCGGCAAAGATTTTCTTGTTGATGCAGCATGTATCTATCCAGGAGTATCGAAGGCCATCCGCCGCAGCCCTATTCGAGCAAAAGGCGATCTTCTCCCAACCAGCCTTACGTTTGCCCGACCCATCTTCCGCATCTTGAAAGCTGACCTCCTCTTCGTTGTCTTCAAACCAAGTGTGGGAGAGGATTGCGTAGGGAGGGACGTCTTTGTCGGTGAATTCGCGAAGGATGAGGTCGCCATCGGGTTGGCGCTCTAAGAGACGCATCGCAAGACACGGGGAGGGCGTCCCTTAAATTCTTGGTCAGATGACGTTCGAGCGACTCGTCAAGAATATCAGCGCAGAATCTATTCGCAAGCGTCCGTGGAGAGACGTGGTGGTTATGTTAAGTCTGCGCCGGTGAGGCTGCAGTCGCGAGGCATCTTCTTGGCGCAGGCTCACCCAGTTGGATGGCGAAAGACTAGGCCTGACGCGATTCGACACTTCGGGCGGCCCGTTGTATGGATAGTCTCGCCGAGTTTGCATTACGCATCCTGGGATAGGTCTTCTTACCTGGTTAATGGTTAGACACCTCATTTGGGAATCTTGCGGAGCTGCTTTGAAGCTTGTCGGCGCACTGCCAGAAATTAGGCCCATAAGGGCCGTTACGCGTGTCGCGACAATGGAAGTGCGTGAGAATACAGACGAGATCGCTGGGGCAGCTGTTGACTGGTGGTTTATGTCAAGTTCGGCAGTCACAGAGGCCATCAGGGCAGTGCAAGCGAAGGCGCCTGAGCAGAGGATGCATGTAAGGACGATGACAGGGTACGGAGTACAAGTGGGCGAATCAGGTCTCCACAAAAGCTGCGAGGGCGACTAACCGAAATGGGCACGCCGAGAAAGGATGCTGCGACTCCCATCTTTTGAGTATTTTCCGTTGGCATAAGATCTGGCCATCGACCCCAGGGAGATCCAAGTGCCAGGAACACTGAAGAAAGTAAGTGTTTTGATCAACCAATATCTCCTAGGATACGCTACACCGTAACAGCTTGAATTAATGCAACTAGTTGGAGGCTTTGGCATGTCCAGATGGGTCCGAAGGGTACGGGAAATATCTCAGTATACGTGGCATGCGTTAGGGTTGTATGAGAGAACTTGCATTGCGATCCATCAGCTCCAAATACTCCCTCCGTGTCCAATCGGTAAGCTTTTCCTCTTCGCCCTCACGGAATCTATTCATAACCAGAGCTCTTAGAGCCAAAAAATGATTACCTGGCCGGCACAGTTGCACTCAAAGAGTGTAGATGAAGTCGGGACGTTTGTCGCCCATGAGCCAAATTTGTTCGCTGGTCATGCCATCGTGCATACGATCCCGCTTGCCGCTCAGGCGCTTCGAGTTTTCAATCCTGAGCATGACGCGGGTGAAGGCGGTTCCACCAAACAGACACACCACCAAGAACCCGAGGACTACGCCGTGGCCGGTCCAGAAGCGGGGGGCTTGTCGCGTGATATAGATGTTGGAACTGACCACGCCGCTGATGTTGCCCACCCCAACGGCGATGCCAATAACTATCCCGCGTTTGTAGACGCCTTCGGTGTTATTGCTGGCCCATGAGAGCGAGTTGGGGATATTTGGGTATATCCCGATCGCTGCCAAAAATGTCCCGGCATATTGGACATGCGGATTGTCCGTGGACAACAACATGACGAAGCCCACAATGCCAATGGCAGATGAAACCATACTGCAATATCCCCGCTGGCGGGTGCGATCGGCGATATAACCAATAGTAATAGTCGCAATGGCTGCTCCCGCGTAAGGTGGGACTGATAGAAGTTGCGCATGAGTTCCCTCGTAGCCCAAACCGCGCAGGATGGTGGGAAGGAAGAGGGAAAAGGCGTAGAGAGCACAATCACAGCCCATGTAAATGACTGCGTATGACCAGGTCTTCCAATCTCTTACCGCGGCGTAGAAGTGTCGCTTGTCGTACTGCTCTTGGTTGCTAGCTTGTCTATCCGCGGCGAGACGTCGACGCATTCGGATCCGTTCATCGGGCGTCAGAAAACGGGCTGTCTCTGGCCAGTCGAATACCATGACCCAGCAGAAACCACCGACAACCATCGTCCCTAGACCTTCGAGGATAAATATCCACGCCCAACCGGGCTTACCGCCGACACCATCCATTTGTGCAATGGCCGCAGCTAGCAGGCCCCCAAAAGAGCCCGCGAGAGCCGCGGCAGAGAAGAAGATGGCGGCTCGCAAGCCGAGTTCGCTCCTTTTATACCAGCAAGAAAGGTAATAGTTGACTCCTGGAAACAAACCCGCCTCGGCCAGACCGAGGAAGATTCGACAAGCCAGCAGACCGGAGTAGTTGTGGACAAGACCCATGCAAGTCATCACCAGCCCCCAGGAGACGATGATACCGGTGAAGAAGACTCGAGGTGTCAGTCGCCTCAGAAGGACATTTGTCGCCGGCTCGGCCAGAGCATACGTAACCTGGGGACACATTGTATTAGCCCATTCTGTCATGAGACTTTTAGGTAGGGAAGAACCGGTGAAATCCACTTACGAAGAAAACAGTAAGCGCAGTGTTGTAGTCGCCCCCATCCATATGTAGATCTTCCTCCAACCCCGCGAGACGAGCATTGCCGACGTTTGATCGATCCAGAAAAGAAAGCAGGTAGAGCAAGCCAAGCCATGGGATGAGCCAAAGATCAACTTTCCATAGAAGAGCCCGGTCCTGCAAGAAGATAGGCATGAGAGTCGGACAGTTTGTGGGGGGCTGGCAGAACATACAATTTCAGCCTTTTCAGCCTCAGTTTTGCCTGCGTCGAGATCTGGAAGGTCGGCGACATCGTCGAATCGCTCGATATGCACCTCTTGTTCCTTCTCCATGAGTGTGTGTGGAACAACGTCAAGACTGACCACTTTGTGAGCTTCTTGCATATTGGAGGAATGAATCAGGAGACTTTCTTAGGGCAAGAGCAGAAAACCAACCTTTCGTATCTGGGGAATGGAGACTTTATTATATGTCCTTAGCAAGGGGGCGTCTGAGGATAGTGTAGCCGTGCTCGCCCTGGGGCCCCGACCTTGGCCATGCCTATGAAGAATCCCCGCTTCCCTCCGCGAAATGAAGGTTAGTCGTAGGCACCAGATTGTGAAGGAACGACCTCTCTAGATAGGGTCGGATCGAGGAATTGCCTCAAAGTGGTTAGCAGGACCGTTTGATTGGTCAAGGCTTCGGGGAAGCGGACCGCATACCGCGTGGACACGGTCTCTGCGGACCCCGTCAGTTTCTCGTCGAGGTCTGATGGCTCAATAATTGTTAAGAGTCTAGAATTTTCTTGTTTATCTGCAATAGCGGACCGTATAGCGGACCGTCAAAGAACAGCTCTGATTCGCCCGGAGTGGTCCCTTCCCCGGCTGGAACTAAGACAATTGAACCCAACTTCGACTTCCATAGAAGCCACGGTATAGAGCTGCTTAGAGTCTGGAGTTCAGGTCTAAACTATAGCATATAGGGTATGACCTAATGTCGGAGAGAGTAGACTATACTACAGAGGGGAGAAGTTGATGTAACCCCGGTAAAAATGCCATTCCACTCCTAGTTCGCTCTCTCAAGGCGCTTGAGCATTGTGCAGTGGGCAGAAGTATAACCAAAAGCAGCGTTACAACTTCGAGGGCTTCCAGCAAGGAGTCCGCTTTTCTTTGAAAGCAGCCAGGCCTTCTCTGAAATTCTCACCCTCCTTAAGCTTGGGGTACAAGGTTCTATGGATACCCTGGAAGGCCACTTCCACATCGGCAGCCTTCCACGCCTCCCTCAAAGCTGCCCTAGTCACAATAATTGCATCTGGCGATAGTGAAGCAATCTCTCCAGCAACTTCCAGTGCCTCTGAGATGAGTGAGTCGCCACTCTTGGATATCCTGTTAACCAGTCCATACGCAAGCGCTTCCTGTGCACTGATGGACCGGCCGCTGAGAGCTATATAACTTGCAACATGTAACCCGGCACTGCGTACGAGTCGGGGTAGACCACCACTGTAGGCGTACTGCCCTACTTTGGGTTCTGGAAGGCCGAAGGAGGCTGTTGGAGAAGCCACTACAACATCGCTGGTGGTTGTGTCAGCGTCGAGGAAATACATTATTACAGGATGTGGACATACCAATTGAGAGCGATCTCCCAGCCACCTCCCAACGCGAAACCGTTGACCGCTGCAATGATGGGCTTCCGCCCAGCGCGCCGGCTTATGCCAGCGAACCCAGACTGTGGATGGGCGTGACCTTCATGCTCTTCGTGTGAGGAGGATCCGGTTTTATCTTTCACCTCCAACATCTCGATAAGATCGGAGCCCGCACAGAATGACTTGCTGCCGGCGCCCGTGACGATTGCCACCCGGAGTTCGGACTCGTCTTCAAACCAGTTCATCAGAGCGTCCATTTCCCAGTGCAGTCTGTAGGTGATTGAGTTCATTTGCGCGGGCCGCTTGATTGTGGCTAACATGACATATTGCGTTGGAAAGCTGACAATGTATCCATCGCTTTCAGGATGGGGGCTTTGGAATGTCGACGTGGTCGTCATGATTTCGAGTGCTCGCTGTCTCCCCGGACGATCGCTGTGCCAACAATCTGGCTCGCTCTGAAAGACAAAAAGCTATGAATATGAAGCACAACGATAGTTCAAGGCGTAAATCTCTCTAAATAGCCTAGTCATGTTGGTGAAGGCATCACGGGATCTCTGCAAGGGTCTGGTACCCATTAGATCACTCCGAAGTCTGGAGCCGCGCGGATGGCGGTCCGGCGTGGGAACAAGGCCGGCACAGAAGCGACTTGTGTGCTCAGATATGAACAGAGACATGATAAACGTCCAAAAGAGTGTCTCAATACTTTTCCTTTGAGCAAAAAGACGGAGTTCTCCCCCAATCACTAGCGAAGATTAGGTACTATATTAGATCCAGTAACTATCAGAATGCTCTTCTGGTTCTAACTTATCCAACGAATATTGACTAGACGTAAAGTTGATAATTTTTACATTTCCATGAATTTGTGGTGACCCGTTCAAAGCTTGGACATCGTCTCTTTGACATCAAAAGAGACCACGAGTTTGCCAAAGTGAGCTCCCGTTCTCATATCATGGAACAACTCTTCGATTCGCTCCAAGTCGAGTCCCCTCACCACCTTGGAAATGACTGGCCTGATGCGCTTCTCGTTGATGGCTCGTGTCATGTCCTCGAACTCCTTCCTCGATCCGACCGTGGTGCCTCTGATTTCCATGTTCCTGAGGACAGCCGACATTGGAAACGATATTTTCGGGCCAAGGGTCATCCCATATACCACCAGCACACCTCCTGGCTGGGATGATGTTAGTGGCTTGCCACACCTCGGTCGACCACAGTAGAGGACAAACGTACCTTCAAGAGTTTAATCGCGCTGTCCACGATATTGCCACCGGCACCGTCAATAACAGCGTCCAGTCGCATCCCTCCCGTGAGTACTAACAATTTCGACTCCCAACCAGTTTCTCTGTAGATGACACCTCCCACGGCGCCCCGTGTCTTCGCAGCCTCTATCTTTTCGAGGCTTCCACTGGTGACAAAAACCTCTGTCCCCACTGTGCGAGCGAATTCTAGTGCCATCAAGGCGACGCCGCCACCTATCCCGGTGACCAATATCTTCTTACCTAAACCGACATGTTGGGTGCACTTGGTCATGACGGCTCTCCACGCAGTCAGGCCCGTAAGGGGGAGCGCCGCACATTCCACGTTGCTCAGATGGGTCGGTGCCACCTCGAGCGCATCCTGATCGACGACCATGTATTCCTGCAACGTGCCGTTCTGATTTCTTGACGTGCCGCCGAGAATGCTAAACTTGTCCTCAGGTCCCAGAGGATCTGCGTGCCAGCCAGCTGCAGGACATACGATCACTCTCTTGTTCAGCCACTTTGCTTCCGCATCTGGCCCTAGCACTATGACTGTGCCGCACCCATCCGCGAAGAGTGGCACGCCGAAGGCAATGTCTGGGTAAAGGTTCTGTCGGATGAAGTGGTCGCGGTGATTGATTCCAGCGGCGTGCATCTTCAGTAACACTTGTTTGCCTTCGGGTCTAGGCCGTGGCACTTCATCAAGGCGTAGTGGGAAGTATATAGAGCCTTGTTCTCCTTCGACAGGTGAAATCGATACGGCCTTGGGCATCTTCTGGTTCTGTACGCCTCTCTGTCTCGTTTTCGATGATATCGGGGACAAACTGGTGCTGATAAGGCCGCCAGGTCAGGGGTTTAAAATATGTAGGTGCTGGTATGTTGCGAAGGGTTATTGATTGTCAGGGCTCAACGCTTAAACTTTGGGCCTGGAGATGAATTGTGTCCAAAGAGTATTTGTATGAGGATCGCGATAGCAGAGAAGTCAACGATGGGCTTACTACGGGCTGCTGGCATCGATACTTGCAATCATAGCAGAGTAAACATCCCTGGCGCGGGCAAAGGAGCATTCGTGATGTCTACCGCATCTGTCGGAGAAGGCCCCACAGCCATGTCTGACCATATCGGATGAATCCACTCCATTGGGGGAACCTCACTCATCCATTCAGGAGCGGTCCGCTATCCGCTGGGCAACAAGACTGGCCCCCGGTTATTGCGGACGACACAGCGGAATGCACTGGGAATCCAACGACGGGACAGCCACGGACGGGTCGGGGTTGGACCGTGCGTGGGAAATGCTCCTCTGGACACTCCACAGCCTTGAACGAGCATGGTAGCACATGAGCTTGCTCTTGGACAGCCATAATGCGGCAGCTCAGAGGTGTTTCCTTTCGATAAGATGCCACCCGGTCATTGTTCTCAGTCTCTTCCGTAGTTCAACAAGTCACCGCCGTCATGCAAGTCTCGTCGCCGTTCCCTGACATTGAAATTCCAGAATGCAATATCCTCTCCTACCTCTTCCCTACCATTGACCCGAAACAGGCTCAAGAGGACCAATCTCGGCCTCTGTGGATCAATGCTTCCAACCCTTCCATCAGGCTCTCCGTGGCCGATACCCTGTTGTTCATCCGCCGGTTTGCCGTTGGCCTGGAACGACTCCAGATCCCCCGTCAGCGAGCCGTCATGGTCCTGTCTCCGAATCATGTTTACCTGCCTGTGGTTTACCTCGCCGCGGCAGGGGCAGGTTGCTTCTTCAGCGGCGCTAGTCCAGCTTACACGGTGGAGGAAGTGTCACGGCAGCTGAGAATGAGTGACGCGGCACTCATGCTGGTCCATCCAAGTCTGCTTGACTGTGGTGTCAAAGCAGCAGAGGCAGCCGGACTGCCGCTCGATCGGGTGTTTCAGTTCTCGGATGTGGACTGCAACATATCAAAGCACGGAGTCCGGGACTGGAAGAGCATGCTCGGCAGTGAGGAGGAAAGTAGAGATTGGCAGTGGGATCCGTTGCGAGGCGAGAGGAGCAGGAAGACCGTGAGTTGTGTGAACTTCTCCTCCGGGACGACCGGGACGCCCAAGGGGGTTCGCATATCGCACGCAAACGTTGTGGCAAATGCTTGTCAGGTACGATCATCGAGCACAACTCTGTCCAATATCGACCACCTAAGCAGCGACTACGATACTGATGATCTACAGGTCATATACGCCAAAGCACACAATGCGGACCAATCCCTCGTCACTCTTCACCCTGAACGTTGGCTCGCGTTCTTACCCCTGAACCACGCATACGCTCAGCTCTTCTCCATCGTCATCGTATGCAAGCTCCGCACGCCCGTGTTCTTGATGACTCAATTCCGCTTCAACGACTACTTGAGGCACATTCAGACGCACAAGATCACGACTCTGCAGGTGGTTCCACCCGTAATCTCGATGTTGCACAAGAGACCCGAGGTCACTCAATACGATCTCGGTTCAGTCAGATATCTGATGAGCGCGGCTGCGCCTCTGAGCAGTGAGCTGCAGAATGCGGTCACCAAACAGTTGAAGGGGGCCGTCATTGCGCAGAGCTGGGGCATGACCGAGACCACCTGTACCGGACTGATGATTCCGGGAACCACACCCGATGATACCGGAAGCGTGGGCTCGCTGCTCCCAAACACACAGGCAATGTTAGTGAACGAGCAAGGAAGAGAGGTCGGTGGAGCTACAGGGGGTGAACTCTGGATTCGAGGGCCTCAAATAACCGCCGGTTACTGGAGGAATGCGGAGGCCACGTCACAAACGCTCACCGAAGACGGGTGGCTCAAAACAGGCGATATCGCAAAGTATTCCGGCGGGAAGTGGTGGATTGTGGATCGCAGCAAAGAGTTGATCAAGGTCAATGGATTTCAGGTCGCCCCCGCTGAGCTGGAGGCGGTGCTGTTGGAGCACGATGATATCACGGATGCTGCCGTGGTGGGAATTGTGCTACACGGAGAGGAATATCCCAGGGCGTATGTGACTCTGCATCAGCACGCTTCGAGGAAGGTAGACCTGACATCGGCGATTCAAGAGTTCGTATCACGGAAGGTGGCGAAGCACAAGGCATTGACGGGAGGGGTGAGCATCGTCGACGCCATCCCCAGGCTGCAAAGTGGTAAGATCCAGAGGAACGTCGTCAAACAATGGAGCAAACGGGATGCCACAGAATTGGAGAAGACGGTCAAGGCAAGGCTGTAGTCAGGTATACCGCTTTAGCTTCCAAAGAGTTGTCTCCTTCCGACACCTCACGCTGTATGCATTTAACTGCATTCACTGATAACTCATACAAATACCTTGCTTTTGTTCAAGGTCTACTTTTTAGTATGACAACCTTTTTCTCAAAAGTAATAGGAAAGTTGGGATGATTCAGTCCCGTCTCCATCCCCAGAAGAGGCATCGAACTGAATTGACTGAGTGGTGAAATCAACCATGTCGAAAGTCCCAAAGAGCTCGTCCCAACAGGCATCACCATAGTGCCAAATGTTGGAATCGGCGGGCTCGCTCTCGAGTACAGGAGCAGTTTCAGACATGGTACTATAGTCTAGCAAATCCAAAACAACCTCGAAATTCTTGGTGGTCAACCCGTCGGGGAGTGCCGAATCGGATATCAAGGAGGCAAAAATGGACGTGTCGGCGGCGAAACGCTTCAGAGATTGTCCCTGTGGCTGGGTCAGCTGCATCAGCAAACAACGATAGATGTCTTCTCACGATAGAGCAAGCATTCCGGTAGAATTGACCGAGATCTTCCAGAAAGCTAATGTTACATTTCAAAAGCTCCGCAGACTCGAGTCTCCTGGTATCTGAGCAATGATGTCGATGCAGAGCCAGAATGGTCCCCGCCACGACTGTGCAATAGCCGTAAAACGAAGCACCTGTAGTGGCACCCGAACACCGGGCCTCTTGCAAAAGAAGCGTCAGACGCTTCGAGTTTTCCCAAGCCGCATCGAATGCGCGAGAAAGAAAGCTAGACGGGGCAGGAACTTGACAGGACTCCAGTCGCCGACGTAGGAGAAAAGGGTGGTGAAGGAGACAGTAACAGAGGTGAAACAAGGCACGCGAGAATATCGCTGGTCCAGCAGATTGTTGATCGATGTCTCCATGGGCCGTATGTCGAGACATAACTTCGCTTAGTGTTTTCTGCATCTCCAAGCGGCTTTCGAGGTAAAGGAGATCGGATTGTATGGCGGCGAAATCCGAGTTGGCGTCCCATGGCGGTTCCTGGTCCTGCATGTTAAACTGCTGCAGCATGTATTGCGCTGTTCGACTGAGGGTATATGCCATTGCAATGACGTTGCTGAACGGCCCTGCGCCATGAGGGGGCTTTGGACCCGTTCTGCAAAAGAGCTGTTGCAAACTCATAGTCTTCTGCCTCGATCCAGCCCTCCAAACGACCTCGCTGCAAGGCAATTGTAACTGGCAGGATGCGTCCAGAATGGCTGGTGGCTGTGCTCGACCACAAGTGACAAGCTTATCCAGGAGATATAGAGACCAGAAGACTCTTCTGCGCTCTTCTTGATCGGCATAAGACATGTTGGTTCGGTTCTCCATCATCAGCCTCATGGACTGCGCAATGCGTACGGATAGTCCAATCTTCACCCATGCCAATGCGTGTCGATCATGCCCCGCTATAATGAATCAGTAACAGTTTCAGCTTGATGAAGGAAATCGCAAACCTGAGAAGTCAAAAATGGAGAGCAATGTCAGAGATTGTAGAGTTTGTATATCCTCAATTCGAGTGGCTGAAAAACAGCTTGACACAATGGATTTCCAGGAGTGGTTGGCATACAACACTGCCATGCTGTGTCGATCTCCAAAGAATGGGTTCTGCGAAAAGCGCACTGCAGATGCCATGATCGCGAACAGTAAATGTTGTGGGATATCTCCGCGGCTGAGTCGCTGTCTGAAATTGGCCTCATGGAACAATGAATACGGCTGATTGTGGCAGCAGGCGAAATAAATATCCACTATCTCTAGAAGGACTGTAGATGGTATCGTTCCCGCAAGCGACAAATCTTCACTCAATGCCTCGTCGTTGTTGACAAATATGGAAGAGTCTCCTGCCGAATGTTCTGCCCCAGCCTGTGTAATATCTCTGGTAGTGTGCCCTGCTAGAGTAATCTGTGCAGGACATGGGTCGAAAATGCTCTGGTCAGTGGGACTTGTGTCGAATGAGGGCCTAGTTTTGCCATTCGATTAACATCAGGTCACCAGAATGGTATGAGGCATGCAGTAAGCCGGCGCACCTGATTCGAGCAGATTCGGTCCCGTGGAGGAGGCATTCGATGTTGCTGAGGCGGCTGCAAACCTCCTATGTCAGATATGAGCGCCTTTTCCCACAGTGGCATATATCAGGTTCACCTCCAGGCGACATGACAATTTCTCGAGCGACTCATCATTGTCAGCTCGGACTTTGTCATGGCGCACAGTGTCTGGATAGATACACTCTACCGATCAAATCAGCATGCGTTGATAAAGGGACGACGATGCTTGGGTACCTCGACGCAGTTTCCTACAGTTCTGACATTGCGGACGGTCGCCTGTGCATCGGGCCTTTCTTCGCCTGCCCAAGCCAAGTCATTGTCAACTCCGGGTCCAGTAGTCGACTTAGATACACTATCATGCTTCCTACCTGCAATGCTGACACGCTTGGCTGATCCTTTGAACTGGCTTGTAATGTGTCAAGCTCTGCCGTCGTTCGCTATGAGAATGGGTGGGTGAGTTCATGATGATACGGGCTGATTCGTGAAGGCAGCCGGGAAGTATCTGAGGAGAGATGATTCAGGCTGGGGCTCACGCCTTTAGAGGAGCAGAGGTCTAATGGTTCGAGTTCATTCAGCTAGATCCGGGCAGTAGAGACTCGGACTGAGAGAATATGGACTAAGGATACCTTCGGAGTTGAGCTGCAGTATGTTCGGCACTGAAGAGGCGACTCCGGCTGCTGCGGTTGCTGCGGATCCGGGGAATTGGGGAATACGGGGTTGTCTACCTATTATATTGGTGCTGCCTCAACCTGGCGACATTCAACACTGATGGCTCCTAGGGAGTCATCCGCGGCTCCCCGGACAGCTCGCATAACATAACACAAAACAACCACTGACCTTGTAAAGACGCGAATAGGGCAGGAAGGAATTTCAGTCACCCGGGCGATCTATACTCCATATCTGGGGCGTGTGTAAACTAGGAGTAACCTATCTTTAATCTACTATAGTCTGTAGACGCAACAAGAGGAATCGGTTATAAGCATCTTATTGACACACCATTCATGGTGATTTGAACAAAGGACACCTTGATGAATGCCTCGTGTGAGAAATTCATGGTGAACCGGGATCCAGGAACTGCGGCCCGCAATATCCGATGATGCCGACAAGGTGTATGTCCCTGGAAAGGAAGCCCTTCCATGGTCGCTTGCCTAGTACGGAGTATTCCAGCAGAGGCCAAAGAGGCGGGGTACCAGTGGCGGACATTTCTACTCCATGTCCCCTCCTCATGATGTTGGGCTTGCCTGGTAATTGAAAATGTACAAATGCTCGCCACTTCAACCACACCGATCTCCGGAACCCGCGTGGGAGAGCTTCACGCCACCGATGCTAGGCGACTCTTTGCGGAAGCGTGCCAAAACGGCCTGCAGACCGTGTCGGGAGCGGAAAAGGAAGTGTGAGGGTGGCATTCCGTGTTCGGCCTGCAGGCACTTCGAGTACCATTGCGTCTTTGACCGACCACTGCGGCCAAACAGCCATTCTGGCCAAGTGCTCAACCATGGGACTCGATCGAGCGTTTCGTCCCCGACGACGGACAATGATCAGCCCCGACACATACGCGACCAGCAAATTGCCCCCCTCCAGACCGAGCAATCGCAGCTCCGGTCGTTGCAGGCAAACTCGGGCGCCGTGTTTGCGAGGACTCTCGGCTTGACGGCTGATTCGACCCGGGTTAGGCGGCTGCAACTTTCTGCGTGGAACTTGGGGTTGAGGGACGAAGCGACGGCCAGTGGCCTCGGCCCAAGACCAATCGTCGAGATCCTCAGCCTGAGCGAAATGGAAGTGTTGACCGCTGTCTACTTTCAAGACGTCCACTCTGTTTACGGATTCCTTGATGAAGACAGCATTCGCCGACAAATCGCCACACGCTGGCGCGAGAGTGCCACCCCGCGCTCGCACGACTGTGTTGAGTCAATTCTCTGTGGAATTGCCGCGCTGGGCTGTCTGTTCTCCAAGCAGCCATTGAGCCTCGAACTACAGCTTCAGAAATCCGCCGAGGCAGCCCTAGGACAGTCTGTTCTCCTCCCAACGCCGTCCACGGATGATGTCGTGGCGTGGTTGCTTCGGGTCATCTACCTGCGGCTGACCGCGTCCCCCCATATTACCTGGATGGCAACCTGTACCATGATGCATGTCCTGGAAGCAGCCCGACTACACTTTGATGAAGGCGACGAGCCGTCCCCCTCCGGCAACGGCGCAGAGGGAGGTGGAGAGAGCCGCCGAAGAATCTACATGGTCGCCCAGCTGTTCAATATCTGGATCTCGTTTGACTGTGGCCGGTCGAGAGTCGAGCTACGGGGTGCGTCGTGTCTGCTCCCCACGCCCGACGCCGACGGTATCAAACCCGAGTTGCTCGAGCTTTACCTGGTCTCGGAGATTCTCTCTCCAGATAAGTACCAGACTGTTCCCGAGCTGGAAACCTTGCTGCGCAGGGCCCTCGACGTGAAGTCCGCGCAGCCCATGTTGGTGCTTGTGCAGTGTAACGTGATGCTCTGCATCTATCGGCGGCTACGGGTGCAAGGGTCTAGTCCCAACACCGAGACCCTGGAGAGAATGTTATCTGCATTGTCCATGGCGGTCGACGCCGCGCTAGTTCTACTAAGGACCGAACATCCCTGGTGGCATGTCGCCAATGTCACCTTCCAAGCGGCTTGTGCTCTGCTCGCCATCGACACAAGCCTGTCTCTTGCCCAACTCATCCAACCCTTGAAAGCTCTCCAAAAAGTCAGCGCACACTACCAAACAGCCGCGACAAGAGAAGCCTATGAAGCCGCTCGTGTGCTGGTGGGTGTCCATCGGAAACGAAAGGAACTCGATATCGCAAGATTGGACGGAGTACTCCAAGAATGTCAGCCACATAACGCATCGGATTGCAATGACACTGAGCTCGAGGGCCACGGCGATCAATGGCACTCTTCGATCCCGGCGTCTCTTGGCATGAACAAGTTTGGTTTGGGTGAGCTTGAGTGGGAACAGTTTTTCAATTTGGATATTCCCTGACATGTTAATCCAATCTTTATAATTATCCAGGCATTAATAGTCCAACAGTTTGACCTACGGCGTGGCTCGTCGGGGCAGGGCAAGACTGAATTCGAGGGGGCGGATGTAGTGAGCCTCGCGAGCCAGGATACAGGTTAATCCTCAATTCAGACTCACGAACCTGAATAAGACAGACATGAAGATTTCCCAAGGCCATAGGATTGCCTCAGCTTCCTCCTAGATTATATCAAGCATTTGTCGTTTGTTACTCCCGCTTTCTAATGGGACCAATTTTGATTCTTTCCCTTTGTCCAGTAGCACTCTCCAATATGCCCCTATATATTGGAAAGACATCCTCCTGTCATGGGCGAAATACCGTCCTCTGTCCTCACATTTCGTTTCTCACTCTTACTTGCTGGTTGAATCTCCATGCATTCTCTTAGCTTGACAAGACGTGTGCATATCAGCCCCCCAGCGGTCCGTTATCTATACAACTGATATCGTGTATGCCCTGCGTTCGCGTGGTGCATCACACGTAGCTACACTCCGTCTACTAGCATTTTGGCTCCTCTGAATTCACCGCCCCGTGAAGGGAGCTGGCTCCTCCGCTGTCCGACTCTTCGAAGGCGGCGAATTCTGAATACACGAATCTCTCCAAGTCGCTGGGACCCGAACCGAGTCGGGCTCCCGATCGGCGGAAGTATATCCTCTTCGCCCACTTCCACGCCTCGCAGCCCAGGAAAAAGAGAACGGCCTCGACGAAGACGATGCCCCACTCCCATGAAATACCAGTGTGCTTAAACACGCTGTGGTTGATGACCTGTTGGAGGATGTCAATGATTCTGCCCCCTTTCTCCTCTTTCGTTCCAGGAGACAATTCAACAAGGGCATACTCACCGGAATGTATATGGTGGGAAATATGGTCACGAAGCCTGCAACGACGGCCCAGAATAAGAACTGGTTGCGCCACACGTCATGCATCCATTGCGTCAAGTACCTCTTGCTGCCGGGCTGCATGAGGAAGAAACTTCGGCGCATGTCGACCATTTCCCAGGCGAGGAACAGGGCAAACCAGGTGAGGCTGACAAAAGTAGTGGCTCGACCCCGGAAGACAGTGTCGCATTGCGGAGAGTAGGACTGGTTGCAATTGACACCGAGATCTCCATCTCCAAACCCATAAACTACCAGAAGGAAGGATGATAGACATAGCGCCGACATCCACAAGCCGTAGACAAGCATATCAAAGCAAAGTTCCCAAGTGAAGATGCCCGCTTTCAGCGAAACGGGTGGCCTTTTCAGGATATCGGGTGCGGCAATCTCCAGCCCTAGACCCATGTCGGGCAGACCAGACGTGATCATTATAACCCACATAATTTGAACCGGAGCCAGAGGGAAGACAGAGAGGCCTGAGACGTCTTTGAATGCCAACCCGATAAGTAACGTGCAAGCTTGAGCAATATTCTCTGCCAGGAGGTGGAGGATAAACTTTTGAATGTTATCGAACATTCGGCGCCCTTCCTCGACGGCATTCAGGATTGAGGCAAAGTTATCATCCGTCAGGACAATGTCAGAAGCATCCTTGGCCACGTCGGAACCTCCTTGCCCCATGGCGATGCCAACATCGGCGATTTTTAGCGAGGGAGAGTCATTCACTCCGTCACCGGTCTCCGGAAGTCAGTGACAATATCCGCAAACAAGAGTGTGGACGAAACTTACCATAGCCATAAAAGCCCCTCGTCGACGGAGGGCTTGTATCATTCGTACTTTGGTGTTTGGGGCACATCGAGCGACAACCAAGGGTAAGGCTGGAAGTTCGTCCAGCTGTTCGTCATTGAGGTGATCGAACTCTTTTGCAGTCATAACCATAACTTGAGAAGATCGTTGGGAGATTAGAGAACGATCAGTCGGGAGAATGCCGACCTGCGCAGCAATGGCACGAGCAGTGCCGGGATGGTCGCCTGTCAACATGTGGACTTTCACTCCTGCGCGGTGGCAGCTTTGGACCGCATCCGCAGATTCCGGCCGTGGAGGATCATAGAGGCCAATTAAGCCGCGGAAAATGAGATTTCTCTCGACTTCCTCTCGCGGGGGAGGACCTTCTCGACTGGCACGTCGACCGTCTTGGGGACTGTACGGACGGCTTGCAAGGGCGAGAACGCGCAAACCCTGAGCGGCTAGCGCTTCCATGTTCTCCAGAATCGCTGTCTTCATCTCGCCTGATAGATCAATCACTCCTGTCCTAGACCAGTTGATGCTAGTACAAGCGTCGATGACGCGTTCGACCGCACCCTTAGTATAGACCATTTGTTCCTTTGTCTGGAGGTCCTCGAAGACGGTCGACATTCTTTTCACGTCCGAGTCAAACGGATACTCACTGACTTCTTTCAATGTAGCATGCTTCGGGTCGAGGAATCTTTGTCTGTTGAATCCAAACCGGTATGCGAAGACCTGAATTGCAATTTCTGTCGGGTCGCCAATGGCAACCCACTCTCCCTCCTTGTTAAGGTGAACCTGAGCAAGATTACAAAGGGAAGCCACAAGAAGGAAATCCCTCAACTCGTCATTATCTTCCAACAACTTATTGGGCTCGACGATGGGACGGTCTTCGGGATGCTTTTCATTTCTTTTGGCAGGAGCAGCCTCGGTGTGCGTCACTTCTCCAATAGTGGGATTGAAAGGCTCATTGGACGTGCTGACCGTGTAGGTGCCACTTGCGGGGATCCAGCACTTTTTGGCAACCATTTTTCCCTGAGTAAGAGTTCCAGTCTTGTCCGAGCAAATGTCCGTGACAGCACCGAGGGCTTCCAACGATTTAAGGTTCCGTACAATGACGTTTCGCTGGACCATTCTCTTCGTAGCTACAGCCATTGTGATTGTAAGGACCACAATCAACGACGCCGGGATCATGGAGAGACCCGTAGCCACAGCGTAGATGATGACCTCGGAGCGGTCAGAGAACCCATTGGCGGCAAGGACAATGATAGCGCAGACAACAGCAATTCCGAAAAGCAGGATTGCTAAGCGAGAGAGCTTCTTCTGAAGTGGTGTGCCCACATTGACACCGAGGAAACGGCCGACAGAATCGGTAAATGTTAGCGTCCAGGACTCAACGTAGCGTAAGGGGTGTACGGTGCCGTTCTCGCGTCGCTTAGCCGGGCGGATTTTGGGATCTTTCTGTCGGAGGGCTGTTGCTATTGACCCAATCTCCTACGACTTTATATCAGAGATTCATCCCAAACCGGAGGATACGAGCAAGGAAATAATGATAGTCTGACGTCAAAGCCTTGACCTTAGTCTGCAGCTGGACGTTAAGTCACTTACCGTGTACATACCAGTCGCAAAGACTATTCCTCTGGCTCGACCTTTTGTAACTGTGGAAGAACTGAACGCAATGTTCAGTCGGTCCCCAGGACCCGTCTCTTCATCGAACATAGCTTCCTCATTCTTGGCAACAGGTAGAGATTCTCCGGTGAGAAGGGCTTCATCGGTCTCGAAGTTGATAGATTCCAGCAGTCTGTCTATTATGAGTACGTTGAGGTCAATGAAGAATTGCCACTTGAATCTTACCGAATGTCTGCAGGGACTGTGTCACCGACCTTGAGCTCGACAAGGTCACCAATAGTAAGCTCTGCCGTAGGAATGGTGAGGTTGCCACCGTCACGGACAACTGTAGCGGTCGGGGAAGACAGTGACCGCAGCGAGTCCATCGTTTTCTCGGCCTGAAATTCTTGGAGGAAGCCGACAACGATATTGAGAACTATCACAGCCGTGACCACGCCTCCCTCAATCCAGGACTGAATTCCGAAAGAAACTGCCATAGCCAGTATCAAGACCAGCATCATCGCGTTAGCAATCTGACGCAGGAGAATTTTGAATGGCTGGACGCGTGGACCGTCATCCAATTCGTTGCGGCCGTAGGTCCCCAATCTCTGACGGGTTTCTGCTGCGGTCAGACCATTCTGAGTGTCACCCTCTAATTGCTGGACTAGATGATCCCGTCCAAGGGCATGTGCTGGTTTAGTTAAAGGCTTGTTGCTCTGGCCAGAAGTGTGATTATCCATGATTTCCTTATCTGCTCTTTGAGGTATAGACTGTTGGACTTCAGGTTGAGGAGCGGCATATACCATTGATATATCCCCAGAGCCAAAAATGATGGGACATGGCGTGACAGCCTAAGTTATCCGCGGGCAACATATCAACCTCAGCTGTGGGTCTGGTAGGCACAGTCTGAGTTGCATGGCTGAAGAGCAAATAATTCTTCATCATTGTTTAGGGTTCTCTGCCTTCTTGGCAGCTCCTTGCCTCCGGGAAACCATGTCCATGATTGATCAAGACTCTTGCCGCAGACAGTGTATTCGGATTCCATTTGGAAAAGAGAGGCAGTCTGAAGCAGATTGAAATATCGCACCGAGGGCCCTCTATCAGTCAGTTTCCAGCAAGAAATCTCCTCAACGTCCGTCGAGATGCTGAGCATGAGGAGAGATGGATCGTTGCACGAGTCGAGCGGCGGGGGGCATCCAATGGCAGCAGACGACTGCCAAGCAATGTAATGAGCTAGCGGATCCGCGGCATCGACTGTATGGAGCGGGATTGCAAGCCAAGAGTCTTGGTTGATGAACTTCCACTCCGCCCTGCCGTCCATGGCGGAACTCAGAGGGGCAACATCCATGGAGTGTTCCGTCTAGCCGGCCACTGTGAATTTCTCTCGCGATCTACAGACTCTTGTGAGGTAATGATCGAACAAGACCAGGCTTGACTGACGTCAAGTGCTTTCAGACATTGACAAGACTCAAGATATGGAACAAGCACTCTTGGATAATACCAACAAATACTGCTCGGAGAAGGTGAGCTCATTGGGCCATGCTTACCGCAGCGAGGCACCTTTTGTCTTCGCGCCATCGAAGTGACAACTACTTCGATGGGTGGTAGTAATAATGGAATAAGTAGCGAGCAGGGACAGGGAAAGTGTGGAGCAAGACGCACGGATAGGAAACAAGAATTTATTGAAGCCGGGACATCTGATGCGGCTGGTGATGGTCCTCCGCTCAGTCGTGCCGAGACCTTTGCGAGCCGCTCCAAGAAATTTGTCAACAATCGGTTGGGTGCGCCAACGTTACAGCTAAGAGCTCCTAGATTCAAGCCACCATAACTGGCGCAGGCTGGAGCATTGCCGAAAGGTCTTCAAGGCCGATGTCGATGGGTTCTTATGCCGCGGAAAAATTCCCCACACCATGAGGATCGATTCGCCAGTCCAGAGATCATGCAGTGCATGGTGCAGGCAGGGTGCCTTCGAGAGTCTCCAGAAAAGAGGGTCGAATCAACAGCAATCCTGCTGTTCGCGTCCTCTCGGGACAAAAAGCAATCTAAGGATGCGATATTGTCTTAGGTCGTACCATGAGAACTGCCCTCTCACACCATAGACCGGTACTCGTAAGCCGACAGAGGTTTCAATACCAGGTGACCAGGTACATGTGTCTTTCGTCCGGTGCCTCTCGATGATGATGCTCTTCTTTGCGCTATCCTTCCTTCCCGAACTTCTCCAATCGTAACGCAGTTAGGCTGAACGTCCGCGGTTCCTGGACGTCGTCTGATGTCGAACTGGTGGTCATCTTGTGAGTGGGTGATTTGAGATATCGGAGTCTCGTCGAATAAATATCCTGCATCTTCCCCATCATCACCTGAGCGAATCTGTCGTGGGCCCTCTGAAATCAAAGGGAGATCGTCGTTGTGATGGGCGTCAAATCCGAGTATCTCTGCATACCGAGAGCCTAGAAAGATGGCGCAGCTGCCCAATGCGACAAGCAAGACGATGAAGAGGAAAGTCGAGAGCCATGTCCCAAATGGATCTTCTAGAAGCTGTGTCATTGTATCTGGTGTTGTTGGTGGTTCCATGGACCTGGAGTTGAAAAGTATGTCTCTTCCTGTGGTGAGATGAAACATCCTCAAGATTGACGGATACCGCTGGATATTTGCTAGCAGAACAGTAGACAGCCTGGCTTTTTCATCATTTCGATATGAGCTTGTGACAGCGGTGGTTTGCAGAGGACTGAGGGGTTTCCGGGGTGTGGCACAATTGCCCAAATTCTTTCATTTGAGACCAAGACCACCAAAAGCCCGATCTAGTTCTTCGCCTTCACGGCTGGGTGACATCGCAGGTGCGGATATGACATTTACAGGCTGGCCATCCAGCAGGTTTTGATCTGACCCTGCCTTCGAGGACGCTTTTGTTGGCTCCAGTATCTTCTCTTCCCGGTCCAACCAACCAGGCGCCACTCTTCGTTTCTCTGCCAGATCTCGATCTTTGATATCTTGCTCCCAATCTTTGATCGCGTTGTCCGCGGCATCTATGGTCTTTTTGAGGTGATCTTGAAGGGCTTTACAAGAGTTAACTATGTCATCTGGATGGGCAGAGTGACCGGAGGAGGATGTGACATATTTTGTCTTTCCCGGGCCATTTTCAGCGATGATGGAAGGAGGGAGCGAGGTAGGCACAGATCGGAACGTGTACGGCAGCGTCACAGCAGTCGGCAATGACAGAAACGGTGAAACGGTCAAGGGGACCTGCGCAAGCAGCGGATGAGGCTCTGGGCAAGCGGTCAGTGTCTCGAAGTATCTTGCTCTGAGGGCTTATGTCCGGGCACATACTGTGTGTGTCAAACATGTCTGGGTCACACTTCTCTGTCCGTATTCGAGCAGTCCTTCGGACAGCGGCGAGGTTGTCTTGGAGGGAGATCCGCGGTGACTTTGGCAACGGAAAACGACCCTCCAAGCCCGACTGCGGGTCGCCTGCAGCCTGATTGGAGAATGAGGTCACTCGTACCTAAGTGCCCTCAAGGTACCTGGCGAGCTGGGACTCTGACGATGACAAGTATACTAAAGCTTGCAGTGGTGTGGAAGGTAATACGGCGAATGGAGCTGAGGCGCGTGCCTCGCTTCCATCTCGGACCCCATGTTGTGATGAAAAGGCTCTGATCCCGCCCACTTTGCCCCTCCTTCAACAGAGCCCGCAGTCGTCGACCGTTTGATTTTGCCGTTGAATGCTCTCCTTTTAGTTCTCGGAGCCTTACTCAAGTCCAATCCTATCGTCCAAGCTTTCCTCTAGGCTTAACTGACTTGCATCCATCGCGCAGCATTTGGCTACACGGAGGCGCAACCCGTCGGTGCAGTTGGACTGGGTGCGTTTTAGTTTCTTGGAGAATTTCAGCCCTGGCCTGAATTGGATCTGGACCCTAAAATCCCAATCCTCCTGAAACTGGTCGACAATCCGACTCTTACTTACAGCTTCAGCCGCCCCCGATTTTCAACTGCTGCTGCCCACTTTTATTTTTCAGCTCTCGTCCCTGTTGTCGGCGTCCAAGACCTCTGCTCACCGTATTCTACTCTCCTTCGCGACACCTTCTGAGAAGTCCGTCACGACTCTTGATCATCTACTTCTTGGGTCTCCTCGAATAGGCCGAATCAACCCCCCTCCTGATAGATACCACCGTCAATCGTTCCTCCCGGCGCTAACACTACCACTATCGACTCTGCTGACCATTTCCTTCAACGAACTCGTCGGTATCTTTGGTTTCTCTATCCAAGTTCAGCTCTGCTATACTCCCATCGTCTCAAAGACCGTTCGCGCCAGGAGCGCACCTTGTGATCAAGATGGATGGCCCGTTACACAGAGCAGTGGTGGATAAGAAGCCCGTGCCCGAGATCGACTTCACATTGCATATCATGGAAGATGGGTCTCAGGTGAGCACTCAAGAACGAGTATGCAAGGGTAGGTTGCACAAGAGAATCCTCCCCAAGGCCATATCTGATGCAGTGGCAGATGTCCAGGCTCCCGCCATGCAACCTCCCACGAACGAACAGTTCTGGTCGTCCGCCGATCGATCGAAGCCGAACTTGTCCTTCTTGAAACAACACTTTTACCGAGAAGGTCGATTGACCGAAGAGCAGGCATTGTGGATCATAAGTGAGGGTACCAAGCTGCTAAAAGCGGAACCAAATCTTCTGGAAATGGATGCTCCTATCACCGTGTGCGGCGATGTTCATGGGCAATATTTTGACCTCATGAAGCTGTTTGAAGTCGGCGGAGATCCTGCCGAGACCAGATATCTCTTCTTGGGAGATTATGTCGACCGTGGATACTTCAGTATTGAGGTACGGGCCCCTCGTTTTACTCGAAGACATTTGTGCTGACGGTCTAATTAGTGCGTGCTCTACTTGTGGTCTCTCAAGATCTGGTACCCAAACACCTTATGGCTTCTCCGCGGAAACCACGAGTGCAGGCATCTCACAGACTATTTCACCTTCAAACTCGAGTGCAAACACAAGTACTCGGAGAAGGTGTATGACGCATGCATGGAATCTTTCTGTGCTTTGCCCTTGGCGGCTGTGATGAACAAGCAGTTTCTGTGTATACATGGTGGCCTGAGCCCAGAACTACACACCCTGGAGGACATCAAGAGCGTAAGCCATGCGAAGCTTTCGATTTGGTCATTGCTGTTGTGCTAATCCTGTCAGATCGACCGTTTCCGCGAGCCTCCCACCCATGGCCTGATGTGTGACATCCTCTGGGCTGATCCGTTGGAGGAATTCGGCCAAGAGAAAACTGGAGAGTACTACGTGCATAACCACGTCAGGGGCTGCTCCTATTTCTTCTCCTATCCGGCTGCCTGCAACTTCCTCGAGAAAAACAATCTGCTCTCCATCATCCGTGCACACGAAGCGCAAGATGCGGGATACCGTATGTACCGCAAGACGCGGACAACCGGCTTTCCCAGCGTCATGACGATCTTCAGCGCGCCAAATTACCTTGACGTCTACAATAACAAAGCTGCAGTTCTCAAGTACGAAAATAATGTTATGAACATCAGACAGTTCAACTGCACCCCGCACCCATACTGGCTTCCGAATTTTATGGATGTCTTCACCTGGTCTCTGCCGTTTGTCGGCGAAAAGATTACAGACATGCTTATTGCTATTCTCAACACCTGCTCCAAGGAGGAATTGGAGGAAGATACACAAAGCTCGAGCATGGAACCAGAGACGCCACCGTTTGGCGCAGATCCGGAATCCACCGAAGCCAAGCGCCGCGCCATCAAGAACAAGATTCTGGCTATTGGGCGACTTTCCAGGGTCTTCCAAGTCTTGCGTGAAGAATCCGAACGCGTCACCGAACTGAAGACTCAGTCAGGAGGTCGCCTGCCGGCAGGAACCCTGATGTTGGGTGCGGAAGGCATCAAGCAGGCCATCCACAACTTTGAAGACGCCCGTAAGGTCGATCTCCAGAATGAACGCCTCCCCCCATCGCCTGAGGAAATCGAGAAGCGCAGTGCCGAGGACAGGCGAGCTGCTTTGGAAAGAGCCGCTACCGAAGCAGAGAATGACACTAACCTGCAGGGTGTGGCAAGGAGAATCAGCTTGTAAGTGGTTCATTGTCATTCTATGAATGCTTTTTGGCTAACCCGATCAGTGGCTCCTCCAACCCACGCGGCCATCGTCGAAAGGAATGAGAGAGATCGAATACGACGAGAGAGAAGAATCGCAAATGATGCCCTCTTGATGATTGAACGAGTCCACGACTCCGGCCCCTCTCTCGAGGTTGACGAGTGGCAAGGCATACGCTTGTGCCGTTACACGTAGTGCGAACAAGTTGGGCTACAGGAAGTGCTTGGGGGCTGGCGTGGAGTGGAGTGAATGGAAGGGGACTAAGCCGCCACAGAGAGCGTGTGGTTGCAAGCAATGGTTGGCTGACAGGGCAGGATTGCAGGCACCGCTGTGCTGTCTGTGCGGACCAAGTGCCAAAGCTTCTCCTGGGATGGTGCTTGAAGTCGACTCATGCTGCAGAAATAAAAGGCCCATGACCTGCCCCGATCTCTGTTTTCCTTTTTTCCTGTTTTCCTTGGGATGCTTTTCCCTTCATGCCTCTGCCATGGCGGAGAATTGCCCATGGAGCAGGTGCATGCGAGGAACAAAGTGGCAGGCCTACCCTTGAAGGAGGACGGTGAGTACCCAGCGTAGAGGGCAGAGTCAGCCCCTGCAATTACGAGGTTCGACATTCAGCAAGCCCGAGCAAACCCCTGTCAAAGCCCCGATTTGCCTGACGAGGCAGAATCGCTTTACGCGTGGACGCGGTGCGCGAGGTGCGTGGACAGTGTGATTTGGCACCAGAGCCGGAGCAACGGGCGCCAGGGGTCGTGCCGCTCCTTCGTCGGGCGCCTGTTTGGCTCGCTACGGTGGCTGCGGAGGCTGCAATGGCTGCAACGGCCTCATGCACAGTGCTCACCGGCCATCACCACACTCACAACCAATCTCCTTCTCTCAATCATGACTCTCCAACCGGGTCACCTCCACCATTGACTCTTCCTCATGCCTCAGGCATTGATGTATCCTTCTTGTAGGCTCATACGCAGAGTCCAGCCTACAATTCAGATTTATTGTCCAGCCTTTTTTCAGCGAAGTTTCAGCGTAGATCAGATCAAAATCATCCCTTTAGTTGGATAACACCACGGAGCTCCTTTACCTCACGTCTAAAGGACAACTGAAGAGAAGCCGACTCTTGAACAGCTTTCCCCCGACCTGCCCGTATAAATACAAACTCGCTGGTCGGCGGTCTCCTCAACGTCAGAGTTGCCATGCCACCCACGCCCAAGGAGATCAGCGACAACATTGACAAGGCTATTGATGATTTAAATACACGCTGGGACCTGGGACTTCCAAGGCTCCATGGAAAAGCGTCTGCTCCAGCTGATGAGTCCGAGCGCTTGGCTGGGACATGCTCGAAGCTCATCCGATTCCTTTGCTTCAAGACGGATCAAACCACATCGGCTCTGCGCGAATTCGAGGGGAGAGCACGGCAAATTCACTCCCAATGGGTTTTCAAGCCCTCTCAAGAACGAGGCACTCTGCCTGTATTGCCCGTTACCAAGAGCCTAGTGGTGCGCAAGGCTGGCCTCGTGCGCCTGGGCGATTCCCAGCGGTCCGCACTTCTGGGGCTTCTGCACAACGTGTTGAAGGAATCGAAGGATAATTATGAGCTGGCACAAATGTCTTCTGCGTTCTCAATCCAGTCAGCTTCTACATCAGCTGTATCCTTGGCGACTGCTCCTACAACCCCCGTAAGAGAGGGAGTATCTCAAAGACAAGAGTCCTTCTTCACGCCATCGAGCAGCCCTGTCAACAAAATTGGGAATCTGCATATCGCACCCGTCGAGCCACAGTTGAAGCATCCTCTAACAATGTCCACAAAGCGCACAATCGGCTCTCCAAATGGGGTCAGTCCTCGCCCTGAATCTGAGTTTCCACCTGCTCACATTTTGCCACAGCAAAACAAGCGACAGCAGACACTCTCGGAGTTCTGCCATTTCAGACCCGCATCGCCGCCTCTCCCAGAAGCCCGAAACCTCCAAGTGCCGGACCCCATGAGTTTTGAAACTGCAGTATCTCCCGCTGCATCCTCCGTCTTCTCAGTCGCCGAGGGAGAGAACGCAGGGAGAAAGTCGAATGATACCTCCATGGTCAGTTCGCAGGATGAAGACTCGCAAGACTTGTTTCCAACCCAGGATTACAATGAGATTTTCGATGACGAAGAGTTCTCCACCTCTTTCAATGAATTGAGCAAGACTACAAGTCCGTTCGACCCAACCGACCTCAACTCCAACGGCCCTTTCATAAAACAAGCAATCCTGCCGTCAGATGTCCCATTCTGGTACTGTTGGGAATTGCACCGACTTGCGCCTGATCTTGGCCTAAAACCGATCGAGCTGTACCGGTCATTCGGAGAAATTCACAAGAAAACACCTGTTGCTTCGGAGGAATTTTGGCACAAGGTCAAGGAGGTTTGTCGTGCAAAGGCTGTGCGACCGCTGCCTCAGAAGTCCGACCTCCCCAGTTGGATTATGCAAAACAACAATTACATGGATGTGAAAACGAACAAGGTCGCCCATTTCACAGCTGCCCTGGACTGGAACGAAGACAGTTCCCAGGGACTGCTTAAACTTCGACTCAACGCCCTCCAGCTAGTGCAGTCAACCCGCTTCCATCGAAAATTTGGTGCCGACAGATTTCTAGCGCTTAACGGACCCCCATTCATGCTCCCCGACAAATTATGGTCACTCAGCTCCAAGAATCTGCCATTGTACGACAAGGTGATCGATTTTCTGGCGTCGGGCTCGCACTTCATTGCAGGACGTAGCTGGAGAGTATGCTTCATCGAGGAGGTGAAAGGGAGAACACGGCGCACTAAGGCGGAACCGCGGCGTTCAAGGATCATCCTCTTTGCCGAGACTGGGTTTGACATCGTCCCACGACCTCTCTTGAACCTCAACGTTGCAGATCTCAAGGTTGACGGCCAACACCAGAATATCACACGGCAAGGACTGATGCAATGGCATATGCCTCTGAATGCCAATTCCAATTCGATGGACCTCAAATTATTCTCCAGATGGAGCATTGGCTTCTCGAGGACAACTCCGACGATAGAGCTTCAGCGACATGAATTTTTGTACAGAGACGACGAACTTGGTGACCTACCTGGTGACGGATCAGAACGCAAGGTCATGAATGATGGCTGTGCGTTGATGTCCTACCCACTCGCCAAAGCCGTTTGGGCAGCGTACGGCGGCGAAGGTGAGCCACCCTCTGCTGTCCAAGGGCGTATCTCAGGCGGCAAAGGTCTTTGGTTGGTGGATTATCAGAACAAGTACACCCCTGTCAGTGATAGAGGTTACTGGATTGAAATTTCAGAATCTCAGCTCAAGATCAAGCCACACCCGCGTGACCGTCATGATGCGGATGCTGATGCCACTTTGCGAACGTTTGAGGTGTTGAAATATGCTAGCGAGTGCAAGCAGGCTCATCTGAACATTCAGCTGATTAATATCCTGGAGGACAGGGGAGTTTTGCGCTCGGTTCTTCAGGAAGCATTGCAATTGGATGTGCAATCGTTCTCAAGCACTCTTACGGAAGCGATGAACGACCCGAGATATCTACGGCTCTGGATGCAAGAACATGCCCCTTCGTCCCGACTTGAGGCTAAGAAAGTTTTGGGCTCATTTCCCGCCAACCACAAAGAGCAAATGAAGCTCCTGTTGGAATCTGGCTTTCATCCGCGGACATGCCAAAAACTCATCGCCAATGCTTATCGTCTGCTCAGTGACTACATGACCGATTACATGGACAAAATGTGGATTCAGATACCACACTCTACAGCTGTGTTCTGTGCACCGGACCCGTTAGGAGTGCTCGCTCCTGGCGAAGTGTACCTTGGTTCTTCAAGCTCTATCACACATCCCGTTACAGGGCTCAGGGAGAACACGCTCGAAGGTCTTGAACTCCTCGTGGCTCGAAATCCAGCGCACCTGGCATCTGACATGCAGAAATGCCGAGCGGTCTACAAACACGAGCTGCGACACTACAAAAATGTTATTCTGTTCCCACAGCGAGGAACCGTCCCTCTTGCATCTTTATTGTCCGGCGGCGACTATGATGGTAAGTGTTTGGTCCCAGACTCTCATATTGCTATAACTTCGACAATCAGGTCTTCACTTCCAGCTTAAGGTACAGAAGTGCTGACATGTCTCCTTGTGAGGGTGGCAGGTGATGTTGTGACATGTATTTGGGATCCTGAAATTGTGCGACATTTCTGCAACACCGACGTGCTACAAATGCCGACAGAGACTGAGTGCGATATGGTTCAGCGCTCAGAACCAATATCTGCGATTTTCAACGTTGGACGCCCCCTTGATGAAGCTTTCGAGGAGTATTTCCGCAAGTGTATTGCTTTCAATGCTCGGTCCAACCTGCTTGGCTCGTGCGCTGCAGAGCATGAGAAGTTGATCTATGCCCTGAGCCAAAAACGACACCCTAACAAATTAACACATTCTGGTGCCGTGAAACTAGCAGCTCTTGCAGGTTTTCTGGTCGACAGCACTAAGCAGGGTTGGGACCTGACAGAGACAATGTGGCATGAGATCCGTGCGAGAGCGAGTGGAAGCAGCCGCTTGCAAGATCCGGCGTATAAAGACGACACTCCTCGAAGGCAGCCAGGACCATACCTGAACGTAGTAGACTATCTCAAGTTTGATGTTGCCCAGGCCTTGAAGGAACAAGTCCTACGAGAATTCGGGGGATTAGACAAAGACCAAAAAGTCCTTAAATACGACAGGGATCTAAGTCGACATTGGCTTCACTGGTCGTCTGCGATAGAAGAGGACAGAAAAAGAAAGAGGCGTGAAGCTCGGTATCAGTCTGCACCAGACACTTCTAACACAACAGGATCTCCGCATCAAGAGGTCGAAGCACGAGCTATGACAGACCTGGAGAAACTCACCGACTTGTTGGAAGGCACGCATGGTCTCCTTGATCAAATAAAAGACCTGGATGCACAATGGAGCAGATTGGTCCCTCAAATGGGCCCTGACCCGACCCCGAGCGAAGGCATGGATTGGAGTAAGTACAGTATTGCCGTTGAAACTGTGTATGAGAAGTTTCGAGACATCCAACCGAAGCGGCTTGATCATGAGCTGTATCGTCGCTACGAGGCAGAAAAGGACCAACCCTTCTCCGACTGGGTTCTTCTCAAGGCGTCATGCCTACATATGGTGGTGTGCTCGAAAGGCTTTTTCCCAGCCTGGGTGTGGTATGTTGCCGGACGAGAACTCTGTTATTTGAAGGCTCTGCAACACACAGGCGGTATACAAATCGTTGTGTCAGAGATCCACGACCTTTACAAGGTGGACGCGAAGTTTGCCAGAGCCTTGCTGGAAGGTTGTCGTGGCGATGGAGCTGACGAGGAGAATGCCGTTGATGAAGAGTACTTGATGGATGACGATGTCGGATTGGAAATGGACTGATGGTTGGATTGGTACGATGCGAAAGATCGGGAGAGACCATGATACCCCTGGATTGCGTTCCACGATACCCCCTTTTGTTCTTGGTTGGAAATGTGAAGGAAAAGGTAGGACAGGCAAATTCCTCGACAGGAACTTGATGTTAGCAAAGGCCCCTGCGCTCAAGGACGCCCCCTTTTTTTTTCTGTTTCTTTGTTCCGAACCCCTCGACTTCTCCTCCTACGGGAATGTCGTCCAGCCACAGGCTCCCCGTTGCGACCACATTCATTCCGCCCTTGCCTATCTTTCCATGCGAGCATTCTTGCAAATGGCAATCGTGAATTTTTCGCGATCGCTTTTGGGCGTCGCGTCAGGACTTGAAGATGGCGACTATTCTCTTTTCAATGCTAACGGTGCAGTATTATGTTTTCTACCCAACAGCGCACCATCATGGCTGGCCAAGGCAACAAGACCGCGACGGCATACAAGATCATTGATATCTGTATCATCATGACACTCGCCTACAGCATCCTCTGCTTAGCTGTGTTTCTGAAAGCGAAAGGAGCTGTATGCTCGACAACTTCTTCAGGAGTGAATCTCTCCATTGCTTTTGTGAGTCTTGAACGGACGAAACAATACTCCTCATACCTCATAAGCAAAGTGCCTAACCGTTACTTAGTCCTTACCTACCATCATTATCATGGGGCTCCGGTGTTACCTCATGTTCCAGCAGAGGAGCAATTCTCTGCAGACTATATCTCCCTCGACCGCATCACCAAGGCTAGAGTCGGCTTGTACTACTTGTGTCCAAGTCCTGGTATTTTTGTGGATGATCCTGGGTTGTCTCAATCTCCTTGTCGCACTTCGAGCGCCCACGTGCCTGGGAGAGCCGTTGGAGGAATGGCAGAATGATTTGGAAGAGCAGAACTGGCGATACGGTCTCTCCTGCCGGATGCACCGTGCTGTGGTGGCCCTGTCGGTCCTGATGGCGTAAGTTGGCGTCCGGGCTATCCATGGAATCTCTGGACATGAGGCTTGCTGACCTTTCTGTGTTTGACCAGCATCTTCGTGGCCTCCCTCTCCTTCTTGGATCAACAACATTCAACTCGCCGTCGAACGGGCGTCTTGAACTGTTACTGCACCTGCCTGTCTCGCAAAGCTTCAACAGTCCATGCTCCGGCGCTCTCGGTATCCAGCAGCCGTTCCGGTTTGACAGTCGAGAAACACGGCCAACTCTTCCTTGTCCCCGAGCGCCGCCCAAGCAGGTTCGAGCACGAACAATGGTTACAGCGCCGCAATAGCTTGTCGTCCCAAAAGGCCATCTATCCACACAAACACCACTACTATGACCATCGGCACAGGTACCAACCGTATGCCTTCTCACAGAGCAGCCGATACTCGAGTACCCTGCGCTCGGTCTCTGAGGGTCGGTCCTTGGAATTGGGTGACCGGAATTCGTCCTTGTGCTCGTCTCAATCCTCTACTTCGGTGGGTACGAGGCCGTCGACTCGCGTCTCTACGGCCTGCTCGCGAAGCCGAGCTAATAGCAACCCGGAAAGGGGAGACCTGCGCCGCGATGCTACGACGATATCGGCGAATGGCAATAATGCAATGCCTGAAGTACCACCACTTCCTGCAGCTCCAGCACCGACCTGGTCTCCAGCTCTACACCATACGCCGCTGAGCGCAGATCCTACCATTCGAGCTCTGAGCACTGGTTCGGGGCTGACACTGGCGATGTACCATTCAAGATCATCTCCAGATTTGCTAGCCGCCCAAGCTGGAATCGCCAACACGCCCTCTGCAGTGGCAAAGTCCACCCCAACCAAGGACGGAATCACTGAGGTTTCGTCGTCTCCGCCATGCGCATCGACGAAGCGTGCGAAGAAGACCACCGCGGAGCCAGTATCCCCAAGAAAACCGGCATCACCAATGCCCACTGTACCACCACCCCCTCCTCCCGTTCAACGTCCAGCGCAAGCAGCAGCCCCTGCCATACCCACCCGCGCACCCGGCCATTCAACGACACCTCCCACGGCGACATCACAGACCGGCGCCGGCAACAGGGTCACAACTCGATCGAGGTCCGCTTCAACGTCAGCCGCTACCTCACGGTCGAACCTCCGCCGGCCCAGCCCCATCCGCTACCGCCATTATCATCAGCACCATCAGCACCAGCATCACCAGCACCCTCATCACTACCACCAGCAACACGCGCACGGGCTAGGCCCAAGCCAGATTCAACTGCCGCTGCAGCAGTACCAACACCAACGCGTCTGGCGGCGTGAGAACATGACCAACCCCTCGAGCATCTACTCAGCGAGCAGCTACGGGACCGAACGGACCACATCGGTCATGACGCGAGGGAGCACCACCGCCGCCGCACATGCGCCGACTCCAGGCCTGAGACCTGGCATTACCCCCACCACCACCACGAATGCAGCGCGGCAGTAAGTCCACTGAAGGCGCGCAGATCAGTTCGATCAAACATCGACCCAAAGAGGGCACGCGAGGGGGGACAAAAGAAAGGAACCTTCTGCTCTCCATGATGGCAAGGGAAAGAGTTGAGTTTGCCCTCATCAACGCCATCCATCCCTCCCTCCCTCACTCCATCTACCTCCCCCCGCACCATTTTATCGATCTGTTCATTCCATCAATCAACCCACCAGTCATCCTGTGGAGTTCCCAATGACAACCCGAGCGTGGGAGAAGCTGGGAACTCCACAGGATGACTTGTGTACCTGGGTACGCGCGAGTGAAATCACCTGGACGGAAACTTCGACAAGGGACTTCCAAGACAAGGGCGCAGGAAGGGGATGGCAAGGGGAGAGAGGGGTTTGTACCTGATTACAAGGAGGGAAAAAAAGGGGGGGCTATGGCTGGTCCCAAAAAGAAATAAGGGATAGATACTCAGCAACACGAGGAGGAAGAGTCCCGGTCCTGAAATCACGAATAGATGACTTCCTTTTGCGCTTCTCTCCCGTCACTCCCTTGCTTTGAGTTGCTCGCCCACCGCACCCTTTGCGGTACATTGCGTTGCATTGCATTTCATTGCACGACAGGTATAGCATCGACACGCCCAGGTACATATATGAAGCTCGTGAGCCCATGGACTCGCTTGCAGGGTATGTCTTGTTGCCATATCCATCGGCGATGCATTCTCCTGCTTCTTATTCATCGAGGTAATTATCATTCTCATTTTCATTCTCATTCCTCTTCGGGAACTGATTGTTGCTGGTGCTTTTATTGGTACAGAGTAAATTTCATTCCATCGTCCATTCAACCCGCACAGCCGTGTCCCAAGAACTCCTGTGCATGCATGCTAGGAATACCCTTCACCCAGTTTGCAAATACCTTTCCCGGGACCTCGCATCCTCTCCTTCACCTCACGGCATCTGCCGCAGCCGGAATTCTGCAATCGTTACATCGTGCCACCTCCAAGCTCCTATTTTCCTCAGTCGTGGGAACTCTTAACCTCCTCGACCTTCTTCGCCCCAACCTCCTTCCAATTCGTGCTCAAGGCGGTGCCATTGCTCTCATAGAAGCTCTTCATCATCGCTCTACGCGTGTCTTCGTCCGCCGAGGCGTAGAGTTTCTTGAAGAATCCATCGACAGGGTCGCCGCGCTCGAAGTCTGAGTCGTAGTCCCCGGCTTCGTCTACATCGGATGTGTCAGGGCTGGACTGGTAGTCTTTGGAGGCGTCATCTGGCTTTGCTTTGGTCTTCCCTTTGGATTTGGCTTTAGTTGTGGGTTTGGATTGCGCGTGGAGCTCGTTGGCGAGTTTATCCCAGTTCTTGGGGCCATTACGAGAGGAGGTTGGGTAGGAAGGTGGATTCTCTTTCGCGATGGCTGGTTGCGTCACAGTCGTGGCCGATGGGGAAGAGTTGGTGAGAGTAGACATTGATATCGGCCCAACATTCTCTTGGTCTTTTTCAGTGCTTGCTTTTGATGCCGGTGCCTTCAGAGGCGCAAGACCTTCCAGGTCATGCCACTTCCCTGCCTGCGCTTTCCGCAGCGTTAACTCGATCTTCGTGGAGAGGACGGCAGATCTGCTCTGGGATGGATCGATGAGAGCGAAGAGCGGGTCGAGGGTGAATGTGAATGTGGAGGATGGGTTCGAGGGATGAGGGAACGAGACGGAGACAGAGTCATCCTGGATATCGACATCGCAAGCCTCTTTGGGGACATTCTTTGCGTAGAGTGTCAGAGTCACTGCTTGCGGAGATTGGTACCATTCGTGTCGGATCTTAAACGGGGCTGATGCGGGCGCAGCGATGGATGGACTTGGTCCTGTCGTGGTCCCATCTCCGGCGGGCTTGGTAGTACCAGTTGTCGCAGCTGCTGCGTCGGTAGTGGTCGTCTTGACATCTTCCTCTTGCCCAAACTTATATGACCCATCTGCCTTTAGTTGTGTTTTGAGCCACTCCTTCATTTGTGCCTCGCTTGGCAGGTCAATCTCTGGATATTCCTTCTCCGACGACACTCTCTCCGACTCTGGAGCATCTTTCAGTTTTCCTTCCACCCTCGCCAGCCACATGTCACCCTCCATCTTCTCAGGTTTACTCGATCTCCATTTCGCCATTATCTGCAAAACCGCCTTGGCATCTGCATACCGTCCAAGCCCGTGAAGAGCCACAACTCGTCGCTGTTGCGCGGCCTGAATTTTCTCCCGCTTTGCACGTTTCTGGGCAAGGACGACAGCATATTCCGCATCCTTAAGAGCGAGGTCATGGCGGGGCGGCGAGAGACGCGCGAATGCGAGCGACCGTTGATTGAAGTAATCCGGAGAGTGAGGGTGGTCGATGAGCGCCCGGGTATAGAGCGAAACAGCCAGGGCGAAGTCTTTAGACTCGACAGCCGCGGCGCCTCGAGCAGCTAGATCCATGCTGTAAATAGTGTTGACCTATACAGAATTGTTATGTTGTATCGAAGTGAGGCTGGGTGCATTTGTGAGGGGAGTCAGAGTCCAAGAAGGTCGTGGCCCTTGCAGCTTTAACTCCGCATATTTAACTTAGATCCGATGCGTCGTCGATCCCCTCCACAACTCCCGCCAATTGCACATGTGTCTTTGACAGTGAACTTCCCCTTCATATGTGGAAGTAACTGCGCACAAAAGGACGAGTGTCGACTGCCATAGCCAATCTCGTCGACAGGCTCCCAGCCGCGCTTCTGCGAGGTCTTTTATCCTCGTGACCTTACGCTCGACAAACCACACAACATGAGGGAATCCAGCTGAAGAATGGCAAACACGAAGACGGTGCCTAGCATTCCAAGACAGTCAGAATGAGCAATCGCTTCTATGTGTGTAGCTTGCACGCCCACATTTGGACAATAGTTGACGAACCCATCAGTTTGGCGGCTCTGACTCTGGCTCGGATGTTGATGACAACGATGCCTCACTTCCCTTCCCCAAGCCATTAGAGCGCTCGACATTCCTGGCACCAGACTTTGATGCTGCAGCCTTCTTGTCCAGCCTGTCGAATCGATTTCAGACGCTTGAAGACTTGCAGACAGAGCTGCGCGAATTGAGCCAGATCCTCAACAAAGAGCTCGTCGATCTCGTCAATGACAATTATCAGGATTTCCTATTGTTGGGAAGTACGCTGTATGGCGGCGAAGAGAAGATCGAGGATATCCGACTAGGGCTACTGGGGTTTGAAAGGGATGTTAAAGCAGTCAGAGATAAAGTTGACGCACGAAGGAACGAGGTAGCAGAATTGTTGAGGCAGAAAAAGGCTCTGCGACAAGAAACAAGCGTTGGACAGGCACTACTCGAGATTGCGGAACGTTTAGATCTGCTAGAAGAGAAGCTCGAAATCTCGACACCATCCACTAAGCAGCCCGCAACCAAGGTCAAAGACCAACCCAGGGACGACGGCGGTGAGCTTTGGGATGACGAGTGGGTCGAAGAGACGACTACCAACGATATTGACGAGGAACTCGACTCGGTTGAGGTTGATGGCGTCCCTCCCAGACTGAAGCGAAGGACTGAGGAATTCCTGATCTTGAAGCACCTGGCGAGCAAACACAGTCCGCAGCACCCCTTCCTCCTGGCCCAAGAAGGGCGAATGCGCACGATCCAAGAGATCTTGCTTTCTGATCTCGAAATGACCATCAAACAGGAAACTGAGATCAAGAACAAACAAAATTTGCTGCAAATACGGGGGGCAATTGCAGAGTGATGTTTCTCCGACTGGGTTCTTGCTGTAGAGGGACAACTCTATTTCCATTTTTGCTACCTGTACGCCGAGGCTGAGCGACATATACCCCCAGTATAGTACACTGAAGAATCGAAAAGCTCTTTCAAACCACTGCCAATTGCTGGGGAGTAGCAGCACCCGGCGCTGGCTTGTAGAAGTCCCCATTCAAAGAGAAGCCAGGAGAATTGGTGGAGCTCAGAACCACCTCGTAGATCTCCTTGACAATCTGGTCACTCAACGCAGACGCATCTTTCTTCACTGCGTTAACGTACGCCTTCACATTATCCCTCAGCTGCTCTGGCGTAAAGCTCAATCTCCCCACCGCCATTCTCACCACGCCCTGTCTTTCTCTGTACGTACTACCGCCCATCGCATTTCTCACGGCAGGGCCCGGATTCGACACAACAGATCCCATCTTGATGTTCGGCATCAGACCTCTTGGTCCCAATATCCTCGGTATACCCTCTTTATTCATCTTTTGCAAAGACTCGGGCACGGCAATGCACCGGTCAAAATCGATTTTGCCAGCTTTAATTCGTTCAAACACTTCCTCTTCACCAATTAAGTGGGCGCCGGCTTCACGCGCTCGTTGCGCTGCTGTGGAATCGGGCGGACAAATCACCGCGATTTTGACGTCTGTTTTGACGGGATAGGGGAGGCGGATCGAATTGCGAACCACGGGTCCGTCTTTTTTGGTGCGGAGTTTGATGTGAATGTCATATTTTGGCGAGTCGGGCTCGTGGCCGATTTCGAATGCTTTGATATACCTGTTCCGGATTAGCAATGCCGGCGATCGTTCTGGATAGACTGTTTTGGCCTACCTCATTGCTTCACACAAAGTGAATTGCTCCATATCTTTGAGGTTATATTGCTTGTATGCCCTATGCTTCTTCCTTCTCCTCTTGATTTTCTCCCTTGCAGCCTTTTCTTTGTCTGATAGAGGCCGGGAACCACCTGCTGCAGACAGAACTGGGGCGGAAGAGAAGCATCGAGTAGCTGTTGGTATGCATGGTGTCGATGCACGTGTCAAGAATGGAGCAAGAAAGGAAGATGTCGTGAACCGACAGAGTCGTTTCGTAGCCATCGAGAGGCCTCGAGAAACCTCCATGGTTGAAAGGGAGCAAGCCAATTCAATGGCTAACTGCGTCGAATAATGTCCAACAAGTCTTTGCAGCTCTCCGTCTCCTCTGGCTAGGAAGGCTGGCGAATAAAAGGTTAGCTTGGCAGATTTGTCAGGTTTACGCGAGGCTGTTGCAGTCTGTGTCCCCGCCTAAAGCGTTCCGTAGAAATATTCAAACACCGCAGTCGAAATGACTCAACATTTGCCATAAGACAGTCACTCTTCTCCTTTATACCTCTCCCAATAGAGATTCTTTTCTTCAACCAGACAATCTTTCACTATGGCGACAAAGAATGCACCCAAGGCCAAGAAGGCCCCCAAAGTCAAGCAAATGGATCTACCCAATGCCGCCGCAGGCGTCGTCACACGCTTTCCTCCAGAACCCTCCGGATACCTTCACATAGGGCACTCGAAAGCTGCTCTTCTCAATGACTTCTTTGCTCACACTCAGTATCCTGGTGGCAAGTTGATCTTGAGGTTCGATGACACGAACATTGAGAAGGAGAATGTCGAGTATCAAGATGCAATACGCGAGGACGTTGCTCTACTAGGGATTCAACCCGACACAATCTCTTACACGAGCGACTACTTCGACCAAATCGATGAGTACTGTGTCAAGATCATCAAAGTCGGAAAGGCCTACGCTGACGACACCCCGGGCGACGTAATGAGCGCACAAAGATTGGCACGTGAGCCTAGTGTCCACCGAGACGACAGCGTTGAGGATAACTTAGCAAGATACGAGGAGATGAAGAAAGGCACCGAAGAGGGAAAGCGATGGTGTATTCGAGCAAAGATCTCCTATGCTAACGACAACGCCGCACTTCGAGATCCGGTGATTTTCCGATGTCCCAAGAATAACACTCACCACCACCGAACAGGCGACAAATACAAGGCGTACCCAACCTATCAATTTGCTTGCCCGATTGTGGACTCTATCGAGGGAGTGACCCACGCCCTGAGGACGACTGAGTACAATGATCAAGATGCGCAATACAAATGGATTCTCAAGGCCATCGATTTGCGGTGTCCCTATATCTGGACTTTCTCCAAGATTCAGTTCGTGCGCACGCTGATGTCGAAGCGAAAACTGACGAAACTGGTCAATGCCGGTATTGTGTCAGGCTGGGACGATCCCCGCTTCCCAACCGTTCGAGGTATCCGGCGGCGCGGCATGACTGTCGAAGGTTTGCGGGATTTCATGATCAGTCAGGGACCGAGCAAGAATGTGGTCAATATGGACTGGCATACTATCTGGACCATGAACAAGAAAGTGATTGATCTGACAAGTGCGCGATACACTGCGATTGACGACAACCACGTCCTTTGCAAAGTCAAAGGCGTGCCAAAGGAAGCGCCCTATTCAGAGATAAAACCCAGACACGCGAAATATGATCTCGGAGAGAAGAAGGTTTGGTACAGCTCTAACATCATCATCGAGCAAGAGGATGCGCGGACCTTCGCCAAAGACGAAGAAATCACGCTTATGAACTGGGGAAACGCGTATGTGCGGGATATCCAGTATGAGAAAACCACCGACAAAGCAGACATCACCGACGGTGTAAACGCATTGGGCAACGTTGCTTCCCTCGAACTCGAACTTCACCTCGACGGCGACTTCAAAGCCACAAAGAAGAAGATCACGTGGCTTTCCAAAGACCAGGACCTCTGCCCGGTCCAACTCGAAGATTTCGATCATTTACTCTCCAAGGACAAGCTGACAGAGGAGGAAGAAACTCACTGGGAAGACTTCCTGACCCCCAAGAGCGAGTTCAAATCTACCGCGTTGGCTGACTGCAATGTATGGGACGTCAAGGAGGATGATATCATTCAATTTGATCGCAAGGGCTACTTTAGATGTGACAAGGCGCCAACGAAGGAGTCAAAGGGTGTCTTTTTCAAGGTACCGACGGGCAAAGAATAAAAATAGGGTGAAGATGAGGAAAGGAACAAAAAAGCTCCGCAGACCAAATGAGGATGAGTGATGATTTCGAGGGTAGAAAATGCCCAGTCAAGATACGGCAAGACACCTGGAGCGCTGCGCTAGAGCGTACAACGCTTTGCTATGATTGCTACCTGTGACGCTACGGCGTCTTCTTGAGCTTGGGTCATCATGCTAGATAGACATGGTTCTCATGCTGCTGTCATGAAAAGTCACGAGAGATTACACGCTGCGATCAAGAATGAGATGACGCAAAGATTAAAGAATCTATTTGAGCTCTGTTTTTCTGTAGTCTTGATGCTGAGCCTCTGTTCTGGACACGACGGGAACCGTTGACAGAGTGTCTTGAACAGGGCTATATATCGATATCTTGTCTATTGCGGCTCATAGTTGGATGGCGTTACTTCATTTTCTTCCCATCCCCATCGTTAAGGCAGCTATCCCCAACAAGCTCCTCTGTCAAAACGATCTACATCCAAGCACTCCTCTCCCCCAACCTCATCCCCTCGGGCTCTCTACCCATCCCACTCCTTCCGACGAGCACCTCCCCTTTGCCTCTCCTCAAGAACGTCCCGTCGGTAGGCTTTCCCAGGATACCTGCGCCGGGTCCGCGACTCACTTCGACGTCGCGGTCCCACTTGACTTCGCCCCGCAACAAGACGTACCTGGGCCAATTGCACACTCGAAAGCCTTCAAAGGGGGTGTAGTCGATACTGTGGTGCAGCATTTCATTGGTGATTTCAATCTTTTCACTTGACGCCGCGGCGGCGGCGGTGGTCACAGGATGGTGCGGAGGGTACCAGATGACCAAATCGGCGTCGTAGCCCGGGGCGATACTGCCCTTTCTCCCGGAGAGGCCGTACATTTTGGCCGGGTTCGTCGAGGTGAGTTCCACGAACTTTGGCAGAGTCAGTCTCCGTGCGGGTGAGATTGACGGGTCAGGGTCGGTCGCGGCGGAGAAGAGGATGGGCAGTCGTGTTTCGATGCCGGGCAGGCCGTTGGGGATCTGGGCGAACGTGGGTGTCGAGTTCGTCTTCTGGGCTTCGACAAGGGGCTTGCGTTTCCCTTGGGGACTGTGGTATTGGCTGGGGGCGTGGTCGGAGGATATCACCGTGATGGTCCCGTTGTTCACGCTGTCCCAGACACTCTGCAGGTCGGCTTCGGCGTGGCGGAGGGGAGGTGCGCAGACGTGTCGTGCCCCTGCCCATTCGTCATCCTCGGTATCCCCATGTTCATGACCGTGGACACCATTGGCCTCATCGACGACCGGGAATCTAGTCACGGCCAGTCTATCCGATAGCAAGTACATATAATGCGGACATGTCTCTGCGTGGATCGGTAGCATTTGCTTTGATTGTGCTTTCCTTGCATGAGACAGGGCGACGGGGCTAGACATGTGGACGATGAGGATTGGCGTGGATGTAAGAGTGGAGAGTGAGATGGCACGATGGGTGGCTTCCGACTCGGCGATCTGAGGGCGCGCGAGGGCATGGTATTTGGGTAGAGTATGAGAGTTTTGCAGGAGACGAGTCGTTATCCTGTCACCATTGTCAGTAGGCAATGCTTGCCATCTGTTGCCAGTCTTTGATAGACACAAGGGAGACATACATGTCAATCATATCCGCATTCTCGGCATGCACCATCACCGTCATGCCCACTTCTCTGCATCTCATCATCACCTCTAGCATCTCTTTGTCCCCCAACCTGAAGGCCGGGTACGTCATGTACAGCTTGACGCTCGTGATGCCTTCCTCCTCGACCATTCTTTTCAGCTCGCCTTCGTTTGCGGGATTGGGCTTGCCATCGACCTTTGCCTTGACTGCCCGACCCAAGATTTCCGGGCTTGGCCTCGTGAGAATCAAATGGAAGCCATAGTCCACATAACTCTGCCCTCTTGCACGGGAATGATACTCCTCCAGCACGGGAAACAGACTCTCGTCCGTCCGCTGTTGAGTAGCGAATGCGAGAATCGTGGTGTTTCCCCCACAAAGCGCCGAGCGGGATCCAGAGAGCCATTTGTCGCCTGTAGGGGCGTTGTCTTGGTGGAGATGCACGTGGGAGTCAACGCCGCCAGGAGTCACATACGCGCCTTCTGCGTCGATGATTTGTGTGTGTGCATTCGCTGGAAGGGAAAATGCAATGGCGACTATTTGGCCGGATTTGATCCCGATGCTGAGGCCTGGTTGGAGGATTTCGGTTGCTGTGACCTTTGGGATCAGGGAAAAGGGGGACTCAGCCTTGTATAACCCTCGGGATGGGGATAGACTTACGATTGTAGCATTTTTGATGACGAGGTCAAGATCCATCGTCTCTCAGGCCTCTGAACTTGAGAGTATATATAAGACGGCCTTTATCTTCTCTGGATAAAGACAGAAGCTACTGTACCCGATTTGATCGCCCTGGACAGCCGCGCTCCGACCTCCAGAGTGGTGGGAAAGAAAATGGGCTTGCAACAACCGGCCAGTAGCCGAGGACAAGAGTACCTGATACAAGGATAAGTAGAATGATAGCACTCACCAGATTTTACGAATACATGTCAACATTGTAAATTGGGTATCCGATTATTCGCAGAATCATAGATCGCGGTTGGAATATGGATGCTAGATCTAGCGGATAAGTCCGATATGTAGTGGTGTTTTCCGGGTCAAATAAAGACTGCCGACAGAGACTGTTGCTGGTCTTATAAACTGAGAGTTTTCTCAATTGCGCGTCATAGTGTACTGCGACTCCTCGACGGATGGAAGGAGGGAGGATAGACAAGGAGGGCATATTTCTCGTAGGTCCTCCAGTCTGGCGCCGTTTGAAAGATTGGGAGTGGGAGAATAGACATGACCACTCGACTCCACAACGTCCAGCTCCATCAGCTTGAGACAGGCAGTATGCTATATCTAGGACCGTTGTAGTGTCTGGATTGTAGCCTTGTCTGAATAGAATAGGTATCGGTAAGGAGTCGCAGAAGCATTTGAAGAGGCCCACAAAGTTATGTCAGCAGCCTCGGCCAATTGAATGATGCAATTGGAGATTTTTTCCTTTGCAGCTCCTCGACCCTCCGATCATCCCACTGCTCTTCGTTTTGGGGGACTACACGACTTAGACACACGCGCTCCCCCAGAACAACAGTCTCAACCTCCTGCGTTCCTGCTCAGTCATGGCCAACGCTTTGCGGACGTCGGTCCGACGCTTTACGACCACAGCTGTTCGTGCAGCGGCTGCCGAGCCAGTTAACGCATATGGGATCCGCGTCTCCAAGGCCCAAGGAGTGGTTGACACGCTTACAGGAGGTATCTTCCCATACATCCCTGGCAGGCCATGATCTCCAATACTGACCAGAACACAGCAATCGGCAATACTCCTCTGATAAGACTACAAAAGCTGTCCGCCGAAACGGGTTGCAACATCTTGGGTAAAGCCGAGTTCCAAAACCCCGGCGGTAGCGTCAAGGACCGTGCGGCCCTATATGTTGTGAAAGATGCAGAAGAGCGAGGTCTGCTGAAGCCAGGAGGCACCGTCGTCGAAGGGACTGCCGGCAATACTGGCATCGGGCTGGCACACGTCTGCCGGGCGAGGGGATACAAACTGGTCATCTACATGCCAAACACCCAGTCACAGGGCAAGATCGATCTCCTGAGACTGCTGGGTGCCGAAGTATATCCTGTTCCAGCTGTTGCGTGGGAGAACCCAGAAAACTATAACTGGCAGGCCAAGAGACATGCAGAGAGACTGCGGAAGGAAGATCCCGAACACGGTGCTGTATGGACAAACCAGTTCGACAATACTGCCAATCGCCTGGCGCACGTTGTAACGACAGGACCAGAGATCTGGGCGCAGACAGATGGCAAAATTGACGCGTTCACTTGTGCGACTGGAACTGGTGGGACACTTGCCGGCGTCACTCGATACCTCAAGGACGTCAGCAATCACTCCGTCAAGTGCTTCCTGGCAGATCCTCCAGGCTCGGTCCTCTATTCCTACATCACCTCCGGCGGCCAGCTCAAAGAGAGAACGGGTAGCAGCATCACCGAAGGCATTGGGCAAGGTCGTGTGACCGACAACCTGAAGCAGGAAGTCAATGAACTCGACGGCGCTCTAAATATCTCCGACGAGAAGACTATTGCCATGGTGTACCGCTGCTTGGACGAAGAGGGGCTGTACCTCGGAGCCAGCAGCGCACTGAATGTGGTCGCCGCGAAAGAGGTCGCGGAGAAGCTGGGGCCCAACCACACGGTTGTCACCGTCTTGTGCGACGGAGCATACAGATATGCGGATCGGCTATTTAGCGACAAGTGGCTGAAGAGTAAAAACCTGAGAGAAGCGATACCCCAGCATTTACAGAAATACATTGTGTTGCCATAGAACAGTCGGAGCAAACGCCAAAGCCAGTCCGAGACCATTGAGCAGTGAACACTCTCACACCACGTACTCGAAACACGGCGTTTACGGATTCAATCCGATCATATTCTATGGACGATTGATGTATTCGCCGGGCGACCGAGCGATAAGCCATGGCATCCAACTATTTCGATCAAGTCCCGGGCTTTTCATCTCAGCTGAGACTGTCAGAGTGTGAAAGGTGCGTTGATTGCTTGCCTAGAGCCCTTCAGGCCCAAGGGCAAGACGATAAACGTTGTAAACACAAGAGGTCGGTGACGGTCATGTGATTAGTAATCATGTGATACTGATCACGTGGCAATTTTGACAGAGACGAGCTCTTCCTATGAGACTTTCCGACTCCGTCTCCCTACCAGGCCTTGGAGACGATCCAATGGTTTTCAACTCGCACACAAGAACATCCGCCGCCACGGCCTCCTCTGGTCATGAATGCTTTCTAAGTCATGACCTCCACTTGCGCACCTCTTTGGGTAACGACCTGGTTGCTCAAAACCCGCGCATGGCCAGCTGCTTCTTCTCGTCACTCTCATAGCACTGAATTGCCCCGATCCAATACTGCGTGTGGTGGCAGACGTCCTGGGAGTTGTCGATGCTCCAGCTCCCGTCACCGGTGCAGTCGTGGTTCTTCCACAGCATGCACTCGGCAAAGACGCCTGTGCACTCGGTGATCCAGACGTTGTTCATGTCGATCAGGAGAGAGTGGCACGCGAAGTCGTTGATGACGTACTCTTCGACCGAGTGCTGGCCGCAGCCGGCGTCGTTGAATTCGAAGATGCAGCACTCGGTGCAGGTGGAGCTGGGTCGCGGGTCAGGTAAGGTCAGCCAACAAGAAATCATCCCCGAGGTAAAGGATCGGCAAGCTTTCTGTGTGGGATGTGACAAGATGAGCGAAAGAGTGAAGTTGTGGCTTACCATCCCGCCTGGTTTTCGGGTTGGGTTGGGCCGCAGGAAGCTTGCTGGGTGAGGTTGCGAGGCGCCAGAAATCGAACACCGCTCGCGACAGACAGGTCTGCTGTTGGCGGCGGCATGGCGGCGGCGAGGTGCAGATTGACCAGCATCGAGACAGCCAGCGCGGCGAGGAACACGACGACGTTGTTGATGGTGCAAGTCATGATGAGCTTCTTGGTCCGTTGATGATGGTTTGATCGTGAGCTCGGCGTGTGTGCACGGGGTTAACGAAGTGTGATGTTCAAGTGAGGAAACTAGTCCAGACAGAGAAAAACGAGAAGATACGGTGATGACCAGACCGCGAACTTGCAGAGTCTCGCTCGTGCTTCACTGAACAAGTGAAATTCACGCATGCCATCCTTTGTCACTGTCGTCGTCACTGCGGCTGCCGTTACGTCTTTGCTTCATACTAAGCCTAGACATGTGAAAGCATCAAGTCAAGACAACCCTCCCTTTTCTGTGTAGCAGAGGTACCTCTACGCCGGAAGATCCACATATCTTACGAGGATTTAACATGCTCCGATGCCTCAGTCAGACACGACATGCAAGGGTCAAAAAGCATCGCAAAGCACTCGTGACGGCGTGACGGTTTGACGCTGCGTCGAAGTCAAAAGCAGGGGATGCGAATGCAGCGGAATACAGCACGTACAAGATCAAGGTGCGACGCAAAGGGACTGGCTGGCAAAAAGGCTGGGAAGGAAAATGAAAAGCAATGAAAAACATCCTCCCGACGACGACGCGGTACATGGATCACACACACGCGCAAGAAAGAAACCTCCAAAGCGAATGGGTTTTGTATTCGTCGTGTCCTGTGCAAGATGCTCCCTGCAACAAGCTTCTTCTGTGGTAGTCAAAAAGTATAGAATAAGCGACACTCGAGCCCACAGGAAAGCTCGATCTCAGCTGCCCAAGAACCTCATGATGACCACCTTCTATTCCCATCCTTTGAGTCACGTCTCACAGGCAAGCTGATGCCGTGGCATGTGCAAGGCAATCAAAAGCATACCAAACAACAAGAGGAACAAGCAAACCAAAACCGGCTAAGATTTTTATGTCGTTCAGGGCAGAAGAGAAACGCCAGTGCACGCCATAGTCCGAAACTTCTATCAATCATCTTCTGCCTTCCACCTTCCGCGTGCAACATGTAAGTGGATGCATGCAAAAGGCCCATGGGAAGGATGAACCACAGAGACATTACCAGCCCAGGTTCATCCCCAGCCGACTCGAGGGATCCACCCAAGCAGCTTCAAGTGGATCCCGAAATCCAGAATCTGAGTATGTCGTTTAGTGCTTCGCGGTGACCGCCTCGCCGGTGAGTTTCTCGACGGCTTCTTTGGCACTGTTCAGACGTCAGTATATGCTTCTGAAATATGAGACACAAGGCAAGAACATACATATCGCCCAGGGCAACCATGCAGATTGTCTGCCAGATACCCAGCCCGATACGGGGAGTGACACCACGGTACAGGCCCTTGAGGCCGTTGGTGCTGTAGATGTAGTTCAAGGTCTTCCCGACGGTCAAGTTCTTGGGGCGGTTCGGGTCGTTGGACTTGCTTTGCATCTCGACACGGATGACTTCAATGGGCTGGTTCCAGGCAGACAAACCACCACCGAGACCGCTAGCAAGAATCTTCTCTCCCGCGTTCAACTTCTCGCCGTTTTCTTTGCCAGTGACTCTCCGGATACCGGTCTCTGCGAGTCTGGAAAGCCCGAAACGGGAGCCCCAGTTGGTGACTTGACGGATGGCAACTGCGTTAACGCCCTTGTTGATACCCCTGATGCCCTCTTTCTTGTAGATGTTTGCGAAAGTTGTGAACGTAGAGGGGGGTTTCACACCCTGCGCGGCAAGTTTATGCTGGGTGATTTCCACGGTTTTCATGCACGTGCAGAAACCCATGGTTGCGTAGGCTTGGGCCATACCGCCCACCATGCCACCTGTGATACCGGCCACGAAGCTGTTGGCACCAAAGGTCTTTGCATAGTACTCGGCTTCTGAGGCGACGAAGAGCAAGACAGCACCCTTGGTAGAGGCTTCGATCCAGGCCCACGGAATCAGGCCCTGGTAGACTACACATTGCAAGAAATCAATCAGCCGAGGTCTTTTCACGAGTAAACTCGAGTGCGGATTGTCTTACATCCAAAAACACCACCGCGTCCCCATATCCTCGACATGGCCCCGGCGAAGGTGTCAGTTCGATGGGCGGCCATGGTGGTCTTGACAACTTCCAGCGGTTGTCCTAGAGTAGTGACCTCGAACATGTTGAGACCAGCGCCGAGGAGCAGGTTGCTGAACTTGACGGGCTTCTTCTCAATCGTTTGGGCCGGAGGCGCAGGTGCCAGGACTGCTTGAGCGGACATTATTGGCAGATCTGCGATATTGTCTACCCTGACCAAGGGAGGAGGTCGGCTTCGTCGCCTTGAGGATTAGAGAGTAGGAGCGAGGAGAGAGGCACTGTTGGGCAACAGGGGGTTGGGCAAGTGTGAATGCTGCAAGATACAGACACAAATGGCTACCGTGGTATGTATGGCCTTGTACCGAGTATAGGAGACAAAAAAGCAGGAGCGGAGATTAAGAAGACACAAGAGTAGCGATCAATCTGACAGTGATGCAAGTGACAAAAAGTCCGAGATCGTTTTGTTCAGCTCCCTCGGCGAAGAAGGACGAGATGACCATCGTTGAATATCGGCGCAGGCGCCTCGACCAAACCCCCATTCGGGCCAGAAGCAGATTAGTGGCTCTGCCTTCGGCGTGTTGAGCGGACATGGCTCTAGCAGCTGAGGTGCCCGGCGCCCCCATTTCCCCCCCAAGCTTCATCACAACCCATGCATCGCCCTGGGCTTCGGACGCCGCCTCCCTAAACTGTGGGTCCGCTGGCCTCTTTTTAGCCTGCCGTGCCTGCTAGGGCCACCCAACGCCGCCAACGCGCTGCTCAACATCCGAAAATAAAAATTTCAAGAAATTTACGTTGCACGGTCCATGCAGCCATGTCTCGCAAAGCCACCGCGGGCCCTAGGCCTCCTTAACGTTGGCCTCTACCAAGGTGTAAAGGATTCAGGCACGCAGAAAACATTGTTGCGAATTGCAGACAGTGGGAACAAAGTAAAATGGTATTCGCATCCAACAACGCTCGTCAATTAAATAATGGCGTAATTGAACGGCGAAACTAATTCACCCCCGACCAAAACCGACCTCGTATTGCCCTATCACTTTCTCCCTTTTAGACGTACAAGTATGTTTTGCATTGTACAGTTCCCGCTCTTCCCATTGCAATCACAATGAAGCACCGACCAGTTTGGCGTAGGCCTCGGTGCTGAAAGACTTGGGTCGCTCGATGGGTGCACCAAGGGCGCGGTCAATGATGAGTTGCGGCAGGACACCGAGGGCACGCGAGACACCGAAGAGGACGGTGTAGTAGTTGGCTTCGGTCAAGCCGTAGTATTGCAAAAGGACACCGGAGTGCTAGTTCATCAGTCAGCGTAATCATGATATCCGTCGAATTAGTCACTTACAGCGTCAACGTTGGGGTAGGGGTTCTTCGTCTTGCCGTGCTTGGTCAGGACACCAGGAGCAATCTTGTAGACCTGGCTGACCAGCTTGAACATGGGGTCTTCGGGGAGCTTGCGAAGGGCGAACTCGCGTTGAGACACGTAGCGGGGATCGGTCTTGCGGAGAACAGCATGGCCATAGCCAGGAACAACACGGCCACCGTTGAGGGTCTCCCAGAGGTAGTCGGTGATCTTCTGGTCGCTGAGATCATCGCCAATACTCTCCTTCATCTTGGTGAGCCAGTTCAAGACTTCTTGGTTGGCCAATCCGTGGAGAGGACCAGCCAAGCCGTTGAGACCAGCAGCGAGAGATAGCATGGGAGAGCTCAAAGCGCTTCCGACCAAATGAGTAGTGTGGGCGCTGACGTTGCCACCCTCATGGTCGGAGTGGATGGTGAGATAGAGACGCATAAGCTCAACAAAGTCGGCGTTGCCGCCATAGCCAAGCTGGTTGGCCAAGTTGAAGCCGTAGTCCTTGTCTTTCTGGATAGGGGCAACCTTGCCATCCTTGTATGCGTTGCGGTAGATCTTTGCGGCAATTGTGGGCAACTTGGCAATGAGGTTCATCGAGTCCTCGAAAGTGTATGACCAGTAGTCCTTCTTGTTAATGCCCTTGGCGTAGGCTTTGGCGAACTCGGAGGTGTGCTCGAGCGCGACGACGGCGATCGAGAATTGAGCCATAGGGTGCATATCGCTCGGGCAACGGTCGATGAGCTCTTCGACGAATTTGGGAAGATCAGATCGAGCAGCCCAGTCAGCAGACAGGTCTCGGACCTGCTGCTCGCTGGGAACCTCGCCGGTGAGAAGAAGCCAGAACAGGCCCTCGGGGAGAGGCTCCTCGCCGCCAGGAGCCTTAGGGAGGACTTCCTGGCATTCCGGGATAGTCCTTCCTCGGAATCTGATACCTTCTTCTGAATCAAGGACGGAGCCCTCCCAGACTAGCGACTTGATGCCTCGAGCACCGCCGTAGACTTGGTCCAGGGTGACTTCGCCAATGACCTTGGAGCCATAATCCTTTCTCAGCTTCTTGACTTTCTCAATCTCGCCAGGGACTTTGGCAGCGAAGACCTCTTTCAGGGACTAAGGAAGAAGAAAAAATGTTAGAGAAGGAGCTCCCAACAAACAGGCTCACATAGCTCACTTGGGTGCTTGCGCAGCGCACGCCATTGTAGGCGGCTTTCTGGACCAAAGGCCGGGTGGAGGAACGGAGCAGCGAGCTCCCCAAGCGAAGAGAAGAAGCCATGATAGTAACAACACGAGGAAGTCGAAGCAAGGAAAGTCAACAAAGGTTACGTCAAGGGAAGTTTTTGAAGGAGTGCGGGAAAAAAAGGTGCAGATAGGAAAGTCAGGGAGGAGGAGGAAGCTGTCCCTGCTGAATTATTGGAATGATGAAAATGGTCCAATTGGGGCCGCCCGGCGAGGCTTCGGCTGGTCGGATCACCCTTCCCTTCAATAAAGCCAAGCTCGCCTATTGGGGTTCAATGGCCAGCCAACAGCGGCACGAGCGGACCCCAGCAAGCCCTAGGAGGTCGAATTCGCAGTCCGAAGAAAATTAGATGGCCTCAAGCCAAAAGCGTCATCCAGCGGGATCACGTGGACAGGCAACAATGTTGTTCCGGCCGGTTGCTTTGGCTTATTTTCTCAAGCCTCCGCTTTTTCTGTCTGCGAGACGCATTTCGACTCCTGCTCAAATCTTTCCTTCACTTCACCACCATTTCATCACTCCTCCATCACCAATCGACGCACTATCCATCGCGTTTGATCTCCTTTTCTTCGCCTCTATCACGCACATAGTGTCATCAGCTCGTAAAGTGCCTCTCTACCAGTATTCTTCTCTGCACACGGCCGCTAGTTCCTCAGTACTGCCGCTGCCAGGCCGCAGTTGCCACCTCGCTGTAGAAGTCTTGTGGGCGCAATCTACACTTAGCAGGAAGAGGAAGAATTTGGGAGAAAGACTACACTCTTGCACTGCGCATCATCCTTCACTTCACCTGTACCTCGAGTCCGTAAGACGTCTCTGCCGTTCGAGGACTCCGTATGCGTTGATCAGCTCAACTCCACCCTTTTCGCCGTCTGCCACCTAGCCAGGGCCACTTCCTGCTTCAACAACTTGTGTCGTCACTGGCTGTAGGAAACCTTGCTGGGCCATCATGTCTTCCGCAGTAGCGGAGCTGGACTCGATCCTGCAGTCCATGCTCAACCTCAAACCGCCAGGAGTTTCAGGCTCAAAGATTACCGCCATCACCTCGCTCTGTACAGCAAACATCCAAGTATGTCGATTTCTCAGCTCTGTCGCTCACGTCTCCTGTAACTGACGTGACTTCTAGTCCGAGTCAGTCCTCATCCAAAAGATCTACACCCATTTCAAGAAGACACCAGGAACACACAAATTGGGGGTCCTCTACGTGATAGATTCCGTGACGAGACAATGGGTAGATCAAGCCAGAAAATCAGGTCAACAACTGGGTAGCGGAGCTCCTGATGGAACCTTTGCCGCTGGTGTGACTCGAGTGACTGAACTGCTGCCCGTACTCATGAACGACATCATTGCTACCGCCCCAGAAGACCAGAAGGTATGCCATTCTATGTCCGTCGTATTTTCCTGAACATCCGAAGTACGACATGTGCTTCACGCGACCAACCTGCCCGTACACTTAACTCACGTCTTTTGTCGTTGTTTTTGCCCGGCTGCTTTGACTGAGACTCACGTGTGGCCGCTTTTTGTTTAGGTCAAAATCAGAAAGCTCTTAGAAATCTGGGAGCGGTCGAACACATTTCCAGCTCCGTTGCTTGCTTCTCTCAAAGAAAAGCTTGACGCGCCAAAAGGTACATTCAATCTCTGTCTTCCCTTCCACAACCCCGATCATCCTAACTGTCAAGCAGTCTCAACCACACCTGAAGGATCGCCCGCGCCTGGTTTCGTGCCACTCGGTCATTCCGCTACCACTGACAGTATGGCAGCAAAACCTCCACCGCAGCAAGACACCTCAGCTATCCTGGAAGCCCTCAAGAACATGGCAAAGCAGAATACTGCGGCGCAGCCTGCGATTCCAGCACCCGCTCAAACTAGTTTGAATAATCTGTTAGGCGCGCAGAATGGGATCCCTCTGACGAACAGTACCGTAAACCCCGGCCTTGCTTCCGCCGCCGCCAATGGGCCGGCTGTAAACCAGCTTGGAGCTCTGTTCGCTGGATTGAGTAATGGTGCGCAAAGTCAGAGCCCTGCAAATGTACCTGCAAACCCGCTTGCTGCTTTTCTTCCGCAACAAGCTCCGGCTCCAGCGGTGCCACAAAACCCTGCTCCTCTAAGTCAAGATGCTCAGGCTCAGGCTCAAGTTCAATTGCAACTCTTGCAACTGTTGGCTAGTCAAGGCGTTCCTCCAGACCAATGGGCGACTGCTCTCCAGTTATTGAACATGCAGGCCGCGGGCGGTGCTGCTGCTGGTAGTGGTGGTGGTGGTGGTGGCGGTGCGAGTGCCAGTGGCCTTCCGTTTCCGCCTCCTGTTCCAGCAAGCAATTGGGCAGGCCAGGTTCAAGCGCCCGGGCCGTCACGTGATGCCCAAACCCGTTCCCCTCCGGGTCAATATCGACGCCGCTCACGCTCTCCTGGCTATGATAGACGTCGAGACCTGTCTCCAAGACGTCGCCGAGATAGTCCGGGGGCGGATGGATATCGTAATGATCGCGATGGCAGGCGAGGTGATTACCGTCAGCGCAGCCCCATGGGTAGAAGACGACGAAGCACCACACCCCCCAGTGACTACAAGCTCCCACCACCGGGCCCGAAGAACGTGCAATGGGATCCAACGCTTCCAAAGGGTCACATCAAAGTTTACAGTCGAACTCTCTTCGTGGGGGGAGTCACCTCGTCCGAAGCACATTTGAGAGGCCTCTTCAGTAAATTTGGTGTGGTTCAGACCTGCATTGTCAACATCGATAAACGCCACGCTTTCATCAAGATGATTAATCGCCAGGATGCGGAAAGTGCGCGTGAAGGCATGGAAGAGTACAAGGTGGGCGATATGCAACTCCGCGTAAGTGATCGCACGAATTGGACAAGGACAGAGACTGACTGGCATTCTCTTGCAGACCAAATGGGGCGTGGGTTTTGGACCACGTGACTGCAGCGACTATCAAACTGGAATTAGCGTCATTCCAATTGAACGCCTCACGGATGCCGACCGCAAGTGGCTGCTCACTGCCGAATACGGGGGCACTGGTGGCGCACCGATCCAAGAAGGCATGGTTGTGGAAGAGCCTGACATCGAAATTGGTGCAGGGGTTTCCTCGAAAGGTACGACCGGCCCATTCTCACATTGGCAAACATTTTCTAACTCTGATGCAGCCATGAGCCGACGCATTGCTACTGATCAGGGTGGACGACGCGGGCCTCAATCCTCTCGCCAGCATCCGGGAGGACGGGAGGACAACAGATACAGAGACAATGATCGCCGAATGGACCGAGATGACCGGCAAGGCTCGGGCAACCCAAACAACATTGGTGTCATGCCGTCGATGCCTTTCCCCATGAATTTCGGCAACATGCCCAACGGAATGCCCGGCTTCCCACCTGGATTCCAAATGCCCGCATTCCAGCCACAAGGCAAGCAGGATTAAACGCACGCTGACCGACAATATCGAAGCGGCCCAAAAAGGGAAAAGGCGTTATGTCGTTACCGGTACAAAGAGTTCATGGCTGAGGGACGATACCCAATCTACGTGTACGATTCAAGCATATTCAGGAGTTGGTCACCAGGACAGGACAGCCCTAATTGGAGGCGGTTGTGATCGAAACAGTTTTCGTTAGGTATTCAATTTTTGTCCTGCATTGGAAATGCAGGCTTTTCGTAAGGGCTCCCCAGTTTCGCTAGCATTCATGCTTTGACAGCACACGATCAAGGCGCGGAACGGGGATTCACATAGGCAGATGCGAGGGACGAGGGTGTATGTATGGATAATGGAAAGGCTCTTTTACAAGACGATGACCTTGTGTTGCTCACCGACAGCTCTTGACCCTGGTGGATTGGTTACCACGAGGATTGATCTCAACGTGTTCTTCTTCCCACGTGCTGCGACACGTGGATCGCTCTTGGAGATACTGTTCTGTACAAGCAGAGAGATCCATCCGACGTCGCACCAATCGCCCCTCGCACAGTATTTTCTTGTCTCGTTAGGCTATGGATCCCTTTTTCTTGTCCATCTTATCATCAGACCCCCAAGCTCCACAGGCAAGGCTTCCGCGCCCGACACCGCCTCAATCACCCGACATTTCTGCGTCTTGGAAGGAGCATTGCCAAGTGTAGGGAAGGGAAACTCTGGGTATGGACGACACGGGCGATTGGTTCTGGAGCTCACAAAGGGCTTGGTGTCGCCCCGATCAGCGTATGAGAGGCGCAGAGGGGACAGGCGTCATGGCTGGTGGTTGAAGGGATTGGCGCAAGATTGCGGGGGTGAAAGTCGGAGCCCTGATCTCTTCCCACTCCCGAACTTTCTCTTACGACTTGTTTCTCTGACCTTGGGCTCATGGCACTTTCCCACCAATATTCTCGCAACCTGCGCACCATCATCACTGTATCCTTCCTCTCGAGCTCGTGCAACCTGACACTGAGGGCAGCGACCCAGTGTGACGCCTTCCTGACCTAAAAATCCCCCCGATCCATTGCCATCCCGCAACTATTTCTTCCGGCGCTCGCATCCTCACGCCGTATTCTTCCCCCAATGGAGTCGATATAGCACACACCATTAACCTCTCCTTATCTTACTCAACATGGTAGACGTACCCTCCGACGTTAGTACCTCGGGCTCGACCCATTCTTCCCCCGATAAACCTCACCCCCAGCTTCACGTCAGTGTCAGCGATGTTGTTCCCGATGAGAAGCCCGACGTCATGTTCACGCCGCGGAAGGCTTCTAGAATGGACAAAGACGATGACGACGAGGAGGAGGATCTAGATGCGCTCATCGAAGAGTTGGAATCACTCGACCCAGATGCCGAGATTGAAGCCGAGATCGAGACGGCGGCGGGTGCGCGAAATGTGCCCGAGGAAATGCTCCAGACCGACACACGTGTCGGCTTGATCGAGCCTGAAGTCGTGGCCAGGCGGAAGAAGTACGGGCTCAATCAAATGAAAGAAGAAAAAGAAAACTTGTTGTTGAAGTTCTTGGGATACTTTGTTGGGCCCATTCAATTTGTCATGGAGGTATGGCTGCCCACTGCGACACACGCCGATACCCATCTCGGCGATGCTTATACTGATGTCTTGTCCCACAGGCTGCTGCGATCCTCGCCGCCGGTCTCGAAGACTGGGTCGACTTCGGCGTCATTTGTGCATTGCTTTTGCTGAATGCCAGTGTCGGTTTTATCCAGGAGTTTCAAGCTGGCTCCATAGTCGAAGAATTGAAGAAGACCTTGGCTTTGAAGGCTGTCGTCCTCAGAGAAGGGCACCTTATCGAGATCGAGGCCCCCATGGTGGTTCCTGGAGACATTTTACAACTTGAAGAAGGCACAATCATACCTGCTGACGGCCGGCTTGTTACTGAAGACGCATTTCTTCAGGTCGACCAATCCTCGATCACCGGCGAGTCTCTTGCAGCAGACAAGCATCTGGGCGACACCTGCTATGCTTCGTCCGCCGTAAAACGAGGCACGGCGTTCATGATTGTCACAGCAACGGGAGACAACTCCTTTGTCGGTCGGGCGGCTGCTTTGGTCAATGCCGCATCAGGTGGTGCAGGCCATTTCACCGAGGTCCTCAATGGAATTGGCACAGTCCTGCTGGCACTGGTCGTTTTCACCTTGCTCGTGGTCTGGATATCATCGTTCTACCGATCCAATAACATTGTCACCATCCTTAGGTTCACATTGGCGATCACCATCATTGGAGTTCCTGTCGGTCTGCCTGCCGTGGTTACCACTACCATGGCCGTTGGCGCCGCGTATCTGGCAAAGAAGAAGGCCATTGTTCAAAAATTATCTGCCATCGAGTCGCTCGCTGGCGTGGAGATACTCTGCTCGGACAAGACTGGTACGCTGACCAAGAACAAACTTTCTCTCCACGAGCCATACACAGTCCATGGTGTCGATCCTGAGGACATGATGCTCACCGCGTGTTTGGCTGCGTCCCGGAAGAAAAAGGGCATGGATGCTATCGACAAGGCCTTTCTTAAAGCGTTACGATACTATCCTCGAGCCAAGCAAGCACTCTCCAAATACAAAGTCGTCCAGTTTCATCCATTCGATCCGGTTTCCAAGAAGGTCAGCACTGTGGTTGAATCACCTCAGGGTGAGCGTATAATTTGCGTCAAAGGCTCTCCTTTATTTGTGCTCCGCACGGTGGAAGACGACCATCCGATCCCCGAGGAGATTGACATTGCATACAAGAACAAGGTTGCAGAGTTCGCAGCTAGGGGCTTTCGCTCTCTGGGCGTTGCGAGAAAGCGAGGCGACAACTCTTGGGAGATTTTGGGGATTATGCCATGTGCAGATCCGCCCCGACATGACACGGCAAAGACAATCAACGAAGCCAAATCTCTCGGGTTGTCCATCAAGATGTTGACCGGTGATGCCGTCGGTATCGCCCGAGAAATGTCTCGACAGCTGGGGCTTGGTACCAATGTCTTCAACGCAGAGCGCCTTGGCCTTGCCGGTGGCGGCACGATGCCGGGCTCAGAAGTCTACGACTTTGTTGAGGCTGCCGATGGGTTTGCCGAAGTGTTTCCCCAACACAAGTACAATGTCGTGGAGATCTTACAGCAACGAGGCTATCTCGTGGCCATGACTGGCGACGGTGTCAATGATGCGCCGTCGCTGAAGAAGGCAAACACTGGTATCGCGGTACAAGGCGCAACTGATGCTGCACGATCTGCGGCAGACATCGTGTTCCTCGCTCCTGGCCTGTCGGCTATCATAGACGCCCTCAAGACTTCGCGTCAAATCTTCCACCGCATGTACGCATACGTCGTTTATCGCATCGCCCTGTCCCTTCATCTGGAGATCTTCCTGGGCCTGTGGATTGCCATTCTGAACAAATCACTCAACCTTAAATTGGTTGTGTTCATTGCTATATTTGCCGACATCGCCACACTGGCAATTGCTTATGACAACGCCCCTTATTCGAAGACGCCAGTCAAATGGAATCTGCCTAAACTATGGGGTATGTCCATTTTGCTTGGGATCGTCCTGGCCGCAGGCACTTGGATTGCACTGACGACAATGATTGTTGGTGGCCACGACGGAGGGATCGTTCAGAATTTTGGACACACGGATGCTGTTTTGTTCCTTCAGATCTGCCTGTCGGAAAACTGGTTGATCTTCATCACCCGTGCCAATGGCCCTTTCTGGTCCAGCATCCCTTCGTGGCAGCTGGTGGGGGCGATCTTACTTGTTGACATTCTAGCAACATTCTTTTGTCTCTTCGGCTGGTTTGTTGGTGGACAACAGACCAGCATCGTCGCGGTTGTCAGGATTTGGCTATATTCTTTCGGTGTCTTTTGCGTCATGGCTGGCGTATATTACCTCTTGCAAGACAGTGTCACATTTGACGATATTGTTCATGGGAGGAAGACAAGGAGCAATAAGGTGCTCAAGAAGAGAGACATGGAGGATTTCCGTGAGTTTGACCGTCTTGAAACGCTTAGCATCTGCACGTCTCGACTAACCCACATTCTTAGTTGTATCGTTGAATCGCGTGTCCACCCAGCACGAGAAGGTTGCATAACACGCGACCCGTATGCTACAGGCTGGCTACGCACGGTCACGGTCAGCAGGAACGCCCCAGAGTTGGCCCAAGCCGCAACTCAACCATGACCTACTTTTCAGGAATAATTTTTGCACCGTCTCAGTCAGGTCAGGGGCTCGATTGATGGAGCAAGTCCCGAACGCTCCCTCGAAACAGAAAGAAGCACCAAGGCCGCTACTACCGAACCTAGACTTCCCCCACGCATCATCATTGGAGCAAGAGGTCACTTCGGGATTCCCGGTCGGGAGGATCAATTCTGAAAGTTCTCTACTCCAGAGCTCCCAACGTGGGGCCTTTGTACCGCAGCACAGCGCATAAGAACTGAACACTGATAGATTGGGGGATTGGGAGGACAACTGTTGCAACCGGAGACACGATAATTGATACCCTTTTACTTGTAATAATCTGGATTCAACACAGGGACGAGCGATACCCGGCATGAAGTACTGGATTTGAGCGATGGCGCTGTTTTACGGGTGTTTTTCTCTGTTTTCCATTGCAATTGGACTATTGTGGATGAGGGACGACAAACTCCTTTGCACGGATGGAACAATCATGGGGGTGGCGAGGATATTGGAGTGATCCGAGGCCTCCAGGTCGCTCGCATTCGACGTCTAGGTGGATGAAAGGCATGATGTACGGTTGCAGTGATTTATATGACTGCGCCCCGAAGGCAGAAGCACTGCTATCATGGAGGGACAGAACCGGTGTTGATCACAAGCCATGAAGACCATGCATCGAAAAGGGCGTCGCACGTGATTTGCATGCCTCAGGATTTGGCCATGGCCATACAAGTCCCTTGCTGTCAACAATGCCACTGCATTGACATCTTTCCAACGAAGATTTCTCTATTCTTTGCCTAATTCGGTCTATTTGACATTTGATGGTGCTAGCATCGCCCAGGCAGAGCAGGTTGTTTGAAGGGAGAGCCCCAGGTGGTTTCCAAGGGCGCGTCGTGATAGCGGTCGTCGTTGCGGTCCTGATGTCGCCCTTACAACGGCCAAGCGTAGGAATATGTGCTGGCCCGAACTGGGATCTCCAGAGATACACTTCCCTTTCCAGATCTGAGGTTGTCTGAAGCATCTATGAGCTGTGGTCCAGCACCGATAATACCGGCCAGGTACGAACGCTAATACGACAGATACAAGTCGGGCATCGTGCAACCGATAGAATGGGCAGATCAAGTACGAAGACTTGCTTCAACAGTACTTGATCCCTTCACGAGGGGGGCGTCAGTGGAGATTGCACTCTCTGAACGCGCTCTCCAGTTCATCAGGCGGAGACCCGAGGTATGTCGGATCATTTCTGCGGAGAGACAAAGTGTGTAGCGTGGGACTTATAACGCTCTGGCATCTCCGCATTGTACACGCCTTGACACCCAAAGGTCCTCTTTGTGCCTCTTTCCCCCTGTTCGTGTGCAATTACTTTTCTGGAGCAATGGACGTGCCTGGTTTCGCGTTGATCACGGGAGGAGGATCTGGCATTGGCAGGGCGTGTGCGAAGACGTTTGCCCGAGACGGTGCCGCAGGAGTGGCGCTCCTGGACTTGAACCGCGAGGGGCTGCTTGCGGTGAAGTCGGAAGTCGAATCGGAGAAGAGAACGAACGGGGCCCAAGCGTGCAGGGTCGAGGTGTACGTGGTGGACGTGAGGAACGAAGAGCAGGTCAACCAGACGGTGGCCGAAGTGGCGCGGACGTTCGGCCGGCTGGACTACGTGGTCAACGCGGCGGGCGTCGCGAAGAAACACCAGGGCGGCGCGGCGTTTGCGCAGACGGACGACTGGCAGCGGGTGCTCGACATCAACCTCACGGGCACCTTCTTCGTGCTGCGCGCCGCGGCGCAGATCATGCTGAAGCAGGAGCGCATCCTGTCGGCCATCGACGGGCGCCCCTTGCAGCGCGGCTCCATCGTCAACTTCGGCTCCATCCTGGGCGCCGTCGGCGTGCCCATGTCGACCGCCTACACGGCCTCGAAGCACGGCGTGCTGGGCCTCACGCGCACCGCCTCCGAGGACTACGCCCAGCAAGGGCTGCGCATCAACGCCGTCTGTCCCGGCTACATCGACACGCCCATGACCAACCAGGACGCCCTCGTGCGCCAGGTCATGGACGACAAGGTCGCCCACGACGTGCCCATGAAGCGCATGGGCTCGCCGCAGGAGATTGCCGACGGGGTCATCTACCTCTCTGGCGGGAGGAGCTCGTTCGTGACGGGGACGGCGCTGTTTGTCGATGGCGGGTATACAGAGAGGTAGTAGTTATGACATGAGTATTGTTGAGGTTAAGACCGGTGTCCTGACAGCTTTCTCTCTTTATTTCTCGTCGTCCTGTACCATCTCTTTCTTGGTGACCCCTTTCGTTTTCGAAATGCTTCGAAGTGACGAGGCAAAGCCGAGGTGAGGTTTGACGACTGCTACGGTACTCGCCGTATCCTGGCATAGTATGTCACTGCTTCATGATACCAGCGAAACATCGAGGCACTGGCTTCTACCAGCCCGGTACGTAGCTTATAATCCTAGTCATTTGGGGATGATCGACCTTCTCGTCTCGTGGCCGCCTTCTCGTGGCCGTTTCGTTCTTGAAGAGGAGGAATGACTTCATAAGTTCGTGGCGGTAGGGACGAAAACGGGCCCTATGAATACTTGATCAGGCAAGGACGGTTTCGGCTATTCTGAATCCGGATATACCGAGCCTGTTGGCGGGCGAGGCGTAGACCTCCTCGGGCCAGATGGATATAGAACCGACACCCAGGCAACATTCCGACCTCTGCAGATACTCGTCCACCAAGCAGGCAGGTAATATGGCAAACGAGCAGATCTTGGTCACGGGTGCAACTGGAGTGGTGGGCCGCTCTGCTATGCAGTATTATGGCGAGCGAGGATACAAGGTCATTGCTGTGTCTCGACGCAAGCCTCTGAACACATATGGCGCATCGTGGCACTCGCTCGATCTGTCCGACGAGGCCGCGTGCAAGGCTCTATTGTCGCCGTTGACGGGCATCGTGCAGATCGTCTTCGCCGCCCTGCACGAGGAGCCCAACCTGGTGGCCGGGTGGCTGGAAAAGCAGCACATCGATCGCAATGGGCTCATGCTGCGCAACACGGTCGAAGCAGTCGCGCCGTATGCCAAGGGCCTCCGCAACATCACGATCCTGCAGGGCCCCAAGGCGTACGGGGTGCATGTCCACCCAATGCGCCACGGGGCGCGAGAGGATCGCGACGAGGATCGCGCCGTGCCCAACTTCTACTGGGCGCAGGAAGATTACCTCAAAGCCCGACAGCAGGGCGAGAGCTGGAGCTGGAACATTCTTCGCCCTTCGCTCATCATCGGCCTGAGCATCGGCGGTGCCATGAACCTCTACGGCACGATCGGCGTCTATGCTGCCGTCCTGAAGGAACGTGGAGAACCGCTCTACTTTCCCGGCCACGCTCTGGGCGTCTTCGAGTCGACCGACGCGGACTTGATAGCCAAGGCCTGCGAATGGATCTTGCACGAGCAGCCCAAGACAAACAACCAAATCTACAACCTGACCAACGGCGAGACTTCCAGCTTGAAGGAAGACTGGCCCTTGGTCGCCCAGGCCCTCGGCATGCAGCCAGGCGGCGACAAGCCGTTCTCCTTCACCAAGGACCTTCCCAGCTTCGGCGAGGAATGGGATCGGATCCGTGAAAAGTACAGCCTCAAGGCTCCCGGGCTGGACGAGTTCCTGGGGCAAAGCGGCCAGTTCACCGATTTCATCTTCGCAAAGGCCGAGAGGACGCAGGCCAGCTTGATGAGCTGCATCAAGATCCGGCGGGCGGGCTTCGCGGACACGGTCTATACCGACGACATGATTCGCAAATGGTTCAAGTTGTACCAAGACGAGAAGGTCCTCCCGCCTGTTTGAGCCTGCGAGGAGACTGGGCACGGACTATCTCGTCTTGCATTGAGAAGGATGTGTGAGCTTCCCACTGGGTTGTCTGTAGGTCTTATTTTCTACAAACCTCGATTCGTCAAGATAGCTACTCCCTATACCTTCTAAACTTGGACTTTCGTTTGCCCGCTTCTCGCCCGCCATGGGGTGATATGCGAAGCATGGCCCCTTTCCAACTCTGCTTTTCCGTCGTGTCGCACTTCAAAGGTTTCGTCGGTTTGTCAAGGTGGTATTTCACGCTCGCTCAATAGGTTCGCGTTTAGTGAGGATTTACACCACCCTACAGCACTATTGTATACCGCCCGAACCCTACTTCGTCTATTATCGCCTTCGTTCGGGGAGGGAGCGAGGTCTCTTTGATCGGATACGTAACAAGTCTTGATGGTAAGAATGCGTGAAGGTCGGAGTTAGGTTCGACATACAGAGTACCCAGTGAAATGGTACGCAAGGCTGTCAACGCTGGACGAAGATCGGATGGTTGATTTCATGAGATCTCCATGAAACCTGAACTGTTAGCATGAGGGACAGCCAGTAGGAAGAGCTCGATTGGATCCACGTTGGCCTGTGGGAAGAGGCGTGCGGGTAGACAAAGAGGTAAAGCAACTTCACCCTGTGCAGCTCCTTAGGAGCGGAACCTTGACAACTCTGCTCGCAAACGACGAGCACTTCGGACTTTTACTATACGAGGTATGGACTAGGGTTATGCTTGAGGGCCATTTGGGCAATCAGACGGGGCATCTTGAGCTGCACTAGCCCTCATTCACTGGGAGTCGTTCGGCTGACGAGGCCTAGGTCTACTCGTGATGGGGGCCAAAAGTCGAGGTGGTGGGGGAAAACCTGGGTGGCACGCGCAAGAAGGTCGCCGCTGAGCCGCATCTCCAATAGGGCATTCTCCTTTCCTGAATCCTTCTCCAGCCTCTCAACTTTTATTGCAGCCAGCAGCACGCTGAGTTGATGCACCATCACGGGCAGAAGAGGCTGGCCACCGATCGCGGGGCGCACCTTATCAGTCAACGGCATGCTGCAGCTCTGTGTGACGTGGCCGATAGCCGTTGGCATTCCTAACGGGTGTGTTTTTGCCGGAGGCGTCGCGCATCAGGGCACTATTTTGGCCATTCCACGAACCATATAAGAGGACAATGGAAGGCTCTGGCTTTGTTCCGTACTCCGCCTTTGACCCTCCAAATGCAAAAGGATGGACTGCTCTCAGCCCAGCAACGCTGAGGCGGGTCATTAGAGACTGCAGTTCCAAGCTTCCCCCGACGAGATTTTCTTTCTTGTGCTTGGTCAACGCAGCCTTTTGAAGGTAGAAAGATTGATCAAACTCCGCTCTCAGTCGGTGGTACACGCCGTATCAGACATCACGTTCTGTTTGAGACTGTGAATTACCATGGCAGGTGTCACTCCATCTGAGCAGTCCTTCAAACAGATGTGGGATGAGGCGGAGGAAAGGTTTGTCAAGATCACCAAGAAGCCGCTGAGATCGTCGCCAAAGAAGAGCCTGAACGATGTCATTCAGGACCTGGAGAATCGATACAATGAGTCAGGCCCGGCAGACGACGAACGCAACAAGCCGCGAGCAAAGGAACTTGTCGAGAATGTCCTCAACTGCATCAAGCTCCTGGGTGGCATCGCCGCACAAGGCGCCTCCATCGTACGTGGCTAGCTGGCATCTTCAGTGCTGTCACTAACCTCCACCAAGGTATTCGGGCCTGCAAATCTATGTTACAGCGCCGTGTCCTTTCTCATCGACATCCCCTCCCAAGTAAGCTCGCTCTACGATGGGCTTGCGGACCTCTTTCAAAGAATTTTCACCTTCCTCAAAACGTTTCAAATCTATCAGAGGATAGAGGACTTCGCTGAAGTGGACCTGGAGTTGAAACAAACTACTCACAAGCTCATGATCAGCTTCGTAACGATCTGCGCCCTCTCGATCAAAGTGCTTGGCCCTTCAAAGCTGCGCAAGGCGAAGATAGCTGCTAAGCTCATTCTCTTCGGAGACGACTCGGGCGTCGGGGCCGAGCTGTCCAAGTTCAAGAAGCTAGTGGAAGCAAATTCTCAGATCTCGGATGCTGTCACTCTGGAAGTGGTGCTGGAGTCCCATCACGACTTGGACAGTAAACTAAAGGTCGTTCATGACAAGTTGATTGAGGCGTCCGAAGAGAGTGGACGAAAGCTCATGCTCATCGCCACTGGGCTAGACGCTTTGGTCAAGGCAGAGAATGAGCGGAAATTGGAGAAAGCTCATCAAGATCAGGTCGACGCTCTGTTGAAGAAATTGTCCATAAAGATGGAGACGGTGCAGGCCTGTGAGCAGATGTATCAGAACATCAGGGCTGCTACCGTAAGAAGCACTGGTATTGGTTGGCTTCACACAGAGCCCGAATACGAAACCTGGATTAGAATCGACTCCAAGCCAGATTCACTCCTTCTGCTTACCGGCGGTGAGAAGTCTGGAAAATCGTTCTTGGTCTCAACGATGATAAACCAAGCTGCGTCTCAGATTCCAGAATCGATGCAAACTTCCATGAGAGTCTCAATCGCTTACTATTACTTCCCAGAACCTGACGAAAAGCCGTCAAGGGAGACCTCCGTTAAAGAGACGCAATTGCCCACGACAGCATTAAAGTCCATGGCGGTTCAGATTGCAAAGCACAACAGCCAGTATGCCAAAGAAATGGCGGCGCTCGGAGACAAGCAAGCGGGCGAGGCTTGGACAGACCTGTCGTGCAACGCCCTCTGGCAAACTCTACAACTCGCCGCCCCTAAGAAGGATGTCACATATTTCCTTTTCTTTGACGGGCTTGATCATGTGGAAGAAAGCAAGGCCCAGGAATTGCTCCAGGTGCTTCTCAACGACAACTCCCCACGGTTGCGGATCATGGCTTCTTGCAACCCCAATTTTGTCGAGAAAACCCGAAGCAAGCTAGACAGCATAGGACGCAGAATTCCCCGAATTGCCATGGAGTGGAACAACTGGCTAGATATCGCGGCCTATGTCGAATACAGTATGAAGCACAATAATCTCCTTCAGGGAAAAGAAGAAGAGACCGTCGAGCTTTTGGACTACATAAAGGGCAAGGTTCTAGAGCTTTCGAATGGAAACTACGATACTCTTCGGCGCCTTCTCGACGAAATCAAAGGAGCGATCTCGGCAGACAAGTCCCATGACGAAATCCGTGCATATCTCGACCATGATGCGAAGCAAACCGAACCGCTTGTCGCCCAGAGAACCATCGACAGTCTCAACGCTGCATTAGAGCCACACGAAATTACTCAGCTGAACGAACTGCTGGCCTGGGTTATCTACGGCAAGGCCTGGTTCAAGCCGCAACACTTGAAAGGGGTGTTGGTTCTGTTTTATGGTCGCACACCGGCGAAGACGGTGGAAGACAAGCTTGACGGAGTCTACCGGAAAGTTCTCCGAGTCGACTCGGATGGCAACGTCGTCGTCGACTCTGAAATTGAGAAACTACTGACGCAGGTCCCGCGCGTCCGTGTTGACAAAGATACTGTGGATGATACCAAACCCTTGATCTCGATGACCATCACAATCAACCGGGTAGATGTGGACACGGTCCGCCGATTCTTGTGGGATTTGAGCGAAAAGGCAAATTTTGGCAAGAGCTTGCCGTTTGATGCTCTTGTTCCCATGGCTCAGGCCCAGGTGAAACCAAGAATAACTGCTAACCGTGCAGACGGGCAGCTCACAATGACAAGGCGATGCATGAAACTACTCATGGCTGATCCCGACTCGAGAACGGAATCCCTCATCCCATACGCGCTTAAATATCTTCCTCGGCATCTGCAGGATCTGCGTGGGCGTGTAGATGAAGACGGCATTGATATGGCAGAGAGAAAAGAGATTGGCCGGTCTCTAGTAAGTCTCTTGTTCGATACCGGATTCATTGAAAAGCACTGGGCTCTTGGTGAAGGCCTAGAAACAGAATGGCTGGACGGAGACTTTTTGTGTGACGCTCTACCTGCGTGGCTGCGAGATAGCGCAACAGCGGATGGTTTGTTATACAGGTACAGACAGTGGGTGGAGCAAGCTGTGTCGAGCGAGAACCCAGGGATTGTGGCTCTGAAGGACATTACTCTCATGGTTGGTAGGCAATGGCTGTGCGACAGGAAATGGGAAAACATCGAGGCAATGGTGCTTTGGATGCTGTCCTACCTCAGCCCGGTATGATCCCTCACTCCCGTTCCCCTCCAAATTACACCAGAGGATTTACAACAAACTAGGACAAAGCCCAAGTTGCGGGTGTTGAGGTAGATTCAACCGAAGCCCAGGAAGATGCAGGCGCTGGCGATGACACGCAGACAGATGAAGGTGCTCTTGTCGTTGCCCGGTTGGATGAAGAGGGGCCAAAGGAGTCAAACCAGATATCTCGGGCGGCTGAGTGGGTCGAAAAGGAACTTAAGGTTGAACATAAAACTTCCCTTTGGTACGAGCGCCTTGGACAATCGTTTCTGGCTTTCAGTATGGCAGAGGCAGCAAAAGAATCATATCAGCAGGCACAGAGCATGCCGAATGCTTCCTGGAAATGTGGCGAAGGACTCGCGCTCGCGTTCGAATCCGAGGGGAGCCTGCAATCTGCTGTGGATGAAATGACATCTGTGGTGAGCCAGCTGAAGAGCTTGCCGCAGGAGCAGAACGAAACCAATATCGCTACCAGTCTTCGGCGTCTGGGAGGCTGGCAAGTCCAACTTGGCCACAGCGAGGAAGCGATTTCGGCATACCGGGAAGTGGTGGAGCTTGACCTTCATGACTACGAGACGTGTTGGACTTTTTTGGGCTTACTCATCCGGTGTCAACGAGCTGGAGAAGCTCTGGAAATTCTGATCTGCATGATTGATCAAAGGGGCAATGAGAGTGGTGCAACTCGCCTGGGGGAACTGTTTATGAGCTTCTCGTCCGAGCATCTGGACTCATTAGACACAATCTTCAGCGTGGCACGCCGCGACAAGCTTTTCAAGACGCTCCTGGAGACCGTGCTCCAAGCAGTTGAACTTGCTCGGAAGAAGGAGGACAAATCGCCACTTGCGTATCTTCTCTTCTTCTACGGGGTGGCAATCGCTCATCCCAACTACGAAGACCGACGCCCGGAGGAGGCTCTTCGCTATTGGGAGGAACTGTGCCGCATGGGATTTGGGAAGTGGGGCACCTGGGTCGACACCGTTGTGAGCCTGGCTGCCCGATTCATCACTGCACACCATTTTTCACATGCCTTAGCGGCGCATAAAGAGGGCAAGGACTCGACCTTTCATATCTCTAACATCGAAGAACTCATCAAACGGGTCCATTCCGCATGGTATTACGACTACAATGGGATGGAGAAAAAAGTGCGAACGTTCCTGGGGAGCTACTACGCACGATCGGGACAGAACCAGCAGGCGAGAAAGGTTCTCCAGAACGACATGAGGGATGCATTGCTTCTTTTATCTGACGATGACCCAGACAACGACTGGCAAGGGTATATCGCCATGGCGGAGGTGTCGATGCATGCCGGCGATGATCTCAATGCGTTGAGTGCTTGGTCGCTGCTCGCCCCGAAAGAGGTGAACGAGGAGTCAGCTGGAGACGCCACAACTGACAGGGGAGACACTATTTTCAGTTGCGACGGCAATTGCGGCCGTAGGTGGTCCCACGCTGATGACATGTACATGTGCAAGATCTGCCCGGACGTCGAACTAGATGCGGGTTGTCTGGAAAAGCTCAAGACGGGGACGCTCAATAGGTATATTTGCGATGCCAGCCACGACTGGCTGCACGTCCCGAGCTGGCCCTACGACAATTACCGAGTGGCAGACAAAGGGAAAGTGGTTGTGGGAGGAGAGATGGCTGATGGGAGACGGGTCGGTGGCGAGAAGGTTCCCGTCAATGTCTGGATCCAGGGGATTTACGAGCAGTGGGGAATCCCGAAGCCTGAGAGGGACGAGGCTGAGCCTGATCCTGAGCCGAAGCCTGAGGAGAGTACAGTGTGAGCAAGGCAGGTGCGGACAGACTCCATTCAAGCATTGGACAGATCTGTTCTTGCCTTTGTAAGGAGCTCTTTGCCCTCGGGCGAGTTGTGTAAAGATCCCTTCTCAGGATAGGCAGTTCGGGTCGACGAGGCTAGGTATGTCAGCCTCCACCAAAGGGCTGCAGTTTACCGTCAGTAGGTTCTAGCGCCCCTTCGTGCTGAGCGACTCATATTATATACAGTAGCTCCCCAGGACCATTCGCACTTTGTTCTCATAGGTAGGAAAAGCTGGCGACTCGAGAACCAGTGAGAGGATGGCCAACTTGCCTCTATGTGGTACAGCGCCACCAGCCTCGTCGCTGCTGCCTAGCATCATCTTGCCTTTGGAGGTATTTGTTCTCCTCACCTCGAAACTAGGCTTAACCGAAAGTTCAAAAAATCGATCTAAGAGCCAAAGAATCTTTCCGTACTGGAACACTACAATAACTTCAAAATCATCACCATTGGCTTCCCGTGAGAGAACCCGGCATGGCCGACAAGCCACCCAGAACGATCGTCGGCTGCCTTCTCGATGTATCTGACTCCATGCGCGAAGCTCTGGAAGCCGACCGTGGAGACGAAAGGGCTGTCGAGCGCTTCCGCGCCATTCTATACGCCGCACTCAAACTCGCGAAGGCAGAGAATATAGTGGCGAGCAAAAATCCAAAAAAAATACAGTTTTACCGAGGGCACAACAATAGGATACCGCTATATACGTATATAGCGGTATAGCTCTAGATAGGCTAGAATAGCGTAATATATCTAGTAAATAGCTATTTTATAGTATAGTAGCCTTATATTAATATATCTACGCGACCTCGCCGTATACCGATACCTTCTCGCCGTCTCCGAGAGGTACGCGCTGTAGCCGTTATGACGAGACTAAATCCGCCTATATCGATAACCTTAAGGGAATTTACGTAGCCTGCTCTCGTACTATCTCAGGTGGATCGCCAACAAATGCTGGCGTATATCCCGAGACTCCAGCGAGGGAAAGTTGATCGCACGGCTTGCCAACCGGACGAAGTTGATAGTGGGTTCATTTCGGCATCATTATTGCTCAGGTCGAAATTTCTCCGTGCCAACTTTGGTCATGAGCTTGTAGAAGCCTGATACGTCGACATGGCATCCCTCAGGCTTCAGAGTATGGAGGAGGACCAGGTGAAATATCGGCTCCCGAGTCGTGTGGTCCAAGGTCTTGGATCTGTGCTACAGTGGCCGGTGGCACAACGCCAACTGGACCTGTAGGTGGCAAGGTCGTGGTGTCGCACGCGGCTCTCGGAGCTCTGCCATTGCTAATAGCGACCGGGATGTCGCACTGCACAACCTTAACCAAGGCATTCAGCTTGTTTCGCTAGGGTTTTGAGAGCTTTTTGTATCCGTACCTGATGTGCTCCACTTGTACTCAGCGAAAGCCCCGCGTGAATCCGGAAATTGTGCTTCACACTCACTGCACACGCGATGAACCCGGGAGATGTCTCTGGCATCATTATCGGAGACAGAGAATCATCGGGGATTCTGTAGCTAGCCATTCCCCTTGATATGTCGATTTCTTTCCGCGGGGTCCATTTTGCTACTGCTAGCACTGATGATATTTTGCTAGTCTGGGTGGGCTGGATCACCGTAACTATCGTCTGGAGGTCGATTTCGATGGCCTGAAGGTAAACCCTCAGATGATGGCTGCCGCTGGTACTAGACCGACGAAGATTCAGTGTCAGGGTAAGTTCGTCACCTACACAAAGGTGGCGCGAGTCAAGCTCGGCCCGTAATTCCAAATTGCCTAATTCTCTGAAATTGTGCCTAGTGTACCCGGGTGTCAACGATAAGTCGTTGAGATTGGATACCGTGGGGGAAAAGAGCGGTGCAAACTCCAAATCCTTCTGAAGAAGAAGCTGCCGAGGAAATCCAAAGTTTCTTTTCACTTTCACGCGGAGCCAGTAAACAATTTTGGCGTTGAGAGGCTTGGTGTCGATCGAGAACGTCGGGGGTAGCTGGAGCCGGAGTTCGCTTGCATGTCTTCGATTTTTCAGACACGAGGTGCTGGCAGGGAATTTCAGCTTGAAAGGGAACGAATGCAGTTTGCGCCTGGACAGAGAAAACCCGTGTGGCGGCACCACCACGCCCGGCGGCGGGAAGATGGTCAGTGATTCTTTGAAAAACTGGTATCGCGATCGGAGATCAGTACGGTCACTCTTTGATGGGGATAGGACTAACTGACTTTGTGATAGTTGTAACCGCTGCTTTCTTCCAAGCTGGACTCTTTCGCATCGTGTTTAATGTAGGTGTGAATTCGACCTGGTTGCCCGGCGATCTTAGAATATCGGTTGGATAGATATCAATCCCTTAAATGCCCATTTACCTTGCAGGGAAACCTGGATGCGACTGATACTCGACCAATCACTCTGAAATCGAACCACGCCACTGACGTCGTCAAGTTGGCTGTAGGGACCGAGGGTGTCGCTTCGATCAAGGTCCAGTGCAAGCCTCATTGCGATCCATGAAGTCGTTGACAGGAAGAAGGTGAATGAATGATTTAACGAGTGAATGCTTCAGGCCATGAGACACAATCATGCTGATTTCCCGGAACATCGCCCGGTACGACCGGCCACGCTTCAGCGCTGAGATCTCGCTGTGGGCGACCGCGTCCAGACGAGTGGATTCGAAGCACGATTGAAACAGTGTCATCATTCGGCTTCGGTTAGCAGACTCGAAAGCTCTCCACTTTGGGGATGGCGACATGGTCGAAAGCCAACCCAGCAGAAGATGCTCGTGGACAGGAATTTGGACCGTCGTGTTGTCGGCCCCCGATCTTGGCCCGTGTCATATCAGATAGACGACGATACTAAGAGACTGCGAAACGGTGCCGTCTCCGTCGTAACCGCCTCAGCCGGCGGTCAGTGGATCTCAACATTTTCAAGCTTGGCATGAGGACTACCAGATATCCTATCATGGGCTTTACATGCCCTTCGAAGACTGCCGATATGCAACTATTCTTCAGGTGTGACGATGAATTGTTCGAGACCGCCGGCACAGGCCAACGGCCATGGCGCCGACCAGACGACTGACGGCAGCAGAGAGACCACCCCTCTGCTTGGACGGCGTATGAGCGGCGCTGAGGAGATCGTGTCGCGGGCGACAAAGTTCGTGGTGATGGTGGGATTTATGAGTTTTTTCGCCGATTTCACCTACGAGGGATCTCGCAGCCTTCTTGGACAGTACCTCCCGCTGCTCGGAGCAAGCCCTCTCGCTATCTCCGTCATCGCCGGCTTCGGTGAGTTCCTGGGCTACGCTCTGCGGCTGGTTTCGGGGAGGAGTGCTGATCGAACGGGACTGTACTGGCCGATCACCATCGCAGGCTACGTCTTGCAAATGAGCGTGGTGCCCTTGCTGGCGTTGGCTCGGTCCTGGCAAGTGGCTGGTATCCTCGTCATCCTCGAGCGCGTGGGAAAGGCGACCAGGAACCCACCACGAGATGCTATGCTCTCGCACGCAGCGAAAACTATTGGTTTCGGCTGGGCTTTCGGACTCCATGAGGCTCTCGATCAGTTCGGAGCTTTGTTTGGCCCCCTGTTTGCGGCGCTTCTCCTGAAGCTCTCGCACCAGCACTACCGGTTTGCTTTTGCCACGCTGGGAGCTCCCGCCGGAATGATGCTCTTTGGCCTGACGATCACTCGACTTATCTATCCACGTCCACAAGATCTTGAGCCCAATCCTTCTTCATCTCCTGCCACCGACAACCTGTCTCGAGCCTTTTGGGTATACCTTGCGGCATCGGCATTGGTTGCAGCGGGGTTTGCTGATTTCCCAATCATTGCCTACAATTTACACAACACCGGCGGCTTCTCCGATGAGCTTGTTCCCGTGGTTTACGCTGTGTCTATGGCCGTTGCCGGCGCTGGGTCCTTGGTCCTGGGCCGCTTGTTTGACCGCGTCGGGCTTGTTCTTCTCGTACCTCTCACCGTAGTGGCAGCTGGTTACGCTCCCTTGGTCTTTCTGGGTCGTGGACTCGTCCCGGGCATCGCTGGATGTTGCTTGTGGGGCTTAGGAATGGGTGTACACGAGTCAATTATTCCAGCAGCCGTGGGGCCCATGGTCGAACCAGGCCGTAGGGCATCGGCGTATGGGTTGTTCACCGCGGTCTATGGTATCTCTTGGTTCGTGGGTAGTACTATCGTCGGCATCTTGTACGTCAGATGGATGCCAGCAATCGTCATATTTTCGGTGGGACTTCAATTGGGTGCCATTCCTTTGATATGGTACGCACGCCAACTGGTCAATCAGGTCGAGGTAGCTAGTTCCGAGTAGGAGGACATTGCAGCCACTCTGAGGCTCGTAGCTGCGTGCATGGACGCTGAGATCACAATATACTGGGGTCTTGTTGCCGAAAATGCTCCTCGACTGCAAAGAACAAGAGCTTCACCCTTGCCAGATTCTCAGGAACTTCTGGTTGGATATGTTTGCTACCTAGTGAACTGGGACGAGGCTTATAGCCATGGGCGCCAACTCGCACGGCGGTAGGTACTGGGAGCCTTCACGTCTTGTAGGTCTGTTGATTGATTGAATTGTCCTTCTATCTATGCGCTCCGGGAATAACAAAAGAAAGGCCACCAACCCAAAGTGGCACCTCCCGAACCGACCAATCACGTTGCTCGTCCGCCTAGCACCTCTGATCCCCTTTCTACCTTTCCCATTACAATAGTTTTAAAAGGTGATTACTACTAACGTAGGTGTATAGCGAGCGACGTAGCATAGCGAGCGACACACTTTCCGCCCTATATGTCACCTTCATCTTCTTCCTGCTGCTACTTCACCACTAAACATAGAATCTACTCAGAAAGAAGCTAGAATACTCCTTACTCTTCAAGCTCTTAAATACGATCCAAAACAGAGAGTACGATCCATTACTAAAGCCTATAATATCCCTAAAGAAACCCTCCTCTACTGAAGTAAAGGTCGGCCTTCCCGACGCGACTCACCAGCGAATTCTCGAAATTTGACCGACCACCAGGACATTAGACACATGAAAATGAAAGGATTGGGTTTGCACAGCGGACGGAAGGACGGGTGCCGCGGTTGCTATGGTAGGTCACCCGGTTGAGGCGGGTGAGGTTTATCATTCATTTACGGAGTACCTAGATACGGAATCTAGTTGGTGAGCAACGTCCCGATGTCATCACAGAAGCTACGCGGTAGCTGTAGATATAGCCAGCAGATGGCTATAAAATATAGCTAAGACGTTGCATCCAGATAAGGTCATACATAGCCTTTGCACTTTTTTACATTGTGCTGATTATTTATTTCTGCCCTCCGAGTCGCTCCCATGCCTGGGAACAACGATTTCGTCTCCAAAGTCCACTTCAAAGGCAAGACAGACAGTTTTATCATCTTTGTCGAATCTCCACAAGATGTGGAACGCTGGAGAGAAGACAAGTCCATCTCCCTTACCGAAGTTGTCAAATCTTTCAAAATCATGGTAACTCACAAACATGGAGCACAAGGGCATCTGGATGGCGCTTCCAAGGCATCTTTGGAGAACGAATTCGGCACCTCAGAAGAGAACGAGGTAATAAAGACGATATTGATGGAAGGAAAGATTCAGGATACACATGTATGTGGCAAAAAACTATGCATCAGTTTCTCAAACAAAGCTCGCTGACGAGATATTGTAGCGTCCAGAAAAATGGGGCACAACGAACGAAACAATGGGAGCGAAAGTCGCTCACCATGGCGGCGCACACCCATTTTGAACGAAGCAACTTCAACCTCGGATGTTGGCCTAGGGGCCCCAGGACATTGCAAATGATTGGTGGACTTGACCCGACAACCTTCATAAAGACAGAAAGAATATGTTATCTGCCGTGTCGTTTCGGCTCTCAGTTCTCGGGGTTTGTGAGACCACACCATGTTTTTAGCCCTAATAGGTCTACCTCAGGTACTATCGATTGCGTCAGGACAGTGTCCAACAATTCGCCCTCAGAGCCCAGAACAAGATCTTCTCATTCAATTCTGGGAGTCCTCTTTCGATCCCATTGCCAAATTTCTAGATGTATCGGCCAGTGCGCTACCCGCCAGAGGGTTCGTGTTCGGAAGACTCGCAGCTTTTACGGCTTTCTTCTGACGCCAACGCGCAGTTTTAGCTACCTCAAAGCCGTTCTATATGCCCAAAAGAACCTTTCTGTGAAGGGCCCTGTTCCTTAACAACTTCATGGCGTTCGACAGTCGATAGCGTTCGACTCGGTCTACAGCTGGATATCGTGACAGAGCCACACCTCTGAGCATACCCGAGGAACAGAATATTGCTTGTCTCTGGTGACTACAGTGACACACTTGACCGACATGCGCATGGAAACAAGGTTCTTCTCCGTGGAGGTACAGTGTTTCTTCTTCCAGACGAGGCTCAAGATCAAGATTTTGACTCTTTGGCAAGGCCGCACCAGAGGAGAGCACACCCGAATGGAAAAGAGTTATCGACCAAAGCGAAGCATCAACACCATAAGCTTGTCGTGTCATCAACTTCGGGCGTATGGCCTTGAGGAGTAGATGGATTCAAAAGTTGACCTGTGCCGCGTCTCATACTGCCAAGCAGAGCATCGTGGGGGGGCGGCTCATTTCGCTTGGTTCTCTTCGTGACGACCAATAGGGGTACTATCATGAAAGTGCTTAAATCTCTGGAAATTCTACCAAGATATCAATAACTCTAGATCACTCTAGATAATCCCCTAGAGTCGTAGCTCTCGACCTCTCCTTTATTGACAATATTTCAGCGACCAATCGCAATCTCAAACTTCATGCGTCGCCTACAAAAGATCCATTGAGGGTCGTCCTATCAATATAAGATACCACGATCTGTTTGGGAGTCGGCACGGCATGAAACAACGACATGGAAAGGCCAGAGCTTACCAAAACTCCGCAGCTAATATACTGTGCAAATTCCCATGTCGTGTCAAGAATAGCTCTGGTCCATTTGGCCAAGATGTTTCGACGAGATTGACGAAGTGAAGACCCATGTAATCGCTGACCGTCTTCCCGTTCTATATCTGGTTCCAGCCCTTCGTGCAGTAACGGACCCTGTAGCTCGGTAGGCGGGAGGGCGCATTGTACTATGGGGTGATTCTCATGGCTGTTCTGAAATGACGGGCTTTCGATCTGCACCAGCCATCTGAGCGTCTGACCACGCATGAAGCTGGTCTCTAGCAACGTACTATTTCCGTGCTTACTACAGTCAACTCGTGTGGTGCTTCATAAGGCGGAAGTAGACGTTCTTGTATGACAGGCCTACAGTATACGTAGTAGAAGTTACTGCAAAAAAAAAGACATTCAGATCTTCGTCCTGATGCAGAAGCAGGCGCCACAACTACGCAACGTTGACATCATGAGACCCTGTTTGGAAAGATTTCAGCCCTCATTTTTGCAAAGCGTAATGTCGTTTCACAGCCATAGGTATGGAGACACCGATGCTCCATGATTGATTCGCAATCAGTCCGGACCGGCCGGTAAGCACATGACTTGACGGTTAACTCCACGACGCCATCACTTCATCTCATTCTTGTTGGCAGGGCATCATGCTTTCGACTTTAGAAAATGTGACAATTGCTGCCGTACATCACTTACCAGAGACGGCGTAGACTCAGTATCTGGTCAATCAGATGAGGGCCGCGCGGTCACAGCCGTGTTTGTGTTCCGGATAAATGGTCTGGCTGGAGCCCGCTAGTTAAGCGATATCTAGCAGTAACTGTTACGCCACTTTATATTCAGAGGCCACCAGCGACATCCGTAGGATGACGAGGTATTCGCCGCGCATTCGAGATGAGTAAATTTCGACGACAGATTGTCAGCCAAAGCAGATCATCTCTGCCCTGTACGGCATCATGTATCCCTTCCTTGCCCAACTTCAACCACTGATTGATTGTATTAGATCAGGTTTCTCGAAGATCGCCACCATGCGTTCCATACTCTCTTAACGTCTTGTAGACGGCGTGGGTATCAAAATCGTCGATAGCAAGCTCGTCGATCTCCTGCACGTGCCAATTTATTGTTTTACAGCATTTGGTCCGAAAGTCGACAATGAACCCAGCACACTGATTCATTCTAGTCCGAACATCTGCTTCGATTGTTCGTAGACCACGTATGTGACTGAAACAGCAGGCACCACCTTGACAAGGTTCGGCGTGATCCCTCGGAAAAGCGCTGACAGACCCTCATTCCGTATCGTTTTCCGGGTGACATCAACAATACCGGTGTAGGTTGGAGGATGTACCGGCGTCCCCTGCGTCTGCAACCTAGTTCTCAACATGTTCAGCGGCCAGACGACGGAAGCGCCGAAAGCGCCGCTGAATGCTCCAATGGCAGCCGTCGCGACAGGTCCTGGTTTTGCGTCCTTGCCCTTGATTCCTAGTCTCTCGTTCCTGCGTATGACCCATTGTTTCGTGTACTCGAACGTCGTCAAGTCCAAAGCGGAATAGGGAAACTGTCCCAAGATGCCCCACAATACACCACAGTAGAAAGACCGAATCCCTCCCGATTGCCACATTTTCTGAGCTGTCTGTGCAATCAGTTCCTGTCCGCGAACACCACCTTCCACCATCCTGCACTGGACCCGAAAACGGAGTGTGTCGACGGGATACGCCGCAATCCTGTGACACTGTATCAGATCCTCAGAGATAACTTGAGTTTGGTCCGGCATATATCAGCATCACTTACTGTGCCAACACGCCTCCAAATCCTCCTGAGACAAATTGAGCCGTACGAGATATCTGAGACGGATCGCTTACACCCTGAACTTTGGTGAAGAATCTCTTAGCCCCCTATCCAGTTGTGGAGGTTAGTTGGTCTCAATAATCATGCAAGTGTTTCGTCATCGTCGAACGAGACGTGGCTGTCGAGCTTACTTCATAAGTGCCAAATTTGATGGCTCCTTCGGGAAACATCTTCAGAATGTTCAGACCGTTGCCTAAAAATGTTACTCATTGAGAAACCTCTACACAAAACCGTGGAATGACAAAACCATACCTGCCCAGAGACTCCGAACACCACCCGCTTTCCAGAGAGCGCTCCATGCTGTTTGCAAAGAGAGCCATGCTTCTTTGCTTGCTTCGATTGGTTGACCACGGTACAGTTGATCAAGTGTGCCGTGCTTGGAGTTCGTTTGCCCGATCAAGAAAACCTTCAATCTATCCAACGGCGCCGTTACCGTGCGAGAAGTGGCACTGGCAAAGCCACCGCAGAAATAGTATTCTATACAATATAGCACCTCATTAGTCGGTGTTCAGTCTGATATGGAGTGATTTGAGACGCTGTTGAACCCCCATGAGGGCAAGGCTGGACAATGTGCTAGACATCGATGGCTCGATGCGTAGTGGTATGTTACCTATATGTTTGATTTTGTCATGTAGCACGCCTATGTCACCATCGTAGCCGCTATGCAAAATCCGGGTGGAGGAACCCTCTGAGTCGCGCACCTTCTTCAACAATATTGGTGAAAACACGAAAAGGCCCCTGCAGGAATGTTAAACATGGTAGCAGTAATTTGTGCTCTGCCGCCAGGTGACTAACCTCCATTCCTCGAATGTTAAGGCTCGGCCGTCATGTGCGCCGGAGATTTTTTCCAAAAGGCTTCCGAATTTTTCTTGAGCCAAATCCGTGTGTGATCGTTCTAGATCTTCGCACAAAGCGGAAAGGGTCACTGTACCATCGCTGCTGTGGGAGAGATTCTTCACGATTGTCAGTAATGTGCAGATACCTGCATCGCCAAAGGCAGTATCAAACTCACGTCGAAGGCGTATTTGAGATAAGCTTCCGCGTTGCTGAGAGACCCTGCGAAGTCTTCAATACATCAGCCATTCGAGGCTTTCGAAGTCGACAAAGCACATGACGCTCAGTGGTCTTGAGGACATTGAAGATTGTGCAATTTGAACTTCGTCCCTGCGACTCCCACAAGTTATTTTGCAAGGATCGATCACTTACGAGATTTCGAAAGCCTTCCATCTCCATCCGCTCCCATTGACCTGAATGAGCTCTCAACTACGGTTTCCGACGAGGCGATGGCTGCTCGATCATTCAGCATACAGACGCAATGGCAGTAAGTGAGATATTGGACCGAATCTACTTACGATGTTCAATTCTCTGTAGACCTTGTTGAAAGTCCTGGAGTGAAAGCCATCCCTTCTTGTCCGCATCAAAGATCTGCCAGAGCCTTTCGACATCAAACTCTTTGGCCATATGAGCGAGCTGGACGTCGTCGAAACTGCCGTGCTTAAAGAAGGATAATCCTCTGATGAGGCGATGCTGTACTGTTCGTGGTTTTGTTCGTGCGACCGTGAGCGTGTGGTAGAAGAGAGACACAGAGGAAGAGAGAACCCCGAGGGCGCTATTGCACACGAGGCAACAGGAATACACTCGTCTGCGAATAATGAGTCGGACACAACAGTCCTAAGCAAGGGTTGATAAACAAATCATCTATTGCCACCCGTCAAAAGCAGGAAAAAGCTGGTCGTCGGCGGGTAATTGGGGCGTTCAGGGTCTCGATGTACTCTTCACTGGTCCGCCATAATTCATTTATGGATTCGAATCTGGCATTCTGGCCAAGTCGATATCGATCTCGACCATGACCCTATGCGCATAACGACCAATAGTGTTGGAAACAATGCGTGAGTGATGCTGAGATCCACCCTATGTGGGGCCTGTGGGTCAAGACCTGATTTCGACGTCCGAGGAATATGTACGGTATCAACCGGGTATTAAGGCTCGCGCGGATGAAAAGTCAGACGCAACCCGTTCCGTCAGAAATGCTGTGCGGTATATTCGACGGCGGCGCACGTCACTTCTCGCTTGGGAGGAAGCCATTAGTTTCCTACGCTCAGAATAAATTGAATGTTTGACCTCATCTTGAATCTTGAATCTGGTACATTCATTTTCTGCCCTCCACTTACCCTCTGTTTCCTCGGTTGTTCTTTTACGACTATCATCAACACAGATGTATCCGGCTTTTCCAGGCTGGGTGGGAGCTCCGCGGGTTGCACTACTTGTCCTGGGGTTTATCTTGACTGTGCAGCTCGCTGCCGCGCAATCTACTTCTACGGAACAAATCCCATCAGCAGTAGAATTGGTTAGTGCCAATCTCCCTGAGAGAAGTCACCAAGACGAACTAACCCAATAGCTTTCAAAGAGACCGCATTGTCGAGCCATAAACCATGTTGAAGATCAGTGCAACTTCTACGGCGCCTTTTGCAGTGAAGAAGATGAAGGTCTTTTCTCATACCTCAGACTGTACTATTGCAACCTCTCAGGTGCAAAACCGCTCGCACTCGTCCTCGTCCTCGCCTGGATGATTGTCTTATTTGTCTCTCTGGGAATCGTTGCCGGCGACTTTTTCTCAGTCAATCTCAGCGTCTTAGCCAAGCAGTTGAATCTAAGCGATACTCTGGCGGGCGTGACTTTCTTGGCTTTAGGTAATGGGGCCCCGGACATCTTTTCAACGATGGCGGGCATGAGTCGGTCGAGTCATGCCCTCGCCTTAGGCGAACTTATTGGAGCGGCGGCGTTCATAACCTCAGTGGTTGCTGGTGCGATGGCCCTCATACGACCATTTGAAGTCGTCAAAGGATCCCTGGCTCGAGACATCATGTTCCTTTTGGCAACAAATTCGTTTCTCGTCTACGTCATGACCGACGGCCACTTGCGTCTGTGGCATTGTATGGTCATGCTTGTATTCTATCTCTTCTATGTGAGTGTAGTCTTGGGGTGGCATTGGTGGCGATTACACCATCCACGAGCAGACCTGGATCACGGCTCGCACGACGGCCACATCCCTTCACAAGAGGAAAGCGAGACGCGGCCTCTTCTCGCAGAACGAGACACCAGATCCTCGATTTCCCAGCGACTTCAATACGACGTGACGAGAATATCTGAACAGCGTCGGAGATCGCACATATTCGAAGAGGAATATGACGAGGGACGTTGGTATGAGCCGCCAGCCAAAGTGATTGACTATCGCTTCATCAATCAGCGCTTGATCCGCAGCCTGCACGATCATCGAGCTAGGTCAACCCCACCAAAGCATGCTTCTCGAAGAGGGTGCGCAGGAAACCCGCAGAGCTCTCATGAACACCATGACTGCACGGGAGACGAAATCATCAGCAGGCGATCAGAGAACGATGTCGGTGACGAGCTCCCTCGGAATGATCCTGCCAGCTCCCACGGATACTTCTACCGTTGCCTCAATACATTAGTCCCCAAAGTATTCGACGGAAAAGGCACGGCAAGACTCTTTGCGTTCATTACTACCGTCATGACCGCCCCCATCTTTATGCTCTTGAAGCTCACAATTCCGGGGGCGGATGTTGATCCAGGGGCCGACAACAAAGACAGGGAAAACAGTCTGGTGGAACAGAAACCCTGGCGAAGATGGTTGTTGATCGTTCAGATCTTCCTTGGTCCCCAGTTTGTGCTTGCAACTGTGGCGCTTCTGCTTTCTCTGCACCCTCACGATATCTTCATACCGAGTATGAGTGTTCTTGGTTGCTCTCTTCTCCTTTGCGGCTTAGTCGTCCTAACAAGCACATCGGCGGAGAAACCCTCTTGGACCCGACTTCTCAATATTCCAGGTTTTATCGTCAGCATATGTTGGATAACCATCGTCTCAAACGAGCTTGTGGGCGTGCTGAAGGCGCTGGGCGTCTTTGGAGATATCTCGGAAGCAATACTTGGGCTAACTCTTTTCGCCATCGGCAATTCGATGGACGATCTTGCTGCGAATATCTCGGTGGCCCGCCACGAACATCCTGTGATGGCTCTATCGGCATGCTTTGGTGGCCCCTTACTGAATACCTTGCTGGGTATCAGTTTGAGTGGGATCTTGGTTTTTGCCCAACAATCGATCAAAACACATCGAGTCACTCCAATCGACCTACACATTACGAAGGACCTTTTCATCACTTCCGGAATTCTGTTGGTCAATCTAATGGTGCTTACACTGTTGCTGGTGTGGACTCGAGGGAAGATGACTAGACTTCTCGGGTCTGTACTCATGATCGTTTGGTTGGCAGGGACAGTCACAAATGTGGTTGTGGTGATAACGTCTCCAGATCCCAAGCAGAAAACACGCTAAAGGAAAGAACCTTGACAACGCTCTAGTGGTAGAAGCTCAATTAACAATCCTCCGTATGCCAATTGAACATCAAGTCCCAAATTCTCATCAGTGTCTTTGATGCCTTGGATACTAGTAACCTTGCTCTGAAAATTCTCTCCTCGACCTGACTTAGGGGCCACCATCGGCTTTAGTCAATTATTTGCTGCTCTACCGTCTAGTTGGCGAGGTACTGGGCTTAAGATTCTATAGGGAGCCATGTCGACACCTAGCCCTCCCGATGTATAGAGGCTCACTTCCAAGCCGAGAGTCGGGAAAGTTGGCAAATTGCCGTCAAAACAGCCTGGATCAGCGCTTTTCCGAGGGGGTTTCGCTGTGATCGTCTTCTTCCAAGTCCACGTGGTCGGCAATGCTTCTGAGAGCTGCTATGTTCTCTGGTGCCTCTGGCGGCAACGTCACGCTCGTCGTTGTACTCCTCGGCGCCCCAAGCTTTGACCCTAGCAACGTAAGACCAGCTACTAGGGACAGCTGAAGCCTATACTTTTTGACGAATGACCTGCTCATCACCAAAACCTTCCTGAAGCCCAACATATTGCCCACTGCAGTATCTTTTGTGCAACTTTGTGATGAAGCGAATATTAAACTGTTTGATAGATAAGTCGAGGTATTGTGTGGTGATGTTCCTGAAAATTTAGACAAAAGGAGCTGGTGCCTTGCTTTCGAAAAATCCTGAGCAATACGCACTACGGTTCGGCAAAGACTTGAAGCATCTGCACACCTAAATACGACATCTCATACAACCTATATCGCACCTAGGCTTTTACGGATGCTGTGAAGATCAACATGATGTAGTGATGGGTCCACTATTGGAACGCTACGTGAACGGACCGGGATGGCGGCAGCTATAAGCGGAATAGATCACCAGTCTGATGGAGCCCTTACACGTTCCGGACGGAAGCGGGGTTGCTATGCAGAGGTTGCAATAAGCACATGGGTGGCTTTTATATCTAGTACTTCTGCCGTGCAAGATCTATTTCTGTATCATCGTGGAGAATGGACTGTGCTGTTTTACGCAAACCCCGCGCGCTTCCCTAATCAGTACGACCACGCGACAAATAAGGATATAGCATTAGATTTGGAAACTTGGACTGCAACAGGGAATTTGCCCGCGTTGATCTCACAAAACGTCACCAACACTAAGGTAGAGCGGGAGACTTGTCCATTGCCACGACCCAAGCCCGGGCGTCCACTGTTGGTAATACTCACAGGAGCACAAGATGCCACTGCTTGGTCTAGTAAGCTCGACTTTCTCAGCCTCGGATAATATAACGGAGAAGAAGCAAAAGATGTCCCTGCTGCGAAAACTGCAGACAGGTCAGACTTTCCAGCAGACTGAGAAGACGATGCTTTGCGCTGACCAGCCACAAGATGCGGAGTAAGAAATGGAATACGACCTGGTTTCTTCCTCATCGCTGTCCTTGCCTTGACGCCTTCTTCCTTTCGCCGTTGATCCGATCATCATCGTCTTCACTATTCTCTGTGAAAAATTCTCCTGTTCTATAATCCTTCTTCATGATCATTCTCCAATGTACGGCCACGATACGGCCACGGCCAGTCATAACAGACCTCATACCGGAGATGCCTGTCCATCTTCTTTATTGTTCAGGTCGGCCTATTGGGACAATGTCCGTGAAGAGCAGAGACACCAAAAGTTCATAGAAGAGGAGGCTGGTGACACATTGCGGCCTGCACGATAGGAGTTCATCCCAGGCGTTATTGCATAGTTGCAGAGCAGGTTGGCCGTAAACGACCCAGTCGTGCTAGAAGCTCGATCCTAGTTGCATACCAAGTAATGCCAACTTCCTGCTGCTAGATACGCTCTTCATTCTTTTCGCCGAGTCAGGGTACGAGCCGCTCGAACCTAACGAGTCAGATTTGAAACTGAACAAACGTCCATACGCGAGCCTACCTATGTCAATCGCTTCGCAGGTTGTTTGGCAGACAATACACAATCTCGATCCCATGAGGTTTGCAACGCCCTGGCGAGATATGCTTCACATGATCGATACGTCTGCTGTCTCGATATCTTTGTCACCTTGCTGTCCTTATCATATCTGACCATATGCTTACCGATTATCTGCGCTCCGAAGCTCAGCATATCTCAAGCGCCGTCACCATGATCCTTGATAGATCCCAATGACGAGGACTTTGAATTGTTACAGGCGGCCCGACCAGTGAGGGTCGATGCCTGTCAATCCGATTACTTGCCAAACACTTTCAAAATTCGTTTTATCGCCATGTCCACCAGGTGCACGACGTCACCGCTCGCCTTTTAGTGAAGTTTCCATGCATCCGCTTCTGTGAAGCTTTTCAACAGCCAGTATTAGGCACCATACTCTATCCACCTTTTATGCCACAAATCTGATTCTTGTTCCACCCTGGTACTACCACCCTTATGCTCGGAGGCTAGGTTAGACTATAAGCTGCTCATCGAGTGGCCAGCAGGATTCTGCGCCGAGTCTTTTGCTTGTTAGCAAGCAGATCACAAAGAGCTTAATAAAGACTTACAGTCGATGGCCACGAAAGCTCGATCAACTTCTGGTAGAGCCTCTGCACAGTATTGTAATGTTTGAGCGATGTCATGTGCTTCACGAACTGGAATGTGCTCGTCTAGCAGGAGGTCGAACTCGGCCCACACTCCATCTCCCATATGATAAGCATGAATGTTTTTAAAGCCTGCCACAAGCGGAGAGAAACGGTAAGCAAGGTAGGTGAGCTTCTTTTGTAGACGGCTGTCGCATGATGACCCACACAGCCTTATCGCGATCCCCAAGCAGGTGCCAGTCCAGTCGTAAATAACGTAGAGTGCTAACAATGTAGCCCCAGCTGGGTCGAACCACCATACACCAGTATACTTTCCAACCAAAGGAAATATCAAGGAGAGCGTGTTGAAGTATACGTCAGTTTTGCAGTCTTGGACCAGTGCCTGAACCTGCGTCGTCTTGATACGCATATAAGCTAGGCCAATCACCCCCTTCAGCACGACATTCGATGCTATCGCACCTATCGCGATAGCTGGAAGCGTAGCGACCTCATGAGGGCTGTGTGGTAGTAACTTTTGGACCGACTCCTGAAGGACTTGGATAAATGATATGATCATGATAACGGAAAAGACGAGGATACCGATCGGTTCGAGGCGTCGTCGACCGACTGGAAATCTTCTTTCGAGGGCGAACAATCTCCAAGTCACTAACCGGTTAGTACTCCAGACTATAGTCGTGCATAGAAAGTCCAGTGCCGAGTCGACGAGAGATGCAACCAGGGATAAAGAAGAGGAGGTCAAAGCCGCAATTCCCTTGGCCACAAGTAATAGGGTATTAGCCACCATGTTGACACTGATCGCTCTTCTAGCCTTTCGCGTTGCCCTTCTTCGCATCATCTGAAGGTCATCAGGAAGCAATTGCTCGACTCTTTCTGCCACAGTTTGGAGTCGGCCACTCCTCTCTCGGTGTGCATCGTTGTCGGGATCTGGATCCATACTGTCCATGATATCGGCTGCCATCGCACGGACTATCGTATCCACCTCAAACCAGTCGTCAAGCTTGCTGTTCTGTTTTAAGTAGAAGTTGCGAAGTTCCTTATTCTTCATCTCCCTGAGCTTCATAACTCAGTCAGACAATGAGATCAAGCCTTTGTAGAGATGACTGAGACTGACCTCTTCTGCGCTGGTACGATATCGCTCGAAGGCCTCGGTGTCTATACCTTCACGTAGCTGCTTTTGTAGTGCTAGCGTACGATTCTGGACTATCACCATGTCCACGACATCTCTGAACCGAGGGACTCGACGCATATACCCTGGTTCGAGGTCTCCTCCGGGTCGTAAGCCATGACGGCTCAGGCTGCGCGCCGTCTGGAATGCTCTCTTGCGCACCATTTGTCGTGTAGATTCTCAACATTTGCTGTGCACACGACCTATCATGATGTCATTTAGAAGTAGGAGAGAATAAGTTTAGGGAACTTGTTCGCAATTACAGATCAACAGAACGAAAAGGTGCGAGTGACGAAAGGACTTACGAGACTTGGCAATATCGCTGGATCCATCTCTGCCATCCGCTTTGATTGACTTGTCTCATTACTTGTACATATGTGGGTATCTAGATTGGCGATTCAAGATGCTCATGCTACCCTCCAACACGTAGTGTTAGCAGCAAGGACTTCAAGCAAGTGCTCCGTGCCGTCGACTCTTCTTTCAGCGACGTCATAAAGTAAATACCACGAAATCGTCACACTCCCACTAACAAAAACAAAAACAATACCACCACAGTACTACTGTAAAACCATAAGCAAAAAAGGCATCTTGTCGTTGCTGCCGCACGGGCCGGGTTCGATGTCGTAGAACCAAGAATCGTCGGGATCCGCTTAGAGTGTGATTTGTACCTGTCTAGAGAGCGGGCGGTGATCGTGTGTCATCTCGAGAGTTACCTTGATACGAGTGCGCCTTCCAGACGACGAAAACGCACGAGATCGACAGGGACTGCACCCTTCAGATGAAGGCACAGCCTCAACCCTGACTAAGGCCGTAATGGCACACTCATCTCTCTCTGCCGCCATTACGACCAAGAGCGCCAGAGGTGGGTGGCTAACATGGCTGGGTAACTTCTAGGTGCCCCAGGGGGTACGAAACAAGTGTACAATGCTGCCTTGGGCTCTGCTACATAGTAGAGACGGGTACTGCGGCACGCCCGGTCCGTGGGTAACTTTCGGGAATTTTCAAACGTGGTCAGATCAAAAGGAGAAGGTGGCACCACACACTAGAATGACGCCTTCTTCCCAGAATATAGGTTGGCGTTATCTCTGGAATTTCGGGATCTTGATCACTCGGCGCCATCTCTCAGCGCTGTCAGAAGCAGCATCTATGCTTACATCGTCTTAATGGCTCCTCCACGGGTGTTCCTCATACGGCACGGGGAGACCGATTGGTCCAAGAGAGAACTCCACACTGGCGTCACTGACGTTCTGTTGACAGAAAGAGGAGAGCAGCAGGCCAGGGAGACAAGCCACGCTTGTGTTGGAGAGGGGAAACTCATTGACCCGAAGAGAATTGCTCATATGTAACTTTTGGTTTTCTGTCTGTCTGCCTGGGAATATATGCTGATGATAACAGATACGCGTCGCCTCGACGTCGAGCCTTGCAAACGGTTAAGCTGCTTGATCTTGGCGTTAATGATCGTCTGCCCTCTAATGTGGTGTTGTCCTTTACAAGTGATGCGCGGCTCGAGCATCGCAGAACCCATGCGTTCTTCAGTATCAATGAAGAGCTTCGCGAGTGGGATTATGGAGACTACGAAGGGATGACAGTCCAGGACGTATGGCAGGAGAGACAAGAAAGAGGTTTGGATAAGGATGGACGACGTTGGAATATTTTCGTTGATGGTTGCGAAGTGGGAGAGTATGTGTGCTTTTGCTTTCATGGGCTGTGACCTGGCTAATAACTCTCCCAGGTCCGCTGAACAGGTCACCCAACGTGTTGATTCCTTCTTGACGCAGGTCAGGGATACGATCAAGGCAAAACAAGCTGGTGGAGCCAATGGCGAGGCGTCAGACATAGTGTGTGTCGCTCATGGACACATTCTATCGGCGATTGCAGTCAGATGGACAGGGCGTCCCCTCCAAGATGGCGTCCGGTTGCTGATCGATACTGGGGGAATTGCAGTTCTGAGGTACGATTGCTCGAATTAAAATGCCTCAAGTCTAGGGACACCTGCTGATACATAATGCGCAGCTACGAACATCATGCCTTGGATGAGCCAGCTATTGTCATCGGACCGAAACCCTAGACTCGTCTAGCCTGATAATGAAAAATGCACCTGATCAAAGGAAGGAAGTCAGAACTAGAATGGTTTTTCATAGTTTTGAGTATGACGCACTACAATTTATTCAATACTAATATACATGCAGGTCAAATGTAGTCGACCCAGTAAAATACACCCCTGGACACCTCCAAAAAGGCACCTTTCCAAGAAAGCACCCTGTTCGATGACCTCTTATTTTTTGGTCTTTTCTCGGATTGTTTTGGTCCTTGGATGGAGGTCTCACATGCTCAAGCTGCTCGGACCGATGTGAAAGGTCCTCCGACTTGCGCTTAAGCTCCAAAGACTGGCGCCTCACCTCGGCGTAAAGCTCTTTCGCAAGCTCAACGTTGTCTTCCAAACTGTGGTGGCGCACAAGCACGTCTTCGTTTTCACCTTCTGCGTCCGGATCTTCGCGTCCTGAATTGCACCGGACATTCTGTTCCAAGATGTGATGGCGGTAGACTGGAGCGTCGTCTCGATTTCCAACGGGCGGCGGCATTGTCACCTCACTTAGGTTGCCCAAGGGATCAGAATGACGACGACCCTTGCGATGGGTGTTTGGCTTTGATCCGTTCTGAGAATCCTTCGCTCCTACATACAGAGAGAGAGAAATCTGGCGCACATATTATATTCGTTATGTAATCTTTATACAATTGTTCAGAGTCTCTGAAGTTCGAGACTAGAATAACGGACACTGTTTCATTTCACTTGAAATGATCATTTAAGACAATTACAACCTGCCCAAGAGGATCACTAAGAAGTCACCCGACCCTCTGATCACTGGTGAGCATGGAAAGCGTAACCTGGCAGTGTCCAGACCATGTTGTCAGTATGATGGCCCCCTCCCGAGGCGGGTGCCCACAGTATATTGGCGAGAATGGGTGTGTCACGGACCTGGTCCCTTGGCACTAGACTAGTACTTGGGAACTGATCTCTTGGCACGGGATCGTGCCACTTGAGACATGGTTCAACGCAACAGAACCTCAACCTTTCAGATAGTCCTTCGTAATGCAATTTCTTCAATTATGTGCCTGTTGAGGCTCAATCATATCGATCAGATCTGTGACTGTGATAGGGTGCAATATCTCCTAGAAGCCTGGGATCTCGATAATAATCTGTGGCGCAAACAGAGTTGAGGATTTTCGTCTTCGTCGAGAGATATCGCGAGGATTTGCACAAGTCACATGTTGCGCCTCAGACAGATCTCGTTCCACCAACGATTGAGGCGTTACCAAAACCTAACTAGTGCTAATTCCATCACTCAAGGCAGCCAATGGGTAAGCGAAGTGTATCAGACATTGAAATCAATCATCATCAAAAAGTTCGGCAAAGCAGCTATTGGTATTGGCGATGAAGGGGGTTTTGCGCCGCCTATAACTTAACCTACCGAAGTATTGGATCTGATAATGTCCGCCGTTAAGGGCTCCGGTTATGAAGGGAAGATCAAAATCGGCATTGATCCGGCCCATCGGAATTCTTTGGCGACGGACACTACGACTTGGGCTTCAAGTCTGACTAGCCAAGGAAAATCAGCAGTACGGAACTGGTAGATCTATATAGGAGTCACGTCGACAAATATCCAGCTGTCTTATTGGAAGACCCTTTTGCGTAAGACGATTGGGAGTCATGGAAACATTTTCATGTAGTTTCAAAGATCGATAATATCGAGTTGGTGGGCATTGATCTCCTGGCGACCAACCTCATACGTATCGAGAAAGCCGCGGAAGCTGACGCGTGCGACTCCCTACTCTTGAAGGTCAACTAGATCGGTATAGTCAGTGAGTCTCTCGTAGCGACAAAGAGGGCGTATAAACTTGGCTGGGCCGTCTTCGTGTCTCATCACTCTGGGGAAACGATAGACGACTCCATCGCCGATCTTATATTGGGTATTGGCTGTGGCCATTTGAAGGCTGGTGCACTATGTCGCGGCGAGAGGGTGGCTAAGTACAACCGGCTAAAGGATATCGAGGAGAGATTGTAGGTACAGAAAGTCGGCTCTTCTTACGCTGGAGAGTTGTTTCGGTATGCCTATTCCCAGGCTAAACTGGCATAATTCTTCCACAAACTTTGAAATCAGTCGAATTCAGAACCTGGTGAGGACTCAACCATCATATCTTTGATAGATTTAGGATGTTATGCATTCTTCTGGGCAGCGTTCATAGAAGCCGGCATGGTATATGTGTCTGAGATAGAAATTTGAGCCGGAATACGCAATTTAAAACTTAAGGAAGAACCTTTTATCCAAATTCTCGTCCGTCGATCGAGGTCCACCGTCTCCTGCAGGATTGGCGAAACTAGAAAATCTGTGGTTTTCGTCTCCCCTGACAACGCTTATGTCACCTGAAGATGTCTTGACATCAATCAATCTTTTCCATGCTTTTTGGCATTCCTGGACTATTGACATGGCGTAACTGGGGCCTCGTCGGATGCTTTTTTGCTTTTGTGGGGGTGTCGGGCACGATAGAACAAAGGGCTCCTCGATGTCTTCAAAGGAAGAAACCCACTTTTGATTTCTAAACTCTCCATTAAAGGCAACCTTATGGGGCTTCTTGCCGTCTGGAACCTTGTATAACTTGAACCAGTCTCGGGTCGCCTCCAGGAGACCCGGAAAATGCTGTTGTATATCTGCGATGCCGTTTACCTCGCTGGCGCAAGGATCGTTGATATCGATAACGATGACTTTCCAATCTGTCGCACCTTCGTCCGGGAGAGCCATTACCCCAAGAACCTTTACAAGCTTGACCTGGCCGTATAGGCAATTTCTTCGCAGATTTCAAGGGCATCAAGAGGATCGTTATCGCCCGGACGCTTGGTGTCTGGATGTACGTGAGAGGGATCTGGAGGCGTCAATGACTCGAACTCTGCAGATGCCGCGCTGGAGAGGCCGGTACTTACTCCTGGAAGAGCACCATAGTTCCAGATGTAGCCTTTATAAGGAAACAAGTTTATTACGCAGCGGGCTCTGCCATCCTGGAAGTCCTGCTTTATCGGGTTGAAGGCTTCATTCCTGGAAAAATTTCCTCATGACTGTCGGTGGCTGATTCACATATCTATGTCACTATGTGCTTTGCTTGGGCCACCAATTTCTCTCTAATATATACCTCGAACTTCGCGTTGGATCACCGGGTTATCTCTACTACCATGTTCAAGACCTGTTCGTCATCATCACCACACAACGGTATGTCGTGCCAAATCGAAACGGGTAATCCATTAATCTCGAGATATAACCGATATTCCAACGAGTTGGGAGTGCCCACCGCTCTAGGAGTATTACGATCCGGATGTATCTTACTCATATCAATTGAGAGAGTACAAATTTAGCAGTTAAAAGCTGGGTAAGAGAGCACGACGAATTTCACTTTCAAACGATCTTGTGCCATACCTAGGTAGAGAACGGTGGCTCCACAGAAAGTCACGAGTCAGGCGAGTTCATCTGTCGGAGCTGGCCACCCGGACCGCGCGGAACATTCTCATGCACTTATCATGTGAGAAGGTTTCCCAGGATGATCAGGTGGGAAGGTTTCTTTCCTCGAAGTCGAGCAAAGTCGAAACACCAGTAGTGGTTATAGACTTAGGTAAAGATATCTTCCGTTCGAGCATTATTCCGACCTTCAGTTCTTAACAAAGAATTTTTTTCGAAACAAGGAAAAGACGTAAGAAGCAGAATCATGTGGAAGAAACTCCGTGCTTTTTTCAAATTGGACCGATCTTCTCAGCCGTCGAAACATCAGCGTCAATCCGACCCTTTCGGAGGGTTAAGTGAACTCGCAATGCCTCCGCCTATTGAGAATCGAGACGATTCTGAAGTCTATCGCCACCACAGTCTGGAGGAAAATTTTGAACGAAGTTCACGGGGTGAAGACATTGATGCTGAGGATGGAGAGGAAGATATTCTCGTTCGCCATCACACTCTCGAAGAGAATCTCGCGCTCGCGAAGGAGCTTACTCGGGAAATGAGAAGGCAGTCCCAGGAACTTCGCCGCGTCTCCTCTGAACACCACCGTGCCCCAAGCTCTGGGGCAATGACTTGAAATGGTTCGAGCTCACAAAGACTATGGCGTGAGAGGGCAGGAACAACACAAAGATCACGCCTTTGTTCCTGATTGTATGGTATGCAGTGGCAAGTGAGAGGGATCGCTCTGGCGGTACAGAACGAAGATAGTCCTAGGAGTTCTTCGCAACTTCGCTCGATATCGGTGCTTGATTGTTACAAATGGTTACATTTCGGATCCGTCAGGATGAGATGTGGATAAACCTGCATCGCTAACTTACCTGAGTCACAGCCACCCCTACTATGCCTAGCGAGCGTCCCATGCCGTGGTTGAAATTGCACCGGATTACCTCGTCGCCAATGCGGTGAGCGAAGCGTCTACGGTTAACGGACACCGTGTTTGACGACTGCAGCCCACAGCAATCATCAACAGCGACTCTGTCAAGAGCTGCCAAAATTCTTTGGCAGTATTCACCTCCTGGGCGTACTCTGCCTGAGCTTGATCTTATAGAAGGCTAAAGCATTTGGTAGAACTTGATGCAGTCTCAAAGACCCCAACAAAATAGGAAATCGATGCCTCTTAATACGAACCTCCATCAGCAGTCGGATCATTCCAGTCAAACTTGTTCCTTCCGATTAATCCTCTAGTCCAACCGATACCGCTCCCGACTGGAACTCAGCCGACGGTTCGAAAACTCTCCCGGACTTGCATCTAACGCGCTTTGCAAAGACGCTGGTTCTGTCTCAATGCTTGCACGCCTCATCCTTCTCGAAGGACGGTGCTTTACATCTCCAAGTTTTTCACCATCCTGAGATAGCCCTTCACTAGCAGCAGTACTTTCTCGCTCGAGATCACCCTCCTCCATCTCTTCACGTTCAATCTCTCCTTCTTCCGCCTTTTCCAGCTCTGAATCCTCTTCAATGCAAACGAATGTTGCACCAGGGGCCCACCAATGAAGCGGATACCGACGACGTCCGACATTATTGATGATTACAGCCCATCCAAGCATAATGAGGGATGAGGCTAGAATGGTGGGTAAGTATCGCCATGATAGCGTGACCACGTCCGATTGAACCGCAGCGTTGAGACCCGTAGCACCGGCGCTGCGCAATAGTCAATGTGTGTCCTTTGGTGCCTCTTCGGAGACCACTTACGGAGGATGAGCCGTTCCCGTGATCAGCATGGCAAGGAGTGAAGTTGCCATGGAGAGTCCTCCGTTGATAAAAGTCGATGGGTGAAAATCCGTATTCTCCAGGTATCCTTGATAACTCGCGTTCAAAACCCACAGCCTGGTAATAGCGGTTCCTATAAGGGCCGAGATGAAGTGACCCAAGACAAAATTTCGCGGCTGCGCTACTGGGGACTCGATGACTCCAAAAAGCAGAACGGCGGACGCACCAAAAGACGTGATGATGGTAGGCGTGTGATAGATGTCGCGAAAAGCGGTGCTGGTCGACATGATTGCCTCGATGAGAAGGATACCACCGAAAGCGCCAATCCAACCAAAAAACCAGACTTCAAGCCGGAGTGGGATTTTCTCCAACCATGTAAACGGCGGAAATGGCAAAGGCTCATATGGAGGCTCAGCGTCTGGCGGTCGATAACCTGTGAACCGGGAAACAATGAGAGGTAGATCAGCTCGGTAGTCCCTCCGGAACTTGAGGTAATGAAGGGTACTCCGCGCTCTCTTTTGGATAGGCCGTCTCTTCTCGTTTTCCTTTGTCTGCTGCATCTTGATGCTTATATCTTGCACTAACTTATGATGACTTTTATGGTCTACTAGCTTCTGTGCTGTTAAGTCCTCTGGTCTCGGAAGAAGAGAGGGAAGAAGAGAGGGAAGAAGAGAGGGAAGAAGAGAGGGAAGGATTTTAATACGCGACTGCATGCTGTAACATATACTCTGGTGATTCAAATTGATCGTCCAAAAGTCCCTCAGACTCCAATAAAATGGATCATAGTTAGACGTCATCTTCGGGACACTACTAATAGTGGTGCAGTACTCGGTGAGAGCCTTGTTGGCAGGCGACTAGTTTACCTCGGATCGACCGGGCAGAACGATTCAGTACTGTTTGAAACCTACTAGTACCTATATTTTTGACATGATGAGCCTGGTGGTAATGTAGATTTGTGAAAAACTACGTCACAAATATGGCGATCTCACATGATATTGAGATTTGATCAAAAGTTGTGGAGCACTGCTAGCATGGTACTGTAACTGCACAGCCGCCTGAGCCGCCTCCCGTTGTCTTTCAGCTGGCCAGCGCTCTGTTAAATGATAGACCAGCAGTACTACTCATAATGTAAGGCCGAGTCTCCCCTGTTGTCTCCTGTTCAGGTCACCAGGATTGATCGTTCTTGCCCTTATCACAATGCAAGATCGACCCGATATCAGCGAAAGATGCTTGACAAAATCCTCCACCGCAGAAGCTTGGAACCTGGGGTGAGTAGGTCGTTTCAGACTCATTACAGTAGCTGAGGAAGTCGAACGTTTCAAGAACAAGAAGCTGACTTCATCTCAGATACATGGACCAGCAGAGGAGGTTGTACAAGTCTTCGATTCACATACAGCGACTCAGAATATCACAATAGATCGCAGCAATGAAAGCCCAGCTTCAGTCGTAGATCAAGGACAGAACTCTTCGAATGCGCACCAACCACAGCCCAACACAGAGCCCCAGATCCGTCCGACGCAGGACGACGGCGCGAACAAGTCGGAGCATCGCAAGACTTTGCTGCACTCTAAAGGCATCCTCCGTAAACGCTCATTGAGTGACAGTGCACATCAGCCTGGAAGCGGACTCGAAGCCGAAGGAGTGGGGCAAAGCGCTGAGTCCCAGCTATCTTCGAAACCAAATATGCAGAGGCTTATCCCACATTTCGGCAAGACCAAGAGGGAATACGAGGTATCTATGCCTGGTGGAAACACCCAAGGAACTCCGTAGCCAGAAGGTGAATGAAGACGATATGATAGCATGAATACTGCTGATCCATCAAAACCGAAGAACGACAGTGCTGTTCAGTCAGTCAACCCAATTATCGAACACGGGCTTGTATCTCGAGCCAACGGATAGTGGAAATCATTGTACTTACTATCCTCCCATGGACCCGTCGTGTTAATACTCTTGTACACACGACGCACTGTGTGACGAGAACATTGCATGCTATTAGTGTTCTCCAATTTGGGCACAGCCAAAGCCCGAGAGAAGTCAGACTTCCGTTCCGTAGGGGCCGGGAATAGGTTATCATAAATGTGGGGAACCGGGGAACAATGCTACTTACTCATGCGGGCTCCATTTTTGACCATGGCCGGCAACCACTGTGTCTTTCGCCAGGACAGGATGTCACCTGAACAACCTACGTTCGATGATTGCTTCAGGTAGGTTAATACCTACAAAATCGCGCAATGATATATGAAGCTACTACAAGGTATAGGTAACTCCTGCACGCCAGAACTTGATGATCCGCTCAGGGCAATGCGAACATATCGAAAAACACTGGACTAAGGGTTGTTGAGTCATTGTAACTTTCGCATGGCTCTTTCTATCAAACTTTTATGATGGAGAAGCCATTGACATCTGGATTCATGGTCCTGGGCGTGGTCAAGTTCAATATCTACGAAGAACGAATCATCGAATCGCTGAAAATCGACTTCAGAGGCCGAACTAAAGTCTTTCTCGATCAGAACTATGGAGACATGGTTATATCCAGAACAGACTATGCTTCGGAGAGCTACCTCGACGAAGAACGGAGAGAGTATGATCGTCGGGTCCAAGAAGAGCTGGGTGCCCGTGCGGAAGAACACCCGAGCATTTTTGAGCTGGAGTACCGCTGCCCTCTCTGTCTGACCAGGTCGGCCATTGCGAAGTTCAAGGGGAATATTTACCGCGCCGTCTGCCCGTGTCCGGACTGCGAGGATTCTTTCGAAACAGAGCCGGGCCATCTCATGGAAGCGTTTTATGCACGCGCAGGTCTAAGTACCGTGGTCTGAGTGGGTTTATTTCAGGAGTGATTCTCCCAAGAGTCCGTTGTGCAACGATTCTGCTGTAGTGTTAGCTTTTTCCATCTTCGATAATGTCTATTTATTCTGTTGACTAGAGTCACTCATGCTCCCTCTATATACTGTTGATGCTTGTACTAGGCTCTGATCTCGTTCCACGCCTATGTTAGCGTACACTCAGCCTTGTGGTGACTTTACCCGACCAGACTTCCAAGATGGCCCGTTTCGGTCCTGGTGAAAGGTGGGATCCCTAAGAGGATGCCCTGCTACATCTACTTGACGGGTTCAACCGAGTCCCCTAGTTATATAGGTTGCTCACTCCCATTTACTGGCGCTGGGTCCGACGGATGGGTGCCGTTGGCGAGGGATGGTCCGCTGAATGGGATATTGCGCTACGGTGAAGCAGACTAACCTTAGCGCTACGGTGGATCATACAGCCGCAACCTGAAAGGTCAATTTTCCGTGCCAGCCAAACTCGTTGCAATCCATCGTTGTCCCTTGCCTCACTTCATCCTTCTCGATATTTCTCATTCATACCCGAGATCCAAACATGGCACAAGGCTAGAGACTCCCGGCTAGGGTCGAATCACCTTCATGCGGCGGTGGAATTGCCGTTTGCGCTGCCAATAAACACCACCTCCACAGCGGCGAATCTTTCTCACGTTGTCAGCTAGTGTCGATACAAGCTGAACGGCAAGAGACTTACGCAGCCGTGATGCCAAAAATCTCGGACACGTGTGCTTTTGTAACCACTCTGAGTACTACGCCGATCAGCGTGGTCAAGCCCATGGTGATCCAGATGCGCGTCATGGTTCTTTGCGCGTTGTACAGCCACAGGATTGTCAAAGACGGCACGAGAGCAGCCACGACGGATGCTGCCAGGCCATATACCCATGCCGTGCGCCTCTTTATTTGGTCCGTGAAATCATCTTGAACGACTATTCTTACTCCTGTATCTCTCTCAGTGTCCTGAAGACGTCAGCATCGTTGATCATGTGGGTCGGAAGATCCGTTACTGTAGGCACAATCTGAAGTCGGTAGCCAGTCACCTTCCAGTACATGCGCGCCAACCAGGGAGATAACCAGCTCCCAATATCAGAGCCTCCTCGTGACTCCGGGCTCTCGAGAGCGACGTACGCCAGATGGGCTGATGGCGTCTCACATGGCATGGGGGGACGCTGACTCTTTTCTAAGTTTCTCAATGCGTCCCAGTCGTTGCGGCTGGGAGAACTCATGTGCGTTACCTTTGCCGCCTGGGTGAGCAATTGGTCTGTATTCAATCAGCTCGGGTCGATAAAGCCAGAGGAGGCAATACACCCAGTACTCCACCAGAAGACTACGGCTGTCCTCGAGGGCTTGATTCTTTTCCTCAGAGCTGTTCTTGCCTTCGATTATGCACTTCCGTTTCTCTAGCTCTTTCTGGAGTTGTATCAGGTTAAGCACGGCCAAAGATCCGAATCGCTTAAACATGGCGAATCTAGGATTGCTTTCCATCGCTATCGCAAGTGGATTGTAATCGTGGGTGTCTGGTGGCTGCATAGGAGCAGGAGCCGATGCCGCGGTCTCCATGGGTTTGCCTGCTTTACGGGCTTTGCTTTCAATTTAGGGAAATATGAGCTCCAGAGAGAGTTTAGTTAAGAGTATTGAAGGCCAAGAGGGCGTCCTGAGGCTGGCAAATTGCTTTTGAAGGAGGGCTAGCAGCCCTCTCCTCTGACAAAGACTTGGCCCGCCAATCCTTTAGCTCGCTGTTAATACGACACACATCCCATGACAGGAGCTTTCCCCAGAGGTCACGGGTGCAGATTCAGCCTGAAGGCGACGCCCCGGCGAGTGCGCCATCTTAGGGTTTCCCCGGATACGGGGACCATGAGAATGCCCGTGGCATCCAACAACCTCAGGCTGAGGCTGAGGCTGCTCAGGGTGGATACGAAAGCGAGGTGCTCGCTACTGGTCTGAATCGTTAGAACCGCTGAGCTGTCCCGCCTGTGCCCCTCCTTGGCGTCACCGGACACTTGCTCGCGTTCTTTGCATCCCTTGGGACATCAGGCGTGACCACAAAAAAAATTCTTCTTAATATAGATGACGCCCTGATGGTGTGCAAGTAATCATGGCGACCGGACTGCCAAATGGGCATCCCATCTCGGAAATTACCTCCCAGATTGACAACACTCTTCGACGGGCCCGCCAACGGCCGAAGACTGCATTCACGGCCTCCGAAGGAAATGTCGACCACTCTGTTCTACATTTGAGGGCTGCTCTTAATAGATTTCTCAACTAGAGAGCATCGTGGGAGAGCACTGACTCGACCTATGCTGTTGTTTCAGCCAGTCTTTTTCGAAGCGCTCTGGGGCACGGATGGAATGAGGGCGATATATTCATTCTTAGAACGTGTTCTTGAAACATCACAGCGCCTGGAAGAAGTTCTCACAAGCAGACTTTTGTCCCACTCGGTGTGAGTCCGATGATAGAAACATTACTTTAGGAGAAAGGGCGTTGTGGAATATGTGCAAGAAAAGGTCAGGAACATATCGGACGAACTGAACGAACGTCTGGAAGTTTTACAGACTGCGTCTGAATATTATTTTCGGCAGCAGCAACGGTCAATCATGCCCAATTCAAGCCAGATCAGATACTCAGGTCCTCAGGCTCTGGACGAAGTTGAGCTCGCCAGAAAGCCGCTCCTTGCGCTCCACCAGTTCTTCAATCATTCTGCCCATGCGTTGAGGCTGAAAATGGGCATGTTCGACAGTGACTCTCGAAACTTGCATCTTCACATCTTTGTGGATCCATCTTCTAAGCGAGATGCGACAATGGAACTCGTCATCGAATATGTGATGAGAATCGACAGCACCCCCAACGAAACTATCACCATTGTCCCCTTTGACGATATGGAAGACGTGGACTTGTTAATTTCCCGACTTCGACGAGCATTAGCCACAGGGATCTACTATGTGCGGTGCCATCTGGAGGAGGAAACAGCCCTTTTCCTCGTGCGACCAAATTTCGTCGAGGGTTCCGTCCGGATGTCTAGCCATTCGAAGCTCCTTCTTGGGGACGAAGATCCCGGGGTCTCGCGCAGTCAATTTTCTCTTGCCGAAAAAGTCTAGATAGCATACAGCATCGCGGAAGCTGGCCTCTTCCTATTAGGGACTCTATGGTTGTCTAACCTGAACAGCGACCGACTACTTTACATGAAGATTGGGGAGAGAAGGCTCGAATTCGTGCTACCCGTCGAAACTATGTCTTTCATGGAATTCGTCAAGAATCCAACAAACTTGATATCTAAATTAGGTCAAATTGCATTTATAGGAGTTCTGCTCGTTGAAATCGCTCTCGGCACTCCTCTCGACCGGCCCGTATACCGGTCCGAGCCGAACTTTGAACAAGTCAAGTTCCTAGCAGAATGGATAGGTAAGGTTAAGGAGCGCATAGGGGTTTCGGTATGGGAGAGCGGTGGAATACTGTTTGCGAAATACCAGGACCCGGGCCAACTCATGGACAGTCTTTGAACTGGACGAACAAGAGGGGTCGACTTCGTCACATGTGCCCCCTATCGTGGAAGGCTACTATTCCGAAGTCTTCAAGGGGTAAGCTACTGCGAGGTTCACAACGTGCTCAAGCTAATGATCATAGTTTGGAATCAATGCGAGACGATCTAATGCCCAATCAGCCTAAACTCCAGCTTCGGGATTCGGGCGAGCCAGCACTATTCAACTCTTGATAGTCTCCTTGAGTTATGAGGTCTCCCTGAGTAACCCAGAAGAAGGGAAAACAATCGTTCTTTCTATATGAGGTAGAAGAACAGATACCCAAAGTCGCAAGGCTAGAAGGAAATGAAGGAGCCTCCTGCCGAAGCATACTGAAAGCACATCACAAGGCATGACTGTGGCGCAAACGACGCGATGGTGTGGGTGCAGAAGACAGCGGATGAAGATTCTCAAGTCAACGCTCAACATTTCATGTGCTTATAGTTATAGGGTCTGAAGTAGTTTAGGAACAACTCTGTCGCGTGGATTGAGGTGTTCACGAACCAACCTAGCTGAGAGGCAGGTTTGACCCAATCGCCGAGTGCCAAACTAGGGCCCTCTGGCCCCCTTGTGCCTGCAGTACAGTTAGTGAATCCCCTCCAGAAAACGGAGGTAGAAACCTCAGGATTGTGAGGTGTTTCGTTGCGGGTGGGTCCGAAAAAGTGCGCACCGGTATATCAAGGGCGCAAGGGCGGACCGGATTTTGTTGAGGTCAGTTTCAGCGAGAAGAGTCTGCAAATCAGGGACAAATCCTGGGCAGGGTGATTTTCCATACCTCGGGTTTCGAAAGGTATCATAATAATACTAGTATTAGCAAGTATTACTAGTATTAGTAGTATCATAATCCTTTAGTAGAAGCGTTTGGGGGCTAAAACGAAAGAGTACGCCATCAAGTGGAGGTGAGAATTCAGAGAGTATTTACACGCTAGTCTAGATATAGATACGCTAGTCCTAGATTAGCACTAGTTGTGAGATGCTAAGAGTATTATTATAATACTGATACTATACAATTTATACTAGGTATTGTATCGGGCTTATCGATACGGTATCGCAAACCACGCTGAATTCAAGTCTACTATGTGATTAGTTAGATAGGTTGGTACCACGTGACTATCAGAGAGGTTGACCAATCGGATGAGCTTATCCTACGTAGCCAATCAACTCGGCGGCTTTTTGAAAATTTTGCCCCCGTACAGCTGTCGAGCGAAGCGAAACAGGATTAACTTCTATTAAGACTTCCTAGGAACAGAATTAGGTAGGTTTACCTACACACGTGACTTGCACGTGTTGGTGACGTGGCCAGAGCATCAGCGAGGCTTGTATCAGAGACCTGCGCTCTCTGATACAGGCACCCATTTTTTGACTCGGCCGGATCCAAACCTCTCGAGAAGACCTTCAATCTCATGCGAATCCCACCTAGATGGCGAATCAACGCGACCATCATCGTGAAGATTACACAGTAGGATGGGTGTGCGCGCTCCCCATCGAACTCGCCGCGGCGAAAGAGATGCTCGACGAAGAGCACGAAGCCTTCGACCACGACGCTAATGACACGAACATTTATTCACTTGGGAAAATGTGTGGACACAATGTCGTCATCGCTTGCCTACCGGAAGGCCAACCCGGCACGAACTCAGCTGCGACGGTCGCCGTCCAGATGAAATCGGCCTTCAGGTCACTCCGGTTTGGCCTAATGGTAGGCATTGGAGGAGGCGTTCCAAGCGACGAGGCAGATATACGGCTTGGGGATGTGGTAGTTAGCAAGCCGCAAAAGAGACACGGCGGAGTGGTACAATATGACTTTGGGAAGGCTACGCCCAGTGGATTCGAACGGACGAGCTTCCTAAATAATCCGCCAACTCTTCTCCTTAACGCCATCGCTAGTCTTCGGGCCAACTATATTAGAGGGAAATGCAAACTATCAGAATATTTGTCTAAGCTTGATTGCTTACCGGTCTTTGCACGCGATACTGCTGGACCAGACGTTTTATTCGAAGCAAACTACAACCATGTAGGGGGAGCGGCATGCGGACAATGCAGTAAAGAAAAGTCAGTAACTCGACAGCCGCGGGAACAAAGGGCTGTGGTTCATTACGGGACAATAGCGTCAGGGAATCAAGTTATGAGAGACGCCATTGAAAGAGATAAAGTTAGCGCAGAGTTGGGAGGAGTTCTATGCTTCGAGATGGAGGCAGCAGGTCTAATGAACAGCTTCCCCTGCCTCGTCATCCGAGGCATTTGCGACTACGCCGACTCGCATAAAAGCAAGAAGTGGCAAGCATACGCGGCCGGAACGGCAGCGGCGTATGCAAAGGAAGTTCTCTCGGTGGTAAGAGCTAATACAGCAATGGCGTTACGAACTATGGAGGAACGAGATAGGGAGACGAAACAGTTTCTTCGGACTCTCTACACCTGTCCTTACGCAGATCGCAAAGACAGGAATCGTGAGCGCATAGCAGGCACATGTGAATGGTTCATTCATCATTCTATTTTCCAAAACTGGAAAAGCGATCAAGGGCCAAGCCTTCTATGGGTGTCCGCAGATCCAGGTTGCGGGAAATCGGTTTTAGCAAAATACCTGGTCGACCACATCTTCCCAACAACCATCGAACAGACTACCTGCTATTTCTTTTTCAAAGATGATTTTACGGACCAAAAAAGCGCAGTGAATGCCCTCTGTGCAATATTACGCCAGCTTTTCCTAGCAAAACCACACCTTTTACAGGACTCGATCCTTGACAGATATGATGTTGATGGGGATAATTTCCTCCGATCATTTCGCGAATTATGGAGTACGCTTATTACCGTCGCAACCGATCAGAAGGCTGGAGAGATTGTCTGTATTCTAGACGCCTTAGACGAGTGCCAGGATAGCGACCGGTCTCAGCTTATCCACGCCCTAAAACATCTCTCCGCCGCTGACCCGAAAAGGCTCCGTTTAAAGATGCTGTTAACCAGCAGGCCATATGATCATATACGGCGTGAATTCCGAGAGTTGAGAAACCACACTCCTATTATTCATCTCGGCGGTGAGGACCAGGTTGAAGTTGAGAAGATATCACGAGAGATTGATCTTGTAATTCAAGACAGAATTCAGGCTATCGGCGCAAATCAGTCACTGGAACAAGAGGAATGTCAATTTTTACGAGATCAGCTAACACTTGTTCCTAATCGCACCTATCTCTGGGTCAATCTTACACTAGATGGAATCGAGAAAACTCCAGGCTTTACGAGAGGGCATATCCGAAAAGTCATACGTCAAATACCTCAAACCCTTGAGGAAGCTTACAACAGAATCCTAGACAGAAGCTTGAACCAGGAAATAGCTAGGACGCTTTTGCATATCGTTGTTGCCGCAACGAGGCCACTATCATTAGACGAGCTATCACTGATGATGGCAATCAAAGGGCCTCACAAATCTTACGACGACGTTATTTGGGAACTAGAGCCAAAAGAGCGATTTCGACGCTCCCTTCCAGATCTCTGTGGCCTCTTTGTGGTGATCGATGAGAAAATATACTTACTGCACCAAACCACGAAGGAGTTCTTGGTTCGAGACGATTCTTTGAACTTATTGAATGCCTCTTCTCTGCTTAACTCTCAGCACAGCTCACTTACATGGATGCATTCACTTCAGCCAAGAGAGTCAAACAGAATACTCGCGGAAAGATGTATTTGGTATCTCACCTCAGATTTTGCTGGGACTAGTCTTACAAAGCTACTCAACTATTCTGCCCGTAATTGGACCGCTCATTTTCGCCTGGCTGCTATACAGAGCGAGGAGGCAGAAGCAGGATTGGCACGGGGACTTTGCGAGACAGGAGCAAGACAATACAAGACTTGGTCCGCTATATATGCGCTTCATGCACATCAGTTTCCCAAATCTGGAAGCCCCATTACTATAGCATCGTATTGCGGGCTCGACGCGGTCGTGGGCCTACTGGTGGGAACCGGATTGGCGAGTATGGGCTTGAAGGATACTCGCGATCAGACGCTGTTATTGAGGGCAGCGAGATGTGGGTACGGGGCCGTTATGAAGCTGCTACTGGGGACTGGGAAGGCGGACACAGACTCTAAAGACTCTGAGTACGGTCGAACGCCACTATGGTGGGCAGCGAGCAACGGGCACGAGGCGGTAGTGAAGCAACTACTCAAGATCGGGAAGGCGGACGTGAGCTCTAAGGATAACTTAGGTCAGATATCGCTGTTCTTAGCCGCAGGTAGGGGCCATAAGGCAGTGGTGAAGTTATTACTTGAGACAGGAAAGGTAGGTATAAATTCGACGGATACCTGGGGTCATACGCCGCTATCGTTAGCTGCAAAAAATGGACATGAGAACGTGGTGAGGCTACTACTGGAGACTGAGAAGGCAGACGCAGACTTGAAGAATAACTATCATCAGACACCGTTGTCCTTAGCTGTGGAAAATGGACACAAGGCAGTAGTGAGCCTACTACTGAAAACCGAGAAGGTAGATGTGGACTCGAAGGATGAATATGTTCGGACGCCGCTATCATTAGCCGCGAAAAGTGGACGCAAGGAGCTGGTGATGCTACTACTCAAGACCGGAAAGGTGAATATCAACTCAAAGTCTGAGTATGGTCGAACGCCGCTATCGTTAGCGGCCAAATATGGGCATGTGGCCGTGGTAAAGCTACTCCTCGATACCGGGAAGGCGGACGTGAACTCTGAAGATAACATGGATCAGACAGCACTAGGACTAGCCGCAGAGAGCGGTCACGAGGAGGTAGTGAGACTACTACTAGAGACTAGGAAGGTGAACGTTAACTCAAAGGCAGTGTATGGTCGGACACCGTTATGGCTTGCAGTGAAAAGTGGACGGGAGGCGGTAGTAAGGTTACTACTCGAGATCGGGAAAGCGGATATAAACTTGGAAGATGTATACGGTCAGACTCCACTATCATTAGCTATAGAGTGCGGGTACGAGGAGGTGAAGAGGCTGCTACTGGAAACTGGGAGGACTGGTGTGGACTCGAAAGATGAAGACGACGATATGTCATTCTCGTTGGCCAAAAAAGTGAGGCTACTGTACGAGATCGGGATAGCGGACGTAGATACATGTGGCCAGACATCGTCATTGCTGGCCACGAGGCGTATCCCAAGAGGCAGAAGGGGGCTTCACCGACGATCCTTCTGAGCCCGCCCTGGAAAATGACACGCAAACCAGGCCACAACCACCAAATAGGGAGCTGTTGGAACATCACTAGCGGCAGCGACATCGGCGGTGCAATAGGTATTCATGTGACAGGAGATATGAGACAGGAGATGGCACTAGCAATGGGAGGTGGTAACAGATGTAGGAATAGGGATATTAGATTGTTTATAAAAGACCTTTTTCGAGGCTCGGCGCAATTTTAGGCCTTAGAAGATGGGAAGTTGACACCCCTTCGTCTCCGGGAGAGCCAATACTGGGCCACTCCTTGAAGGCCCTAACCAAAGCAGAGTGAGACGAGAATTGCCGCGCTCAAGGTGAAGACCAGATGCTGATGGAGATGATGAAAGGGATGCTAATTAGCAGGTCAAAATCACACTAAGCTGAGCCCAAATAGCAGTTAGAGGCCCCAGGAATCATTTCCTACACCATTTGATAACGACAGTCCTTCCCCAGTGGACCGCTACACGCACAGATCAGTGTCGCAGACACCAGTCTTTATTGCGATCCGCCAGTATCCTTGACCTATTTGCAACTGACGACCTACAGCCAACCTCCCCGGCTCAAAGGGAAGATCAATATAGCATTGGACAAGTAGACCAACCCGAGGTCACGTTCGCATCCGAAGAAGCAACCAAGAAAGCACGACAGCACAACCAATGATTGCAGGAGCCACAGTTCAACAAGCACCATGCTGGGAGAATAATGGTATCTCACTAAAGCGGACCGGCAGACCGGGGTAATCGGTCCACAACCAGTCTCAATTCGAACGCTGACATCACTTGGGCCATCGCTCAAGCGAATGGGGTCAAACCATGCGAGCCGCCCTTGCTTCAGGGCCAAAGTTTACTCTATCTTTCAGAATGTCAATAGCCTGTACCAAAGAAAGCTCTATGGCCACACAGTTCTTGATGCGACACATCCTCGGCCATATTGCACGTTCCCCGGCAATCATGGCATCAAGTATGAACTCCGGGCTCGGGTTCATCATCATATGTAAGTATTCGCTCGATTTGATTTCTGGCCAAATATTGATACCATCGGTATACCGTTGGCTAAATATCGGAGCCCACCAAAACCATTTCTGCGGAAAGCCAATTTTAACTGCCTGTTGTGCGCGGTGAACGATTTCGCGCTGTAAAAATACTTTGGTAGCCTGGAGATAGTTCTGAGGGGTGATAAGAGTCTTAGGCTGTCTGCCTCGAAACTGCTCTTCGGGTTCGAGAAAAGCTCGTATATACGGATTGACCTGAGATATAATGAAAAGCTTGGCGTTGAACATTTCTGATAGCTTCCTCATAGGTATATCATGATCGGTAGATCCCACGAAAGTCTTCTGAATATTTTGTATCCATAACTTCTCTTCCTTCGTGATAGGATCTTTCTCGTAAATGTTGACAGGCGAGAAGATACCAGGTACAGCGCAGGAAGCGCAGATTGCTGACCAGATGTACACATCTGGTGCTGTTATGAAGTTCAATAGCTGTGGCTCAGCACTATCGGTGCTTGAGATGCAGATATTGAGGATATAGCCGGTCTTGTTATGAGCTTCGCGAAAAGTGATGTCGCCAAGCCACGACCTTGCCACTTTCTTCAGATTTTTCGTTTCGAAAAAGACTCCAGAGGAAAGTAAAGTGCGGACTCGTTGAATAACCCATCCAAGTTTACCAGTGCCCGGAGGGTCAAAGATAGCCAAGTCAGAAAATGGGAGACGGTCGAGAACCTCATCCATCTGCTCCTCTGTTGTACTTCCCACGATGCCTGCCACGAAACTTCCTAACGAGGTTCCAGAAATGATCCTAGGGAGTAGTGCTGCTTCCCATAGAGTCTTGACAACGCCAATATGTTTCATACAGAGTGACGCTCCGCCAGATAAAGTCAATGCCGATCGGCCAAAGTCTATAAGTGTATCTTCTAGTGATCGCTGATAACTTCGAAGATCTGCAGTGCAGGCCCTTTGTCGACAAATTATATTGCTAAACGTTTCGATAGTCTCCAGGACGGTGTTGATGTAACCATCTATTAGAAGTTTAGTTCCGAACCAAGAATGTTGATATAAACCTGGCATATTCATGCCACCTAAGTCGCGACTAAGGCCTGTTCTCAGTAGGTATTGCATTGAGCTAAGGTCTCCAAATATAACGGCCTTTTGCAGTAGCTTAACCTGGGTCTCGATTACGTTGGGGTTGTATCCTGGTTCGATGGACTCCTTCTCCCTCTTCCAAGTCTCGTGTCCTTGTAAGTTATCTAGGTCGATGGTGCAATTCTCGTACTCAGCGAGTGACTTGGCTTCGTTCATGCGTTTCATCAAGGCTTCGACATGAGTCGGGGAAGGTCTCTGGCTGAGCCTGGCTAGCTCTTCGGTCAGTCTCCGGAGCTTCTTGCTGGGGAGGCAGAGTATAACGACATCGGCGCAGAACTTAATACACGCCCAGAAGATTTTGGTGTGTGAGTGAATAAGAGATTGGATGATTGCCATGTTGTTGCGGATATGGTTGTCGCTATTTAGCCACGTGGGATGCGTTCAGGGTGTCTGAGAACGAATGTCGAGGCCTGAAAGCACACAGAGCAAAAGGCTGGCGAGATAGAAGGACTCAGGTCATATGAGATGTTGGTCAGAAGGGGGTTTCGTGGCCAGAGAGTCTCTGTAATGTCTGGTTGTGACTACGCCGTAAGCGATTCCTGGCCACGTCACCAACACGTGCCAATCACGTGTGTCGGCAAACTTACCTGATTCCGTCCCTTGGAAGTCTTTATAGGAGCTGACAACAGTAACCGAATATCTCTCTTTCGAAACCAAATCTATCGTGAGGCTTCTACTGTTGGCTGTCCCGAAATTTACAGCGCCGCTAAACATAATAATAAACATCTAACCAAGTCCTTTCCCACTCATGAAGGTTCCCGACATTGGTGTCTGCACCAACGACCTAGCCGACGACAAGCTTGCTTTTCTGTGTAATCTGAGACGCAAATGTCTCTATTGGCACCGCCGCCAGGATGTCCAGCAAGGCCATGTTGGCCTTGATCTCCCGCGTGATCCAGTTTCGTATCTCGAGTGCCACAAGCGAGTCGACCCCGTAGGAGTACATGGGTCGCCTGGAATCGATCTCGGACAGGGGAATGCGCAGGATCTCTGCAAGCTTCGTCGCCAACGCGCCGGTGATAATGGTGGCTGCGGCAGCAAAGTCCTTGTCCTGCGCGGCTGCAGCAAGTTGGGTGGCCAGGGGAGCGCCGGCGCCCTTGTCTTCACCGCCTGATCTAGGCGAAGAGGAGTTGCTCACGACCGCCAATGGTCCAAACCGCACATCTTGGAACCATGGAGGTGGTGGCGAACCGTGAGCGGCAATAATGTCGCCAGTGGCCAGGCCGACGGTCAGGTGCGGCGGGCATTCTCTCTCGGCGCCTCGCCTGTTTTGTTGTCCGTTGATCAGGCTCTTCATCAGCGCACTGAATGTTGACTCGCGGATGCCCAAGACTTCTTCCCACTGCTTGAAAGTGTGACCACCCCGCTCGTGAAGAATCCCGACTTCCATCATGATACCTAAATTGATAGAGACCGCCTTCAAACCGTGTGCACGCCGGTAAACGGCGAGAGCATCTTGATATGTGTTACCCGCAGCATACTGCGCCTGGCCTGGATTCCCCACGACGCCGCTAAAGGAGGAGCAGAAGATCATAAAATCAAGGGGCCGCTCGTGGTCGAAGTATTGGTGCAGGTTCCACGTCCCCTGGACCTTCGGTTCGACAGGAATCTTCCAATCCTCGTACGACATCTTCTCTATCAACGTGTCCCAGAGTACCATAGCCATTTGGATGACGCCTCTGATGGGTGGGAAATCCTGTTCACATTCCTCCATGGCTCTGTGAAACGCCGTCGGGTCGGCGACATCGCCACGGAGGACCTTGACCCGTGCGCCGAGTTGTTCCAACTGGTCGACCATAGCCTTCGCCTCGGGCTTGGAGTCACCAGACCTTGACAGGAAAGCGATGTGACGAGCTCCAGATGCGACGAATTCCTTCGCCAGGCTGCGGCCCAGGCCTCCCAAGCCGCCAACAATAAGATAAGTGACTCTGGGGTCCAGCCGCAACGAATCTTTGGCCTTGCACATGACGGGCGCCTTCGCCTTGCTCTCATCGTTGAAAGACAGCACGAGCTTGCCACGATGCTTGCCCTGCTGCATAGTCCGGAAGACACTCTCGGCTTGGCCACAGGGGTATACAGTCAATGGCTTCGGCACGTGGAGCTTCCCGTGCTGAAGTAGCTTGAAGGCACTGTGGAGAGCCTCTCCCAGCGCAGCCGGGTCTTCCTTGATGGTAGTTGGAATGTCGAAGGGAGTAAAAGTGGCGAGCTTGGCGAAGGGTCGCATGTCGAGGCGCATGTTGTCCGCGATATCGCGGGTGCCGATCTCGACAAAGGTTCCAAATGGCGCAAGGCACGTCCACGAGACACGAAGAAGTTCACCAGACAACGAGTTGAGGACGCAATCGACACCGCGCCCACCTGTCACTCGCTGGACGCCCTTGGCGAAGCTGCTGTCGCGCGAGTGGAAGATATGCTCATCGGGAATGCCATACTGCTCCCTGAGAAGCTGGCGCTTGTCGGCTGTACCAACGGTGGCGTAGATGATCAAACCGAGATGTTGTGCCAGCTGTATAGCTGCCTGTCCCACGCCTCCTGTTGCTGCGTGGATCAAGACAGACTGGCCTTCGCGGCATCTAGCCAGCCGGACGAGGGCGAAGTAAGCGGTGGCATGTACTGTGGGCGCAGCAGCGGCCTCTTCAAACGACATTGTGTCTGGGACCGCCACTGTGACTCTGTAGTCGCATCGAGTCCTAGTTGCGTGTGCCCCGCCCAACGATACCGTGCTCACGCGGTCACCAGGCTGGAACATCTTGCGCGCGTTCTTGCCCGCCTTCAAAACAACGCCGCTGGCTTCCACGCCAAGACCGCGGACAGCGACGAGACCCATGCAAGCCATAATATCCCGGAAGTTGACGCCGGCCGCCTTGACGTCCAGTTCAAGCTCGTCATCACCAAGCGGCTCGGCCAACAGACTCTCATCGCGAACGAAATGTAGACTGCCCAAAAGACCAGGCTTGCCGACGACGAGACGGAAGGCTGCGCTGTCATCACTGAGACTGATGTTCTGAACCGAATCCTGAAGATGGCTACGAATCTGCCGATTCTCGTCAGGAGCCTCATACACCCTTGGTACCTGGAGAAGACCGCCAACCTCGCGGAACTCTTTATCCGTGGACTGATTTGAAGACATGAGAATGCGTGTCACAAGGGACGGGCCAGATTTCTCTCCTTGGCAACTCAGGTGTAATACCTGGAAGTTGGAGGCTGCTAGCTCGATATTGACACATCTTGCGAGGCCGTCCACCATTTTGAGGGACGGGTTGTCGCCGCATGTGACCCAGAGGAGTCGCCTGGCTGTCAACATCAGCTTCCGAATGCCCAGGAAGTCGGTCTCGGAGAGATTTTCCAGGAATGGTTTCTCGAGCTCCAGCAAGCAGATGTATGACTTCTCATCCCCGGATTCGATCTCGGGAGTTCCCTTCTCGACTATGACATCATAGCCTCGGACATGGAGCATATCTTGCAGCTTGTTTGCGAATGACTGCGACCCCTTCGAAGACTCCGCCGGAACGATCAGGACCACGTCCTCCTGGTGCGTGCCGTTGGCAAGCAAACCGTTAGCTTGCTTCTCACCAACGTGTCTGTAGTACGTCACTATTTCCCCGTTTGCCTCTGTGGAAGAAAGAAGATCGAAACCGTTCGCTTTGAGGCTAGGCGATTTCGCATCCTGTGCAGGTACGGCTGCTGGGGTGGCAATGGCAATCATGGCCCCCGGCTTCGCCATGCGGACAAGCCGCTCCACGTAGATGTTTAGATTTCTCTTGAGCTTCAGGCTGAGGTCGTAGGGGACGACAAAGAGATCTGCGGGTGTTATGTCTGCAGGTAGTGGAGCATCCAAGGGTCCGAGGGCGAATGGCTGGCCAACAACCTCGTCACTTATAGAGCCTTCGGCTTCAGCCACGGCATAATGAACTTGAGTGCGGCGAATGACACCATCGAGGAGCTTGGACATGGCTGTGTAAGGAAGGTCCTTGTAGGAATGTACCAGCTCGATTACCTTGGCAGCTGGGTGCTGGTGGATGACCATCCGGATGAGTTGCAGGAGCCTGGCATTGGGAGTAGCGGGATCCGTGCTAAGCAAAGCCTGCTCGATTTCCTCGGGTACCATGGCATCCAACGGATAATTCCAGCGAACCTCGGAGGCTATGTCAGCTGGGTCGACGACGGCAGCAGCGCCAGATTCGGCCCCAGATTCCATTTCCAGTGGTGACAGGTGGAAATTGGAAACAGACACGACGACCTTCGACAGGTCCTTGTCAAACATACTGATATCTGCGGAGAACTCATCGAAACCGTGGCGCCGCGAGCGGCAAATGCCTGGTATCGAGTATCCAATGTCACCGGGCATGTCCATCGACACCTCGAGCTCACCAATTGATGTCGGCACCAATGGCTTTTCAGTGCCTAACTCGCCGGGGACGGCGTAGTCCTGCGTGCTTCCCAGCCACCCTTGCCACATACTATCAAGAGTGGCGCCGTGGATGAGGAATGGTCGCTTGAGCTTTCCTCTGGTCAATGTTTCACCAATATCAACGATTTTTACCTCGTAGCAGGTCTTGCCCACACTAGGATGGCATGTTTCGACGCCTTGGAATATTTCACCGTACCGGAAGCCAGATTTAGCAAAGATGTCGTAGAAAGACTCCTTGCTATAGTTCTTGGGCAACTCTTTGAGAACTGCGCGGTAGTCAGCAATGCACAGGGCTTCGGCCTGAGCGTCCTCGTGCGCCACGTAGGTGCTTCTGCTTTCTGCGTAGACGACGCTGATCAGGCCCCGGCAGTTCTCTCGAAGTTGACCTGCGGGACCGGCGCAGGAGGAGAGGCTGAACTCCCACCAAAAAGACTGGCGGTTGCCAGCAGTAGCGAGGAGGTGCGGGCGCATGTGCACCACCGTCTCAGTCGCCATATCTTCGGTTAGTGCCATAGCTGCCACGAAGGAGACATCCCTCAACTTAAAAGACAGAGGAGTTTTATGCGTCTCGACCACCTGCCCTGCAGCCTCGAGCGCTATGCTCACCATGCCCGCAGCGGGGAACAGTACCGTTGACCCAACCATATGGCCCCTCAGCCAGGGCTCGTCATTGAGGCGAATGAAGCTACGCCAGACTCGTTCTCGCTCGTCCATAGTTGGCATCATAGCACCAAGCAAGCTTCTCGTCGGGAATTGTTGAGCGTACTGCTCCCGTTGCATGCGACCGATCGCGCTGAACTTTTGCGAATGATTCCATGCGTACGGAGGCAGATCCGTCAACAACTTGCAATTTGAATCCGCATTCACCTTGGCAACATCGAATGAGACGCCATGTCGGAACAGCTCCGCAGCGAGAGCCATGCTGGTATCTAGCGCGCTCTGGTTGCGGACTAGCATCGATGTATAATGAACACCGGTAATTGAGCGCAGGGTCTGCTCGATAGGGCCGCCGAGGGCGCTGTGTGGCCCAATCTCAATGAGCAGATCTACCGTCTTCTCCCCGTTACAGTTGGCTGGTACAACCAGCTCCTTGACAGCATCTGCGAAAAGGACAGGGGAGATGAGGTTTTGTACCCAATAGTATGGTCCCAGATCACTAGCATCAACTTCATGGCCGCTGACGCTGGATACCATGGTGACGCTCTCTCCCTGCTGCTGGAGGTCTGACAAGATGTCGTCTTGACCGACTTCGGCGATGGCGGCGTAGTAATCCATGGAGACGGAGTGCATGTGCGAGGAATGGTAGGCGACTTCAACTTTCAGTCTTCTGGCGAAGGTTCCGCGTGAGTTTAAGATCGCTTTGATGGCTTCTAATGTCTTGACGTCGCCTGACAAGGTGACGCTGGAAGGGGAGTTCACACAAGCGACAGTCGCTGATAGGCTGTTCTCCTTCATCGACGCCGTCGCTTCGTCAGGTGAGCAGCCGACGGCCATCATCCCGCCGTTCTTTGCGGCCAGTCTAGGAGCACTGGATACAGTTCCGCGATAATATGCGGCTGCTACTGCGTCTCGGTGCGATAGGGCGCCCAAGGTGTATGCAGCGGCGATCTCCCCGCTGGAGTGGCCCACAACCTTCGATGGTGTGACGCCCCAGCTGCGCAGCTCGTCGACGAGCCCGATTTGGAGAACGGTGCAGATGGGTTGGCTTATCAACGGCATGCCGAGGCGAGAGTCTTTCTCGAATGCGGAGAGTTCGTTTACAGGGTCCCAGTCGCAGCCCAGATCCCTCAAGTATTGAGCAGACCGTGCCTATATGGAATCATGGAGGATTAGAATATGTCCCACAGTGGTTGAGACGCTTCTGTCCCTTATACCCGGATTAACTTACAATAGAAGCGCTAAACACCGACCTATCCATCAACTCGATCCCCATGCGCGCCCACTGTGCCCCTTGGCCAGTAAACACGAATCCGATCCTTGGAGAGCTGTTCGGAGCACGCACGGCACCTTCGCCCAAAGACCTAGTCAGGCGCTCACGCAGCTCAGCGGCGTTCTCGGCGATGATTGCGTCTCGCCATGCAAGGCCGGAACGGGCTTTCGCGAGAGTGTGGGCGAGGTTGGAGAGGTAGGCGGGACTTGAGGCTGCTGCGCCGAGGCTGCCGAGATATTCGGACAGGGACTGACCCACTCGTTGGAAGCCAGCTTTATCTTGGCTGCTAAGGAGGAAGAGACGCTTAGAAGTGCTTTTGCGACTGGCTGAAACACCGTTGGTAGTTTTGGCTGGAAGGTTGTAGCCATCAAGGACTAAAGGTAAGAAAACTTGTCAGCGGGCTGCGGCTATGAGGAAAATATCATCTCGAACGGACGCACCAATGTGAGCATTCGTACCACCCATACCAAAGCCACTGATGCTCATTCGCTTGGTCGGAGCAGCAGGCCATGGTGTCAGTCTGGTGGGCACGACCATATTCCATTCGTCCAGCGGAATGGCTGGATTGGGCTTCGTGAAGTTGAGATTCGGTGGGATCATGCCGTGCTCTAGAGCAAGCACTCCTTTGATGATGCTGGCGACCCCCGCCGCCGCTTCCAGATGCCCAATATTGGGCTTCACAGACCCGACGTAAAGTCTTTTCCGCCATTTGCTCTGGCCGATGGTCTTATGGATTGCGCTGGTCTCTACTGGATCACCAGCCTTTCCGAAAGGGTACTGTTAGCCAGTGGCCGCTTCAGAAATAGATGGACTCGGCCTTTCAAGCTTACCTTGGTTCCAGTACCATGCGCTTCGACGTACTGCGTTGATCCGTAGTCCAGCCCATTGCGCCCATAGACGTTTTTGATGAGAGCTGCTTGGGCTGTGAGAGAAGGCATTGTCACACCAGGTGTCCAGCCATCCGAGTTGACGCCGGAGGCACGTATCACGGCTCGGATATTATCCCCATCTTGAATGGCTGTCTCCAGCCGCTTCAGGATCAGGACACCACAGCCCTCGCCACGACCGTACCCGGCAGCGTCTGCGTCGAATGAGCGGCTGTGTCCTGCTGGATTGAGAAACCCCAAATTGTTAAGATGTGAAGAGCCCTCTGTACCAAGGATCAAGCCAACGCCGCCAGCAATGGCCATGTCTGATTCTCCCAACTGCAAGCTCTGACAGGCGATGTGCGTTGATACTAAACTCGAAGAGCAAGCCGTCTGAACAGTGGCGCTTGGGCCGTGGATGTTCAAGAAATGGGATATTCGGTTGGCGATCATCTCGTCGCTCATACCCAGAATGTGGTACTTGGGATAATTCTGAAAGTCTCGAGATACCGAATCTCGGTAATCACTCATCGAGGAGCCCATGTAGCAAGCCGTTTGAGAGCCTGATACTTTCTGAAGTGGCATGCCGGCATTCTCAAGAGCTTCGTAGGTCACTTCCATGGCGATTCGCTGTCTGGGATCCAGTGCCATCGCTTCAGCTGCTGTGATGTTAAAGAATGCCGCATCCCATTCATACAGGTCCTGCTTCAGGAAGTAACCGCCCTTCGTGGGTATCACATTCTGGACGCTACCACTCCGTGGATGGCAGAACGCGTCTGCGTTATATCGGTCTGTCGTCTCTGTGAAGGCATTCTTAGCGTTCTTCAACAGCTCCCAGAACTTTGTAGGAGTCGAAGCATCACCAGGAAATCGACAAGACAAGCCAACGATAGCAATGCCGCCGTCGTGTCCGGGGGTCCAGGAGGTGTGAGGCATTGTCAAGGAGCAATGCAGAAGTGTAAAAGAGAGCGACCGCGCCGAACTAGGTTGATAAAAACGACAAGACGTGAAAGCATGTCAAGTCTTGAGCTTAACCGAAATCGATGGAGGCCTTGCCGGCTAGCAGCAGGACAGTGTGGATTGATTCACTGCATACGCTGACCTGCATCCTTCCACATGCATTATGACCAAGATTCTCGCAAAATCATGGAGGTGAGGATGATTCCTTGTATCGTAACGTATTCGCTCTTGGCGGTGATGCCCACTGTCCCCCTCGTCCTGTAAAGTTTCAGCCCAGGGTGGCGAGCCGGCTAGGATGAGGATCGGCTGGGGCTCTCACGTTGCACGAGATGTCTGGGTAGGGCCTGATGGACACTCTCGGAGGGGCTGTGGCTGCTCTGCATTTAGGGTGACCTACCATACAGACGAGCCTGCTGATCTGCCGTGACCATTTACTAGTATCAGACATGAAAGTAGCATTTCACCCCTAGGGCCAACTGCGCTTTGCTGACCATGCTTGAAGTCAACGAGCATGTTCCCGACGAGAATGCGAGTTTCCGGCGCGGCCTCGATGTGACAGCTCGGTGTAGACTTTCCAACGGCACTTACATGGGAGTTAGCGGATGACTTGAAGCACAAGCATAGTGTGGGCGTGGACGAGCGTGTATCATGCTACCGGATGTCTTGCTGGGAGTCTATAGAAGAGACGAGGTTTGCGCCGTAGTAGAAACAGACATAAAGCTACTCTGGAGCTATACCAGTCTCATACTAGTGCTCAAAGGATCCAGTCACGTGATGCATGCCTTATTTTCAATCTATATCCTTGTTGCCATGGCGAACTTTGCCTATATCCCTTGCTCGCATTGTACCGTAAGAGAGAATCTATGTGTATGTTCAGGCTGCGCCCAAGACTGCCTTGACGATGCGTCCACACCACGGAGTGCAGGGGCTGCCTGTGCAAATGCAAGGCAATCTTGATCACACGATGAGGTACTGGCAGCCCGATAGATGCAATGCCAAGATTCTCTCCGATACTGCCTTGCGTTTCGAGGCTGAAGGTACGTAAAGCCCTAGCACGGTTTCCAGCTCATCAACAATCTCGGACAACTGCAGAGGAAAGGGGCCATCCGTCGTGATCGGGCGCTCCACCTGCGCAACCAATGTACTCAAGATATTCAAAAGATTCCTGTCATCCCAGACTGCACCGCCATGCACTGCGGAATTCTCTATTACCATTCCATCACGAACGGCCCGAGGTCCCAGGAAGAGGACATCTCCTGCTTTCAGAACAATAGCTTAGGCCCTGCTGCCTGGATTCCAACTTCCAAGAGGAGCCATATGCTGCAAACTCACTCCAGCCATCATAGCCACCATCAGTCATCGAACTGGGAGAAACGACCCATATGACGTGGGGTCTGAAAAGCACTCGCAGCCATGTACCGGCAAGCACATCCACATGCGCACCAGCGTACGCTCCAGCTGAGTTGAATTCGCCGTAAGCGAGGGCCTTCTCAACGTCACAGAATGTCTTACAGTATGATCCGCCAGACTTGCAAGCTGCTGCGTAACTGCGCCCGTCTGTCAGAGTCTGCAAGAGCTTGAATCGTCTCAGCTGGAGAAATGCCGGTTTTAGTAGGCCCGATATTCCTTCCAACCTAAGGAAGGCCAATGGCTCGCTTGGTACTTTGTTATCAGAGAGGACGCCCAGAAAATCTTCCACGCTGGCGTTGCCCGGCTTCGCAAAATCACCCTGCCGCACTAACAAGTTGATTCCCAGGTTTGCATGCCTACGACAGATGAGGGAGGCGTACTCCTGACAGTCTAGCATCTCCTGGTGCGACCCTTTAACAATTACAGCGTCCGGGTGTGGTTTGCCATGCTCGGACCAAGAGCAGAACGCGTCGTCCGATACTTCGGGAATGACTGGCCCAGCCTCGGATGCATCGAGACCCGATGACGTGCCATCAAACTGGATCCTAGGATGCGTCCGGGGTAGGATTTGTCTACAGCCGCGCTGCAGCTGCAGAGCTGCCGCCTTGTGTGCTATCTCATATTCCTCAAGATTGTTGCTGGGAGAAGAGGCCAAGAGACATTCGCCCTCACACACCTTACACAGCAGAACACGATTGATTTCATTGTGAGCGGTACCGAATGGCTGAGCACTTTTGGAGGCCCGCCGCGACAGGTACACTAGTTTCCCGCATTACACCATCCCAATCATCACGTCCGGTCGGGTTTGTCGCGGTAGTCTGTCGAGGCAACAGACTGGTGGTGCATTGCAGTTGACTCGCACGAGCCACGTCAAGGCAACCATAGCAGGTCCGTTTCCGACGCCCGTCATCTGTCAAGCTCTCTGCCACTGAAGCCAGACCGCTCAACGCCGGGAGCTGGTCAGAAAACACTATTTGTTACCTTTGATTGACCCGCCATATCACCCGCGCCCGGAGAATGCTGTTGATTACGGCATCTTCCACCGCTCTGGTGTACTGGCGGATTATCGACGCTCGTTGACTGGCGATGCCTTGCAGAGCAGTATGGAAATTATCGGCAAATTCGATGTTCAGATCCATTTTTGTGGGGGAATTTGGCGATGAAGAGAAACGTTTGAATCCGGGCCAGGGTTTCACCATACCGGGCCACATATTCTTATAAAGCACGATCACGGCTCAAAATTCCAACGCACCGTTGCGACCTTACGCGGCTCGGAACGCCTCTCACGTTGTAAAGGTCGGACATTCCTTCCTCCGGCATCAGTCTGCTTTCACATTACTGGCTGCATAATCCTGTGTACTTGGTAGAAACCTTGTGTGCTCATCAGTAATGCTTGCAAGGATACAGCGCTGTCTATTTAGAGTCTTGGCCTAACGCTCCACATCATTAACAGATTACGCTAATAGAAGAACTTAGCTGAACTTGTCATGGTTGTGACCAGGGGTAAATTTCGACCAATCTGACAGGCTACTTGTCTTTCAGGCCAGCCTAGCGAAAATGGATAGCTAATCAAATGCGATATACCCTATGGTTCGGCTCGGCACCAAGCCACACCGGTCTGCCTGAAGTGATTTAGCCCTGGCAGCAGGCTGCAAGCCTAACCGCTGGGGCGTACTTTTGTGTAGCACGATTCTTCATATATGGAGATACTCTAGGTAAGAATAGGTAAGACGGCCCCTAGAGACCAAAACGGTTGGTTATCAAGTTAAATAACCTTGTCATTCTATTTAGTGTGCCCACGGCTTCTGGTGCAAGCCGCCGCACGCAGGCCCCACAATGTTATAAGGCAAAGTCCATGTGCATGCTCCATGCTCGCCTTGCTTGACCCCCAACGAGCGAGACCTCGATGGCTACTCAAGCCCCCACCTGCCAGATAAGAAAGCATGGACCTACCAGGCAGGATCACAGGGGTCCGTGTGCACCGGGTGGATCGTTTCCGCAACCAGAAAGTCAGTTCTTAATGTACTATGCACAGTATATCATTTATTCTACCGGGTTGTGTTACAAGCCAATGGCGGTGAAGCGCTCAATGGGCAGTGGAGACAGTTATACTCGCCGTCATGCTGTTGCATCTCAAGACACGGAGTAAACAATTTCCCTCTCTTACAATGTCAGGTGGTACGTATTTATCGGATGTTGGTTCTGACCGGCCCCGCAGGCTCCGAGGCTGCAGTTACAGATATGATCCCTCTGGGTCGTCTGTCTCGGCTGCCGTTGCCCAAGAAGGAATACCTGGTCGATGATATAAACAAAGTCGCTCCCTTCAGCACAGTTCCTCATTTTCGCGGCGCCAGACTCTCCACTCCCAAACACAATGGAGGCCGCAAACACAATGCCGCCGGACAGAACGGTGTTTGTATTCGGTGATATTACAGACCCGTGGGCTGACGGCTTGGATCAACTCTACAAGCAGGCCGTCTCGACGCCGTGGCTCAAGTCATTCTTAGATGAGTTGGCAGGGGTGGTCAGATTGGAAGCCAAATCCGTCTTGCTGGACCGTGCCTTGCGAGACAGCCTTGGTCATTTCTCCTCCCTCGCTGAACTGGGCGAGAAATATCGACATGCAACCGATGAGTTCGGCCTAGCCAGAGCTATCCTTCTTCACGCGGTCAGAGCAGGCTTTCTTCTGCAATGGGTTCAGCGAGAGCCTCACCTCGTCGGGCCAGACGCACCGACCGAATGGCTTGGTCTTTCCGGAGGCCTGCTTACTGCATCAGCGCTCGCCGTCGCCGACACCTTTGAGACACTGTACGACGCACTACTGCAAACAGCCCGACTAGTTGTCAGGGTCTGCAAGGTCGCCAGCGTGAGATCCAGGGCTGTGGAAGACCAAACCGGTGCATGGGGCTGGGCCGTATTGGGCATTGCGCCCAACGAGCTCAGCAAAGCTCTGGGCCAATTCCAGCAGGGTGCCGGCATTCCTGTCTCCAGGCGAGCCAACGTCAGTGTCACAGGAAATGGATGGAGTACTGTCATTGGTCCACCGTCAGTGTTGAAACTTTTCTTCCAACAGTGCCCTGCAGTGCGTAACCTTGCACACAACCCCACAGAGATCAAGTCCCTTCAGCACACGTTGGCGATCTCGGCTGCCGAGATCAACGCTATGGTTGGTGATGATGCGGCTGTGTTGGGGAGACCCCTCCGTTGCACAAACCATGCTCTTTGGGGCATGGATGATCCGGAAACCTCTTATCCCACATGGGGCGACTTGCTCAGGGCTGTGTGCGACCAGGTTCTGGCTCGTCCTTTGGACATCACACAGGTCGTGGGCAGGCTCGTCTCCAAGTCAGACAGCTTGGCCACTGTAAGGATCATCCAACCAGGGTCTTGCAGCCATGCCCCTTATCTTGCCACTGCACTCAAGACAGCAGGAAGGAATGTCTTGGTTAGAGACCAGCACTCCCTTCTCGATGGTGATGACACCGGCCCCTCGTTGATGGCCGGCCGTATTGCCATTGTGGGAATGGCGGGACGAGGCCCCAAAAGTGACAATGTTGACCAGTTCTGGGAGGTCATCATGTCCAAGCAGGATACGTGCACAGAGATCCCAAAAGACCGCTTCGACATTGACGACTACTATTGTCCGGCACACGAGCGTGGCGATCAACGATGCAAGATGGAGACCAGACACGGGTGCTTCATGGACAACCCCGGCCACTTCGATTCCCGCTTTTTCCATGTCTCACCAAGAGAGGCACTCTTGATGGATCCAAACCACCGTCAATTCTTAATGAGCACCTACGAAGCCCTGGAGATGGCTGGTTACTCGGATGGACAGACCAGAACAACCGATCCCAACCGCATTGCCGCTTTCTATGCCCAGGCCACCGATGACTGGCATAAGCAGACTCATCCTAGCCTTGGGTGTGATTCATATACGCTCCAAGGCATCCAGCGTGCCTTCGGGGCTGGCCGCCTGGCCTTCTCATTCAAATGGGAAGGCCCAACCTACTCTCTTGACTCTGCATGCGCAGGAACCACAGCCTGTGTCCATCTAGCCTGTCTAAGCTTGTTATCAAATGACGTTGACATGGCCGTTGCTGGCGCGGCAAACATTCTGAACTGGCCGCATTCGTTCACTTGTCTCGATGACTCGGGCATCCTGTCCCACACAGGCAATTGCAAAGCGTTCCGTGATGATGCTGACGGCTACGCTCGCGCCGACTTCGTCGGCGCTGTGGTCCTGAAGCGACTTGAGGACGCGGTGGCACATAATGACAACATCCTCGCAGTGGTGGCCTCCTCTGGCAGAAACCATTCCGGCAATTCAACTTCCATCACCACCTCGGACGCTGGTGCGCAAGAGAGGCTTTTCCGCAAAATCATGCGAAATGCGCAAGTCACTCCCGACGACATTTCTTACGTCGAGATGCACGGCACGGGTACTCAGACTGGCGATCCTGCAGAGGTGGGTGCTGTTTCCAACACCTTCAAGAACAGGCGCCCTGATCTGGGCCCCGTATTTATTGGAGGTGTCAAGGCAAATGTTGGTCACGGCGAAGCCGCAGCTGGCATGGCCGAACTGCTGAAGAGTATCATGATGTTCAAGCACGACATCGTTCCACCGCAAGCAGGCATGCCCCATGCCTTGAATCCCAAATTTCCACCGCTCAAGGATCTCAATATTGATATCCCTTCCGAGCCGCGGGAGTTCAAGAAGCACGCCGACAAGCCGAGACGCATTCTTCTCAACAACTTTGATGCTGCAGGTGGCAATGCTTGCCTGCTTTTGGAAGATTATGATGCTTATAACTCAAAAGAGGCGATAACTGACCCCCGGACTACGCACGTTGTTGCAGTTTCAGCCAGGACAAAAGCCGCGTTCGAGGCGAACAAGCGTAAACTGGCCGAGTTCCTGCGGGCGAACCCAGCCACGAGGCTCCAGGACGTTGCATATACCACAACCGCCAGGAGAATGCAACACCCTCTGAGGTTTGCAACGCCTGCAACGTCCATCCGCGAGTTAGTCACAAAGCTTGAGAGCACCGAGCCTGCCTCCTCTGTGTCAAAGTCGCAAGTTGTCTTCGTCTACACGGGTCAGGGATCGCACCATGCCGGTATGGGGGCCGAGCTGTATCGTACGAGTTCTGTCTTTCGCGACACAATCGACCTGTGCGTGGCTATCTGCGAAAACAACGGATTCCCATCTTTCCTGGACATCATTACCAACAGTAAGACCGAAGTCTCCACCAAGGACACTGCCCAAATTCAGCTCGCTGTTGTCGCTCTCGAGATTTCCCTTACTGCCTTCTGGCGATCAGCAGGCCTTGAAGCTGCGATGGTTATGGGTCACAGTCTTGGGGAATATGCCGCCTTGCATGCTGCTGGAGTACTGTCGCTGGCAGATACATTATATCTCGTCGGGAGTCGCGCCCTCATGCTGCTGGAACGATGCGAAGCGGGTTCCTGTGCGATGCTTGCATTATCGACTTCAGTGGCAACGGTACAACATCATCTCGCACAGAACCCAGCCTCATCCTGTACCGTGGCTTGCATTAACAGTCCCAACGCCACGGTCATTAGCGGAACCCTTGAGGATGTGGAAGAGTTCCGAGCACGGATCACAGGGCAAGATGCGAAAACTCGCGGAACAATCTTGTCGATCCCGTTTGCCATGCACTCGTTCCAGATGGATCCCATCTCACGAGATTACACGACTCTCGCAGGCGGTGTCGCTTACTCGGCGCCCAAGATTCCCGTGGCGTCGACGCTCCTGGCATCCGCTGTCAACTCGCCGAACGTCTTCAACCAGGACTACCTGGCACAGCAGACTCGGCAACCGGTTGACTTTGTCGGTGCGCTCAAAGCCGTGGGCTCCAAGCTCAAGGACCCAGTCTGGCTTGAGATCGGCCCAGGACCAGTTTGCACATCTTTTGTACGCGCCACTCTCTCCTCTCCTGGGACGAAGTGCTTACACAGCATTGATGCCAGCAGCAGCAACTGGACGTCAATCTCCCAGAGCCTCTCGTTGGCTTACATGGCTGGCGTCGAGGTCGACTGGCTTGCCTTCCACCAGCCCTATGAAAGTGGCCTGCAGTTATTGACACTTCCACTTTACGCATGGGACATGAAGGACTAC